ACTGATTAAAGCACTTCTACCCTTGAATGTTGACCAACTTTAAGCCATAAAGTGAAACCAAATGAAAACTAGTTTTATAATAGCAATAATCCAAACTGTCTTTTCGTTGGTTCATTACCAATTATTACTATAAATATAAATTCTAAACATTCAAACCACAAATGTACAATAAGGTCACCGTCTCCACATGCACACACAAGCAGACCTGATTGCAAAAGCAGACCAGCAGTACTTTTTGGGTGTTTCAAGCCACAAAAAAACCTCAGTACTTTAACCTTCATTTTCAAAGAGTAACCCACATACCCACCCACCAACCCTGATAACTTTGCAACACATGATTCAATTTCTTTTCCTCTTTGAAGTCCTTTTTCCCTCTTTGAAGTAGGTGCAATTTATTTTCTTCACTTTGGATAAACAAGAAAATTGTGAATTTCCCTGAAAATGATGGAAATTTACAGCAAAACACTTGATAATATTAACTTCCTTTAACAACAGCACTGCGTATCCATTATGCCTCATAGAGTGCGTTCGTGTGATCTTGTTAAACATTTTGAATTAAAACTATGTAAGCACACGTATTTTAGAGTTTTCCTGTTGATTTATGTTTTACCTCAAAGTTATAATAATCTTTCAGCCTGTTTCTGCCATGATAGGTTCTTGTTAGTTTAGTTGTTTATTTCATTTTGTAATTTACTCATATTTTCTGACAAAAAAAAAGAGGCCATAGCGTAAGTCGTCAGTTATCAACAAACCTAAACTGGACCTGGCCCCATCATCTCCTTTAACCTTAGACACAAAGCTGTCCAGTTTAGACCAAAGGTTAGCTAAAACAAGAAGCTTTAAAGCTGAGTCAATATCAGTGTAGCTTCTGTTCTCTGTGATTACAACCAACAGGGGTTATAGATTTAGTTTGTGTCCACACCATTAGCCTACAGGATGAGATTATTTCCCTTGAAAGACATTTGAAGTGCCAAAGATCTCCCTGAGGATTCCGACTAAGGGTCAGAGGTTGAACTGGTCAATGTCCACGAGGTCAGAGGTCGCTGAACCTTTGGAAGTCATTATGTTGGTGCAATCACTCAAAATGATGGCGTTGAAAAGACTGTTAAATCTAATTGTGGGGATCCAGGGGATTGTTGGATCATCCTCCTCACCACTTCTTTTCTACCACAGGCTATTTAGCAGCTAATAATGCACATCATGATAAAGTGCAAATAAAAATCAGTAATAATCAATGACAGTTTAAAGAAAGAAATAGATTGGTGTAGACTGTAATCTCTTGGTTATGTAAGAATAACACATTTCATAACTTTAATATAGATCTATGAAATCATTGATGTAAGGCTAATACGAGTTAACATTATAAGTTAAAATGAATGTTTGAAAAATTGATACATTTGCAATCAGTCTTCAAAATATCCGCTCTTCTCTCACAAACTTAAGATGGACTATTGGAGTACCAGATTAGCTCAGTTGGTAGAGCAGGCTCCCCATGTAGAGAGGCTCCATCCCACATTACACTGGTGCTTGAATCAGTTCTCACTCCTGACAGTATTTGGTTCTTTGGTTGCCCACTTTGTTCCCATATTACTCGTCTCTCTAGCCGTCCCATCAAACAAAGAAACATAGAACAGAAGAACGATTGGACTATTATCACCATTTGACATAAACTGAGTTAGAAATAATGGTTAAAATGCGGTGCCATTTAAGATTGACAAATTAATAAGATGTTCAGTTAAAATCTTTAAGTTAACCTACTTCACCTTAAGTGAACCACTACCCATCAAAAACTCGTATTACACCAGCTTTAAATAGGGCTTACAGCACATTTAAGAGGCACCTCTCATAAAACCAAAATAGACAGGCATGTGGGTTGTAAAGTTATTTTCATTAGGTCTGTAGACAAAAACAGTGTAATGATGCTTCACAGTGGTATCCCATGTCCTCAGATCAGAGATCGTAAAAGGTTATTCTTCCCCATTAGGTGAGATGAAGGCTGATGTAGAAACTGTTATATTCAGGAATGACAAACAAGGCGAAAATCTATCTATCTATCTATCTATCTATCTATCTATCTATCTATCTATCTATCTATCTATCTATCTATCTATCTATCTATCCATCTATCTATCCATCTTTCCAACCATCCATCCATCCATCCATCCATCCATCCATCCATCCATCCATCCATCCACCCACCCACCCACCTACCTACCTACCTACCTACCTACCTACCTCCCTCCCTCCCTCCCTCCCTCTCTCTCTCTCTACCTACATGTGTGAGCTTTTTATGCATGCAGGTTTTCACTTATTTCTTTAATTCTCACGAGAAACTTTTGACTTTGTGTCGTCACTGGTGTCTCGGCTAAAGGCAGAAGGGAAGTGGGTCACATCTCTTATAAAGACACTCAAACTGGGCCATCGCTTATAAAAGATAAACAGAGATGTATCATTGTGATTTTCTGAGCGCACCTTTTGGGATTTTCATATAATGACAAGTATTCTCCTCACTTATTCAAGAAAAACAGGAGTAAATTTAAGATTTTTTGCACTGATTCCTATTCCTCAGAAAAAGGGATCTAACTCTGAGGGGCGTCCAGTTCTCCTAGAACACAGTGTTAGATACTCACAAGGTTTGTATCTGTCTTACACACCTCAGGACTGAAAGGCTGAGAGCTTGTTTCACAACTTAGTACCCTGCACCAGCTGCTAACACAGTGCTCTGCACTGACTATTGTAAATGATTTGTCTAGTGTAGAAAAAACTTAACAGACCCTGGCTCTTCTTTTGGGTAAAATATAAATTACTGTAATACAGATAGGATTTGAACCTTACAGGAGGCTCAGTCTTACAGGAACAATGTCTGTGGTTGAAGAGTTCCTGGGTGGTGCACTTGGGGCCTGTGTCTGTTTAAAAGTTTAACTATCTTTAATTACAGGTTTTCTTAATCACTTTGGTGCATTTCTCTGATCAGAATTATAACTGTTAGTTTAATCTCCACATCATTGAGTCATTTGTGCACATCATAGCTGCAGTTTCCCATTCCTTCCAACAAATTGCAAGTGCTTTTAAACATATAATTGCTTTCATACAATTCTCTGCTGTTTTATAGCATCATTTGCTTAAATCATGTCAGTCAAAATTAACTGTACTCTGAATGCTGAATGGTAATTTCCTATAAAAGTAACAGTCCTCATTTCAGTGTGTTCCATTTCTACAACACTGGGAAGATCAGCATGGTGGAAGAGGGGCGGGGAAGGGAACAATACAGGGGAAGAGGAAGAAAAAGCCAAGTACATAGGCAGATTCCTGATGAAATTAAAGCTACAGTTGTGGATCATGTTGTCAATCATGGCATCACAATGGCTGAGGCTGGTCGAAGGGTGTGGCCAAATGTTGGGAGAAAACACTGTAAATTCAATTATTCAAGCATTTGTCAGAAGATTAGATGTACGTATTGGACAGTAATTCAGCACTAAACTTACTGCACTGCACTACTGCAATTGTGTTACACACGAAGCTTCGAGCGGGACAAGAACTTGTCACTTTTTACATTTTACATTTAGACTTAAAGCTTCACTGCAGCACAAATTTACTGTATGGTAGTGTAACGTAGTGTTACAGTAAAGATTTGCCATGTTTACAGTATGGTACTTTACTGTAGCATTTTACAAGTGGGAGCACTGTTATTGTACACTACAGTATCACAGTATATCTCATGTTTACTGTATATTACTGTAATTTTACTCTGCACCACACAGGGTGAGTATTCAGTGTCTTGTACTCAGTTACTTCACTAAATACAGCAATGTGTAACTTTACTGCAGTTTTTAAATGGCTGTGCAAATAGCCTATAGTGCTGTCTTGAGCATTTTCAGATAGTTTCACCATGATCTGACTTTTTTTTGCATTTGAAAACAGTAAAAGAGTAAACTGTCACTGACTTTTCATTCTGATGACACTGGCACTTTCACTGACATGAATACTTGCTTTTGAGGAACAAACTGTGACACACTTTTGCAGGTTATCAACTGGCACTAGTTTGTATTAATTGTTTTGAAAAATGCACTTATTGTTGTGCAAATGTTAATAGTGATGTGAGAAATGCAGCAAAGCCACTGAGAAAAGCTGTAAAGGCAGTAAAAGCTAAAAAGTCATCTTAAAAAGGGAATGATTTTATCTTGACACAGAGAGGATGAGGCATTACGTTGTGTTCACAATGCAGGCATGATAGGTTATTAAAAGCAGGATTGTTCCATGCTGTTGTTTGGCAGCTGAAGTCTCACTGCTGCTCTTCATAAACAAATCCAGTTTCTCTTCGTAAATAGTTTGCCAAGAACTCTCCAAAGAAAGGCTCTCCCTTCGTGAGGAGTGTGACAGTCACAGCCACCAGAGTGACTGAAACTATTTTCTCAATTCTGAACTTTTGAAAATTTGCATGACTGTTCATGTGAGTCCACTAACTAAGGTGTGTTACACATCTCTATCTCCAGCACTGTAACCGAATAAGCAAACAGCCTGAGAACTTGACTCACTGGTCACATTTATAGCATCAGCACTTCCACCCCAGCCCCACCTCCCCCTCAGCAAAACACTTCCCAACACATGCAAGAGCCCCCACGCCTGTCACCCACCATGCATGGCAGACAGTTGGTTGGGTCATCAAGATTTCTGATCTACCTCAACAGCTGTAAGTCTAAACTTGCAGCCCCTCACTGGTGCAGCAACTCATAGTGAGTAGGGAGAAGGGGACTAGAAAGTAGGACAGAGCAGTCTGGCCCCTTTCCCTTCGAAACACAGGCACAGATTTGCGACAGGGGAGAGAAGACACCAGGCTAGAATCAAGAAGAGGAGAGACTTTGCTGCAGCCACTGAAAAAAGAAGCCCCTGGGATAGACAGATCAGTGTGTGTCAACACTGCCGAAAATCTTACTTTTTACATTGTTCTTTTGTGTCAGCTGAGGAATATTTACTGACAAGAAATCTCAACACCTGGAATCATGCACAAGCGCACCAAGATCAAGATCGCCATCTTCGTGCTGATGGTGGGTATGGCTTGCATGTTCACGGCGGTGGTGACAGACCATTGGGCAGTGCTCAGCCCTGCGGTGGAAAAACTCAACACGACCTGCGAGGCGGCCCACTTCGGCCTGTGGAGGCTGTGTAAGAAGTACATCTACATGAGCTCAGAAACCTATGAACAGGGGCACGGCTGCGGACCCATCAGCTTGCCTGGAGGTAAGAAGACATCCGTGCAGAAGATAAATGAATTAAATAAATAAGGATGTGTGGCAGATACTTGACAAGCACATTTCAAGTGTTTAAAATAAAGCTTGTCATAAATGTTGTTTGTGATTGTGACAGGCCTCAGTCCCACTCATCATAAGAGTTTTGAGGTATAAAGCTTCCTAGAATAGTTTTCAGATTTAGGACCTCTATTTCAGACGGGTCATAAGATTAAGAGACTTCTCAGGATATAGAGATTAAAGTCTCAGTAACATTCACAGCCTACATTTAACTGATAAGCTATTTTTGACTGAGGAAGTATGAAAAGGATTTAGTCTTTACACTCAGTTGTCAGTGGCATTAACCACATATATGGTGCTCTAAGCTCAGATCATTTATTGTATTGGTTTGCACGTTTGCCATTGATCCTTGGTTAGATAGGTGATGACCCTTACTGGCCTTGTCCTTAACAAATCTGAGAGTGAGCAGCAACAACAGGCCTCATGATGAGGCTTATACAAATCCCCCGACTACCACGTAGCTTTAAAGACTGACCAGACGACTAAAAATATTTAAGGTCAACCAGAAATGGCCTGAAATGAGTCATGAACCACACACCCCAACAGCTGATTTCACTGACCGATGCCTCCATTCAGTTTGCAAAACCATCTGCTAATAACTGAGGCTCCATACAGTATGAGTGTGACACACCCGTGACTGCCCGGTGAAAGATGTGACATGAAGAAATCATTATACTAATTTACAGTGTTGAGCATTTTACTTTACATTTTCTGATTACTTTTCAAACTCTAATACACTCTCATAATCCCAGTGTAAATTAGACAATGATAAACTGGCACACTTTCAACTAATTCAATTAGTAGTTTTTATATTATATATCCAAATCAAGCTTTAAGTCCTATTTTAAATTAACAACAGCCTTTAAACTCAGCAGGACTACCCCTTAAAGAAACCCACCACTCTTAAAAAATGGATTTGTTTTGTTTTGATTTTTCCCCCTTTAATAGTGAGACCCAAACTGAACAGCCCTACCCAAAACGCTTAACTGAAAAGTGAGCCCTCAGGCTGACAAAATTAATTGAAATATTTAATTTCCATTTTCTGTAACCTTTAATGCCAGCACTGCGTATGAGATAGCTGTAGCACAGAGGAATCCTCTTTGAACACTTCAAATGATTTCTTAACCCGGGAAAAATTTTATCTGGTTTCTTTGCACATTCCGATTTTATATAGAGAGCATATCAAGTGTTTTAATTATAAATTTGTTAAGATGCAAAATGCACAACAGTTCTCAATGATATACAAAGTATTTATCCTTACTGCTCTGATGGGATTTGTCAACATTGTTGTTTAAATAGTGTATCTCCAATAAAGGATTTCTGTAATAATGCTGCTCTAGGTGCAACAGGTCGTGTATCTGGATATTCTCCCAAAAACGCTTCTCACTCTGAATGTCTCAGAGTAAAATTTCAATCATAAGTGAAGCTCTTTCAGTTGCCTGAGAGAGAGACAATTATTGTATTAAGTGGGTGTAAACAGTGCTGAGGATTTCCTGGCTAGCAGTGACTCATCACTCAATACCTTGTGGCAAGAGTCACTCATCTACAGATCTCTAGCACCAAAATAGTTATCTCAGGAACCATCATCTGACTGTTGATTGTTATTTGACCCTATTTGTGGCCTTGTCTAAAATTAGCCCCACAATTTCAAACCAAATTTGTCCAAGACAGAAAGCTGTGAAAAACTCCCGAAATATGTCCTGACTGAGAAAGCCCGTTAGACTCTGGGGAATCCCAGACACTGTCTGCACTGTTGGGCCATTCCAGGAGCAGATGAGATGCCAAAGGGGGGTTCAGCAGAGCAAGCATGATGGGCATGTGCCGAATATATAAAATCAGCTCAGCCAACTCAGACATGCAAAGAATTGGTTAGCTTGCAAGAACAAGTGGCAAATTCCTCTGGACCTTACATCTGCTGTTTTAAATCAGCATGTGCATACTGACAGTAGTGATCTAAAAACATTGAGAGGAAGCGTATTGGAGTGACTGTAAAACCTAAATACATGGCACACTTCCACAACAGTAAGTGTCCTACTTGGCGTGAAGCATCTGAAACATCTTGGAACTTGGGTTTGGTCAAAATGATAAAGACATAGATCATAAATGTGTCTGCATCGGCTCCCAGTATAGGTCTGAATTGGGCGGGGTTATGTTCCACTTTTTAAATAGGACAATTAATTTCACAAACAAATTTAAAGAAATGCCATATTATGAGAGTTTTAATACTGTTGATAATGTAGTTTAGCTTCATTTACCTGGTTTATGTAAAATTTATGATCATTTCAGCTCTTTTCAAAACTCAGTGAGACTCCCAATTTTGATATCGTTACGTCTTCTGCAGGATCTGATATTTTACTTTTTTTTTCCAGAAAAGCAAGTTGTTATTCTCAATAAACTCTACTTGCTAGCAAATGGCCTTCAACTCTACAACAACACGTATGATTTGTGATTGCTGTATAGGTAGCTTTTATCTACAAGAAGTAGGAGGAGGTGTGGTAGATTTTCCGTTAATATCTGGTGGTCTCTCCCTTCAGCTGTACTGGCTGTATTGGGTTAGGAACATTATTGTTTATCATAGCCACACACATCTCCAGAGAGGTGTCAGCCTCTGATCTAAAACAGAGCTGTGCGTGAGGAGGGAGACTCCGTTAGATGAGAGACATTCATTTGGAAAACATGAGCTGAGCTGAAGTTTAGGTCACTGCTGACAAAGAGCAGATGGTCAGGTGATTCCAGGACTGAACTGTGCGATTGAAAATCTGAACAAAAGACGGTTTTATTCAGATGGTGTTTACATAATATTCAAGGTTTCACATTGGAGTCAAGATCTGCCTCACTTCCCTTTCCGTCAATAAAAATAATTCTCTAATTTTGTGCTCGAGTGACATTTTGGCAAAGGTGGCTGCCAAATATCTGGAGCGCAGCTACTGTTTTATCCACTTGTATTCTAGATGCAAAAAAAAAAATTGTTAAATTCCCACTTATATTGTGCAAAGTGCTCATCAAGCAGTTGTTGTGGTTATAAATATACGCCACGTAAATACTCAGCTGTCTTGGGTGAGAGCCACGAGGGTCAAGTGTTCACGCCAAGTGCCGTGTTCCTGTGAGTGACAGGGCCGGCTGAAAGAGACAGGCATCATGGCTGCGACACCGGCTGTACCAGCAGAGTGTTCCCACCAGACCTTCCTCCTGCAGCAGACCCGCTCTGTGCAGCCCACAACGTCACTCAAACTACCTCTGGAGGATAGGATGCATAGTCAAAAACACAAATGAAGCCATAGTGGGTTACACTTTATAAACACCCAGGCGGCATACCACACCAGGGATAGGCATCGTATATAGGGGTGAGGAATTGTCAGCGATATGAGACCAGTCTGTATGACTTATATAGAGGCGTCCATATGCCTTTGAGACTTCATAGCTGGATCATAGTTTGATATAATTGGAGTGTGAGTGCCCAAACATGTGCCTGACAGGTGTCAGACCTAAATGTGAATGTAGCTAACCAAAAAAATTTTAAAATATGTTTACAGAATTTATTAAAGCAATTTAGTGTTAAAGCCTTTTCTTCACTCGGTCACAACCTTACTGAAGGCGTCATCACTCATTTTAGCTTCTAGACACAGGAACAAGGAAGACTCAGAGGTCTGGACTGTCTGGACTTTGCACATTAAAACTAAAGGTGCTGCTGTGACATGACAATGTGCAGAGGTGCTGTTAGTCTGATGTCCTCACCTAATCTTTGTTAAAGTGACGGATTGTCCTTTTCTTTGCTGCTTTTGAGGAAAGGCAGTGTTTTGCAGAGGTGAAGGTCAAGAATCATCAAGTGTTGCTTCTCAAGATGAATGCAGATTAGCTTACATCCAGCAGATTGTGCATGTCATTTCACAAAGTGTGCACTCTAGACATGGTAAAAAAAAAAAGACATTAAATAACAGCCTAAAAGTATCGCAGAAGAAAAGCTGCTTGATGCAGAAAACAAGCTTGAAACATCCATTTTAAAGTCCTCTATGTTCTGAGTACATCCACTTATATACAGCGCACACTTAACATTGAGTGAATAAGGAGTGAACTTCGTCTGCTCGATGATAAAACATTTTTCAACAAGGACCTTAAAAGTAATCTGAGGAGGAGATAAGACTGCCTCTTCTGAAGTCAAATGAGTTGTTCACTGTTGAATGAGATAAAGCAGCCTGAGAGAGGATGCTTTCTCCCTCAAAAACATGAACAAAAGGTAAATAAAATGTTTAAGGACTGAGTGAAACTCATTTAACTTTTAGTCAACTTTTTGAAAATAAAAGTTTGGATCAAAAGTCGCATTTAGGAGGAATGATTAGGAAAGGAAAGGAGAGGTGCGGTTGGATTTTTAACAGCTTCTAATGGTCTGACAAACAATAACAAAATAACGTTTCAGAATAAAGGCTGAAAAATATCAATACTACTAATGTCCTAAACTGACAATGCACCATGAATAAGTCTGCATGTTACTGCTTTTCAAATCAATACTGAGGTCCTTCATGCTGGTTGCCACAGATCATAAAACCAGGACTGACTGGGACACAAGCTTGAAGCAGTTTCCTGAGAGATGAGTCACACTGTCCATTATCAGCCGGAAAACACAAGTTTCTGTGTAACACCAAAGTCATCAGTCCCTCTTTATAACTTCAGTCACACAGGCTTCAACATGTTGTCCAATATTTTTAGTTATACTTGCCAAAATACAAACCCACCAGTCAATCAAAACCACAAGCTGCAAAGGTACAGGCAATAAACACAACTAAGACTTAATCAGTGGGGGAAGTCTTAGAACCACCCCACCCCCACCACACACACACACACACACACACACACACACACACACACACACACACACACACACACACACATTATTTCTACTGTTAAGAACTGGAGCTTGTTGCCTAGTAACAAACCTACTACTTTTATGTTTGTTTCCTGATAGCCAGTCCCTGTCCTCATTCATAAAAAAAAAAAACATTGCTTTTCAATGTGGGCTAGCACAAAATGGCACACAGCGTTACAAGCTAGTTATTTCAAAAGAGGCTTTTGTAAACATTTCACTTTCTACAATATGAGTCAGAGAAATCGTTTTTTGCCTTTTATATCAATGACCATTTCGTTTTGAAGCCAGCTGGCATGTGTTTGAGCCTGTTTTTCATGGTTTCCAAAGTGCACAAGCGAATGTTTTACCATCCCAGCGTGTTCCAGACCTCTAACCGGGTGATACGATAGCGCACGGTGCCACATGTTTTCACATGAAAGCATTGCAGCGCTGGGCCCCAGCTGAGACTGTATGGAAAGGGGATTAGAAAACATACCACTGAGAGGAAATCTCATAGCATAACCATGCCTAGTGATGTGCACAAGATTAAGTGACATAAATCTTCCTACATTCATAAATATGATCATAAGACTCAGTGTATATTTAAGACAACAGTAAGCCTCACATTTCAAGTCTGCGCTTCACTCTGACTGAATTAAACCAGCTATACAATATGAAAGCCCACCTAGAAATATGTTGTTTGTGATGAGTCAAACGTAATCAAGATTTGACAAGACGCCAAGCTCGTTTGGTTTGAACTTCTTTAACACTTGGCAAGGCATGAAAGAATATTTCACCAAAGCACCCTGTGATCACACAAAGCAGTCCGGCTTCATTTGTGCTAATCCCCAAGGTTTAACACTTCAAACGCTCCCAAAAAAGTGAATGTGATGTGTGCTGATGGTGTTATAACTTTGACAGTCAGTTGACCAAAAGCAGACGAGGCTTTGCACGATATCATGCAACCCTTTTAGAGGTAATCTTAACCTCGTGCTGGTGTGAAGCTGTGAGAGGCTTTTAGAAAAACAATAGTGGCGGGGGGGTTTAAGAAGGTTCAATGTGTTAACAAAGTATCATGTTCCTGTGGTGTATAGCAGCAGGTGGACTACAGCTGATAGTGCAGAAGTATTTGGGTGTTGGTTGAGGTGTGAAAGAGTTGAGTAGTTGCTTAAACAGACAGTACGGCTTTAAGCATGATTTCAGATCCTTCTTAGATCTATAACACAAATAATCAATAATAATAATAATAATGATATTTTTACAAAATGATCAGATGATCCAAGAAAGCTGTTTGTCCAATCACAAGAGGTGGTAACTTTGCCAAAGTTAAGGTTTAATATTAAGTCCATAATGGAACAAACTCTATAACTCTTTGATTTTACGATTTGTTAAGCGATAAGTCAACGCCCTGTATTAAAAACACTGACATACAGTATAAGACTGTTCTTGTATATTACTTCACTTAAATGTGGGGCCTCAGGGCGAGATAACTAATCATTCATTCTGAGTGAATTATTCCTGATACTTGAGTCGATACATAAATAAACAAACAAAACATGAATGACCGCCTTGGGATTTTCAAATTGGTTCCCCCTAAGCGTGTGACTAACAGAAAAAAAGTGGTTTGTGGTGTCTGGTTGCCTTGGGTTTGGTCTGATTAGTTGACATATCTCAAATATATCTCAAATATGCAATCTTACCTCTCTCTCGAGCTGCCTTCATTGATGGAAGAAGTTCTTTTCTTTCCTCTCCTCATTGATGAAGATGCAGGAACTCTTCAGGTTTTTAGCTTTATCCAGAACAGCAAGTTTGTCTTTCAGCCGCAGGAATCTCACCGCAATGGGCCAGAGCTTTTCAGATGACGATGGCTTTCCAGTCCAATGAGCCCAATCCAACTCTGTTTTTAGATAATCCAGTTGTAGTTTTTCAGCAAATAGTTTTCTCACTTTTTCTTCAGAATCAGACATCTTTTCTTTCCCAGACTCTTTAGTGCCATCCACCCAAATATTGTGGCGTCTTGACTGGCCATGCAAATAGTCTGTCTTGTCTGGGATAGATATCAAACTTTTGTAAATTATGTCCAGATCTGGTTAAGTTTCATTGCTATGCTTGGACCAGGTTTTACATGAGTCTTTAAAATCATCAAACTTGAGTCATCTCTAGACTCACCTTAAAGTCATCAACCTGCTTGGACAAACCATCAATCCTCTTGTTTGAAGAATCCACTATGATCAGTACACAAGTCTTTAAGCTTTTTTCCCGTTGTTCAAGCAGAGTTTTGTCTTTTTGCTGGTCCAACAATTAACACACTTGAGCCATGGTCACATACTCCTCAGTGGTGTTGAGTGAAGCTTCAGGTGGCATAATGTAGACTTCAGTCTTTGAGGCCTACTAGGCCCAAAACTCAGCAGAGTAGTCAAAAACCTCCAACAGATAAAAAAAATGTCCACAATTTTGCTCTGTAGAGTTAGGTAAGCTCTATATTGGTCCACACAGCAGTACAGGACAGAGTTCTACACAGGATTCCTTAGTTTTTTGATAGATAGAAAACCAGCACAAGGCTCAGAGCAGCAGCAGCAGCAGCACACAACCTCAGCCTGAAGTCAGACTGATTGGTTGACATATCAAAACAAAGATGTTGGCCTTCAACATTTGGATAATACCTAAACTATCTTCTTCTTGGCAGTCTCTGACAATGGTCCAATCCTCTCTATGGAGCATAAAAATGCCTGAATGTTGTTGAAACACCTAGAGTTTGTTATGGGAAAGGTGCTGTAGTGGAGGAAAACACTGGACGGGTCTGGGCCATTGTTAGCTCAACCACTGACTCCAGAAATGCAGGGTTGTTTAGTCCAACATGATGTGGTCTGTACTGTTTGCTCGCTAACTTAACAATCACAGAAGGCCTTCTTCTTCTTCTTTGTGTTTAACAGCAGTTGGCATCCAGCTTTTTGGTGCATTACCGCCACCTTCTGTTTCAGAGTGTGGATCAAACCAACCAACCAACCAATAGAGGACAACCAGTATCGGCCAATTAGAAACAGAGTAGGGGGGGCCATGCTGGAAAAAAAAAAGAAAGCTTGCCAGTTTAGTTTCTGCGATGTTAAATTTGCTCTATAGTTTAGTCCCTGTGTTTTATGACTCTTTCAGCAGAGACGCCTTTGAAATCCAGACCTGACTAGAAAAGCACCTTGATTTTTACATGTACATTATGGCCACAACAATGACTCATCATAAGACATAATGTTGCTAAGTATGTAAATAAAGTAGGCAGCTTTTTTTTTTTAAAGTTACATGACTATAAAAGTTGTATTGGGTGATTATAAATGTATTTCAAGCGAGGGTAGCTTTGAACTAAATCTGATTGTCTTTCATTTCACAGAGGAAAACTGCACCTACTTCCAACACTTCACTCCAGGGCAGGATGCGGAGATTTTTGAGTATAAAACACAAAAAGGTAGGTTCCTGTTTTGACTGTTTTATGGTATTATACAAAAGAGTTGGTTCTTTACCACTGAGGCCCCCATTTTCCACCGCTCTGTTACTATGAAGGTACAAACTACACAGAGGTCCTTTATATCAGTAAGCGGCAGAGTAAAGTGCACTGCTTGGAAGACCAAGAAGAGATGGAAGTTTGTTGTGCTCAAAAAGATTTGTATTCATAGACAGTTTTGATGGAAAATTTTGATAAATGGATCATGCTTAAACATGCATAGAAAGAGCTTCTTGTCCTCAAAGGCCGCTTACACTTCACCTACAGCTGAACTGCTGAACAGGGGAGCACTTCAAGCCAGAATCTCTCCGCCAGATACCAATAATCTTCCCATTTCTACAGACTGTACCTTTAACATCAAACTGACTGCCCCCCAGTTCTCCATCTGACCTCTCCTGTTACAGCAGCTCTGCCCTCTTTGGTGTCAGATTTTTATTCATGTCTCACTTCTAAATGCAGCGCAGCCACCGATGTCACCCCGGGCGTGATTACTGGCTGAAAACTCTGAAGTTCATCAAGATACTGTGGGGTGAAAGAGACAGGGATCTTTTGTCCTTTCTCTCAATGTCAGTGTGTCCACACCGGCCGAAACTAAAAACCCTTTATTTACAATTCCATCTACCTGCCAATATGGAGACCATATAGCTTGAGGGTATTCATGTTCTTTTGTATATTTGTACTGGTAGAAGCAAAGTCGTTGTTTTTCTCACATATTTTATCCGACAAATGTTCTTTAAAATAGGTTTTTTGTTTGACTTTATTTAGTCTGTCAAGAATTTTCACTTGCCAAGAACATTCACAGACAGCACCGTCTGAACACGGAAAGATATGTCCCACACCTATATCCTGATAAACATTTCAAAGCTGTGGATATATTTGTAACCCCACTTCTCACTCCCTGCATTTTCCACCCTCCACCCTGTTACATCTGTGACCACACAGAGCACAGCCAGCGTGTTGTGTATGACAGTACTTCCATGTACAGCGCGCTGGCGAACGGAGCACACATGGAGCGCTGTCACTCTCAATTATTGGGGTGTAAATGTGAACAGTCTTTCGCATGAAGTCCTACACATCCTCACAACCGAAACTCTGAGAGGCTAATGCAAGCATTCATGGGTACCCCTCCTCCATCATCTAGTATACATATATACGCATCCCAGAGCTGACGGCTTGCCCCTAAGAGTCACATTACTAGTTAGCTGGAATGATTGTAGAAGTGACCTAAGCTCCCTGCTGTGTTATTCACCCTTGAATGAATCATTTGGCTATACCATTATGGTGCATATGGTTGAATGAACACAGTGGATGTAGTGTGTCACAGTATAGGCACATGCATCCATACAGTAAGCCTCTTATCTGCCTGAAGGGGGTTGTATATAAAAGTAGATGAAGTGTAAGTAAAATCTTGTATGCTGAGAATATTTGAGAGCATTTACAGACTGTGAACTGGGTCTTTCTTTATATGTTTTAAATATAGATATACACCTACAACATCTAGTTAATGTTTCAAACACCCTGCAGAGCCTCTGCGGAGTGAAAGCTGTTTTTTTTTTTCCTTAGTTGTTTTCTATGATACTCTGACTCTTGAGAAAACTGTGATGCTTTTCAAAAGTTTACATTAAAAAAAAAAATTAAGCGCCTATTGTTATAATACTTTGGTTTTAAAATCAAGCACATTATGAAACCATTTTTATTCCCAGGTTGAAGTTTAATTTCTTATGTTTGAGAACTGAGAAATCCTTTAGCGGCTCATTGAAGTAAGTCCCGTTCGACAGGTGTTGTTTGATGTCTACCTGGCTTTTGGTGAAACTTTGCCGTTTCAGGCTGAGCCAGTCTACGAACGAGCTCCATATATGGCTAGTATCTAAGAGAACACAGGGCGTTCAGGGTGCAGCCCGTCCTCCCCTGCCAGCAGGAGATGAAGGCTCTGTGCCCCAAAGGTATGCCTCTCCTCTGGGTGTGTTTCACAAGCAAACAGGCGGCAGATCAAAGGCCCTGAATCCCATCCACCTCTCTGCTCTGAAAAACAACCAGCTGCTACTCCTATCACACAGACACACCGGAGCTGTAAACTCAAGTTACATGTGATATACATACGAGGGAGAGTGTTGAATGCAAATTCAATAGGCTCTGTAAAAATCAACAACGGTTATGTTCCTGATACAGAAGCATAGACCACTACTACCATTAATAAAGTATGAAGAAAACAGGCTCTCTTCTGTCATTACTGAGAGTGGAGCACTGTGGCTGAAATATAACAACAGTTCAAAAAAAAAATATTTAAAAATCAAGGCAGTTTTGATTATCGATCTACTCTTCATTTTTAACTATTTGTATGATTTTTTTTTACAAGATAGAGCAGCAAGTTTTCTGACATCCGAGAAAAGTCAAGTGTACAAGGCACAAAATGCGGAGGCACCTAAGAGGATTAGGGCGACGTGAAGAGAAAAAAATAATTACAGAAGGAGATTTAAATTGAAATGTCGAGATTAAAGTCGAACTGTCAAGATTAAAAAATCAAAATTATTTCTATAAAGTAGAAATGTCATGAATAATGTTGAAATTTTGAGATTAAAGAAATAAAATTGAGATAAAAGTCAAAATTTCGAGATTAAAAATTGAAATTTTGAGATTAAAGTCGAAATTTTGAAATTACAAAATATCGAAATGTTGAATAATGTTGAAATTTTGAGATAAAAAAATTAAAACTTTTGAGATTAAAGTCAAAATTTTGAGATTAAAGTTGACATGAATAAAGTTGAAATTTTGACTTTTTTAAATTCCAACTTTAATTCTCCAAATTTCGACTTGAATTTCAAAATGGAATTAAAAAAAAATCTCCCCCTGTAATTATTTTTTTCTCTTCTTGTGGACCTCATCTGTATTTTGATGGCCTGTAGAAATGTTACTGCTGGACCCACTACTTTAACCAATGCTACAGTCATTTTCAGGACCCTTGTCGGTCATGGACTGTTGAATTCTTTCTGGCTTTTTACCCCTTGAGGAGTCCCTGCCAACAGCCAAGGACGCCCCATTAAACCCATTTTAATAGGCCCATTATAGAGCAGAATTAACCAGCCTGGTTCAAATGAACAGTTTTGGTCTCTTGGTGTTTTTCTTTGCAGAGTACAACATTTCAGCTGCAGCCATCTCTATCTTCAGTCTCGCCTTCATGATCCTGGGTTCTCTGTGTTTGGTTGGCTCATGCACTGGTAAAGGGAAAGGAAGAGACTACCTCCTCAAACCTGCTGGGATGTTTTTTGCATTTTCTGGTAAGTACATTGTAGACGTTTGATTTTCAACATCAACATGAAAGAATTAGTCGCCACAGATGTTTTAACAAAGGACTGTCCTCTCAGGTCTCTGCGCCTTCATCTCGCTGGAGGTGATGCGTCAGTCGGTCAAACGTATGATTGAGAGCGAGGACACGATCTGGATCGAGTACTACTACGCCTGGTCCTTTGCCTGTGCTTGCGCTGGCTTTGTGCTCCTCTTCCTCACTGGGTTTGCCCTTCTCATCCTCTCCATGCCTCAGATGCCCAGGAACCCGTGGGAGACTTGTATGGATGCCGAGCCCGAGCAAGTTGAGTGAGATGGGAAATTCACCACTGTACAATCATGTAACAACTTAAATATATGGGCTTTTTTTCAGAGAGACTTTGTTTACACCTGGTATTAAGATGTGTCCTTGGTGATCTGATTAGAAGTTGGATTGTTTTGACCTGGAATTTGCATGTAGACTATCTCCAGTTATCTGACTTATATGCAAGCGGTCTCCCCTTAAAGAAACTGCATTGAGAAGACCAAGCAGTCCTTCAGTGTGGCCTGGGACACATTTGCACATGTCAGGTGTAAACAGGGATAAAGTTCTGAATTTTGCCTTATTCTGCATGCACATGCAGAGTTTCAAATCTTACTGTTCCTCTCCAGCATTTCCTTAAATCTAGCTCATGCTGACAACTAGAGTTTAAATTTTATAGTTCACCTGTCTACAGTTTAATATGGTTTGTTGCCCATTTGAAAGCTGTCATTTTGATGCATTTATTACTATAGGTCTGGAAATATTGGGATTTTTGATATCTCAAATTTTCACTTTAATGATACAATACATATAGTTTTAGCCCGACACCCAAAGATGGGGACTTAATATGAATTAACTTATTGTTTATGTATAACTTGTATATATCTAATGTGTGTGTGTGTAAGTGTGTTTTAATTTTGTATAAGATCACTCGAGGAAACAGTAAATTAAACTGAGTTAGAAAAGTGATTCATGTATTCAAATGTTTAACTGTACATTTTTAAGATTTATGAAGACGCTTTGATGATGCACACTGCCTCATTTCAGTAAGAACTTCTTCAATAAATGACTGTTTTCAAGCAAAGCAGCAGCACAGAGCAGGTTTGTGTATGTTTATGCGTGTGTGTGGCATGCTGAATGTTAAACACCCACACAGTCTGCTGCACTCATCATGCTGGAAAAGGTTCAGCTACAGCAGGTGCACAGACAAGGCCTTTTACTTTGGGTTTACAAACCAAACTCATACAAAAAAATCACTGTTCTTTCTCGTCTGTCATCACCGCTCATTAGAGAAAGTGTTTTTTTTCAAAGGATCTTCTCTATGATATGCCAACTAGCAGCTGATAAGTATCATCTCAGCTGTCACTGGCATCTATTTCAGATGTAACAAACAAAATAACATGATGTATTGGAATGTCCTGTCAACCAGCCAAATCACAGCACAAAATGAAACACTCAGACACAGTTGTCTTTTCTGATCTGATCAAGGCTAGCTGACACTTTAACGTGACTAAATACGGTGATGGTTATTGGTCTTCAGAAGCTCTGAGAGCTACTCTTATGTCAGTCTTTTTATGGCCCTTTTGCTTTTATTAGATCAGACAGCTGTAAGCGTGAGCTTAAATATGTGGTGTTGTAAGTTCAAGCTGCTCAAGCTTAATTGGGAGAATTACAGTAATTTCTTATCAGAAATTGTTCAGTATTGCTTATCACAGTGATCATTAACCAGCTTTTTAATGATTATTACTTTTAAAGGACATCAAACTTTCCACTAAACCTGCTGCTGTGTGTAAGAGCTGCATACTTCATTATGAGATTTTTCAAAACACAAATACTTTCTTTTTTTTTTTTGACTTAAGTGTTTTTTGAAGTTTCATTTTCTCATACTGTATGTGACACAGACTCAAGTAAAATCAGGAATTTGAAAAAAAAGTTTGTCGTTGTTGAATGCATTCAGATTGTGTTTGTTATACGCTCTTTATAAATAAAATTAAAAACGACAAGCTTGAGGAGACTTCAGTCTGCCATCGCTTCGTGTTTTTTTGTACCTTTGCTTTTCACATCCCTTAACACTACAGACCAAATGTTAACTATTTTACACATGAAGCTTACATATCTTTTTCAACATCTGTAAAAAAATAGAATCTCTTGATCCTCCCAGCACAACTGCATGTACACTCACTTTATAATAAGTCTGATAATTATTTGCTTATATAGAGCCATTAAACCCTTTAAACTGATCCATATTTGATTTACCAGAGCCCTTATGCTAATTTGTGGTTTAACTTCCTGCTTACTGAAGATTTCACGGAGCAAAACTGGGGTAATGTCACGTTGGCTTGTGGAAGTCTGAGAGGTTTTCCCTATCTTCTGTTGGCATTTTTTCACTGTGATTCTGCCCTCTTATGTTACACGTTTGTTTCCAAAAATTTTAACTTTAATTTCCCGTTGGTTTTAAATTTTTCCCGTTGGTTTTAAATTTTTCCCTTTTATTTATTTGTTCATTTAATATTGTTATTTTCTTATTTTAGTCCATCAGATTTTACTCTTTTCACCATTTTGATCTCTATTTTTATCCCCAGTGTTTCCTAAAGGTAGCTCTTTCCTCATGTAATGTCTCTTTAACTTATATCATAAATTCTCACACTGTGTGCGGTTGTGTGTGTGTGCGTGTGGGTCCATGGGTGTGTGTGTGGGTGGAAGGGTTGGGTTTTTGTTTTTAGCCTCTGTGAGGCACTTTGAATTGCATTTCCTCATGCACGAAAAGTGCCATATAAATAAAACTGAATTGAAAAATGCTCTTAGATGTTAAAAGTTTTGTCACATTGTCAACAGGTAAAGGTGAAGTATAATATAGATGTGCCATAACTCTTCTCTATCAAGTTATCCCTGGTATTGCTTTTACAATTCAGAATTAATAACTGTTGTTGTGAGGTTTTGACCAATCAGAGTTAAGTATTTCATTAAAAAGGAGCCGGGTAACAAAAAAATATCAGAACTCCAGCAGTTTCAATAAAAACACTTTAATAGAGAAACAAATAAAAAAGAAAATAAACCTTTGAAACACAGTCTAATCCTTTATTATAACCACCACCAATTGAAAGGAAGAATAGTAAAACTGATCTATTCATTATTTTTGTACCCACAAGGGAGGAACCAATGGAAGTGGGAGGCTGGGAGAACAGGTGTGCCATTGATTCACTGCAGCGAGGGGGAGAACAGAGGAGAGCAAACAGATAACAGGCAGTAAAGATGTGTCATTTATAGAAGGCCGAACACAGTGCTCTCTACTGGCTGGGCAGAAGGTTGCTCCCTTTCCATTTGACACACACATAACAGGGTTTGCCTTGTTTTCCTCAGAGACAACGCCGCCTCTGATTAAGAAAAGGATTAATGGAGTGATGTATGGCGCAATATGCAGTGAAAGTAAAACCGACTTCATAAAAGGAGTCGAAACCCTTCAGCTCATGGAAGAGATTCGATCAAACTCATTGTGGAAACAAATGATGAAGATTAACAATGAAGCAAATGTTGAGAATTTCAAAATAAAGTCCCTTTAAAATATGTCTTTGGCTCAATCTCTTCTGCTTCCAAAAAAATAAATAAAGAGTAGCCGGAGAAGCGGTGAATATTAATATTGCACAACTTCAGAGATAAGCCAAGACAGATTAGGCAGCATTGTGGTGAACTGATCCCCTCCAAACAAGCTTTACGAATCCAACACACACCAGGGAGCAACCTCAGCGTTAGCCCTGCTAGGTAACTGCAGAAAAAAAAAAGAGCTTACATGACCATTACATATTTGATTGACATGTTAGTAAAATATTATAATAGTTTTGTTGATAATGTCACAAGTTATTGTACACATCAAATAATATACCAAAATCTGACTCTGTAGGTTGAAGAAAAGTTTTTTTTTCTATTTTTTTTATCCACAAATCAATACAAACTGATAAAAACAGGGATAAAAACAAGCCAGGTCATGTCAACATGCATGAAAAAGAACAGTCATCACATAGAAAAAAAAAAAAAAAAAAAAAACATAACAAAAACAAAGAACCTCCATGTTGATTGTTGTACAGCCATGAAATGGTAAGAAAACAGAACAGGACAAATCCAGCAACAATCACTGAAAAAAATGTATTGTACAGTGAAATCAGTTTTCCTTTAACAGCTGCAACATAAAGTCTCCTCCTTGTCAAATCAGCCAGACACCATCTTTAAAAACAAACCAACAAAAACAATAAAAAGTTACAAGATGTTGCAACTACCACCTGGTATGTAGTTGTCCATTTCCAGAATCATATTTTTTGTGAATTTGCATAATTAAAAAGGGCAAACCTCTTCTTTGAACAGCTTCTACAAAATTGAGGCGCTCCCAAAGTTCTTGTTTGTAAATATCTAGAAAATGCATATTTACAAGTATGTTGTTCTCCGCTAAGTCAAAAAATCTGGACCTCTTGAGTAACCATGCCTGAAAAGATAATCAAAGCATAGCTGAATGAAGCTCTCGGCTGACTGTTGAAAACAGACCTACATTATTCATTATCAATGGGGAAATCAGCTTTCAATGAAAGTGACTTTTAAAGAGGTTTAATTGTTTTATTAAAGCATGACAATGCAGAATGAGCTCTTTTTTTCACATTTGAAGCTGTTTTGACGATGGATGAATTACAAATACTAACAACGTATGACTTTTTCCAGTTATGCTTTTAGATTTGAGGAAAAACCGGTAGCTCAAATATATGATCATCTTTCATATATTCATTAAAAAGCATTTTAATCATCAGGATTTCATAAATTAAGCAGGATAAACTCATGGTCAGTCCTTTTCGATTTAACGTCAGAGAAATGGGATTCTCCTACCGCTTCCATATTTGTATGCCAGATCAGACTGGATAACGAGGTTGTTTGAATCTTCTAAATGACTGAGAACAGTTTCCATATCACCAGTTCATTCTTCATAAACAGACACATGAACAGTTTCACATCTTTGAACAGCCCTTTTGAAGTGACTTGAAGCAATGTTATTGTTCACTTTTAATACCCTGCAATAAGAAAATATGATATTCTGACCAATCCCCTGGTGGTAGTTCAGGCACGTAACAGCCTGTAAAATCACAAGTGAATACAGCTTACTATAGAGATCATTAAGATAAAGATTGTCTGACAGAGAAACAGAGCTAACAGTGAGACCTACACTATGTAAGAGCATGGATTATACCAATGCACAGAGTGCTGTTTACATCAGTGACCAATTACACAAAGAGCTGAAAACTTTGGCAAACCAGACCAACCAACCTGGTTGGTCGGCAAACCAACCTGGAGTATTTTCAAATGTCAGGGTATCGAGTTTAATTCACAGTTTCTAGATGCTTCAGGTTTTATTCAGTTTCTTAATATAAAAAAAGCTTGTTCAAAAATGTGACTGACAGTGTTCATCATCGAACTCTCATTTCAACTTACCCATCATGACACACCACTTTGACCAACATCACTCTTTTCACTTTCACAAACCCTCAGAGTACCGCAACCCTTTCAGAAAAGCTCAAGTTCATTAGTGACTAAAAAAAAAACAAACAAACACAATTTTAAAACCTCCAGAAGTTATAGAAAGAACTTCCTCTGCTTAAGATGTAGCTGACACAAAATAAAAGAAAAGAAATAAAAGTAAATGACCGAGCGTGGGCACAGGGGAAGCAGAAATTGAAAATGGCTGGTGTTTCTTGATCCTTTAAACAAACGAGGAATGACATGGTTGTAGCTGTTCTGACGATAAAACACTTGATCTATTGTTGTTGATGCAAAAGAAATTAAGTTAAAATATCCTATCAATATTTGTATCGTTATTTTTAGTAAATAATCACATTCACTATTAATCACCAAGATGATTCCCAGGTAAGGATGTCTAGGGATAAAAGGTTAAGAAGTGAAAAAAAACAAAAAAACAAAAAACAAAACAGAAAAGAATCTATAATGCAAATGCAAGCATGATATAGGAATTTAAGGACATGTCTGTGGCATACAATTCAGTCTTTTATTTTCTTTATATGTACAGATTAGAGGAAAAATTTTATCTACTTCTATACACTGTTCCATGTAGTTTCTGTGTCAGTTGACCACTTAGCTTTTGTCTGTTACCACGACTACAGTAATATGAAAATCAAGACAAAAATTCCACTCAAAACAGAAGAATACAAAATGGCAAAAACTTCAACATACTTAAGTAACCAACAAAAGCAACTTCGAGAAGGAAAAAATTTGCAGGTAGCTAAGTGGTCAACTGACTTTTGCCTTTTTTATTTATTTTTTTAAACTTTTTTTTAGCATTACGTACATATACAAGTGTCGATAATATAAGTATATATTCATATATACATAATGAGTATGTATATATACCAGTAATGCAGTCATTATATATACTTATTTTCTTCACAGATATGTGAAACAGGATAAAAGATGACCGTTACAAATAAAAAGTTAAAATGAAACAAAATGCAGAAAACAAACCTACTGATAGAAACAATTTGTAAATGCACTTTGCACTATTTTTTTGTGTTTTTAAAAACAGTTTTGCTCTTTTTTGTATCGTTTTAGTTTTTTTTATCACTTAATTATTATAGGAGAAGGGACACTCATTTAAAATAGGAATAGTAACCATTGCTACCATTTGAACTTCCTATACTCAGCTCTTGCAGGAGGGAGAGAGGGTCGCTGTTCTTTTTGGCCTGATCGGGGCGAACAGCTCGGGGTTTGGGTGGAGCGCGGAGGGCACTGGCATAGGACATGGTAGGTGGTTTGCTCAGATTCGGGGGCCCTTGGACAGCCTCTGTGGGAGCCTGTGGTGGCGGCGGCGGCGGTGGCGGCTGCTGCTGCTGCTGCTGCTGCTGCTTGTTGTTGGGCATGAGAGGAGGGAACTGTCCAAGGTGCTGAAGGGAGTTGAGAGAGTGAGGGTGGGTCTGCTGTGCTGCCGTGGCCTCTGCCTTCAACTGCTCCTCTGTTTGACGAAGGGCCTTCGTTGCTGCAGGACCCAGGAGGGAGAAAAGGTTATACGACAGTGAAGTTATAAGAAAGACAATTAAAAGGTAGGTAACCATAACATAAAAACTGCTAACCTAATTTGGCTGTAAAGATAACCTAATTTAAAGCACAAGAACAGCATGTTGTGTCAATATTTACCCATAAGATCCCGGTGCTGAGCTAGTGTGCCCGCTCCGTTACATGGAATGTTCTGGAACGGAGCGGGACCTCCACCATTACTTGGCCAGAGATCGTGTGAGGAGTAACCATAAGGGCCATGAGGGTGCTGATGATGCTGCATGTGTGGATGAGGGTGGTCCGGGGGGTCTGATGGACAGGACTGGGTCTGCTGGGAGAGGGCGTTGTGGGTGTTGGCTGAGGGTGCGTCGTCTGGGTAGCTGGAGGAGATGCGGCGTTGGTAGAGGGGCCGTCCTGGACCTCTGGGTTCATACTGCACAAGCAGACAAGAGTACATGAGTATTTAAAATCACTCGTTTTTGACAATACCCTGTTAAAAAAGACAAAAAATCAATAACCCCTACCTCATCTACATTGTGAAGGGCTGTGGCTGCTGATGCTCTAGGGGAAAGCGGGTGAAAAGACTCTTGGTCTAGACCTTGACCTTGTTGGTGGTGATGTTGTTGTTGTTGTTGCTGCTGCTGCTGCTGCTGCTGTTGTTGTTGTTGTTGTTGTTGTTGTTGTTGCTGCTGCTGCTGCTGCTGCTGCTGCTGGTGCTGATGGTGGAGTTGCATCAGGTGGACTTGCTCCTGCCTGCTTGGGTGAGCCATAATGGGCAGTCCATAAGGAAGACTGTGGCCCTGGTTCCCTAGCAAATGGTTCTGCTGCGTTGGGCTCACTGCTGCAGCTCCACTGTGAGACCACTGGGCCTCTTGGAGGAGGTACTTAACCTGGGAGGGAGGGGGGCTGGCAGGGTGGGCTGGTGGCTGGTGTGAGTAGCTACCAGTGTTGTACAGGGGGTTCCCTGGATGTTGCTGCTGCTGCTGCTGCAGGGCAGGGTTGTTGAGAAGGTTGTCATTTAGAAGATCCCGGCTGGTGTCGTGGGAATAAGGTCCCGATGGAAAGGGCCCAGCATGATTGGAGTTTGCGGCTAAAGAGGATGAAGGATCTCCTGAGGCACGGGATTGGGACTGGCGGTACTGGAGGAGACGAGACTGAGGCGGGGGCTGCATCTCAGCTGCTTCTCTGGGTTCGGACTGATCCTGTGGGGGCATCTCTCTCAGGAGGCCCGGGTACCTGGGAAATCAAATTTAGCTTTTAACTTTGAATTTTACATGGAAACAGCAGAAAGTAACACCATACTATTATAAAAAGTGCCTAACATGAATGAAATGAAAAATTAGGGCACAATGGTTTTGGTCTGACCTGGTGTAGGGTGGCCCAGTGGAGGCAGAAGTGACACCCTCATCCTCCATGTTGGCACTAAGACCCCAGCTGGCTGCCCGGAGCAGCTGATGGGGGAAGCGGGCCATGCTGGGCTGAGCGAGATGGGCGAGTTGTTGCGGTAGAGGGAAGGCAACGCTGCTCGGGAGAAAAGGTCCTGCTGCCTCCCCCCACTGACCCACCCTGGCTGCCTGCTGCTGCTGCTGCTGGCTCAGGGCCTCGAGAGCCAAGGAACCCTGGAGGTCTGAAAGGTTAAACCACAATACTAGTTTTAGAGTCGCTGGTGAAGTAATCAACATGACAAAACAATATAGTAAAGTAATTGATTATAAATAACCAGTGACAGCTTAAAAATCACAAGAGGCATCCAACAATTTATTATGATTTGAAGAGTTTCATGTTTGATAAAATATGATTTAGAGAAAAACGAACACATCTTGTGATAAAATATTCAAATTCAAATTGAATTATTTTTTATCAAAATATTGCAACGGAGTATTATGGCCACATTTAGAAAAAAAAATGTAGTCTTCGTAGTAACTTACAAGAGTAAAGTCGTGGTTAATAGCTGTTCTAACCTGTTAGTTGTTTAAATGAGCGCTGTGGAGCATTTAGATGAACTGAACTGAGATAAATTCTTTGGTGTTTCAGCATCACATTGTCATAAGTATCAGGACAAATGCAAGAAATGCATCTTTTCTGCAGAAAGAACCAGGCGGACTTGTAGGGAATCGCTGTTTTTACGGAGGAGGAAATGACTGGATATGGCTGTGCAGAAGCTAAATCCCTCAATGCAGCCGTTTATAGCAATAGCATAGGGCTTTAGTTTATCGTATGACTCTATATGCCATAACGTGTTGGTGCCTCTGCAGGTGTAGGTTGTTGCCGGTGTTGTGTCTGCATCACAGACAGACACGGTGCTCATCGGAGCTTGACTCCCTCTGAATCACAAATGTTGTTCACCAATTAGATTGTTTCTTAAGAAACCACAAGAGCCCTCTAAAAGGCCTGCTAATGCACCCTCTGATAACTCTGCAGTTGACCAGTTCCAGCCATTTCCTCCTCCACAAAAGCAGATTTAAGACTTTAATTTACAACTTCATTCTCCTAAGTAATAATTTTATTATAAATTTATTCTCATAAGTAATGATTTTCCTACGACTTCATTCTCGTAAGTAATGACTTTAATCTCGAAGTCTTAATTTTCTTAATGTGGCCCTAATACTCTGTCATAATTTTTATTTTATTTGTTCAAGTATTTATGAAGACAACAAAGTGGAGGGTAACAAAGATTGATATTCTAAGTATTAAAAGGAAAGTTTTCTGAAAAGCATCTTACCAAAGCTGTCTTACAATGCAGAGAAAGGGTTAAGACAAGAAGAGGGTTAAACAGGAAGAGAGGAGTTGAGGATCATTGAGTCTGACTGTCTCTTTGAGTGACAGTCATTCTCCTGGTATCAAACCACACTGGATTATTTTGCCTACTGACGCAGTCTGATACCCTGTTGAGCCTACAAAGCTTTCTCTGAATACACGCACGTCATGTTTATAAACTATGTGGCACATTTCCACCAGATGCCCAGGGGCACCCTACACAGACATGAGGCACTAAAAGAAGGTGCAACCTTTGCCTGACAACAACCACAGACATGGGTAACACGTGCGGGTCTTGAAAAGTCTCAGTCAAAGCCTGTCAAACATGAAAAGTTTTCACAGACGCCGTGGTGGGAGACATTTGCTTTGATTTAGTCCTGCCTTTTATGTTTATATATGATGCTACTCTATCTACAGCCTTCATAATACATCAAAGGTTTGAGCTGAGAACAAAAAAAAACTTACTTTGGCGAAGATAAAAGTGACAACAGTAATTAAGTAAAGATTAATTTTGTCTGCACCGTCACTCTTTTTTCTTCTCTTTGTAGTTTCAGCAACAATTTGTGAAATCAGTCAACTGATTAATAAGAAAGACATAAGTCACAGTGTCTTAGAATTCCTTATTTGAAATCAAAGATATTTCTACAGTTCCTGCTCATCAAACAGACGACAAAAAAAAATAAAGCTACACTTACCCAGACTATCTCCAAGGTTCCCATCCTGCCCTTCCTCCCCAAAGCTGTTGACCCTGTTATGCTGTGACATCACTGGGTGGTGGGCCCCTGCTTGTCCCATTGGAGTCCTAATGGAGCTACTCATCTCGTCCATCCCTCCAGACTCCGGCCCATCCAGAGTGGGGGACTGGACAGCCCTGTGAGGAGGTAAAGGGCCACTGAAGAAGGAAGCGTTGTGGCTGCCACTGCCATAGCCGGGGCTGAGCTGCTGCTGCTGCTGTTGTTGTTGTTGTTGTTGGCTCTGTGGGGTCATCCCTGGGTGCTGAGGCTGGCCGACCCGGTAAGGAAGCCTTGAGAGGGGGTACTGAGGAGGGAAGGCTCTTCCACTGGCAGGGTGTGGAGGAAAAGCTGGGTTTGGGGGTGCGAGGTGGTAGTTGAGGGATCTTTGGGCAGCTGAGGGATCTTTTCGATGGAGAAGTGCATTTGGGAATCCAACAAGCCCTTCTGAGTCGAGACAACGACCTTGACCAGTGTCCAAATCTCCCTAGAATAGAGAAGAACGAGACAAATTTGAACCAAACATTGAAGTGCATGTTAATGTGGGTCCAAGGTAAGTTTTGATTCATTCAAAAATAAACTTGAATGTCAACTACTTACTTGTTTTTCCTTCATGTCTGCTGTTTTCCTCTCTGGTGTCTGAAGACGACTCTGTTCAGACTTTGGACAACCTTCTATTTTACCTAAAAAGTCATCAAAACCACCTTATCAATATATGTCTAGTCATCTATTTGTTTCTTTATGATGAAATTAAAATACAGAAATTTGAGATTTGGATGAGTTGCTTGACACAGTGTTAAAAACAAAACACACCGTTTCTGATTGGGTCTGCTTGTAGCTCCTTGTCAGGGCTCGGCTGGCCGATCCCAAGAGGAGAGGGGTGGGCCATCCCGCTGTAAGGGATCGGGGAGCCCCGGTTCTGGGCCTGCAGCAGGTTGAAGTTGTAGGCCATGGCTGCTGGATGGTTCATGATGCGAGGATCTACAGCGAAGCGGTTCTGGTAACCAGGCCAGGGCAACTTAAGAAAGGACACAGATTTAAGGGTTATCGCTCAAAACACCACCACAAAGCACAAACCACATACTGCCATCTCCAGCATGGGCTTGAGTTCCCACTTACAGCAGAAGAGCTAACAACTAGGAGTGTCTTGATTTTTATTTTTTTTTTAAATTGATCAAAATTATGTCATGGTCTTAATGATCGAAATCAAAGAGAGGATCTACTATCCCCTCCCTCCACGTCCGGGACAGTGTGCAAAGCGGAAGCAAATGACCACGCCGCACATTGTAGCTGACGTGAGCCTCTTTGAGTTCTCATTTTTGTTGTTATGTTTGTTTTTGTTGTTTTCACTTTACTGAAAACAAGATTGTTAAATAAATTATTTAAATTTGACCAAAATGTAATAAATAAAACCAATGATCGTAGACTAGACTGGTCTAAAAATGGCATAGGCCTCTGTGTTGTAAGAAAACAACAAGAATTGAGAATGAAATCGTGACCCTAAAATCGAAAACTGAATCAAATCGAGGATTTGTAGAATCATGACATCCCTACTAACAACACATTAGAGGTATACATAATTGTTGATTGATTTCACAATAGAAAGAAATGTGATTTTTGATCAAATATGCACATTTTTACTCTCTACACTTTTACTCTCTACATTTGTCTCTTCTCTGAGTGAGCCATGTCTAAATAAGAAAATGTTGAAACACAAAATAAAGAGTATACAGCTTTACAAATGTATCCGACTTTTTTTTTACCAGAAGTAGCAAAACTTACAGGCAGGGGCATGGACATGACCATGTTTCCACCGTATACAGCTGGGACATACAGGATACTGGCACCTGTGTGGGGATCGATCCTCTGAACAGGACTTGGGGACTTGCAAATGCCAGCTGGTGTGCCACCCAAGGGCGGTGTGAACGCCCTGATTGGGTTTCCCATCAGCATAGCGGGGTTTGGTTGGACTGTAATGAGAAATGGTGACACAAAAGAAACTCTAAATGGTGCTTCATATGAGATACAAGGCATGAGCAGCTCTGATTCAAATATCATATGTTGTAGGATTGTAGGGATGTGTGGCTCAATAAAAGCCAATGACAAAATGTAAACAGCTAACAGGCAAACCCGGATTAATCTGTGCATGAGGTGAAGAGGTCCTTACTGTCTTCTTCTTGTAAGCACAGTATTATCTGCTGCTTGCTGTTTTTTTTTAAGGCTGTTTTGCTTTAATGGCTTCAATAGCCTCTGACCTCCATACATCCATCTTAGTGTTATTAAACTGTCCTTTTAACATTCGTTAAGTAACAACCAGGATACATAACCAGAATTTTAGGCAGTAAAAAGATTCAATGGGTATTAGCTGTAAATATTAGCAGTAGATCCACTTACCATATCCTTCGGGTGGGAGGTGCTCTGTGTGGTTTGCATGTTTTCCCTGTTAGACAGAAATATATCTTTTAATGAGCCGTGAAAAACAAGAGGCCAAATAGACATAATCGAGTGAACGATGGCGCATGAATGTGTGGAAAACACAAAAGTACAGTAACTATAGAGAACTGTATTCACTGTGGTTATAACGTGGGCTTGATAATTCCAAAAACACACAACCAGCAAAGACCAAACTGGCCATAGAGAGTACCAGGAAGTTCCCCCTCGGTCCAGCCTGCTAATCGCCCCACTGGAAAAACATACTCCCTTAAATCTAATCTCCTAAAGTATCCAAGAGTCGCCTTAGAGCACATTCCTCACCCATAACCATAGATAAAAGTTTGACAAAATCTCTTTCTCCTAGTGATTTTATGACACAAGTCCATCCACTCTGTGTGTGCAGAGGGACAGACTGAACTGGATCCTGATCAATGTTGACAAACTCATGTTTGAATTTAAGTACCTGAGCACAAGAAGTCATGTCGGGGTGCATCCGCACACTATCTATCTGGTGTATTATTAATTCTTACAGGCAAGTGAACATAAAAATGTACTTTCTTTTAGTGGTTGGACTGAAGCACGCAGTCTGTCAATGTCATTGTGGTTGAGGGTGGAAAGAAGAGAGAGGGTGTGCTTCACTTGAGGGGAAGATATTGATGGGAACCACTATGCTAATACTGATCAGTGCTGTTGATATTCAAGAGAGCTGTCTTTATCTAGACATTTGATATGGTTACAGATGTGTTGCTGCAGAGTTTCATCTTAAGGTGTTTGTTTCGTACTATGAAGTTTTTCACACAGCAGAGGTCTGCTGAGAATGAAAAGCGTTGTTTACTTGATTATTCGAACTCTAGGTGACCATCCACTGGCTTGATGTTGGCATTTGAGATGTTGGGTTGTTTACACAAAGCAGATAAAACAAAAAAAAGAAAAAAAGAGAAACTTGCTCCACTTTGCTCAAATGAATGTCAAATTCAATGTCAAAATACAGCAGCAACAGTATGACTCCTCATGGTACATTACACCTGACAGACAAGTGTTGATGTGTTGTAGATGTTGGAAATAAAAAATAGAAAAGCCATAAAGTTCTTTTTTATGGTGCGACATACACTTACGAAAGTGTTGGACAGATACCAGCTTTATGTAAAAGCTGTACACTTGCATATCCTCTTTACCGAATCAAACTAACATGACAGTGTGTTTAAGCTGAACGTCAAATGACTTTTTAATGTGCAGCATATTTTGTGTCACAGTCTTGCATACTCCACCAAAACACCATCTGTGTCAGAAGGCAGAACTCCACATGATGGAGTCAACTGGAGCATGTAGCATCTGCATTAAATCTTTGCATGCTTTGTGTTTTTTATGATCCAAATGTAACTCTAACTACGCCTGGAACTCAGTGTTATCTGCCATTGGACATGAAAGTAATTGTGCATCTTTAGCAGTTTTATATAATAATTGAGGCTTTTGAAAGTATGCGCTGTGAAAAAAGAAAGTTTTCAATAAGCAGATAGAGATGTAGTGTTGCAGTTAAGTATAATTTTCCAAGATGTAGTATGCCATCTTCAGCATATATACCGTTTTACAGTAAAAGCTGAAGATGGAATACTATATATTACAAGATATTTATCCAGTCTGATACCAGCATATATGTATGTATGCTGTGTGGCTGTAGACTGTATAAAAGAGAGAGATAAAGTGCGGAAGTGCGTGTACATGGACTGCCTGATGCTGCGAAGCTGCGGCTCATTAGGCTCAGTGGGTAATGGCAGCAGGTTGGCAGCTGGGCTGATTTCGTTAACCTTCACCTCAAGGCAGGCGAGGGAAACCAGACAGACACACAACCTCTGTGCGAGCCAAACAATCAGACAACACAGCCTCCTCGAAAAAACCTGTGATATAGTTTTTTTTTTTTGTGTCGAGTTATATCAGTAATTTCATGTAAGGCTTTTATCATTTTTCCACTTAATGTTATAGAAAGAGAGGACAAAACATTTTAAAACATCTTTTACTCCATGTTTTTGTCAGTGTTTCTTATGTCTCACTTACTTCTCCGTTCCACTTTCCTATGAAAGTATATCCCACTCTTAATTTGAGATTTTATGCTACACAAGGAAGAATCCATTAAAACTAGCCCTCCTTGATTTGTATTATTAAGTCTTTAAAAGCCACTTCATATAGTAACTTACTTTAGGAGGTGACTGCTGCTGCTGTGTCTGCTGCTGCTGCGGGCCCTGCTTGTTGGAGGTGGGCTGTCCGTGCTGAGGATGAGGATGGTGGTGGGGATGGAGGGCCTGCGACGAAGAGTGGTGCCCTTGCAGGGGCCTGAGGGCACGGGGGATGAACTCGGGGGCCAGCGGGTTCAGGACGTAGGTCTTTTTGAGCTCCAGAGCCTCCAGCTGAGCCTTGATCTGCTCAAAGGTGATGCCATGTAGGCTCGAGTTCTCGTGGCAGATGGAGACAAAATGCTCCCAGAATTTTCTGCAATGGGGCAACAAGAGAAGACGACAATTAGAGACAAGTTGAACCTCTCTATCATGACTTGTTTGGATGGGGGGTCCATGGTTCAAGTTGTTTTTTGTTTTGCTGCTGGGGTGGGCAACAAATTACCCCCTGGGAGCTGAGTTAGAGAAAATAAAATCTCTGCTGGGAAAGGCATTTATGAAAGGTAGGAGAGGGGAGGGAAATGAGGACAGGGCACGTCTGAGCATGCCAAGAAAGGGGGAATTTATAACTAAGGGGGCAAATGAGCAGCAGATTAACACAAGTGAAACAACACAGGGCGCAACAAGAATAAAAATTATTGAAATAAATCCACACTTGGCATATGACTCAGACATATGAAAGTAACCACATCTACAAAAGACCTGGCATGTCATTCAAAAGGAGTCAGAGAGATGGACAGTGTCACTCTCAGGTTGCAGGTTACGGCTCTGAACGGTCATCAAGAATAACAAAAAATCTCATTCAGTGATTTACTGTCGAGTCAAAGCAGATGTATTTACCTGCAGCGCCCCACAGAACAGAGTGCTATGGGGTCTCCCACAACTGCAACCAGGGACTGTGCTCTGGTGATGGCTGTGTTGAGAAGCTTGTAGTTGGAGAGGAATCCATAGTCCAGGTCCTCTGTCGAGTCCTCCACCAGCTGCTCTTTGCGTTTGATGGCTGTCTGTTTGTGCTTGCAGGTGTGCCGCGTCCGCACTGTGCTCAGGAACAGCACCCGGAACTGTTTACCTGCACGCAAAATGTAGTTTTAGGTGTTGTGGTGCTCTAAAAGGTAGTAACATGGGAAAATTAAACATCCAAGGACCTATGTTAGGTTTGAATTTTGCTCATTTAGAGACACAGAAAAGACAGAGCACTTTTCCCCTAGAATTTTTTTCTGCTGTGTCCGTGAGTTTTACCCTCACTCTCTTGCCGCTCAAGGAGCTATGCTGTTACGTTACGTTACCCGCACTACTCGCGATATAGACCATGTATGAGCTTCATCATTACCCTTCATATTGATGGAGGAGGGTCGGACAGGGTTTGATGCACTTGTTGATGACTCGAAACAAGTCGACAATAACATTGTGTGTTATTGTGCTCACATAGTGCGAGTAGAAATCATTAGTGGTGCATTGATATTAATGATCGTCTGAAATTTCAGTAGCGGTGCACTAAAATTTCACACTGCAGAGGTTAGCTTGGGGCAAACACTTTTAAGGACATCGCTCTCTGACTTAGAAATGAGCAAAAAAAACTTAAACTCTCGATAAACTTTGATTTTCTCAGTGAATTTTGGAGCCAAAATCATTAGCATGCTGTTTTTTTTTTTTGGTCGCTCAGACTTAAGTGTTCCCATAAATAAAAGAAGGAAGCCAAATTGGACGAAAATATATAAATAAATCAGTTCTAGTGGTAATCAGTAATTTAACACTCTCACAGCTCCAGAGGCTGTTGACAGAACACATTAACAAATATCATCCGCACTTGTGTTAAGTTTAAAACTGAAGCACAACCTTCCTTATTTGTGAGTGTGTTCACACATATACGCATGTGTCCTCACATTTCATCTGTAATTAATGAAGGAAGTTAATGACCGGTGGAAAGCAGCTGGATGCAAGAGAAGTGCATGACGCTGAAGCAGAGAAGAGACTGAGGGGGAAAAAAGACTCACTCATCCGGTCCTCTGCACTAAGACTGGGTGACATGAAGGGAAACTGTAAACTGAGTGGAAGACAGCAGGGGACTTGTCTTCATTTAAAGCAACACCATGACTGAATAAAGAGACTTGTATCATCTCATACACAGAAATGTGTGAGACAAGAGTCACGGAGTATTATTAATGAGAGACTGGAGGATTTATAAAAACGGTATTTTAACTGCAGCTGCTTTAATGGAATCATTTACGTCTTCTTTGGTGAATTATTATGATAAACATCTTCAACACAGAAAAAAATGGCTTTAAATTATCTATGATTTGTCAATTATTAATGTGTGATGCAAAGCACAAGTTTCTTGAAATATTCATCCCGTACGTCAATGTAGCTCCTGTTTTCCCTCTTTATTTATGTGGACGTACGAACACTTTCTCTCACCTTGGACATTTAGCACTCTTTCCACGCTGACTTCGTGCATCCTCTTCTTTCGAAGTTCTGCTCGAATGCGGAAAACCTGGTCAGCGTACGGAGACACCACTCCAATGCTGCCCTCGTCCAGCTTGCCCCATGCCACCGGCCACTTTTTCCGCAGCTCCTCCACCCGCTCCACGATTTCAAACACCTGAGAGAGAAAGAAGAAACGTGAGACAAAAAGGAGACAAAAGATTAAAATCAGTGTCCTCTTCACACAGGGGGGACACGATTTGTGAGGGACAGTATACAGAGAGCAGGAAGTTATACAAAATAATAGATAGACAGGGCAAGGTGGTGGTGGGTTCTTGGTCCTTTTGTGATTTACTGTATTAAAGTTTGAGGTTTCTTTGTGTCTGTTTTCTTCGTCTGCGTCTCTTTCACTCTTTCACTCCTAGTGCTTTTGAAGATTAATCGCAGTCTCTCCTCACCTTCTGTCAGCTGTTGAAATCAGAAAACTTGGACTTGATTTAACTTGTGGTTTTTTCCAAGTGTCACTGCTGCTTAAATTAGGTTAAATAACTGTTTTGCTCTGAGGCTTAGACCAGTCAGCATAAAAAATGAGCAAGGCAATAGTTATAGAAAAAAGGAGGGTTTCTGTGTAGCGGGGAAGCCAAGAACTCTGACTTTATTCAAGTAAATGTCCTGAGAAAAAATAAACAAAAACTTGACCAAAGAAATACTCGTTTTTTCCCCCCGAAGGTCTAAACTCCCAACATTAAAAATAAGAAATCATTTCATGAGTTTAATGAATAAAAGAAGAGTTGGTATGTTACAGCATATAAGCAGTTTGGTTTACTGTCTGAGCCTCGTCATCTAACCTGTCAAAGACACCCGCACCAAACAGTTACAGATCTCTTATTGCAGTGTTATTCACACTGATTACGATTATGCTGTGAACGGTTTGATGACATGGATGCTGTATCAAACACACCTTTGGTTAATCTGTTTGGCACTGCTGACAGTTTAGGAGAAAATCTGGATTGGTTCTTGGGCTTGATTTGCCGGACCATGACAGCAAAAGGTCAGCAGTCGGACACAGACGATAACCACATCCAACTGAGGCCTCCGAGTGACCAATCAAAGGCAAGTATTGTTGAGGAGGTTGTCACATGTGGTTATGATGGTCTCCTTATGATATTTATGGGTTTCATCTTCAATCATGATTATTGAGCGCCCCAGTTTATGGTAATTTTGCAATTAAACACTAATGTTTGCTTTTACAGAGACACTCAGTCAGCAGTATTCCACCCTTAAGAAAGATCTAAATTTCATGTCGATGCAACACAGAGGTGCGTCTGCAGACATCTGAAGACATGAAACTAAAGATTTCTCACATTAAGAACAGGATCAGTGATTTTCTACCTCATAATGAGCTCTAAGAAACCTCTGTCATAGTGAGCGCAGCCAGACCTGATCAATTTGTTGGTGCAGTTCAGTGAAACACGGTGTGGCGTCGACACAGAGAGTTTAGTTTTGAAAGAAACCAGATATTTTTTGTTGTCTTAGGGATGTGTGGTGTACTGGGAATCTGGCAAAAATAAAAGTCTGCTGCTGAGGGACTGCAAGAGGTAAAAAAAAGAACAGAAACACAATGCAGTGGAGCCACACTAAAGTAAAATCTGATCCTCTGCCCCTGCTGAGTGGAGATGAATCAGACATGGATCAGGTGGAATTTAGGGGTTGGATGATTGTGTTATTATTTCAACATGAAAACCAAGAAAACAACGAATTACTCTCTTGGTATAAATAAGAAAATCATCTTTGTGTTCGTACCTCAGCGTTGTTATAGTAGGCAGTGCTGTTCTTCTCCTGAACGTCCTCTCCTCTGGCCGTGAAGAAGGTCAGAGGATAAAAGTCTTTATGGGAGGGCTGTTTCCCACTTGCCATTAACTTCCCATCATAGAATAACTCTGATGTGTAGCTGAGGGGAGACAATAACATGAGGAAGAAGAGGAAGTTAGAAATGGGCATGACAAAATCATAAATGAGTGTTTAAGCAGGGATGCTTGTCAGAAATTATTGATCAGTGCTGCCACAGGATACTTGTGAAGTTGATCAAAAATACTTTCCAAAACCACACTTCTCCAGGATGAAAAGAGATGCACTGGTTGTTACCAGTGAGCATGAGAACTTTAAACAACATTTGTCAAACTTCAAAAACATGAAAGCTTCAAAATACTGTGATGGTAGGGATGGGCGATATGGACTGAAAAATTTATCATGGTAAGATATGCCATTCTGGTGATAATGATAGAAGTCCCGATAAAAACTATTATAATTCCAATCTATACTTTTGACTTGTTTTGTCTCGAGAAGACCAGTTGGAATGGTCAAATCAGATACTTAATCACAAGTTTGAGTGGTCGGTTATGGAGAAAACTCATCTAGGGCCCAATCTTAAAGGAAATCCCTCATGTGGAGCCTCATTCAGTAACGAGCTGCTCAGAAATGTCCTCTTCATTACCTTCGGCCATGTTTGTTTGTTATTCTGCTCTGTGCGGGTTATGGTCATGAGTCTGTCGCTCACGCCTACGTCATCAACTTGCATTTATCATAATTATTATGAGATGGCAAATATTTATCATGGAGGATTTATCTGATGATTTATCATGAACGATAATTTATCGCCCATCCCTTAGTGACGGTCAAAGTTTTCTGGTGTGTAGTCAGTGTAAATGCTGCCTATTGAACATTGAAAGCACCTGGAAGAATTTGACTTCAATACTGTTAACTTGTAAAGTATCTCGGTGGTGGAGATTGTTTGCAGCTGTAACTTTCAAAAGTGCAGTCCTTCCCCGGGGTCTGCCAAACATCCACATCCTTTATTAATTCTGTTTTAACTTTAAAAAAAAAAATCCTTTCATCCAAACATCTAAACCCACACAGTCCCTTGTCACAGAGCTTTTGTCAGCCCAAGCACCACCTTGATGGCTCCACTTTCCCCTGTAGACACTTTCCCTTTTCAGCCCTTCACCACAATTTCCTCTTTTCCTCCTGACCTATTCCTCCCACCGCCTCTCCTCCAGCACAACTCATCTTTTCCTCCACCTTTTCTCGCTCTCCACCCACAGCTCTTGACACAAGGCAGTGTTGAGGGCTCACACCTACTTGATGATAGCTTCATGGGAGCGGTAGTTCTCACACAGGAGGATGCGGCACGGGTACTCAGGGGGGTAGTGCTCATACAGCCGGTCCAGCAGTGACACATGCAGGTTACGCTCCCGCGCAAACTCGCTGTACACAAATGGACTCAGCTGCAAATGGAGAGACAGACAGATAGACACACAGAGAAAAGAGAGGAGGGAGGGAGAAAGATAGAGAGCTGTTAGTGTCAGAGTATGACAAAGCCTGCTTACAGTGCTCCCACAACACTTCTCCTTACTATTCAGCTAGGAAATCAAAAGTCGAGTTACACCACATAGTGTTAAAGCTCATGGCAAACCCAAGTCAAGACTGTCTTGAACCAAGTTATTCAACAAGTCCTGCATTGATTTCTCTTTCACCTCAGGTTGAAGAAAACCCTCGACTGTCAATCTTTCCTGCCTCGTTTCTTAAAACTGTGGGGAATTTATTATATCTTGTGTTATTTACCACATAGAAACACAATGTAAATATGAAGTAAGGAAATATCAAATATAAAATTAATAGAATATTAGACAGCTGCTCACTGAGGGGAGAGGTGAAACCTACCTAGAGGTGACAGATTTGACCCCAGTGCAGATGATTCCTCGTTCACTGAGAGGATACAGACGTTACTCCATTAATCAGAAACTGTGAGAGCTACCTGTGTTTGTACAGAGGGCGACCGTTCTGCAAAGATTACTCTCTCAGTGTGACCTGCAATCGCAATGACCTTTGCAATCACAAAACAGAGGAATTTGATTCTCTTCAAGTTTTTACATTAGTGACTTGACTATTTATGTGTATTCTTCTTTTGTTGGATTAAAGGCAGCAGACTCTGTGACTTTTTCCAAAGAACTGTAATTCAAATGAGCCACTTCCCCTCTGTCTACTGCTATGTGTAAAGGCTAAAACATACAGGATCTGTATTAAGCCCGTAACGTCAGCATAGGTTGCCATTCTAATCCATGAAGTTTCACAAACAGGACGCTTATCAGCTCCGTTGCAGCTCCGTATCAGAAGTGTATCGAGCACAGCTCTGCTAAAAATACACGCTGAGTCTATTTTTTTGCTATACGCTTCTAATACGCGTCGATCTACACAGGGAAGATCGTTCTAGACAGGAAGTCAGCACAAAAACCATGCATGTCATCCAGAACATGTGAACTCCCGACTGTGTATCAGTCTGTGTAGATGGGAAATCCAGGTTATGGATTTATTAGTGTATTTATTTATTTAACGAAATATTGTTCCATAGTTTACTTCACTAAACATGAGTAAATCTGCAAAAACTGAAACTGCAAAATCACGTTGCTTTTTCACATATCGTAGAGGCTCAACAGTCACTGAATTATATCCAAATTAGCAGGAAATGGACCACAGAGAGGCAAAACAACCTGTTGTGAGCATGTTGTTTTCTTTATACTGAGCCCAGCTCAGTACGCTGCTGCCACGCTCCAAATACACATCCTGTATGTGATACCCAGGGCTGCTCTACGGAGCGAATACGAAACCCGCTCAATATGGATCCTGTATGTTTTTCGGCTCAAGACAGCAGCCTCTGACATAATGCAACTACATCAACAGTGCAGAAACAAAGTTTTGTCATCACTACAGGTGTGTGCTTTCACACACTGCATCCTGAAACAGTGGAATATTTGTGTCCCAGTGTGTCATGTATTGTCCACAACACAGAGAGTGCCACATAAACACACACTACATACGCACATATATATAATGAGCCACCATCGCCACCATCTTCGTTCCAGCCCTGAAGGAGGATCGACTTTGCCCCACATTGCAGATGAGGCATAACAGTCACATAACTCTTCTGCCCTGAAGCAGCGGTATCTAAGAGCCCAGTGATTTATCTTTGGTCTGAACGGTCATTTAAGTAAGGCGGTGGAAGAGGTCCAGCAACCTTTAATGAGCCCCCACATGGTCAATAAGAAAGGCAACAATCAATAGAGGCCTTAGCCTTCAGTGACCATTCACATCTAACAAAGGAGGTAAATTGTCAGAGTGAGAGCAGACTGGAAAACGTGAGCGGATGGAGAGTACAAAGAACAAGACTCTCAGACTTTGCTGTGAATGGAAGAAAAAAAGTCTCAGAATAGATAAATAAACAGCTGGATACAGTTTTTTCTCATTTTTTCACCCAGAAGCAAAAAAGAAAAATCCAGCGATTAAAGTAACGACTGTGTGATGGACCTCCGCCTGGTCTTCATCCATTTCTTCTCTGTAATCCTGTGCCCTGTCTAAACCAAGACAGTGGAACAGATGGCTTTAATCCCTTGTGTTGGCTCGGAAAACTTGATTGATGGAAGTTCATATTTGTGTTACCCTTGGCTCAAGTGGTCTACAGAAGCAAGTAGGAAATTGTTGAGTTTTATCCCCGGCACAAGGCAAATCGTGCTTGTTATCCTACTCGACAAAACTGCGTCTTAACTGCATTCACACACGGACAAAGTCAGTTTGTTAGTTAAATGTGTGACAATCCCACCACTCCAGTTGTCAGATTTCTTCTGCTCGCACAATTTGACAGTCGAGGTTTTTGTTTATTAAACGGCATCCTAGCAACGCATCCACGTTATTCAACCACTGGCTTAGAGCCTGGCGTGCAAACACTTGGGCATGCTGAATGCTTGGGCCAGTTTCCATGTGACTGAGCTGTATACATGACAGAGAAAACCGATCTCCTATCATGTCATCCAGGTTAGGGGTGTCCTGATATGATATTGATATTGGTACAGTATCAGCAAAAATTAAAATATCTGATCATATCTGCCTGCATCTAAAATCTCTGATATCAACATTCTGATACAGGCAGTATTTTTCATCAAAGTACGAAAAGACATTGCAGCTGAGTGCAAAACCGGTCACGCAAAAGTTTGTGCTAATATCGGATCAATATTGGTATCAGACAAAACTGAAGGCTACAATATCTGTATCGTATCGGCGGTAAAAAAGTTGGGATGGGACACCCCTAATCCAGGTTTGTAAGTCTGATTTCAGTCAGACTAACGTGTTCACATGCATTTTAAATGTCAGGTTTCATTTGGATTATCATAATGAATGTATTTTTTATGTGCTGGCTGGGATAGGACTGTGGTCGCTATACAGAGAGAGCTTAGACTGCTTGGCATCCCAGTCTGTATGGATTGTTAAGCAACCCCGGCATCCATCAGGAAGTCATTCAACAAGGATTCAACTTCATTTATGTCTATGAATACAACTGGAGCTGATATTCTGCTTTTAAGGAGCCATTTCTCAACACAAATATCAACTGGCTTCTTGATTTACTGGTTGGGCTAAGGTCCTTAGGGCTTTGCTTTCAGAGGCTGTGTTGTCAAATGATAGATGACAACACTATCTTGTATATATGTTTTTAAGTCAGGGTTATTAGGGGACACAGATAACAAATAGCTTGCTGATTAAAGACCAACATAGTCACAAAATCTCAAGTCTGTACTCACGTTTAAAGTGAGCTATCACTGATACATGGACAGCATAAATGATATTATGTTTCCACTATCTAATCATCCCATCCCATAGACTGGACTCTTCACTAACTCTGGGATCAAAATGGGTCTGATTTCACCAGATGCCGAAATTTGATTCATGAATAATGAATCAAATGTGAAAGAAATGAGAAGATTTGATCTGCAAAGTGGACATAGCTTAAAATAGCAGCGTAGTTAATGGCCCAAGAAACCTACAGAGTGTGAGCTATGTTTGCAAGGTGTTGGCTTCCTCCTCTTTCACTTCTTTCTCTGTGAGAAATGGTACACATATATGACATTGAATAAAATGTTTAATGTGACTGGAAGTAACATTTTCATTATAGTTTATAAAACATTTCAGTCTGATTTTCAGGCAGAAAATGCCAAATTATTAAAATATTGAATAAAAAGTAGAGCCAAAAGAAATGAAGTATTCAAGAATATAGAGCAGGGGGGGAAACTGATACAGGAGACTGACACTCACTTTTCCTATTAACTGTGCAGCACAAAGACTGTGCTCTTATTCTTTTAATAAAGGGGGTTCTTGTTGCCTAACTAAGCCCACCCAAACTTCCGCCTTTGAGTCTGAATGAAACGGACTGGAGCTCGAGCCACACTGCATATGATAAAAGGCTGATTTCCAGCTGATGGTTTCAAAAGATAAAACCCAAGAGGGAGGCTTCAGTCAGTTTGACGCTACCCCAAATTGGACCAAAGTCAGAGGAATAATGACAATAATCTGTACGCCCAGCTAAGTGGGTGTATGAAGAGGTGTCTGCTGCCAGGGTGACCGAGTGGCGTTAAGAGTGGGGGGCTTTAAGACAGGAAACAGTGCCACAAGGACATTATGGCCATATGAGTCTCACAGACCCTGGAGTCTTTTAAAGCATCCTTAAAATCCCACCTTTTCTCCCTTACATTTAATAAATGAGCACACACAAATCATAGGCACTTCAGCTTTTATTCTTTTGCTGTCTGTATTTTATTCCACTGTCTTTAACTTTATTGTTTTATTGTTACCTATTTACTTCTTTTACTTAGCCCATGTACAACACTTTGTTTGACAGCTGTCTACTTAAAGGTGCTTTATAAATAAAATTTGACTTGACTTGTGAATTTCACCTTTAAAGAACCATTAACCATCCAACTTGTTTTAATATGTCCACATTTATAGAGTACCTATTATCCTGGTTTTCGTGCACAAGCTCCTCATGTACGTCTTGTTAACTCTTTGTTTTATAAACCTGACACTGGTCATTATATGTTTTGTCTATTTTTATATGTTTTTTCTTTTTTTCTGTCGGTAAGAGTTTTCAGGGCTCACCTGCATATGGTCTCCAGCCAGCACAATGCGGGTGGTCTTGCTTGCTAGAGCAAAAGGCATGATGGTTTCGCACTCCATGGCCTGGGCAGCTTCATCCAACAGGATATGAGAGAACAACCCTGCAAAAACACAATGGAAAAACATCAGTCAACATAACGTTGAACTGTCTACATCAACTGAAGATTCAATATATACAACTAGACTAAAATGCACCCTGACCCACAGAATGGGAATCACCATTTGTTTTCCATTTTCCAACCATGATAGCAGTTTTTATGATTTACCATTGTAATTTTATCTGTTTAAGACGGCAAGGCATTAAATCTGTGCTTGTGGTGTCTTCTAAAACACGAGAGTGCATCAAGAGTGAAAACAAGGCAGTAACATTTAGAAACAAAAACTACAGAGACCAAGAACATTGGCCAAAAGTTTTGTCTGGTCAAGGTTCCTACACAGTTGGAATTTTCCATACTTTTCCATACCCTACTTTTTAGAGTTATTTTTTGAAATACCTACTTTTCTAATTTTAGAAAACCGGATTTTTGAACTGTGGTCATATTCTGGAAACATGAATATTTCCCTATACTTTATTTCTTATTTACCACACTTTTTAAGACCTGGAAATTGATCAAACTACTTCCATACTTTTCCATAATTGCGTAGGAACCCTGTCTGGTATAACTGCTGTTCTGCTTCAGGAATAATATGTCAACAAGCTGCTAAGATATGACTTATGCAGATCACAGTGTCTGTTGGATGTAGAAATTCTTGTGGATGCATGTAGAAAACATTTCTATGGTGTGTATGGTTGTCAAAATAAATCAAAGCCGTAACAAAGCCCAATGATTCTCACTGAACAGGATGATTCATACAAGTAACCAGACCTTACAGTGGCACATCTATGAACAATAACTTAGTTCACTGGGAGCATTAAAACCCTGTAACTGTCACTAATGCGTCACCCTCCAAGTCGCTTTATTGTCCTAACCAGCCCTGCGATCCAAAGGCAGGGTTTTGTGGATGATTTTGAAAGGGATTGAACGGTAGCCTTACCCTGATTTAAAAAGCTCAAACGCTGCTCGGCAGAGTGAGGGGAGGGGATGAAACGGCATGGCAAATGAGTGCTGGAGCAGGTAGTGGTGGAGAGCGAGGCTGCATAACTACCAGCAAATAGCCTCTGATGCCTTTTCCACAGGAAAGTGTGCGCGGTGATGAAATTTGACAGTCAGGAAAAATAACAAAATAAGAATAAGGACTGTCAAAAAGTAAACAAACCGCAGAAATGTGGGCTGGCAAAAGAAAAAGAGGTGGAGCAGTCTGATTTGAGGCGACGCTCATTCTTCAGTATCTGCCTTTGAACGAACACTTGCAAAACACATAGATTTTTTTTTTCCCTCTCAAGCCTCAAACCAATATTTTCTCTAAACTGTGGGTGCGCCTCACTCAAGGATTTGCTAGCAGTGCTCACCCGCTGCTGTGCTGATAACAAGGCGTACAAATTTTGTAAACATGGAGCATATTTCTGCGTACATGACAGCAGAAACTGTATAATTGTGTTTATGTGTTCTAGCTTCTCAAGTCAGAAAAGTCTTTTTAGAGTTATAAAGCAATTTTACAGAAACAAAAAAAAAGATGTACAGGTGCAAAATGGATTGTAACTTTGTGTCTTCTTAAAAGTGCAATGTGTAGATATGGGAATATTTGTGATATCTAGTAGAGAGATAGATGGTAAAAGATTCCCTTGCTGAAGTTTGTTATTTAAAGCAGTAAAAATGAGCTCTTACATCAACAGTTTGTAGAGAGAGATTGCAAGCGGTAAGAGGTTATATTTATTCTCAAGGCGAGTGTAATGCGCTTAAAATGACCATGAGTAACCATATAGGTTAAATCATTCACTTCAGTAATCTCAGAGTCGTGTATATTTGATGAATGATCATCAGAGCTGTGCACTGATTCACTGTGTTTCAGGGCAAACGAAATGTTGTTCCAAACATCATTTAAAGCCTGTTTTGTGCTTTCCTTCCTATGATAAACAAACTTAAACAAGGATGCAGCCGAAGGATCTTTGAGCCATGTTGATGCGCAAACCTCTATATCACATAGTTAATTATTGAGGCCAGGCACTTTGGTTGACCCGTCCTATAAATGGAAGTCAACAGGAGCCCCGCTGCATCCTGCCTTCTTGCTCGTTTACTTTGACCCACATGAATATGTAACAGCCACAAACGCTCACAAATGATGTACATGGGTCATTACAAAAGAGAATGCTTCCCCAGGCAGGGAAGTGGAGATAAGGAGAGAGGCGGGAGGTAGAGACAGGCGGTCTTTATGAGGACCAAGTAGATAAAAAGGCAACATCAAGTAACATGGGGCCTTAATGTTTCACCTGGGACATAGAGTAGCTAGCTGCCTTAGGGGAACCTAGCCTGAAAAGCAGAGGGCCAAATTAGATTCCTACAGTCACGATCAGTCCCTGTGCTAAAAAATGGTGTTTGAATTATGAAACAACAATAATAAAAACTGACAGACAGTGGAGAGATAATCAGCAGTGGGGAGAACACAAGGGCGCAAAGCTTCAGAAGTGATTTAGGGGACAGCTGTCTCACACATTTTTGTAGCCTCTTCACAAGGTTAAAGGAATTCTAACAATCTGTGATGTGTATGTGAAGAGGTCTGGGCTGATGGGCAGCGAAAGTTCAGTGTCTTCTTGTTCAGTCAACTAAAGACACCAGACATTCGTCAGTGCTTTTGCTCTGGCTAACAGGGACTGCTACATGCTACGATGCTGTAATGCTCTACTACGTGTGCATTTGCAATACTGGAGGTTAGGGCTGGATGATAAACTGAAAATTTGCTTATACCAAGTTTACAACAATAACCAATGCCATTTTGCCCATATTGGTATATTCTGTGTCAAAAAAAGGAAAAAATTAAAGTTGGTTTCGGATGTGTGTGGGTAGGCTATGGTCTCATGTCCCTTTAAGACTCTGTCCTACATCAGACTCCACCCCATCCAGTCCGTAACAGTCCTATCTCTCTGTATTTCTCCCCAGCCCAGCAGCGGCGAGGTGGCTGTCTAACACGGGTCTAGGTCCTGCCCAAAATTTCTGCCTGTTAAAAGGAAGTGTTTCCTTGCCACTGTCATTCATGTTAGACGAGATGGGTCAAATCTGTCCCATCTTAAGGTTGGGTCTTGGTAATTCATCAAACAATGAGCGTGGTCTAGACCTGCTCTTTTTTGGAGAGCATCTTGAGACAACGACTGTTGTGATTTGGCGCTATATAAAGAAAATCTGAAAAAGGGATTTCAAAAATCTTAATAAGATGTAGTAACATTTTTACACAGTCCTTAGATGTACTTCCTGCATGTCAGACCATGTAAAATGTTACTCTTAAAGACTCAGACCTGTAACATCCTCCAGACAGATCAATATTTACCTGAGTCTATAAAGGCGCGCTCCTCCAGGACCAACAGGCCCATTACAAGAAGGCAGCTAATCCTACAATAGCTCAAAAATCTGAACTCCACGCCATTAAAGACAAACATTAAAAAGAAATGCCATTTTGAATTCTGACTGCTGGTCTTCATAAGTGGATTTAGAGTCTATTTTCTGTGCTATTATCAGTCATAAAATAGAGTCGGGGTGTTTAAGACCCTAGCTTGACAAACAACTAAAGTAAAAGTCCTTGAGTGGGCAGCTGACGACATAACGGGCCAAATGTGAGGCTGTGTTTATTACGCTCCTTTCCAAACAAATGTGTAATGCGATAGCTACAACTAATGGATGGGGGTTATATAAGACGAGGGCATGCATAGCTGGAGATATCTAAGGACACTGGGGAAGATACCTCAAATGTGAGCCAGACACCAGCCTGACCACAGATATGAGCAGAACTGAAAATCAAAAGCCTTGTCCCTGTTGAGAGAATTCAAACTGGAAACTTATTCCAAACCACATGTCGTTTCCTCTTGCAAACTCCAGATCTAGGTCATCCAGAAGGAAGAAAATCAACAGACATATAAAAGCTTAACCAATTTTTTTAGGGGGTGGGGAGATTTTTTATTGCTACTTAGACGACTCTCTGCTCCCAACTGCCTCATTTGCTGGTGATTTTCATCACAGTGGAACACCGGGAGAGCTGAAAAGATGAAACGCGGGGAGCAGGGCTAATGATGTAGAGTACATTAGAAACAGGCAGATGGTGTTCCCAGGCAACATACAAAGCCCCCTCTGCTGACACATTAGAGCCACTTATTAGCCCACAATGACAGAGCGGTTTGTTTCTATGTCTTTTACACAATTTAAATGAGATCTGTTCCTCTCTACGCGGAGAGCACCTGCCAACAACGAATATTGGAGCCTCTGGGGACAACCAAGGAGCTGGAGACCGAATGCGTTGACCTGCACAGAGTTATGATCGTAAAAAGTATATGAATAAATTTACAGATTAATACCCACAGGGTGAAATATCATAGACTTGTAATAAATACTCACCTATTCACATTCCTAAGATAGCTATTGCTTTTTATAACACTGTGACTCAAGTGCATGGAAATATTTATGGATGCCACAGTGTCTGCCTGTACCGAAAAATGGCTATAATTCACTGCAGTGGAATAGGGGGCAAGTTTGTTTTTGTGGAGAGAGAGTGAGAGTGAAAGAGAGACAGAGTGACAGTGAGAGAGAGTGGATTTTTGAAAAGCTTGTTCCACCTGTGTTTCCTCATAATGTCTTTTCTACAATCCAAATCGTTTCGCTGAATGTCCTGATTTCTCCCTGAAATTGAGAAAACTTTGACTGCTGCTATTGCAGAAATTCGCTGAACAATCTGCTGAACATTGACCAAACTATCAGTACCTGAAAAAACCCCATGAACCCAGTGTATCATCGGGTTTCAAACAGAACCATCAAAGCGTTTTTCCCACAGCACTTTACAGGCAGCCTTCAAACTTGAAAAGTCTGACTATCTTTTGGTATGACTCACCAGGGTCCAAGTCCAGCTGGCAGAGGTATTGGGAGGTGCTGAGGGTGACCACAACCACACGGTGCCTGAGGATGTCTTCCCTTGAGGGCATCTGGAAAGTGATCTGTGTGCTGGAGATGAGACAGTACTGCTGGACCACTGGGTGAACTGTCTTAACCCAGCGGTTCCTGAAGTATACCCTGGAGAAAGAAAGATGGAAAAAGGAATATGAGGAGAGAGAGATACAACACACAGAGGAGAACAGTTGCTACTTTAAGAGTCCTCTCTGTGCTCCGGTGTATAAATCTGCATTTAGATGCAGTAAACAGTGTATTTCCAAGAGCAAAAGGTCTTGTAGCTGCAATGAACCATCAAATAAATAAAATGAAAAAAAAAAAAACCCCCACAAAGATCCTGATGAGTGCAGATAAGAGGCAACACTTATTTTACAAGAACAACTCCTTAGATTAGGCGGTGAAACAATTCAACTTCAACTTCAGTCTGAGTACGCTCTGGAAATCAACATCAATATTTCATAACCAGCTCAAAGACAGATGCTGGAATAAGTATTATTCATGCTCCAACTTCATTTCACACAATGAATGCAACAAAAAGAAATTAAGAACTCAGTGTATGCAAGAAAAACAAAAGATGACAAAGGGCTGACAAAGTTTACAACTATATAAAATTTTTTCATGTTGATTCTTTGTTTGTAAGAGAATAATACACACAGATCTTTATGTCATTTTGGAGCCCTCTCCTCCTGAAACTCACAGTTTGTTTTTATTATGACCGAGTCCACTCATCCACTCATTTCCAAGGGCAATTGGGCAACTCGGAGAAGTATAGATACATCGATTATGGATGAATTCACACTGGTATCCACTCTAATCAGACAGCCCGCTCATGTGAACTGATACATTTGATTATCCAAACTGACCTCAGGACTGTGTGCGAATGTAGACACACGAAAAAACACAGACTTGTCGAGGCGGCCACGGCTCTTGAGTCTTTAAATCACTTTCACTTGCCCAAGAGGTTCATCTGTGGTAACTGAAAGTGACTAAAGGTCACAAATGCTGTGTAAGAAGTTTGTGAGTATCTTTGACTCTGTGTGTGAGTTTGATGCCTGTGGGCTCAGTCTGAGATGCAGCACAGTCTTTGTGGACACATCTTTACAAGCAGCACACATCTGCCTGTCACTCTTGAAGGGTTAAAGCAGCCCCAAGCCACCCAACAATCTGTGTATAATATGGATGTATTATTCTGGCTGCAGGCACTGCAGTATCACTAATCTACTTGATGTATAGATGAGTGAGTGTCACACAGATGCTCATCAGGACAGAGTCCTGGCTGATAGAGGAACCACAGCAGAAAAGATTGAATTTAACTGGACTTCAGTTCATGGATGAAATCAGCCATTTAATAACAGGATATACTTTTCTCTGTGACAGGTGGTCAAACGCTTAAATGACACATCTTTTATAGTTATATTAAACTCCTTTCTTACACACTGAAAAGAAAAAAACAGACCGGGCAGTATCGAGGAAACAAACCTAAGCAGATTTAGAAAATAAAACTCCATCTTTTTTTTTTTTTTTTTTTTTTTTACTGCTTGTTCATACCTTGTCTGCCTTGTCTGTGTCAGTGCCACTGAGGCGTAACTGCGGGGTAGTCAGGTAGTAGCAGTTACATAGCAGGGTTGAAGTAGCAGCAGCACTTTTAACAGTGATGCTACATTACAGCCAGAAGAATAAAACACCTCAGTGGGCAGGGATGAGAGGCTTGCACCACAAGCTTTCATTGTAGGAGCCTAAATTCAAGTCATTTTGTTTGACAAGTGTGTTCACTAAGTTAACTTCACCTCCCTGAGTTATAAATTCGTAAACTGAAAGTTTTACGCAAGTGAGCCACATCCACATATTTCCTTCAGGAGAAAAGATAGGGGAGAGTGGAACCACAGTTTTTGGACCTGTATCAGTGGACTGATTCTTGTTTTAATGTTGTGTTAAATGGAAACATTAGGGAATGTTTTTTTTTGTTTTTTTTGAAGTAAACTTTTTAACTTTTCAAGACAGTCTGCAGCCAAGACACAGAGAAGATGACCCAATTGAAGACAACAGAAACAAAGCTAAAACACACACAAAGGCGGTTTGAGCTTTTTCAGTGTTACAGGACGGAGTAAGTGAGTGAAACGAGAAAACCAATGGACTTTAATTGTTACAGGAAAGACGACCTTATAAGGTGTTTCATCGGTTCAGAAAGTTTGTACATTACTATGACAGAAAGGACTCAGTTTAATGTAATTCATAAAGCAGAACAGGAGGATACCATTTAGACATGAACATGAATGAAAATGTCTAGTTTAATGTTTATTTGACACAATAATCAGCTGTTAAAATGTTGCTGCCTACTGGTGAATCTGAGGAGGCCGCGTCTCAGCCTGTCAAGATTCTAACCACCAGTAAACTACACATGATCTCTTAGGGGGCGTCTACACCAAGCGTGAGTAAAATCATTCATGCGAATGAATTACATGTAAAGTTAATACAAAGACACAATTAGACGCTCATACTGATAGAGGTGCGATGCAAATCTAAAGAATTTAGCAAGGTATTCGCAATTAGCATAAACGGCTATAGGCGGCTTTTAAGCACTCTGTTGACGTGTGAATCACTAGAAGGGACTTAAATGATTGTTGCGAATAGAGCTAATCATTCATGCGAATGAAGCGAGTAAATACTATTCATTCACGCGTCTAACTTAGCGCGAATTAAGCAAGTCAATGATTTTACTCGCGCTTGGTGTGAACGCCCCATTAGGTTGTTCATGGCAAATGCACATCCACAAATCATCATGTTTCCCTCCAAGTGTGCATTCCTACCTGAGAGGTCTCGCATGCGGATTGCCTGCTTCTACATAAGGATGAAGGTAGTCCTTAATATAAAGGTCAGCTGCACTGTTGGAGTGGGTGCAGATGAGGACCCTGTGGAGATAAAAGGCACATAGAGTCAGGCGTAAGGTATACCACACAGCTGCTGCAATCCCTGCAGTAGAGATCTTAAAAAAATGGCAAAAAAAGAGACATCTCTCTGCCTCATTAGACACTGCAAACTGGAATGTTGTGAGTGGAAGAAGAACTCCTGGGTAAACCTGACTCTGTAGGTACACAAGGGACCCCTTTGGCATTGTTTTGACAGTGTGATGTAGAAGAAGCAGAAGTCCAGCAGGGTCATCCGCCCTTGTCTGGGCTTTTAAAATATCCATAATTTATCCTAAAGATAGTATGTTAAATGCATTCTGAGTGATGAATATTACATTACTATACATTTTTCAAAGGATGCATTTTACATACACATAAAACATGCCTAGCGTTATTAAAAAAGAAAATGTGAGCATCTGCGCAGGGGACAGTGTCCAAAGTTTTGCATTCATTTTTCATAAAGACCGGAGAACTATTTATGCGCTTGCTACATTGCTTTGCTTCTTACACAAGAAATTGCAGAATTTCTGGTGGGCATCTACACACAGCGAGGGAGCAAAATAATGATGCAAAATGCTGAAGAAGATCCTGCCATGTTTTATCATTTTTACACTCTTTGTAGCCCACTGATGTGACAAAACCGGACTGATCAGATAATGGCCTGCAGCCAAAGAAATGTGCCAATCAAACTAATCATGACTGTCTACCACGAATGAAACACATTCGTCTAAAAAAATAAAAATAAATAAGCAGTGTTTGCCCTTTGGAGAAGGCACATGAATGCACACACACACACCAGACAAACACACAATCACTGCAGTTGACCATTTGCAGCTCAATGTTGTCCTAAGCTTTAAATGTCAAACCCAAGGCTGTCACTGCCCTGGAGCTCCAATCGAGACCAAAGCACATCCCCTGACACCTCAATCACACCCTTGCATTGACCTCACTCCATCTGAAGCTTTTATGACTGGAGCAAAATCTATGCACCCACACCTGCTCACACCTATATACTCCGTTTCAAACACTCCGTCACTAACACCCAATTACATCTCTTTGTGAGGAATCCCGGACTTTCCATTAGAGGGGATTGTGGGACAAAGTTTTTGAGAAGAACCATAGCTGATGAAAGGGTTTTTTTCGTTTTGTATCAACAAGAAAGTTAAAAAAACAAAACACAAATGTCACATTTGAGGCTGTCATCCAGGTAATGTGTAATAATCTGGAATCAATGAACTATTTCTTCACCTAGTCGCTCACAGAATGGTGAACCTTTTCTCACCTTCACTTAGGAGGGACTCCATCTCTGTGGACCGTCCTTTTCATGCCCAGACATGTAACTAGCCTGCTGCAAATCCTCCTTATCAGCTGAGAGGTTTTTCTCTCGACATTTAACACTGCAAAGTCTTTTTCAGTGTTTAGTTGTCGCTGTCCTAACTCTTTGGAAACGTGTTGCTAGCATCAACTTGAAAATGAGCATAAATCTTTAAAAGAAAACTCTCTTGCATTAAACATAAATATTTAGTTTTTTTAATTGACATTTTATTCAGCATCACAACTCTTACAGAATTTTGGCAGTAAAAAGTGTGCACAAGAGATGGAATAAAAACCCTTTACAGACCTACTGTTGTCCTGGCGAAGGATGTGCTTCACGGCCTGTGCCAGGGTGAAGGTCTTGCCAGTGCCGTAGGGCCCTATGATGAGGATGGGGGGCAGGGGAATAGAGATGGGCGTGGTGATGGCTAGGATGGCCTCCTTCTGCTTGGCATTCAGACGAGGATCCAGCTGTTCATCCCATTGCCTGAGGATGAGAGTGGTGTTGGGAAAATAACAGCATTTATGAATGTTTCAACAAAAGCATCTTTTGATCAACCTGTAGGGAGTTTTACAAAATCAGAGAAACAATGAATCAAGTAATCGCTTTGCACACTGTGGACACAAAATGCTGTGTTTATTAAATTGACTTTGGGAGATAAAGAAATGATGAAAAACCCTTTCACAGTGTAACAGAAAATGGATGCACATACAGATGAAACCCAACAAATTCAATGACATTAGGAATAGGTGTGGTTGGTTGGTTGGTTGGTTGGTTAGTTAGTTGGTTTGTTGGTTGGTTGGTTGGCTGGAGGTGTGAATTAATCTGGAGGTAGGATCAGCGGGAAAGACAAAAAAGGACAAACATGAGGGGAAAAAGTCGTCTGGAAAAAGTTACATTAAAACCAAAGAAAGAAAAAAAAGTCAGAAATGTTTACATTTGTGTAGACATGACTGTTTTCTGTACAGGGTTGGTGGTTTCACCGACTTCATGTCTGACACCTCCAGTATCTAACGCCTTCATGCTAGAGTACCTCTAGCTGAGTTTTACATTTATTTGCAAACAAGATGCCAACTCCATTTTTTTCTGCCGAAGCAAAGACACAGAAAGGGGGCTTTATTTTCATATTAAAATAGGACATGCATATAGGAACCTTTCCACCATAAACAAAGGAGTGGGTGTGTTTCTTTTAAGAAGTAACAGTGAGTGGGAAGGATGGCAGCGCACATGCAATTTCAAATGTGTGCCCATGAAAGTGTTGGTTATGGTGCATGTTGTGTTTGTATGCTCTGTCTCCTGGCATCACTGTCCTCATTACCAGGACAGCTTCCTCTTCATCTGTACATCCACCAACACTGACTGATTGAGCTCAAACTGGGACGGGACTGGGAGGCTAGGAGAAATCTTAGTGTTACAGAGTATGGGTGTGTGCTTGTGTGTCTGTTTTAACAGGAGTTGTATATGAATACAAAGTGTATGTTAACCCACTTTTGTCAAAAATACAACCCAGAAAATAAAGAAATCAACTTTTTTTCACTAAAGATAAAGAAACAAGGTTATGGTATTCATGGTTTATGGTATGTGCATCACCCTTTCTTTATTAGGTAATTAGGTAATTAAGTCTTTTCTCCTTTTTTATTTTAAGGTTAGTTAGAGTCCCTGCTTTATAAGCTTTAATGCTTAATACACTGAGACTAGAGCCAAAAGGTGTTTGATAATAAAAACATACATTTTTATGGCATCAGTAGCAAAGTGCATAGGACTACACTCTCAAACAACAGACTCATCTAAAGGCACTCTTTGGCCCCACATTTAAAGAAAGTCCCTCTCTCATCCAAATTCCAATTAAAACAAAGGTCGGCATCAATCATAATCGTGAGCTTAGATAAAGCAGCAGCTCAGAGGATTATATTTGGCTCGAGTCAATAAAGATTAGTGCCTCGCTCCCCTCACCTGTCCAACTTCTGTGAGATAAAACAAAGCCGCAAGAAGCTGCCAGCGTTTTAGAACCGCTGCCAAGTCAGCAAGGTGGTGGATATACGGTCAACCCTCAAATTGATTTGGTGTCGTCGCACTGTCAGGGTATTTGCCGCGCTGATCTGATGTGCAGGCATTAAAGGACTTTCTGTCTTACAACTTGGTTAATACCTGGTAGTCTTCCTCTTTGCATAAATCAGAGTGTGAGCATTACTGTAACATCTTCCTTTTACCATTTGATGTATCAATAAATTTTACAAACCTCCTGGCAAGCATTAGTCAACTGGGACATGAAAATATGTTGGCTCGTCATTCAAGAACATGTCGACAATCAACATTTTCTTTGCTTGAACAACTTAACCAAAGAGGGGTTAACCTCTGTAAACAGGGTTCCTACACATTTGCAATTTTCATACTTTTCCATACCCTACGTTTTGGAATTATTTTTGGAAATACCTACTTTTCTATTTTTGAAGACAGTGCTAATAGTCTGGAAACATAAATCATTTTCCATACTTTTTAAGACCTTGAAATTGATCAAATTTATACCATACTTTTCCATACTTGTGTAGGAACCCTGTGTAAATCAGTGGATTTATGTATAACATATGTGTAACATGTGCATTGGTGTACACGGTGGAACACACACCTGTTGGGGCTCCACGGGATGGTAGGGACAAGGCTCACGTCGGGGAAAAGGATGGTGTTGTCTTTAATACGGTCCAGTGCGTAGTGCATCTCACAGAGTGGCAGTCTGTTTAGCTGGAACTGGAGTTCCACCTGATAAAAAGACATCACAGAGACTCAATGAGCAAACACAGGGGCAACAGTAACATGTCATCAGCCATACAATGTTAATAAACCCACTAAGTGTGGCATTATTCTGGATCTAAGGGGACCTTTTCTATGTCAGTTTGAGCTCAAGATTTTCTTACATTATCTATTGAGAGCACAGGTTTATAAAAGCTTTTCAGATGGGATATATGGAAAACATCCATTCACCAACATAGATACGTGACTAAATTAACAGTTTTGAAAACAATCGCAAACACAAATGCATTCCACATTAAAAACTTGTGCTTTAGTTTGTTTTCTGAGGGTGTTACTGTGCTCGGCTTGTTACTTTATAAGTGTTGATTAGGATGACACAAACTGGTTCTGTGGAGCAGCTGCTGTTGCTATTGGCTGATTTGGACCATGTCTCTTCTTGTTTGGGTCAGTCTTTGTCAGCTGAGGAAGTATTTTATCCTAAAAGCTCCCATATATTTCTGTTTTTTTAGCAACAGGTACGCTACTTGTGTGTTTCAGTTTAAGATGTGCACTGAGTCACATGGTTTGGCTCCTACCGCCACCCATTGCCTTTATTGCGACTTGTATTTCAAAACTGTCATGGGTGTATTTGCTCCTGTATTCGTTCTCTAACACATGCATCAGTGCGCACAGTGGCAAAGGTGGAAATGTATTGCTTTATCGACTTGTTGAGCTCAGCCCTAGTTCAGTTTTTAGCTATGAGGAACTTGTCACCTAACAGACAGAGACAGACTGCAAACAGGTGTACAGTAAAATATGCAGTGACTTCAGGATAAAAGTGTGAAAATGTGACAGAAACAGAAGAACACAAATTAGGTGTAAAAAGACTGTGAGCTCAGTGTGTGTGTGTGTGTGTGTGTGTGTGTGTGTGTGTGTGTGTGTGTGTGTGTGTGTGTGTGTGTGTGTGTGTGGAGGGGGGGAGGGGCATGAATACAAGGGAGGGAGAGTCTCAGATATGCAGGAACAAAAAGAGCATGAAACTTTCGGGCTGTGTGGAATATTGCTGGGCCCGCCGAGGAGATAGGGAAATAAATTGAAGCGGTAAGCATGCAGGAGCAGTTTACGCTGAAGAATAAGAAGATTATGCCCCTGCAGTGATTGGACGAGGGTTGTTATGATAAGTGTTAACACAGAAGCTTTGCTTCATCTGCACACCTTCAGGCTCCAAAAGGAGAAAAACCATCAAGCTGAGCTGCTTAAGGTAGAGTCTCTGAGTAAAAAGCCAGTTTGCTCAGAATCAGGGAACCTGAGAATTAACCTTGGGGTCACTGCTCAAAGAGACGGACAGGCACACATTCTCCCAGAAAGCTGGTCATCTTCTGTCCTCCTTAACCTTTCGTTCAAATGCTAAGCGAAATGGGAACCCGTGACCTTTGCGTTCCTTCAAGTCAAAATGTAGAGATGGATTAAATGTGATAGGACCTAAAATATCTCCGAAAACAGAAGAATGAACGGCACAAAGAAATCATCTGTATGCCTTTTCCATGTCTGTTAATATATCAGTCTAATTCAGTTTTAGACACATGATCCCTCCACGCCTGTAACTATGGCTTGTCCTGGACAAACCTCTTGCACTCAGCTCTCCTTGCTCTGTTTGGGGGGTCAGTGTAGGAGAAGAAATCTCCACCCCGGTGACAGATGTGTTGAACACCAGCTGTGTAGCCTCTGGCTGCAGCATTGGGGACCTGACCCAAACAGCCCTGTTGATGTTGGTCCACCACCTTGTTCCTGTACTGATAACTGCATCCTCAACAAGACAGCAGACGGGTTTGTTCCTGTTCTAGTTTCAAAAGGAAGCAGCCACAATGTTTCACCCGATTCACAACAACAGAATACAAACTGACTAAATAGATGGAGTACTTCAAACTGCAGTGACTGAATGTCATCGTGTGAAGCCTGCATGCTCACATAGTACTGCTCAATTTTGCATTTTTTTAGATAGAGCTTTTTGACTCAGCCAGTGTGCATGTTTCGTTTGTTTTTATGTCTCCAACATACCTCATCATATCTCTTTAAATGAAATAACATGAATACAACAAAGCTCAAATGTACATTAGAGCAACACTCGATACCTTTTTTAGTGTTTATATTGTAATCTATCTTTGAGCTGCTCTTGTTCAGTGATGTAGCTGAAACTACCACATTTTGTCTGGATGAGGCCAGACAAGTTTTAACATGACTAATAAAGACTAATCTCAAAAAAACAAACAAAAAAAAAAACAGAGACATGAACTTAAGAAACTCCCTGGAAGATTTTCAGCTCAAAACACTGAGCTTTGTTCTTGATTTGAGCTACAGCAGCCTTTTCCAACCAAGTGTTAAAACTAGACAGAACACTGGCTGCATGATAAACATCTACACCCCCGCCTGCTAACCCCACGCCACTCAATGGAAGATTTGCTGCTGTGTTCTCACATGAGCTCATTCAGACTATTACTCTAAAATGTTCCTAAGCGGCTAGTAAGAAATGTCACGGGTGAAAAACTTTCTGTTTCGGTTCATACAGCTCACCCGGGTGTCGTTTCAAGAAATTTTAAGGGACTTTGTGCATGACTGGAATGGGTTTTGGTGTTTTCTGTACCTGTATTTCTCTGTCAGGGATCAGCCCAAGCTCCTCACAGCATTCCTTGCAAATCCTCAGGAAGATGTAGTCCTTGGTCTTCTCCTCGATTACAGCCTCATAAACCCGCTCTTTGACCCCAGGTGGGGGCTGGCTGCTGAAACCCTCACGGCCCAAAGGCAGCAGCAAAACTGAGTTTACCTTCGTCATCACCAGCCGCCCTGCCAGTGTGTCCTGAGATAACGAAAGAGATGAGACATTGGAGAAAGTTATAAACCACAGTAAACTGTATGTGCCACAAATAAGTAAAAACCTAAATTTCAAGTGGGAAAAAAAGCAACGTTGTTTTGTGGAATAACCCAAATTCAGTTACCTCTGAAAGTGTCTCAGTGAGTTTGAAGCGAGCAAACAGCTGACCATTCTGGGCATACTTCGCTCCAACAGAGATGCCAGTCAGCATGAAGCTAGTGACGAGCTGCAGGTTCACTTTGATGTTAAACCTGGAAAGACAAACAAGAGTATGTGATCAGGCTTTTAAAGAAGAAGAGCACACAAATTTAAGAAATCCTGATAGTATTCAGTCATGTGATACCGACATACAAAATCATAGACAAAAGTAAACATAAGTGTGTCTGGACTTGGACTTTTTTTTACCCTGGGACTTTTCCGCTTCCCTCTATTGCCACATGTTTACGCCCAAAGAGCTGCTTATTCAAACTGAGGCCAACAGGGCTCTGAAGCAGACCAAGACCCTCCATTTAATGAGCAATAATGATATTATTTGGTGTTGTATCTTAAACTGTTGGAAAGCCTGATTAGTAACCTTTACAACGAGCTTTAACCTGTAAGAATCATGTATTCCTAAAGTGCATGATCAGTTGAGAGCTAAATGTGTGCCCTCAAAAAAGGGTGTATGCTTCTGGGACTTTTCCAGCCCGCCTCATGGAACTGCAGATTTTAACATTTCCACATCAACTTCATCTCTGGAGACCTGAGCTTACCTCTTCACAGAAAATCACCAGTTTAAGCCATGACTAATTACACCGAAACACTGACTTGCACGCTGCCATTACTTTGTGTGAGCGAGCTGGAGGGAATTTTTCAACTGCTGCGCTGGGTGTTTTCAAGCTGATTAACGGGACCTTGTTGCCGAATGGTCTTAACATGTTAATCGATGTCTGATTGTTGTTGTTTTGCAGGCTGATTTTGGTATCTCCAAAGGCGGCTTTGATTGAGTTCTTTACTGTCATGTTTTATGGGAGAATATGCCAGGTTCCTCACAGTTGTTGCAAGAGGTCACACGATACAGTAGGAATGTATGTACTTTCAATTATTTGTGAGTTTTACGCAGTGATTTACAGTCATGTTTTACCTCCTTAAGCTGCACACTAACCACAGAACGGCTCTGCATTTCCAAGTGCGCTGTGAACGCATGCCTCAGACTAGGGCTAGGCGATAAATTTAACAATACCGAAATTTACAACAATAACCAATGTCATTTTTGCCCATGTCAATCTATCAAAAAAAAACATATAAATAAAAGTTGGTTTTGGATGAGTGTAGGTAGGCTATGGTCTCACGTCCTTTTAAGACCCTGTCCGAAGTCGGAGACGTGACTCCACCCCATCTAGTCCGTAACAAAGAGGGAAAGACAGGGGAGGAGATGGAGGACGGTTCGAAAGTTGTAGCGGCTGAAGTAGACAAAGTTAATGTGAGAGGGGGTGAGCAGCTTGTGGAGTAGTTATCGTTCATTTATCGTTATCGAGGTGAACTGCTCAGGCCATATCGCCCAGCCCTTCCTCAGACCTTTAACAGTCTGAGCTTTGAATCATGGTCAGTTTAACATTCACAAATACCATCTACTAGCACTGCTGCCTGTTCTTCTATGTTATTAAGGAAAGCATTGATTTGCTGTGGCGATACAGACCAGGTCTTGACACTTGAGGATGCTAAATGTGCAATTTCTCTTGCAAAGACAAAGGAAAGACCTACGCAAGCTGTTAGCATAATTTCTGAAACAAAACACTCATCAAATTAGTTCCAGCTAAGTTCAATCAAAATGCTTATTTGCTGTGATTACAAGTTGATGAAGTTGTGTAAATGAGGAACCAAAGAAAACAGCCGAATACTCTTCATATATGTTTGTCCTTGAGAGAAATACAAACCCTGGCACTAATCTACTCTGAGCTAATGTCGGGTTGAAAATGGAAGCCCTTCAGGGGAATAATTCATTCACTTCCATACTGTTTGAGACGGCCTCTCTGATTCTGCTGGATCTGAAATGATGAAATGGAAGGAAATACCAGTGCTGAACTCTGACGGATGACTGACAAACACTGATAAGTGAACGCTCGTTCTGTATTTGAATGCAAAACCACAGAGATTTTTGAAGGTTCTTGTTTATGATTTTGCATCAGTTCACTGGCTACGCTCAAGGAGAGGGTAAACATCTGACAGAGAGAGCAAGACACTTTCAATTCTCCACCGTTCCGTTCAGATGATCAAGGGTCCACATTTCTCTTTTTTATAACCTGAAGAAAGAAATCTAGAGTGAGATTGTTTCTATTTAAGAGATATTTCTTCAAGTTAATGCTGTACTTTATTGCACACGGGGATTTAAAAGTGTATGCCATTTTTAGAGGAAGTCCCACTGAGCTAGAAATGCCCTGCTGAAGCTTAACTGGTCATTAACGGAGCAGGGATCTCCTCATACATGGCTGTATTAGTAAGTGGAGAAATTATTCAGATTTCAAGTCCATTCATTTCACACTGCAGGTAACAGAAGAAAGAGATCCTCAGTTTAATCCCTTATCTAGTAAAGTGAGAGTGAGTAGAGTGAGTCATAATGACAAGATCAGCCAAGAGCAGAGAATAAAGCTCAGACATCCTCTGTGCTGAGGTAGGGTCCACTCTGCCCGTGTCGCTTTGTGAAGTGTTAAACATTTGCTTTGATAGTGTGACGATCGTACTTGATTCAACAGAGACGGAGCAGCAGGCAGGGACTCTTTATACGAATAACAAAAAATATGGTTTCAGCCTTGAGGAAAAAAAAAAAGCAGTTTCCTTCCCTTCTTCCTTCTTCTATGGAAACACCTCAAACTGATGTTAAATGCTCCCACGACAGAGAGTCTCACACAAACACAAAGCAACATCCTCAATGAAAGTCAAGGCTGACACCTTGTGGTGGGTTGAAATCGAACACTTTCTACTTTCACTGCTGAACTTCAGTTTGGGTCCATAACTCTGTGTGTTATACAGAAACATGCAGTGACATGTGCAGCTTCAACATGCTGTAGCTGTGATCTTTGAGTGAGGGGCCATGTTGGTGGTGATTAGAGTCAAAATAAATCAGACAGATGTTGGAAGAGATATGTGCTTATCGCCCACAGCCAGAGGGACTGAAGAGGGTCATAAACAAAAAAGAAGAAAAAGAAAATATCTTCAGTCATGTGCAGAGAGACAGAGTAAGTTGTAGCTTTGTAGCTGGAAATTGACCCTGACATGATGTGAATTTGCCCTTCCTCTCCTCCTCCCCCGTTGTTTTTCTTAATTTTCCTACCATTTATTCATTCTGTATTATTTAGTTATCCATTTCTTTTTTTTTAACTTATTTATCTTTGTATGTCTATTTGTTTATCCTGTTTGTTTTTCCTTATTACTACAATGTGTAATGGATATTTTACATTTATCTGCATCATATGCCTAGGTATGGGATTTTTTTTTTACACCACTGATCTTGTCTCAGAAACTAGTCAATGTTTAAGGAAAAACTCTAAATAAAAAGTGAAAAAAAAATGACTCCACCCATGTTGTTTCTTTCTAAGTGTATTTTGTGTCTCCTTCTCAGCTGTTTAAGATTCTGCAATAATCTGAAATTGCTTGTGCTGCTGCCTTTCTATTTAGTTTTTTCAATGCTTATAAACACTGGTCAGACAAGATGATTCAAGACACCCAAAGCAGCCTTTTCTTTTATGTTTTCCACTGCATAGATTTAGACTGATAGATATATTTAGCAATCTCAACCAAGAGAGAGACAGTAGCGCCTTGTCCACAAGATGGTGCCAAAATTTACATTATCCAAAAGTTTCTTGTGGGAGATTTGAGAAAAAAAAAAAAATCACAAAAACTTGTCAACTCACTTGCTGACTTCTTTATACTGCGCGATCTCTTCGATGTAGAGCAGGTCATGCAGTCGGGCTTGGTAGTTTTCTTTGGTGAGAGTCTTGTCCAGGACCGACTGGGTGAACAGTTGGTCGGCCGACAAAGGGATCTGATAGCGGGAGAGGAGGCTGCGCTCCAGATCAGCCATTGTTTCATTTGGAACGAACTCTACGATGGTCTTACACGAAGAGTCCCAGCGCTTCGCTGTCATCAAGAGCTGCTGTCGGGCTGCCATCAGGTGTTCAAGGTCTGGGAACAAAAAACAAACAAATAAACAAACATATATATCCTGGTAAATGATTATTTAGCCAACTGTTACCTGCATTTGAAATTTGCATCTTAATAATTTCAACCTTAAAAAAAATTCAGAGAACATCTTAAACTTAGACTTTTGTAAAAGTCACAGAGGTGATCTTCTTGTTTTTAGCATACCTTCAATAGAGGCTGCGTCCACCATGATCCTCTGCATCAGCACGGGCTCTGAGCCAAAGTCAAAAACAACAGTCTGTCTGAAGGTACCAAAGATCTCTGTGCTGAAGCCCACAGACACCTTGTAGACACAGTGGTCCAGGCCGTTGTCCACTGCAACTGTGGGGTTAAATAAAAAAATAAAGTCCAGTGTTGATGCACGTAATGTTTCACAAGTTTTACAAACCAAAAGGGAGATAACTTAAACTTTAATTAAACAAACAGAAACTCAGGGACAACACACACGTATATATTTAGACAGTCTCTGTGCACTCGTCACCTTTGGACATTACACTCTGTGGCAAAATATTTCTTGGCTGTTGTTTCAAATGTCTCTGCTGAATTGACTTTTTTTTTTTTTTTTAAATGGCACTATGACTCCACACAACTCTGCCTCAGGTGTTGGTTTATTGATGTAGTTTGGTGGTATTTCGCTTCAGGCTCCCTCACTCTCTCCATATTTCAACCCCCTGGCACCACAGCAATGAGTGACACCTCATCTCAGTCATTAGGATTAGGATTCTCCCTGCTTTACAGATCAGTATAATTGTCACTGAATTACTAAACGCTGAATATGAGAATAACCCACTTCAAGGGAAAAAGTCCAGTCTGATATTTTGGTCAATACAGTCATAGAGGGAGGACAATGTTTATAGAACGAGGTTTAACCAGACAGTTCAACAACAAACCTGCTGTCTCCTCTCCTGGAGTCCACTCCTGGCAGCCTTTAGGGAGCGCTTGTAGCCGCTCTCCTGCTGACACACCTGTGATGAAGAAGTGTGGTCGATGGGCATCGTAGAGCAGGGCGATTCTGTACAGCTTTCTGGCAGGCTGATTTATGAGACAAAGAAAAGAAGATAATCAGAACATCACGTCTTTAAATGCTCATTAAGACCATCTACTAATAACAGGTGTGCCATATCAATGTTACTTTACAGTGTCATTCTGGCATTAAAGTGGTGTGGTTATGAAGATATTACCCATGCTCAACATTTAAGGTTTTACCTACCTTGCACAACAAGGAGAAGGTCCAGGAGTGGGAGGACTTTTTGGTGGTGACAGTCACAGAGAGGCTGGAGCTGGTTTCTACATTCACTCCTTCTAAATATTCGCTTAGCTTGAAAGAAAAACAAACAAAAAAAAAAAAGTTAAACTACATCAGTGCAATTTTATCCCAAGAGCCTTCAAGGAAAAAAAAAAACAAAAACACAAGGTAAACAAGACTAAAGCCCTGGGCCACACCAACAGCATCAAGCAGGATCTGAAGATAACTGAAATCCCACAGTAGACCACAAAAAAATATATATTTGTTTTCCCCTGACTGAAAGGTTGAGTTTGAGCCTCATGTCACTTCAGAAGGAGACGCAAAGGAGACATGAAGCAGCAGTGACAGAAACAAAAACATTTACAATGACACGAGACACCGATATGGTCCCCAATTCTGACCTGGGTTTTCTTATTTTTTTTGCTGTTTATCATACCTTCTCCTGAGCACAAAATAATGAAAGTGCTGGTGGCTCTAGTGTGTTACCCCAAATACTTATAAAGTCTAAAACCTTCACTGTCTCTCTGATGACCATCTCCATCACAGCTGTCTTTCTGTTTTTCTCATGGAGCGGAGCTAGTGACATGCACATAGCTGTGGTATGTCACTCAAGAATGATGTCACAGTTCTGTATCTGATTATGCACATGAAGTGGCACAGTCCTGACTGACAAAGAGCAGATTCAATGTGACTTCTGCCATAAAAAGATCAGATTTAAGTCACATATGGGCAAAAAATGTGGCTATAGGTCACTTTTCGATGCAGTGTGAATGTAGCCTAAGCCTCTTTTAACCCCTTAACCCGAGACGATGTATGACTCTTGTTTGTTTGTCTGCTTAATACTGCTTATGTAAACTGATTTAATGTACAAGAATTAGATCAATAAGATACACTGTGCTGCTGAGCAAATACAGCATACTCACTTTCTGGTCTATTGTGACTTTTTCAAATGATAGGACACAAGAGGAAGATAACACAGCGTACAACTATGGTTTTGTAAACAGATTGGTGAACTAGCAAATCTAAAAACCACTACTTCTATGAGAAACTTGATTAAATATTGAAATGTTTGGTGCTTGCTGCCGGATACAATCCTTTTTCATACTGACATTACTAGATAAACAAGGTTTATAGAAGTTTGGGGATGCTATAAAGAAATCACAACACTGTATCACACGTATTTGTGTTTGTGGAGGTGAACCCTCGCCTTGGTACAACATTAATGCTTTCCTTATCCCTTGAGGCAGTTTTTCTGGCATGTTCCCACTCACCACTTTCTCTGGGGAGAGGGAGTTCATCCACTTCTCTATCAGCGTCTCCATGTAGTTCTCTGTGAAGTGTTTACTCTCCTGCTGCTGCTTGAGGCGGATGAGGCGTGACGCGTAGCGCTTCTGCCACTCCATCAGCTCCTCTTGTGAGTGGGCTGATGTACACTGAGCCCCATACCGACACAGACCCTGCTCCAAGAACCTACAGCAAAGACACACTGAGTGCTGAACTGGCGCTAAAGGCGATAAAGCAGCAGTTCAATTAAAAAAAAAACACACACTTGTGACAGTTTAAACTCCTTTTTTTTTTTTTTACATCAGGAGGCCTTCAGGGACATTTGCATCTTAAGCCTCCCAAGCTTTAGGATTTGCTGCTTTTCTATAATCATTTGTGCAATTACATTTTTTGTATGAAAGTTTTCATGTTAAAGCCATTTTTAGTCTACAAAATAGTTGTCTTGACTCGACCAATAACACCTAGAAACAGCATTTTGCAAGATCAGAACTTAAATTTTATGTTTCTTATAGACCGCAAATTAGCAGATATGCTGTAGTAAATGTAAAGCAAAGACAAGTAAGGTATAAAAGCAAACTAACAGCTTAGTGAGGGTTACAGTGAGAATTGTTGGCGCTGCAGTGGGACACACTGGCTGCTAGGGACGGGCGATATGGGCTAAAAAATTTATCATGATAAAATTTGCCCTTTTGGCAATAATGAGAAAAGTACTGATAAAAAATATTTTAATTCCAGTCTATATTTTTGATACATTATGTCTTGAGAACATCAGTTGGAATAGTCAAATAAGATACTTAACCACAAGTTTGAGTGGTAGGTAATGGAGAAAACTAATGACATCAAACAAGCCCCAAATTGTAAACATTTTCCACATTTGTTGAAAACTCTTATCGCACAGAGTGAACAGCAGTAGCATATCCACTGTCCGATGTCAGACATAATTGCACTCATCTAAGCCTAATCTTGAAGGAAATCCCTGATGTGGAGCCTCATTCAGTAACGAGCTGCTCAGAAACATCTTCTTCAATACCTTCGGCCATGTTTGTTTGTTATTCTGCTCTGTGCAGATTATGGCTGCGAGTCCGTCGCTCACGCTGATGTCATACAATCGCATTTATCGTATTTATCATGAGATGGCAAATATTTATCATGGAGGATTTTTCTGAAGATATCTCGTGAACGATAATTAATCGCCCATCCCTACTTGCTGCATCATAAGGTTGAGAAACCCAAAGTCAAGGACAAATAAGAGGACTGTATCTGAAATGACGGATATGTTGGATCCCTCCACACACACATATCCAGGATGTGCTTAGTATTACATTATTTTTGATACATGATGAAATTATCTAGCAGCTTGGTGTACCTTTTACAGAGGGTATACTCTTCACTGCTGGTGACTCCTCGAGGAGGAGGCCGGAACTGCCAGCCATCTTGGACCTCTGTGAACACACACAGCCAATCGGTCATAAGACACAGAGAAAAAAGCTTTAAAAACACAATCAAATCAGCTCATCGTGCTTTAATCCGTCAGGTATGAACCATACCTAACCACATAAATGTTTAATGTTTGTATTGAAGTACTGAAGGGGAGTAAAGCTCCAGTTTTGCTCACCTTCCTCCTGGTCATCTGTGTATTCTGGTGCCATCTCCCTGTTTATAGCCTGACAGAGACATTAATCAGGGGTTAATGGGGGGTGGTGGGGGGACGGAGATAATTATTGGTATGTCAGCTACTAACAGAGGCAAACAACAAGCAGCGGGACTGCTGGACTCATTGTGGATAAATGAGTAATAAATCAACAATGGTTACAAGCTGGGCAGAGGAGTACGAAATAATTAAGTCAGTGTTGGAAGACGGCCATTAGTCATTACTATGGCCCTTGCCTGCAAGCATGAAACCATCATTCCTTAAACCAAGAGGAATGAACAAAGGAGGGCAACAGTACAACTATAAGGTGGCAGCCCTGCACCCACGAGCACTTACCTCTATTTCTGAGAAGAGCATTTTTAATCTGCTCATGTCTTTTGTGACTATGCCGTTCTGTGAAAGCAGAAGGAGAGACACTGTCATCATAACATCATACTGTGATCAGCACTTCTAGCAAATGTTGATGAAAATCCATGTCTTCAAAACAGCTGATTTAAAGGGTGATTTCATCTAAATGTACTGCATGCACACATACAAACACTTGTTTTAGTCTCAAATGGTCCTGATATCAACATTTATACAACACAAGTTTGAATATTAACATGAGTGAAAGGTGCCGATTCATCACAATGTCAGCAGTTGTGCTAAAGGGTAAAGTAATTTCATCTTTAGGGTGGATCTCTTTATAGTTACAGGATCTGCAATGAGTAATGTAGAGAATGTGGAAAGATTCATGAGGGAATGCAGCGAAATACGCTGAATCCGTTTTTTTTCCCCCTCCCATTATGTCGTTTCATGATTTGTACATATTTACCTTAATCCATACTATCTGTTTGATTGATTTTACTTTTAAAACCTCAGCTATTACTCGGTTAATCCTTGTATTGAAGGATTCAGCAGACATTTTTTTCTGCTTTTGAATACTAACCTTACAAGTACAGTTTATTTCCTATCCTACTGCTTAGTGGTTTTAAAACTGTTAACGACTCCCTGGTTTTGCCACCTGATTTCTTTGAAGTATGTTTAGAGGAAACTCAGGTGATCTCCAATCGCTCTGTCATCGAACATATCTGAGAAAAGTCAGCTGTTGGTCAGATAACACACTGTGACCCTGCCAAACTACAAGTGAAGAGTGCCAGTATGACCAAAATAAAGCAGCAATTTAAAGTCTTCTTTATCCGCTAGAGTTTCAGTGCTGATTCTCAAGTGCACGTCTTGCACTTAAGCATGCACTTAGGAGTGAAAAGGCTGAGAAAGTACAAAACTTGACTCTGAGTGTAGCGTTATAAAACTAGGATCTACCGTACGAAACTGAGGAGAGGAAGAATGAGGAGGAGTTTAGGCTTGAAGTGATGCATTAAAGTAGGAGGGGAAAAAAAAAGAGAGGAAGCAGTCAGGAGGAGGAAGAACCGCGTTTGTCCCTCTCTGTCTTTGTCCTCAGAGGAAAGAAGAACAGAAATCTGCCAAGATTACATGATTGCCGCCACTACAGTACTGTGACCTGGGAGCCAAGCTCAACCTCTGAACACATGCTTGTGTCTCTGTTGAGAGAAGATTTGAGGGCTGTTCTTTGGCAGGAAAATGCTTGACCATGTATGAGGACAGCAGTTCAGGCTAGCAAAGGACCGGAGAGTGTCCAAAATTACCCTCTGTTTTATCCAAAAAAGACTGCAAAGGTGTAGAGGCAGAGGTTTCAACCATTTTGAATCAGAGCAGTTTATAATTTGTTCAGTAAAAACTATGCACTTTTTCTACAAGCGTCCACATTTACACATCTACAAAAGACTGTAAACACTACATTTGATGGCATTCTACGTACAGTGCTCAGCATAAAGGAGTACACCCCTCACAGTTGTCAGAAAACCTTTAGTTTCCTTTCAAAATCAATATTTTCTATGTCAGACTATTCCACAAAATACTCCCCCAAATGTGGGCCATTGATTGCAAACAAGATTTTTTAAGTTGCATATGAAAAAGTATTTTTTTTTTATATATTTAAAATCAGGATGCAAAAATGAGTACACCCAAATCAAAGTTCTGGGAGCAAAGCTACATTTTAGTTACCATATCACCCTTGTTTTCATCTTATGGTAAATAAAATGTTATGTTTAACTCAGCTTTGTCAAAACTTTGGAAATTGTACTTTTGCTCATCTAGATATTGAGTAATATATTACTTTTAATAGGGGGTGTACTGACTTATGCTGGGCACTGTAAGCATGAAGCTGAATCATAGTTTTTACACTGCACTGATACAGTAAACTATCAGAGCTCAATGAAGCATGAGATCATTTAAAATGACACTTTCATCAACAATCAGTGACTCTTCCAATAATCTAAAATGCCCACTGAGATTCATAATTTATAATCCCATTTGTTGTCCACCAAGTCGTACCATTTGCTCTCCATACAAGGCTTTAGAGAGGATGCTGACCACCTCCTGCAGGCTGCCATCCAACAGCATGGAGCGCAGGCTGGCCTGAAGTGACCCGTCTCCTCTGGCCATCTCCTCTGCCAGAACTACAACAGGATACAGAGGGAACAGTTTGAGTGAAAAATTGATTCAATACAGGTTTAAAGATTTCTATCAAGGTGAAAAACTGAATGATATTGAAAAAAAAAAAACAAGTTTTCAACTGTATCTCTATGACACGCTAGGTTATTGCAAAAGATTTTAGATCTTTTTGATTTCTTGTGACATACTGAGACCAAGACATGCCAAAACCTGCCTTCCCTCAACCTGGCAGCAAACTTGGTCCTGCTACATTTGAAAAAAAAAAAAGACAATTTGATACACAGTTTTGGCAGATGGGTCCAATTTAAACAGCTGCTCACCATGTTTGCAGTCTTCATCTGCTTCATCATAGTTTTTCTGTTGGAAGAAGGAAACAAAAAAAAAACGTAAGAACATAAACAAACTAAAACAAACTGGAATACTGTTTGAGGGTCAGAAATGTACGCTCCAAGAATGGCTATCTCTGCCTTCCTGTAGAGTCCCTCACACTATCATTACAGGAGTTAAGTGGTTTCCATATTCTGAGGGCTTGAGTGACTGGTGTAATTGAAGTGCTCTGGGAAGATAACAGAACATAACTTTCTCTTACTGTTAATTTAGCTCCTTCTTTAATACACAATGGTGAATTAACGAGGTTATTAGTTTGGGAGCCACTTAGCAGAGCAGATGGAAACAATTTAAGACAACAGTTTGTTTGTTTGTTTGCTGGACAATCTTAAACCTTAAACCCACAGGATTGGGCACAGGATGCGTGTCTGCTCCATCTCAAAGGCGTCTCTATTCGCTGCTCCGTTAAAGATACATGCTTAGTCTATTTTTGACAAAGCATGTGTCCAGCATGCATCACTCTTAACAGAGAAGATCAGGATATCAAGGATAACAAGCATGGAGACCCAACATGACATTTAGCTGCAAACTCTGCCTAAAGGTAACAGCACAGCACAGTGGAACATAATTTACTTTACTGAACAGGAGTGCACCTACAAAACAAGTTTATCATCATGTCGCTTGTTCACATACAGTAGAAGCTCAACAGTCACAGAATTAGATCCAAACTAGCAGGAAATCGACCACAGAAACCCTGTACTGAGTCCTGACGCACTACGCTGCTGCTACGCTCCAAACACATTTACAGTGGGTAATGACGCACGCTGTGTGATAGAGCCAGAATGTGACGCTAACAGAATGTGCCCAGCATGCATCCTGTGGGTTTTGGGCTTTAAAAGAGCAGCTGTACTCACCAACTGCAGGAAAGCAGCAATTCTGTAGAGCAGGACACGGCTGCGGAGGGGTCCGGCGGCTGTGGCGACAACGGATGGAGGACTTGGTGGGACAGGAGCACCGGATGATTGGGCTTGGGGTGCAAGGACCACCAGGGCGTCCGTGCTGTGGCTGACTGCCGCCTCGTACTCCCGTCTGGTTATCGATCTGCTGGCTTCTTCACATGACTTCTCCGCTCTCCTGTCCGCCATGACTCAGGGACAACACTTCTAGAAGGTGAAAAAAAAGACAAGAAGAAGGGTGTGAGGTGAAGATGCTGTAATCGGAAGTAGGACTTGGGGATTGAAGAAAGAACATACTTTCCATGTCCATAGAGAGTGGACTTTTTTTGTTCTTAGAAAGAAAAATACACCCATGATGCCTCTTCATAACCAAAGTGATGTTGTTAGGTATGAGTCTTCCATTACTGAGGCAATGAAATCTAGAAGGACTGGTAGTGGAGGAACAAAACTTATTCATGTCAGAATCACATTAACCCACTGCTGGCATTATTTGCTGTTCATGCGCACTAGTCCCATCTTGACTGAAGGACATCATCCCGCTGCACCCCTATATGTGGACTGTCAGGGAGTATTCTCCACTGTTAGTCTGCTAAGGATATGTGAAAGCTCAGCCGAGCAATCTGGCTGCAGATTTCAAATAATTTCAAATATCAAAGCTGCAAAAACCCAAAACACATTTTCCTTTGAATTTATTAAACAAATAACCACAATACACTAAAATAAGAATCAAAATCAAAACTGATTTTAGATTTTATGATTCGGATTATAATAGATTACGAAAGATTCACATCCCTGCAAGGACAAAGTGAACCATCACTGACTCTACAGGATACAACCTATTTTTATCTATGATAAGGGCACCGCTCCCAAAAACTGGACAAATTTAGCCACTATACTCCTGTGAATATGACTGCAGATCACAAAGTGAAAATAAGATGAAAATAAAGGCTCTCAGTCTACAGCCCCAATGGTCCCTTTACAGAGACGAGTTCATTCCCCAACCTTTTCTTTAATTAGCAAACCAGCTCTTGTCCTCCTCTGCCCCTCATGTCTGATAACCTAACGAAAGAATCGACAGATGACTTTACATAATAAAGGTTCATGTTAGGGCTGGGCGATATGGCCTCAAATCAATATCATGATATATATTGAGCAGTTCACCTCAATAACGATAAATGGACGATAACTACTCCACAAGCTGCTCACCCCCTCCCACATTGACTTTGTCTACTTCAGCCGCTACAACTTTTTAACCGTCCTCCGTCTCCTCACCTGTCTTAAAGGGACATGAGACTCTAGCCTACCAACACACATCCAAAACCTACTTTTATTTATTAATGTTTTAATAAATTATTAGTCATTAGTTTTCTTTAATTTTTTATTAATATATTGAAATGGCCAAAATGACGTCAGTTATTGATGTAATTTTCGGTAACTGTAAATTTTCTGTTTATTGTCCAGCCCTAGCTAATGTATAAACACATCTCCTAACACTTTCATTAACCCATGTTTTGCATCTTTTTTATTAGACGGATGATGATTATCTTCATTATTACCAAACTGGATCCCAGCACACTTTGCCGCATCTACTATTTCAGATTATTATATTATTATATTCCAGATTCCTTCAAACTAGAACCTTTTTGTGTGGTTTTCTGACTGCATAGGTTATTTTCTCTGTCCTGGGTGTAGTGTAGGGGATAAAGATCCTCTATTAGTCAAGTTTATAGCATCAAAAATGCCCATCGGTAAAACTTTTTTGCATGCCTACATCTCTTATCTTCCAACTGCAGCCACTCACTTGAAACAAAAATGCATGTTACTTGTTTGTCCATTCTGTGCCACCGTAGAAACATGGTGGTGCAAGATGGCAGCCTCCATGGAAAGAGACCCACTCCTATGTAACTATAAAAGATGCTGCTAAATCTTAGACACTTTACCTTAAACTGCAAAACAGAGTGTGTAGTTTGGCGCTGTGATTTCTTTACACTTTAAAGTCTCTGTGTCGAGATTAGACAGCACAAACCCTTTAAAGGAGGAATTTACAAGAAATTAACTGATAACTTCTATTTTCTCTCAGCAGAGGAAGAGGGAGAGAGAGGCAAAGAGGAAAGATTATAGAAAGAGAGAGTTGGCCTTAGTTGACTCCTCCTCTCTGTTACCAATAAAGAATCATTCGTTCAACACTTGCTCTTGCAGTCTTAGATAGTTGACAGCCAAACTTTATTCATCCACTTGTTATGAAAATAACTTACGGCTGACCAAAAGAAGATAGCTTATGGAGGACACCTCTCTATGCTTGCAAGGACACAACATAACTCCAAACCCAATCCAAGTCAAAATGGAGCCTTCTTATATAATATTCACATGATTTCAAAAACTTTAACAGCGTACGCAAATGTCACTGCCACCCAAAAGCCACCGTTTAATTTGGAGTTCTTCCTTCGTTAAGTCCTAAAAATGTCACGACAGACGTCTGAAACAAATCACAAAGCAGGCGTATTACAGTGGTTATGTCTTCTTAGTCTCCTCGTGTCATTTAGAAACAAGATGTGAGGAATCCGCAGCACAAAGAATGACTGTCAACATGATTAGGTTCTAACTAACATGCGACTGACTCTGAAAAGAGGGTTTTCCACCCTGCAGTATTTACAGGTAGTCATATCCAAAGTGGGAAAAGTACCTCTTTGCTATATACAGCACTGTGCGTATTTGAAACACTGTTCTGTGGATGTCTGCTCACAAAGAGTCATGTCTTCATGTGGTTTTTCTGCATCGTAAATCAACAGAGAGGACGAGGCTCCAGGAGCAGCTCCGACATAGCTTGTATTCTGGGCCTCAGTGTAGCGTAGTGTACATCAATATACTCGCAGATAGCTGGGAAATCAGTGGTCATATGAGAGGCCTAGAGCATTATGTGAGACACACTATTTTATCATCCCCGGCTCCAGAGCTTAGAACAGTGGAGTCAACTGTCTGCCGTCATCTGACTTCTCAGACTAAGAGCACGATCAGGACTGATAATTCTGAATATAAAGGCTATATTGAGAGCAGAAAGTATGGAGAGGAAAATGAGTGAAACTTCATGGTCAAGACTCTTACCTGTCAGAAAAGATGAGTAAAACAGATGCAAATATGCTGGACACGCGGTTTCTGTCACCTGGTACCTTTTGATTTTGGTATGATAGCTTAGTGCAATCCCATGCAGGGGAAAGATACTTGGGTTTACATCAGCCGGCTTTTGGAAAGTTTCATGTGCAGTTGTCTGGCAGATAAAGATACCATCAGCCAAAATATCAGGAAAAATGCTCAATAAATATAAACCATATTAGGCTAAATAAGACCCCCTTTTAAATACATGACGAAAAGTGTGATCATTTTAGATTCAAGGTCTACATTTCTGCCAGCACACATTAACGTCTTTGCTGTGACAAACCTGATTTCGAGCAGCAGACAAACATGTTTCAGTGGGCTGTCCCACAGTGCATGCCTGTGCTGGCTGCTCATCGCTCCTGTCGAGTGATCCTATGCCAGTTTAACCACACACAGCCTACATCATCATGCTCTATATCCAAACACTGCCAAAACACTTTGCATTCCAGGATTCCATCTGTCATCTGTGTTTGTTTCCATCCTGGTAGTAGAGCATTGCAGCATAATTGCAGTTGCCAATAAGCAGAGCTTTGGCTTCAGCTAGTGGTGGGTGGCTGCACTACAGCTTGAACACAACATATATCTGTCTTTTGGGGTCTACAGTAGGGATGCACCGATCCGCTTTTATCACCTACAATATGGATACATACCTACAGTTTGGTATCGGCTGATACAATCCAATTCTGATACAGAAAAGCCGCGATGAATTACCTTTTGTTGTAATCTGAAGTTTTACCACTGCCCCTCAGAACATTTACTGCGCAGGTATTACAAGTGGTCGTCGAGCTTGTAGGCTGAGGTATTGTGATAAAGTTCAAGATAGAAGACCCCTTTCCGCTCAGTGTGTTTACTTGTGGATGCCACTACAAAAGCATAGAGTTAGATGGAATAGATCGGCCCCTATGCATCGGGCCCATTGTCACGATACCCGATCTAGAATTTTCTTCAGTATCGGGACCGATACCCATATCAAATATCGGATCGGTGCATCCCTATTCTATGGTTATGAGATATTCATTTGCAAAGCTGATTAATAATTGTGGTGCCACACAGGAAGGTGAGGATGTTTAACCATATAGGTGACTAAATTCATCCCTTCCTAATGTCTGTTTGTAGTCTGAGAGGGACTGTAGAGGGATTCAGCTGTGTGACTGAACAGAGAGCAGAAAAGTGCAGACAATGGGCTCTAGTGTAATCCTGGAACACACTGACTATAATCCAGTGGTTCTCAATCCAGTCCTCGAGCCGCCCCTGTCCTGCATGTTTTGGATGTTTTCCTGCTCCAACACACCTGATTCAAATGATTAGCTCATTATTAAGCCATTACAGAGCTTGATAACGAGCTGATCATTTGAATCAGGTGTGTTGGAGCAGGGAAACATCCGAAACATGCAGGACAGGGGGGGCTCGAGGACTGGATTGAGAACCACTGCTATAATCTGATATCTATAATCTAGTGGTGGTAGTACTTGGAGTAATATTAGTAGTAGCATGTCATGCACTAAGAGGGTGCCTGGTCCACAAATGCTTCAGATACACTGGTTTGTTTTTGAAATAAAGACTAGGGCAGATAAACCACATAAAAAATACTGGCTCTTTTGATGTTAATGTCAAAAAAATGACTGCTTAAAAAATAATACAGTGTTGCATCTAAGATACTAAACTTCAGCACTTGCTGAGCAGCAGCTAACTTTCATCAATCAATCATAAATGAATACAGCATCCTCGTCTAAGGCCGGTCAGACTTTCACACAAAATGAACAAATTAAACACCTTTGAGTGAAACAGAAACTAAATTTCGATGTATAAAGTGAAGATAAATTTTCAGTGAGAGTCATCATATCGATAACTCATGAGTCTTTAGTTGGTAGTCATTATGTTGATAATGACCAGCGCAGGGCAGAGACGTTATGGCCAGAGACTAAAACCACAGGGTCTAACAGACTGACTGTTTTCCCCAGAGTCACTCCACATGTTTGAGCCAAAAAAAGGAGGCATGATCATTCACAGCTTAGCAGGAGTTGATCACATCTAATAGTCTGCTGAAAAACCCTTTAGGAGAGTGGACACCATAGTAGGTGGTAGTTTGAGGACACAACAATACTGGCTTATTTTTTCTGCATACAGAGATAGCACTTCTACAAGGAACCTAGGGTTTTTTGCCAGCATAGCTTTGCAGCTTTCACAGGAGAGAAGAGGAGGGAAAGGGAAAGTGAGAAGGGGTTCCTGCATGTCAGGTCAGTCTGTTTCAGGCAGATGTTGACCACAATGTGAGGATCTAAATGTGAACAGATCATCAGACCTCCCTACTCACTCCATCTGAGCTCTTTTTTCTTGGTGTCACAGACAAGTTGTATCGTACAGCTCAGGTGGTCTCATACAGTCACGATCGGTTACTCCTCCATTTTCCGGATGAATGAATCTCTGCTGGTCTGTTGTTGACGTACGTCATCAGGGTATCTCCATGCTGATTGGAAATCGTGGAGCGAACTTTCGCTTGAGTTCAGATATTTTCAAGCAAGATTAGTACTGCATGAGAAACTTAACCACAGTCTGAGATAACAAGAGACCATTTGCCTGTTTTTACACCAGCCGGCACAGATAAGAAGTTTACCATGACCTGCTGGGAAACATCACAGCAACAAAACCTCAACCTTGACCAATAGCTCAGTAATTTTTATCTTATTTTCTTCAAGGTGGTGTCTTTCTTGGTTTCTTAAGCATGACAACTAACTCATCTGACAAAAAAGCCAAGAGGAAAAAAAATAATGACATCTTGCCAAAAAATATCTGATGCCAAATAACCATCTTAACGAGAAAAATTTAGAAGGTTCCAAAATCACAATCAAAATACTTTATTTATACCATCAGCCGAGTCATCAGGCCGACGAAAGGCATTTTGAAATCAGCATTCGTTGATGCCTGCATTCACAAGCTTGGTTAAACAACAACAATGACATTAATGATAATACTAATTAAAATAATAAGAAGAAGAACTACAGATAGCTGGATAGAAACCTAGAAGACCCTTTTAGCCATATTTTACTGAGCCAACAACATCTATTAAGTAAGACGTTAGGGGTCAAACTGTGACTTTTGCCTGAGGAGTTTGAGATATAGCTGCGAGAACTGGTCCACAACAGCCAACCAACAGGCAGCTACTTTGTCCATGATCTACTTCAGGAGGAGACAAAAAAAGCTGTATGCATTTGCCATTGGAAAAAAATGTGCGCATTATTCCTGCAATTATTTTTTTTCCCTTTATTTTGATTGATACTTTTTGAACACACAGTAATAGGAAACTCTAAGTCTGACGCTCTGACCAAATTTGTGGTGCCTCCAGGTCAGCCTGTCATTGCCACTTATAATCACAACATACAGACATATCCCAAGCCAATGTGCACTAAATACTGGGTACATATTTGACATGCAATAAATATGAAACAAAGTGCTGATGATTTTACCCAGAGTAAACATTGACACCCACAGAAATTTAAGGTAATAATGAATCAATACAATACTATATTTTCCCAACATGAAAACCAATGTCAAACTCTTATAAAAGGTACCTAAACAAGCTGTTCTACATAAACAGGACAAGTAGAAATCTCTGATTTTCTTTATAATTGCATCTGCCCCAGAGGATGAGAGGACACTGCTACGGAGTTCATTTCCTCCTGTGACCAAAATCTTAGATAAGGAACAACACGTGTCAATATTATGCACCGTGTTCTATGCATAATGTCAAATGTTATCGCATTCACCTCATCATAGAGTTTCCTTTAGGGTTTGTTCTTGAACGATGTCAAAAAAACACAATTAACATTATGTAATGCATAAAGAGGAAGTTAGCTTATGAGATTATTGCCATAGGGGTAATATTACAACTATATTTAAAAACCCAGGGTGGAAAGTAACTGACATTAATGTAAGTCTGTGGTGTAGCTGTGCTGTGATGAGTAGTTTTATAAAACCAGTACTTTTACTTAAGTATTTCCTGAGGACAGTATTGTAGTAGCTGCTAAATTTAACAAAGCATTAGTTAGAGGGTTAAAAAAATTGGCGCTGAGTCCAAATCAGTTCACATATTAATGTTTTTTGTTTTCACAGCAATTAGTTTATCAACATATCCTTTTACATATGTTTGGGTATATCTTACTCCCCCCATCCCACGTTAGTTAAAAGCTCTTTATACTGAATACATTTTGAATAGATTGATTTTTTTCTAACCTTAACAAACTAGCAGTTTACTTCTAGTTCTGTAAAATGATATCAAATCAACTGAGCTTATTTACTCTTTTTACTCCTGTTTAAAACATAAAGGAACATTTCATAACAATTTACTGTTTACTATGAGAACGTTAGTAATGTCCAAGTTTTTGCAAGAAAACACAAAAAAATATCAAAGGTGACAAAAACATGGCACTAATCTCAATGCAGGACAAACCACAATAAAATAGAAACCGTCCAAAATGAATGTGTTGCTTTTCGCATTTCTATTTGTAGAAGTGGAACAAACTACTACTCAGTGTTGATACCTGCAAGCCAGACACTTCAGAGGGGACACAACAACTAGTTTGGCGCGACACGGTGGCTTGCACACCTGCCTTGTTTTGAAGTGTCAAGTGGAGTGATCACTCTGGATACGCTACAGATTCTGCTGCAGCAATAATAAAAACAGAGTTACTTTTATAAGTCGAGAAAATATATAAAACAACATCCACTGCTTTCATTTTTTGACATGTTTTTTTTTCCGCTTGACACGAACGTTAGCAGCTACGTGATGAAACCTCGGCTCGAAAAGCTTGCAAATTCTTCAGAGCCCTACTTAAAAATACAAAGAAAGCCCCCACTGATGAAGCCAAGTGTTGTGAGTGACTTGTTGTCTCCCTGTAGGTTGTTACAGCTGTTGTGTACCCACTAAGTTGTCATGACTGTTGTAAGTCAGAGCGATGACGGCAGCGTTACAAAGCCCTGAAAAATGTCCCCACTATGTTGGTTATAACTTAGCCTCCACGTTTGCTCAGGGTAAACAGAGCTACCACTAACCACGGCGTACGCAGCGAACACTTGGCATACTAGTCAAATCTCGGCCTTTACTGGCACCGAACTGGGAGAGCTCACAACAAGAATAGCTGCCTGGTTTGTTAATGTTAGCAGGCAGGCTAGCTAGCTAGGTTCGCCGAAACAAAACGGGTTCAGGCCTCCGATGTTTGCCACGGTGTTTAGACGCATATAACTGATATGACACAGCGTTGTCGGTAATGCATGGACTTGAAACATTCGTCAATATCGTAATGATTCGTGGAGGGGATTGGTGTCAGTGGGTTTGCGATTAAACAGACAACTGAAAGGGCTGAAAATGGGAAGTCAACACTTACCTAGCTTTACTTTCTACGCCATCTTGGATCCACTTGTCAGACCATCGCAAAGCATAGTGGGATGTACTGATCTGAAGGTTGAGAGGACTAGTGCGTGTGCGTGTACCCGTGCGCGCGCGTGGGTAAGAGCGCGTGTTTGTATGTGGCCCAAGATATTAGGGTCGTACCTTATCAAACAGCCTTAAAAAAAATCATTTTAGTCTTTTAACCCTCAGGGGTCCTTAAAAAAAGTTACATTTAGGTCCTTAGATGGACAAAAATGTCTATCTCCCACAAGTACTATAAAAATATTATACATTATTATACATAATTAATTTCTTTGAATTTTTTTTTTTTTTGCTTGAATCCTGTAATCAACTGCATTTCTGATCATATCTATCAAATATTAATAATTTTCAGAATCTTAACCCTTTATATACCAGTTTAACAATATGATGTCAGTGTTGTTTTTAATGGGGAAAAAAAGGAATTTGGAGTTATTTTCAATAGATTAGATGGTGGGCAGGAATTTCTCTCTTTTTTTTTTAATCAATGTCTATGATGTGTCAGTAATTAACAACAACATAAATTTTGATGCATTATTATGTTTGATGTATTGTTCGATTTCTAAAAAAGTTATTTTGGCTGTATTAAAGCAAATGGGTGGGTTTTTTCAGGGTTTTTTTTTTTTTTCCAAATTTTAAAACGTGACAACCCATTATCATATCAGGTCAATATTTCACTGTGTGACAAAAACACTATACGTTTAGGTCCGTAGATGAATAAAAATGTTCATCTTCTGTAAGTGTCCATCTACGGACCTAAACGTATAGTGTTTTTGTCACACAGTGAATATTGACCTGATATGATAATGGGTTGTCACGTTTTAAAAATTTGGAAAAAAAAAAAACACAAAAAAACTGAAAAAACCCACCCATTTGCTTTAATACAGCCAAAGTGATCAACAAATGAAAGGTAAAAAGTCAACAAAAATGTCCTAAAAGCCCCAAATTTCAGAGCTGCCAATTAATGGTAATTCTTTTTAAGTGATCTTTAAATTTTGGGGATAAACAACATAAAATGAGATATTTAGAATTGAGCACAACAAGCTGACTCTTTATCTGTACTTTGTGCTTCTTGTGTAGAAAAACAAACTTTATTGAAACACAAATGGGGCAATCTAGGTCAATTAATCTAGAGTTAGCATAAAATTTTGAAATGAAGCAACAAATGCTGAGCCTGAGGTTTCAAAACTCCATGTAATGCAGAATCTTTATCAATACAGCCTTTATCAAGCTGAAATAAACTGACTGTTGAGTGAAATTTAATAATTCATCTCCACAAATATAATTCTTTGGTGGTGTACAAATCGAGACAGGGCAAATTAGTTAGGAAACATAGTGCAGGCTCTGCAAATTGAACGCACTGACGGATGCAAAATTAAAGGAAAAGTCACTTTAAATGCTGCCATGATAAAATGAGCTTCTCTGGGCCTGTCTGATATTTCTGCACATAATCTTATTTATGTCAGCGCACTGATAATAATGCAAAGGTATGATTTCTCACTGTCTCAGGAAATACCTGGATTTGTCTTGAGTTTACCATTATAATCGTTGCATGGCTGCTATCAGTCCATTTCTGTAGTTAAACATTTCATTTACTGAAATATCATGAAATTGACCACCCATAAATGATAATTAGCATACAAGTATACCTATGAAAGATTTGGATTTGTAAGTATCACACATGGATCACCAGACTCAAATCACCAAGTCAGATGTGTCTTCATTCAAAATAAAAAAATACCAGCATTTTTACACATCTGTGGCGCACACATTGAGGATGTAGTAGTCTTGTTCATGTATGCCAGTTCAGCCTTATCCAATGAAAAAAAATTACACAAACTGTTAACCAAATGTGATGATTTATTGTTCACAATTTAAAGAGTTGTAACCATTTTCATACAGCGATAAAAGACTGTATATAATCTAACAAACAGCAAAAGGCAAATATATTCGGTGATCCAGTCTTTCATGACTCTGACAGAGGGATTCAGAGGGGAAGGGTGCTCATGTCTTTATTATCAATGTTTAACTGGATGGTACAAAATGAACGAAGTAAGGGGGCTGTTTATGTGCTGCAAATATTTTGATGTCACAGTCCATCAATATACTATATATTCGATAACATTCCCACTGATGGAAAACCAATAAACAAATACGGACCACAGTATAAGATACAGCCCTGTGTCATTGGTTCACTGCAGATTGTGGATCATCTCTTCCTTGGCGATGAGATGGGTGGTCTTGTTGACCAGAGACATAAGAGAGTTGAGTTTGTGCGACCAGTCGTTGAGCAGGTCGTTGGGGTCTTTAGGCCTCTGAAAGTTGATGATGCCAGCCAGCCTGTCGACCTTGGCGTAGATGGTCTTGTTCACCACTAGACTTGAGAGAAACTCCTCGGATTCCTAGTAAAAGAATTAGCAAGACTTAATAAGCGTTTTTTTGTTTGTTTTTTTTTTCCCCAATTTTTTTTAAGTAGTTTTATATAATTACAAAGTTTGGTATTCATTTTAAGCTGTTTCCAGTTATGTCTATCTTCTTTAGATGCTCAAAATGAAATTATTGATCAGATATATCTTAAATGAAACATCATGCAATAGTTACACAAACAAATCAGATTTTATATTAAGTTATTACAGGGTCAAATAATAGCTATTCACTGGCATATAATGAAGCATGTCAGTCATCAGTGACCAAAACTTATCCAAATCACTGCTTTTAACTAGTGCTGATATATCTACACACATGTCCAACTCAAAATGTAAACAATTCTGGACATAGCTTTTTGGTAAGATAAGAGATAAGTAAGGTATTCCTTTATTAGTCCCACAATGTGCATCTTCTGTGCCGTCAATGTGAGCTTTGGTCTTGATGAGCTAATTACTAAAATAGCTGCTTACATCAACAGAGAGGTCAAGGAGTCCGGCCATCCTCTTCATTGTGATTCTGGTGTAATACTTGGCCATTATTCTGATGTTCTGAGGAAACAGGGAGAAATTCATTAATGTACTTGTCTGCAGTCGTATATTTGCATACATTATTTCACAGTTCAAAGAATAAGAGCTTTTGGGTCACACTGATGCCTACAGCTGAAAAGAATATTCACAACAACCAATCCATTAGCACTCTGGTTTGAGTGAGTGTACGTTATTATTGCACATTACAGGCTGACTGTTAAGCTGCTGAATCTGCAGAGCTTTAACATCATTTCATTTCTACATGTTGCTTTAACAGTTTTGCTGATGTGATGTAAATTAAATTCTGAGGGTATGCCAAGCAAATCACTTTTCTATTAAAACATATTTCTCAGTTGGATTGAGGATCAGAACATACTCCTCCACAGAGAACTGACAAAAACCATAGCAAAACACACAAATACCAGCTTATTAAGGACGCCCAGGCATGACAGAGATCCCTCCAAGTTAACAAAGACACAGAGATTGTGTGACACTGGCATGTGGCCAGAAATCTGATTTCTAGACTTGAAATGTATATGTACTAGGGATGGGCAATATTGGCTAAAAAATGTATCACAATATGCCATTTTGGCCATAAGGATAAAAGTTCTAATAACAAATAATATCATTTCAATCCATGTGTTTGGCTCATTCTGTCTTAAAAACATGTTCTTGGATGGCACTTACCAGTTGGTATAGTCAAATAAGATATACAACCACAAGTTTAAGTGGTAGGTTATGGAGAAAACTAGTAGCATCAAACAAGTCTGAAATGTGAAAACACTTTCAACATTTACTCAAAACTCTTATTGCACAAAGTGAACCGCTGCAGCAGATCCACTGTCCATTGTCAAGCATACCTAACTGCACTCGTCTAAGCCCCAATGTTATAGGAAATCCCTTAAATGTCTCACTTACGTCATCAATTGAATTCATTGCATTTATCACGAAATCGCAAATATTTAGCGTGGAGGATTTTTCTGATGATGAATCATGAATGAAAATTTAGCACCCATCCCTAATATGTACCTGATGTTAAAGGCCTAATGCTTTTTATATGAGTGTTTAATCAGCTGAGGATCTTAACTGCCCATCAAAAACGTCACTAAAAAATATTAGAAAATATAAAATATTAGAAAACTCTGCCAAATCTCTGAACATGACCTGCTCTTGACCTGACCTTCTGCCTACCCTCACACCACGTACGTACTCCAATTTGAATTATATCACTACTTTTAACTTTCCATTCTCTTTGGTCTAATTCGCACTGTTTTTTGCTATTGTGTCCAACCACATAACAAATACAATAGCTTAACCCTTTAGTTTGCAATTCCTAGCTTAGTCCAAACCCTTTGGGAATACAAATTTTTCAATAGATGTTTTAAGCCAAGGATTTACAAAACCACACTAAAGCTATCTGGATTTGTTATAAAAAGAGAACAACTTGAGACTTACATGCTCCACCACTCTGTTCTTCAGATCCTTCCACCTTTTCTGCGCCTCTTCTGAATAAGAGAAGACATCTGTAGCAGGGCTGTCAGGGGAGCCCTCTCTCAGCTCTTTCCCATAATCCTCCACCAGGGAGGCCCAGCGCATCAGCTCCATAGTGGTGAACTGTTTCAGGAGGTCCCTGGGAAGAAAGGAAGGAGAACTGTGGTCAAAATTCTTTTGTAGTTACTTGTAGGAGTAGAGTGTGTCTCTATGAAGTCAGTATTAGGACTAGGCAATTATATGATCGTGATAAATTTCAGTTCAATCACAGTGATCAGCTGTGCGCTTATTTATTCGATCAAACATAGCGGAAATGTGCGTGACAACAGCCAATCAGAATCAAGCTTTTCCTGCTCGATTTTGCCAGAGAAGTGAACAGGGGAAGCAAAGAGAATGGCCGAACGTAACGCTTGCTTTGTTATCTACTTTGTATGTTAATAAAATGTTGAACTAATCTCTAGTTTCTTTAGTTTTTAGTGCAGAGACTTTAAAGCGGGCAGCTTAAAAAAAATTGAGATCGGACGATATGACAATATACTGTATATCGAATTCATTGCTTGTTTTTTTTTTTGCCAAAATGCCCAGTCCTAGTCAGTATATAGTAATCTGGGGTGTAGATGGGGATGATGAAAGATGATAGGGCACCATTGGCATAGTGGTCTACCTCATAAGGTTTGCTTCCAGCTTGTGGCTTCTTTCCACAAGCACATCTGTGCTGCTGTCCACTATTCGACATGTATGACACTACTTTTAAGTATCTTTGCCTCAAATGAACACAAACAGCCAAGTTGGCTCACTGCTTTTAAAAATGGTAGGTTGTATCTAAGCTGAACTCAAACTAACATCCTCTCATGGGTCACCTTCTCATTGTTAATCTGGAACACTGGATAAAACCAGGTGATTCCCATATCTCTCAAACCAATAACGCTATCATTTCTTCATTTTAAAATTTTGTTTCACACTAGCCTTTGCAGCAAACACAGAAAAAACTACACCATCTTGAATTCCTTGGGTGTAAAAAAACAGCTGATTTCTTCTTCATATATTTGTATGCAAACACAAAGAATTGCAGCTACGTTGTACAGACGATTCTTCGTTCAAATGTCTTCACTTTTAAAGATCAACATTTGTTTCTAAACTTGGGGTTGTTAATGGCTTTAAAATGCCAACAAATAGGATTGTAATTCTAAATTGGGTCCAAATTTAATAAAATTCTGTAAAGTTATCTGTATCTAATGTGAAGCCCACAAATAGAAGAAAGCAGAATATGTCTTACTTGTATTTGGGAATTTCTTCCAGTCTCTTGTCAGCACTGATTCTGTGTACAAGGTCCGACTGCTCGTTGTCGTAAGGGGAGAGAATCACGTACAGAACCACACTCTTCAGGGCCTGAAACACAAACATTTATGGTTTATGAGGTAAAATCTCACATAGCATCAATTTTAGAATGAGTTCTGTTATGGTTTTTGTCATTGTTTTGGTTCTGGGTATGTGCTGACCCCCAGTGTGGTCATGTAAAAATAACCGTTTTACATCTAGATTTCAATAAAATTATTTTATATTGTACCTTGTACGTCTTTGACATGCATCTTCAATAGGAATCAAAGCTTTTTAATGATGCTTTGATATCTTGGCCAAGTCTTCTTTAAAGAAATCATTCTTTTGAAATCATAGGAATTTCTAGTCAAATAATGAGTTATACAAGAATAAAACAGAAAACACAAAATAAAAACCACTTATTGGTCTTACACGAGGTTGAAAACGCAGTGCAGTGAGCTGCTGTGCCTCACAAGATTTTTTTTAAGTACTTAATCACTAATGGGAATGTAATTAGAGATGTGGAAACTCCTTCCAATAACACTTTATAACTGGCAAGGGGAAGACATCAGTTTTCTTTATTTCATAAACCAGATTTGTGGCTGACAATCTGTGGAAAAAAAGCCTGTGTACCTGTTGCCACTTGCTGCTGTCCTCCAAGATGCAGGGGGTGTCATAGATGGCCCGGTAGTGTTTGCATATAGACAGGTAGGAACCCTCATGCTGGTCCACTTGAATCATCAGGTTGTAGTATTTGAGCTTTGACTCCTGCGTTGTTCATTTCATAAAAAGGGGAAATGTTACACTCAATAACACTGACCCTTGTCTGCTCAGATTCACTGATAAAGATGCAATACGAGAGCTGCTTATTTGAGCTTATTTTTTTAGCCTCTTACTCACCTCTGTGCCCTCCTCTGTGAAGAATTTGGTGTTGATCTTCTTGCTGATGATCTGGGTGCGGATGTAATCCTTGACTGCGATGCAAAGCCTCATCTGTTCCAAAATAAATTCCACTTTCTCCTTTTTCTCCATGGAGCCATATGTCTCCACCTAAGCAGAAAAAAGTACACATCCTTGGTACCTCACAAACAACACTTTTCGGCATGACGAACACAAATACACTTACTCTGATAACATAGATGATATATAAGAGCTATAAGGCTTTTACCTGCAGCTCCTGAAGGATGGAAGCTGCCTCTTTAACCTCTCCACTCTGCTCCTTGATTCCTGCCAAGGTCTTTGTCAGCCTGGCTCGCTCAATCTCCACATAGATCTGTGAGGAAAAAAATATTTTTAAGAACACAACTTTGCTGCATGTTTTTCTTTTACCCACCACATTGTCTGCATCTCTATTCAGGGAGGTAACACTAGTCACCATGAATGTTCCTTACCTTGCCAGCAGTCACAGTGCGAAGAGTGTCGATAAGCCTCAACTTGATGGTCAAATCAGTCACAGCATCCACATACTTGTAGCACTCTTGCACCATTTTGGCAACAGCCTGAGAAAACATTGCAAGAAACACTTTGGTCACAGCAATCCAATATCAACTGAAAGATAAACTACCTTAAGGTTCAGAAAAATGTATTATCAACGTGTGGGATTTTTCACAATATGCTTGAACACAACTGGAAGAGATTGCCATCTGGGGTTTGTCTCACCTGTTTCAGTTGACTTCTCCTTTTAGAGAGCAACATGATGTTTTCATTCAGAGCATCCCAATCCTTGGCCTCATAGCATATTTGGACTACAGCCACAAGGATTCTGGAGGTGGACACCATATCTGATGCCTGTGCAGAAATAGATAGCAATTAAAACACAGAGTAGAATATCATGCACACGGGTATAATCTCAAATTCACTGTTCCATCAGGATTATCTGTTCCATGCTTTCAAAAATCAAAGTATTTACAATTCTTAGATTTTGATCTGCTGTTAGCAAGACTTCGGGCCAGCCCATTACGGGGGTGACGCAGCTCAAGGAAGCTCAAGGAACATTTATGATCATTCCTTTATCATTTCCTTGAAGTAATAATCACCATATTAATCGTTTTGCACTGCAGACGCCGTAGTTCTTCTGCCTTAGTGACTCGGTCTGATTGCATGTCCAAGAGGAAATAATCATAAATGTTCTTCCTTGAGCTGTGTCACCCCGCAGCAGTCCGTAATGGACTGGTCTGAGGTCTCTGCACAAACAAGCGCCTGCTGGAGAAGAGTAGGTGAGTTGTGTTTAGTCTCTTTGCTAAAGAAATTAGGCAAAGCTAAAAAGATGTTTGATGGCTAGTGCTGTGGCTGGGACCCTATATGTACTGTTGATGAAGTTAAGTGCTGTTCTGAGTATTATATGTGGCTATAGAGTGGCTTTTTGGTTGAGTTTTGTTTATGGCTGCTCAGACTGCTGTGTATTGCTATCATGCGGTTGTTACTAAAGTTGGTAAAACTAGAGAAGCAAGCAGTCAGCGACATTCATCTCTTGAGGGGGTGTCTTACTCGCTGTTACGGTGTGCTTGACCTTAAACTAACTTCACACCGGAATATCCCTTTAATTTTGGGAGGAGTCATCTCATTTTGTACAACGAATTAAATGACTGTCACGGACGTGGGCAGGACCTTTTATAGCCAGAGGGACGTAAACAGACTGTTTTTATATATATAAAAACAACTTCATAAATTGCAGCTTACCGTCCGGGTTTGTTTCTCCAGTGACAACAAGCTCTCAATGGCCTCTTGCAGCTTTCCTTCCTACCATGTCAGGAAAAAAAACTTTGCATTACTTGCGGTCAAAAACTCATAAATAACAATTTTACTTCTATAGTGACTTAACATCGCTGGATTGGGACCTGAAGATGCTACCAATGACTGAACAGCTAAGACGACACAGAAGCTAGCGAGCGAGCTAAGTTGATATAACAGAGGTATAGGTAAGGAAATGGAGCAAAAATAGCATTTGCAATTCATTCAAACGTTAACTAATAAGCTACGTTAAATACATTACATATGAGAGGTTTCCGGGTAGTGCTAAAGTGTCAATGCTAGCTTGTAAGCTAACCAAGAGTGCACCATGACTCAGCCGGCTCTGGCCTCTTTCAGACTCCACTCACTTTGGCCATTTTCTCGCATTCTGGGAGACGCTGGTCTACAGTTGAACTGTAGTCGATCTCCATCTTCACGATTTTCCCATCGGATCTTTCGGATCGCTCTTCAGACATGTCTGCGGTTTGTGTGTTACGCTCGGTGGACGGTGCTGCTCTTCTTCTTTTTCTTCTCCCCACACTCACTCACTCAGTCCGTCTCTATTTTGCTTGTCATTCGAACCAAACGGGTAATTGACCAATCAGAGAAGAGAACCGGAGAACAGGCCGCAGCGCCTGAAGGACCCAGTGAGGACCCCGCTCCTCCGTCTCACAATTCATGCAGGCATAATAAAGGTTTGTGTACGGGAGATTTTTTTTAAATTATTTTTATTTTTTCATAAATTCTATTCAACGTAAAAACAGTGACATGCTAAAATTTAGCAGTGTAGTTAAATAAATCCAAGCTATGCGTTAAATGGTACCTCACTGATAAAGGAAATTTAAAAAACAAAACAAAATATAAACCATGAACAAGGACGTTTTCAGTTGAACTATTTACTTCGATGTATTGCTTCCCCCCCGTCAAAAGCAGGACTTTCCTATGGCAAATGTACGACTATGGATGTAAAATTCAGCTCGAAACATAATAAGTACAATAGAATGGTGTTTATGATGAATTGTTTATTGGGATATATCACTTTGAAATGCAAGTGATTAATAAAAACACAAGTAAAAGATATAAATGACAGATAATACAAACATAGATAGATAGATAGATAGGAACTAAAACTACATTGCCACTATTTTATCACTATTTACACATATCAAGGGTAGTTAAAAAACGGTCTGAGATCTAAGATGATGATGATGATGATGATGATGATGATGATGATGATTATTATTATTATTATTATTATTATTATTATTATTATTATTATTATTATTATTTTTATTTCAACAATGAGGTATCTACTAAAAACAGGGATACATAATTTTGAATTATTTAAATCCGTCTAAAAACCCACTTTTATTCTCTGGCTTTTGATCCTGCATGTGACAGCATTTGTTTTATTGCTTTTTTTTTATTTATTTATTATATTTTAAAACAACTATTTATTGTGGATATGTGTTTTATGTTATTATGTACAGCACTTTGTGTCAGCTTTGGTTGTATTTAAAGTGCTCTATAAATAAAGTTGAGTTGAGTTGAGTTGAGATGAACAAAACCTCTCCAACCTCAGTGACCGAAGTATTTTTTGGGGGAAAGTACTTTTTTTTTTCTCTCTCAACTAATATCATTAATGTGGCCAGCTCAGGGAAAAGGGAACAACATGAGACAGGGGTGCCTGTCTCATTGTTATTTTTGCAAATAAAAGAATTAAAAAGATTTTTCAAATAAGTGAGTCAGTCATATCCAGAGAGGGCAAAACAGGGGCAGTGGCTTGAATACTTCTCCTAAACAACATACACACACCTAAAAGGATCACATTACAGATAATGGAAAATTGTCTGGGAGATACAGGTATGTATTTAATATTGTGCCTACAACTGAAAAGCAAGTATTGATATTGTTGAAGCATTCTGTGAAAAGTAATGGAGGTTTTTGTTCCTGTTTAGCTTCTCTGATATGTACAATTCTAGTTAGGAACATTCAAATATATCTCATACTTATCAAAGCACACAAAGCAAAGCATGGAAAACCACATGGAAGCTGCACAACATAAACAAATAGGAAAAATATTTGAATAACGTGTAACAGTATGGGTCTTCCACTTAAAAGTATTGCCTTAAATCACTTGTAATGTAATTTACTGTGGTGAGCTTTATATAATACAAACTGCACAGCTAATCAAACAAATATATTTTCCTAGCCCAACATTTGTCTGTTTTTGAGTAGATATTGAAAGGCAGAAGCCAGAAGCAGATACTACAGGCCAGGATCCACGAAAAAGATAACCCTGGACACAGAGTGATGGCAGAGATTAAGAAAAACAGTCCAGAAACACAAAGAGCAAAATCAAACTGAGCTTTGCTTTGATTAAAGCTTAGTGCAGTCAAACACAAACATATAAGTCAAGTTTAAAAGCAAATAGTGCTTACATTGATAAAAGGGTGAAACAGACACAAGTAAAATAGGATGATATACACGGCTTATGTACACTCTCATCCTGAACTAATCAATCAAATGGTCAGGGTGAATGGAAAACTTCATGAATGAACACAGTTATTTGAATGAATAATGAGTGCAATGACCAAACTACGCCAGCAGATGTCGCTTTTATGACTGCATGGTGCATTCTTGTCTAAACACTGTTCTGTGCTGTTAAAGGCCTTAAATGTTCCTGTAAATAAAGCTAATATGGGTCAGCTATTTTCCTGCCGGTGGCAGAGAAAGCCCCAAAGCATTAAACTAGGATCAGTATGATCCCAAAGCAGGCTTAGCGCAGACCTCAGAGTCGTCATAAACTGAGATGACTTCAGTAAATAAGAGCCTCTACTCTGTAAATCTTCCTCTGCTGAAATGAAAATCCAGCATGAAACAAGAGGCCTGATAATGGTTTGATGTTCTATGAAGTGATTTGATTGTATATTAAACCTCAAAAACACAACAACTCTGCTTAGTTTACATAGATCCATCTCTATTTCACAAACAGGTTTCATAAAAAGTAGTTTTCTGCCCAAAAGTGGGTCAGAAGTCAGCTTCAATTTTGCTATTTTGGAATTCACTTATTTGTTTGTTATTGCTTATGTAACTGCTCAGATGACATGGAGCTCTAATCTGCTTTCCAATCTGAGGATCAGGAGTGGAATAGGCCCTGGTATTTTTTGTTTGTTTGGTTTTTGTCTTTTTAAGCTGCTGTAGGTATTATTTGTGTAATAAGAATAAGAGCTTTATTTATCACAGAAGAGAAATACGATTGTCTGCAGTCCCATTTGTCATGTCTCAAGAAGTCATCTACTATTTATGTAAGAATTATAAAGTCTGATGACTGTGGCTACAAAAGACCCTCTGAATCTTTCTGTCCTGAAGCAAAAAGAGAGGAGCCATCCACCACCATTAGCCCTTTGGTCCATCAAGGTGTTATGAAGTGGGTGATCCATGTCATTTAGAATAGCCTCCACCTTCCCTAGTGTACATCTCTCCACCACATCCCTCAGTGAGTCCAACTTGAATTCTACTACAGAGCCAGCTTTTTTAATCAATTTGTTCAGACACCTTGCATCTTTGTGTTTGATACTGCCACCACAGACTGATAGAACATCTGCAGCGTCTTACTACAGATGTCTATTGATTGTGGTCTTCTCAGGCAAAAGAGGTGGCTCTGCCCCCTTTTGTAAATGAAGTCTATGTTCTTAGACCAGTCCAATATATTATCCACATGTACACCTAGATATTTATACCATGACACCACCTCGATGTCCATGCCACAGGTGTTTACTGGCTTAAGAGGAGGTTTGGATCTGCAGAAGTCTATAGTCATTTCTTTTGTCTTTGAGGTGTTTAGTAGGAGGCAGTTTTTGTCACTTCAGTCACTGAAGGCTCTTATCAGATCTCTGTATTCAGTGTCATGTCCATTTCTGATACATGCTACGAAAGCAGTGTCATCTGAGTATTTCTGGATGTGGCAATGGGTTGAAAATAAATGCCCCTTTGTTTGACTGAAGTTATCATGACATTTGAATGTATCTCAAGAATTGAGAAATGTATGAAAGGATATTGGATGACTATTTATTTATCTGAACACATTTTTTAAATGACAAGACATATAAAGCACGTCTTTGTACGACTGATTACTTTAAGTACCCTAGCTGCTCATGCTTGCCCTTCTTTTTGCATTTGTCAAAATGGTTTGCTCATAAATCTAAAAAGCTGCATTTCATTTCATTCTGAACTATTTAAAGATAATAGTAAGAACTGCCATGATTGTATGAATGCATGCAAATGAATGCTGTGCACAAAAACCTGCAATCAGCACTGCAGGAACTGGAATCTGTCAACAGAGCTGTCACCCACGACATCACACCTCAACTCCTTCCACTGCTAACGACCCATACGTGAACTTTATCGAAAATGAAACACATGCAAACAAATTAGAGTGAAATGAATAGACTGTAATTTAAAGCCATTACAACATTTCTGCATCATACATCAGCCATTTATTACTCCTCCCCCACTGCTACTATACACTGAACACAATACGTGCAAGGCCACACTGGAAACGGGTGATATGACTAGCATGGAAATTGCACTGCCAATTAGCATGAAGAGGAATACTGCAGAGGGACCCAGACACCTGAACGCAATATTTAATGCTCACAACAGCATCTGCCACTACAGAGTAGAGTCAACACACACGTATAAACTAGTTTTTTTAGACTGTTATTCATGAGCATGAGTGGAGTATATCTCACACAGCTATACTCTTACATATCAGGCATACCAGATGAGTATTTCTCTGCTTGGACAGGCTTATCAGTGACACCCTCTTAAATCTGTGTTGACCAGATGGAATCCATGTCACTTTAGTCTGTGGTGAAATTTAGTCCTGAAGTTTAACAGACATGATTCAGGAGATATTAAGTGGGGATAAACGGTTCGCATTTAAGATGATTTTGGCTCAAATGTAACCTGACATCACTCTGAACCTACACTGAGACGCCCTGACATGAACTGTATTGTATGCACAGTTGGCTGAGACAGATGTGAGGCCAGTGTGCAGCAGTGAGCTGATGCTTCCTGTGGTTGTGTCAGCCCATGTTTCCACCGAGTAGCCCACAGCGTCGTATTTCAGCGAGCCTTGCAGAGGAAGGAAAGGGGGGCTGGGGCTGGGGCTGCTGTTTAACCGCTTAAATTTTCCGATGTCTCTGCAAGCTGCTTTCTCAAGTAGAAGCTGACGAGCCGGGGAAGGCAGTGAGACTCTTTTGTCTCAGATTTAGGCGGTCTTTCAGTCCCTCTCGCTCCGAAGTAAACAAGCCATAATGTTGTGTCTGCCACGGAGGGTGGATTCAAGGATCACCACGTCCAAAAGCACACATTTTCTGGTTCAGCAATTTTGGATATTTACTTCTAGCGGTCCTCGAAGTCACTCTGGTGAAGCCAAGTGAAACAAAATAATCTCACATCCGGTCGAACGGTTTTCAAATTAATGGTCTCGTTGATAATTGACTTGAAGTTTAAATAGAATATTTTACCTGGACTGAGCTATGGATAATTCAGTGTCTTTTAAATGTAATTAAACTTTAGCCTGCACGTGTCTAAGTCAACTCAGGTGTAAGTGTTACCCTTTATCAATCAATTTCGTGGAATGAATGAATTAGTAGATGAAAAGCATGGCTGCTTATGTTAGTTTTTTTTTTTTATTACCAGCAAGTGCGACTGTGGTACTTATTCAAATGAATTCATTTGCACAGTATTTTCAAAAATAATTGACTACCCTACGATGCAGCAAGTACCTTTATTTGCAGAGCCGGCCCAAGGCATAAGCGAACTAAGCGCCTGCTTAGGGCCCCGCAGGCAGTAGGGGCCCACCAAGAGCGATCAAAAAAAAAAAAAAAAAGTAATATTTTTTTATTTTTTTGCATGTTTGAGTGATGTCAGTATGATCAAATATACATTATTGTAAAAATAAAATAAAGTGAAAATATTTTAGTGCTGCTGCTGATGTAGGCCCATGATTCTTACCTGAGCCAGCCCAAGGCATAAGCAAACTAAGAACCTGCTTAGGACCCCATGGCCAGACCCCAAGAGCAACCCCCCCCCCCCCCCCCAGAAAAAATAATAAATAAATAACTTTTTTGCATGTATGAGTGATGCTTTCTGTATGATCAAATATATAGTATTGTACAATAGAATAAAATAAAATGATGTAGGTTGCTGCTGATTTAGGCCTATGATTCTTACTGCCAAGCTCCGCTACCATTATGTGCCTTCTGCTGTGCAATGTGCACTGAGCATCCAAAGTGCAGGTAGTTGTGCGGCAAAACAATGTCGCAAAAAAGGACATATCCTTCAGGAGCAGAGAAAAGAAAGAGGAAGAAAGAGGAAGAAGAGAAAAAAATGCCAAGATAAGAGTATATTTGCATGTCATGAAATGTTAGAGAATCAAAGAGATTTGTGAAGGTGTGTGAATGTTTAACAATCAATATTTTTGGCAGATATAAACGGCCCCAAACTCAAATTTTGCTTAGGGCCCCGTTGAGGCTTGGGCCGGCTCTGTTTATTTGTGTTGCAGTTATTGTGCAGTTTTATTCATAGTGTAATATGGGCTGTGTTCTGCCTTACCAGCTAGATTCAGGTGAACTGGAAAACGTAACAGAATATATTTATTTTAAACAAACGTGAGTAAGTTTCAAGTATAGAGGAGATTTAAGGTTAAAGGGATTTTTAAAATCCGCTTTTATTTCGAAATCAAGAATCTCATACTGTTTCCGGTCCTGTTCGGCTCTGTGTGCTTTAACTTGACCCCACAGTGTGAAAGGAGGGGGCAACACTGAGACGAGCTCATTCCTGCTCTTACGTTCCGTACCGGAGAGACTGGCCACTGGTTCGGATGAAAGAAGTCAGTCGTAACTTGGGGTGTATCTCATAAACCGGACCCTCCATTCTCCCACATGTGCTGACACGTCTCCAGGCTTTACACACATCCCGTCGGCCGGCGGAGGGGGCACAGACTTGTTTGGTTGACACATTTGTGAAGACGAGGGGAGAAGACGCGCCGAAGGGAAGATGTTGCTGAAGGAGTACAGGATATGTATGCCCCTCACGGTAGAGGAGGTGAGTTTAATAACAATTTTTCGGATCATTAATAAAGTCGTTTCCGCCACGCCTGGGGTTGAGTCGGTAGTGTTACCAAAAACTCTGCTAGCTAACGTTGTATTGTTGTGTTTGCTGTCAATAGTTACAGACATGTGGCAGGATGTCAGTGTAGTGCAACTGAGCTGAACTCAAGTCTCCACTTTTCTTTGGTTACTGTCACTGCAGACTGAAAATGCCTTTCTGTGTTGGCTGTGAAACACTTTTGGTTCACGCACATTAAGAATTCTTGAGCAATTCTTCATTTTTTAGCCTTTTTAATGAGATCCTGGACAAGGGTCACACACCACACCGCCACAGCCTGGAAGCTGTCATCAAGATCCTGTCTTTCAGAGTTTGTATGATGATTAATTATGATTAAACTATCTTGATAAAATGCCACTATTACAACCTCACTGGCCAGCACTCTTTAAGTCCCAATGCAGATCACAGCATTGTTCCTTCCTTTCAATCCCTGATGGAAATAGCATCCATTCATTCATGTTGTCTAATTGGCTTCACAGGATGGCACTAGCACAATGCACAGCAATTACTTGTGTTCAACACTACAGATAACATTTGCACTTGTGCTTGAAATAAATGGCTTTTGTGTGCATTCAGCCTACTTGGGTATGTGGTCTCACGACTCGTTCTAAAATTAGACCCTGAACATGCTTTACTCTGTTGTCCTGACATGACAGTACCCTCACCTGTGAAACACTTTTAGTTTATGCACATTAAGAACTCTTTAGCAATTTTATATATTTTTTAGCCTTTTTAATGAGATCCTGGACAAGGGTCACACACATAGACTGTATATAGAATGGACGCCGTCTGCCTCCTTGCAGGGTGAAGCCACTCCGAGAACAGCACAGTCTGGTGACGGGCTGCAGTTAAGGTAATAAATCCCACCTCCACCAACAAAGCTTATGAAGCTGTGGACAAACTTTAACATTTATTATACAGAATATAATTTTTTCGACCCCCTGGTTGCGATGTTGATATGTAGTTACTGTAAGGCTGGTTTGTTCTCAAGTCCTCTTTTTTCTGTACAGCTCCGTTTAAGTTATTAGGGAGTTCATGTTTGCTATGATTGACACTTGGTACAGTCTGTCGGCGTATGAAACTTGCATAACTTACCCGGGGTATATGCCCACAGCGCAATGCGACGACGAAATGACATCTATTAAACGTATTTTTTCGACGATGAGGTACAAAGGTGGATGTCATTTCAACGTCTAAAAGAGGTCCACTAATGACATCTAAATCTCTGAACCATTTTGCACGTTGTGCCGACGTCTAGATTTGGTCTTCAGATGACGTCCAAATTCTAAACGTCAGAATGACGTCTAAAAAAGGTCCAATTTGGGCATCGAAACTTCTAACCTATTTTGCACGTCGCACTGATGCCTAGATGTGGTCTTTGACGGACCGACCCAATACTGACTTGATCTGCACGTCTCTTTGACGTCTGATGTTTGGTGGGTGCTGTTTGAGCCGAGAGTCATCACAGCAACTCTCTGCGACTCTCCCGCCGAATGCGTACAATGCTACTGCATAAGTGGAGAAGTGCGTACAACACTACTGCGCAATGTTGGTGTCAGAAAATGGAGAAAAAATGCGGAAATACAGAGAGCTTTTTGGCTTCAAATCCGTATACTGGCGGAACCAAGTTGTCCATAGTATAGTCTATGGTCACACACCACAACAGGAAAGCTGTCATCAAGATCTTGTCTTTCAGAGTTTGTATGATTTAAATATCTTGATAAAATGCCACTATTACCACCTCACTGGCCAGAACTCTATTAGTGCCATTGCAGATCACAGCATTGTTCCTTCCTTTCAATCCCTGATGGAAATAGCATCCATTCATTCATGTTGTCTAATTGGCTTCACAGGATGGCACTAGCACAATGCACAGCAATTACTTGTGTTTAAGACTACAGATAACATTTGCACTTGTGCTTGAAAGAAATGGCTTTTGTGTGCATTCAGCCTACTTGTGTATGTGGTCTCACGACTCGTTCTAAATTTAGACCCTGAACATGCTTTACCCTGTTGTCCTGACATGACAGTACCTTTTTTCATTATCGCCTATGCCATTGTTTACTTACTCATCATCTCCATGGGCTGTGTAGCTGCGGTGCGTGGGAGTTTTTGATGGTGTTCTCATATGGTCTGATGGCTGACAGTCAGGTGGAATAATGGTCTAGCTCTACAGCATCATCTTGTCAGGGTTGTCAGTGACATGAGGCCACAAGAGATTTCCTCTAAAAAAGCTTCATTATGGAGAGCATGAGCTGAATAATGAGGGCGTTTTGTTGTTCATAGAAGTTATGTTTAGGAGAGTTAGGTAGAGATGAAGCAGATATGCGGCTGCTTGCTTTCAGATCTTTGACACATGATCTTACATTCCCTCTCTTTCAGTCTTTGCCTTTGTAAACCGCTGTCTCTTTCTGTTTATACCAGCATGCAAAACCTTTAGTGATGTACATCAAGTTTATGCCCAGTCCTCTAAGGACAGTTAAAAGGCTTTCCAGGAATTAAAAGGATCGCTATGGAGTGATGTGGAAAGAGTTGCATCCCTGCTCTGTGTCAGAGGCGGACAGAATGGTGGCATGAAAGTCTTACCAAGCGCAGGTTCAAAGACGAGTACATTTGTTTTTCCTGCAGGTGCTATATTTAGTCACGAGAAGATGTGAACCAAGCATTTAACCGCCCCCACATGCAGAAAGCTGTGGTCAAACGCAAATGTCTTTTTCAAATGAGAGTGTTACAGGAAGAGCGCTTTGACAGGTCCTCTGAAATACCTCAAATGTGTGCACCTGTGTATTTTTCAGACACTGCTTGTGTGTTATATGTGGGTGTTTGCATACACACAGGAATTTCCTACCAGTACGTGCGTCTCTTATCTTCTGTGTGCATGTATCTTTTGTGCAGAGTAGCATTGAGAGCTTTCCTGTCACGTCTGTCCTAACTTATGAACAGATGGTTGTTATGAGAGGACAGAAGCGTGTAATTAAAGACTCAATATAAAGCACAGAGCACAGGATTTGCTAGCAGTTTGATTAACTTCTGTTCACCGTTTCTGCACATAAATAGAGAATCTGTCAGCGTGAGACATGATCTTTTTCTTTCTTTATGAGTGGGTTTGTTTCTTCCTTTTTTTAATGCTTGTATCCACTTACATTTCAGAAGTTCATGTGCAAAGCAAAGATGATTTTAGACTCAAATTGACAAGAAATTAGCCTTTGGTTTATCCCTGTAGATAGATATCTGCATTTGACTGTGATTTATGTTTCTCAATTTGCTCATCAAACAATGACAACTCATGGAAAACCTTGGTTAAAGGTCCTCTCGGTAACATATCCACTTGAGGTCCTCAAAAAGTTGGCCACCATCACTGACAGACGTAAGCCAGTGTGTTTCAAACTTGGACATGAATCAACTTATGTGGTTTAAGGTTTGCTTACATATACGAAAGCAAAAATTTGTATCTCCCCAGTCATCCTTTTAGACTTAAGAGGCCTTGTTGGGCCCGTTACCACTTTCTGTCTGCATTTCTTTTCACGGCTATAGTAGTATATGTACAACCCCACTTTTATTGTTTTGGGAAACACAGAGACCTGTTTCTGGAGTTTTGAAAGTGAAATGTTGTCCCTTCCTGCTCAGCAGTTTCCTAAACAGAGGATAAGGGTCTCCTTTGTTGGTATCAAGTTAAGACTGTGGGCATTATCTCAGAAACGCTCAAGTGTGAGCTCACACAGCCTTTCACAGAGCGGTGAACAGCTTCACAGTTTGGCTAGTCTGATATGATCTTTTCATACCTAGTTATTTTGCCATAATCATCTAGGAGATGTTCCTCCAGCTTTTTTTTTTTGTACATCAGTGTCTCACAGCTTTTGAGTGTTTTGTTGTCTCTGCCGTGAAAGGAGTGAGATGGCTGTTTTTCTTCTCCTTACACCAGCTGTGTCTTACAGGCATCGCAAAGAGCTGCTGCGTTTGTTTCAGACACATTGAAATACTGACATGTTGAAGCTTGTTCTTACCCTATAGCATACAAATTTATCATCTAATAGTAATATCACCTCATGATTCTGTGCATCTTCAAATTTACTTTAACTACTTTTGCCATCAGATTTTTTTCTCCTACAAAAAAACACAAGCTGTGACGTTTCCTGGCATCTCTGTAGATTTTTTTATTAATTTGTTTATTTGCAAAGTTTTATTCACCAATAAGCATCCAAACAAATAAATGTGAACAGATAAATATTTGCATAGCAAGTTGTGATGTTGATTTACAAAATTTTATACATATAATAAGGGTTACCTAAACAAAATTAGGCAATGAAGAAAACAGAATAAACAGAAACAAACAAAAACAGATCAAGGCGGTAGAGAGGTAGGGGAGGAAGCATAACAAAACAAAACCAAAAATATGAAAACTAAAAAGAATAATTAAAAATGTTTAAAAAAAAAGAAATAAAATGTTAATACTAATAGAGAGACAAGAGCAGAAAGACAAAGAAAAAAGGTAAACAAAGTAAAACAGTGTGACTGCTTTGTGATCCTGAATGAAACAAAGAGGTATATTTGACAGGAGTTTTGTGATAAATTAGTTATGGTTATTTTCCATTGAGATTCAAATTTAGTTAATTTTCCCTTCTCCTCTTCACAAACAAGCCTTTGTATGTTTATGCTGTTTAAGCTGTGGCATCAACTTAGATGAGAGAGAAATGAGAGAGAGTGTTGATGCCATCTCTGTAGATATGAAAACAGATTGTCCAGTGTGGAGCCTTTGATTTCAGCTGCATCTCCTCCAACGGTCTTTTTCTTTGAGCAAGGATTTTGTTTTTGAGAAAAAGCTGACTTAAATTGCCTCAACTGACCAATTAGAATTGAGTATTCCAGCACAGCCTCACTATATCCTTGTTTTCAGCTACAAAAAGACAAAAAAACTGGATCAGTGTGTTATATACCAAAGTAAACAAGAAACATAATGGCCATCCAGATAGGGGCTACACTCTGCTTAGATTTGTATTTTTGCAAAGCTAAAGATGGTCTCAGTAAAGCTAGGGCATTATTTGTTTACAGCCTTGTAACTTTGTCAGAAGTCTATTTTTTCTGCATGTGCTATTCATGGCTGAGCAGACTGTCAGGATCCCTCGTCCTTCAAGAGGTGAGTCAGAGTTTCCTGTCTGTATCATAGGGAGAAGAACGGTGGACTGAGGAAGGATGGGATGGGTAGATGCTCAGCATGGATCCACCACTTAGTGCCAGCTGCGGAGAGGTTCAGAGGAAGGAAAAGGGGAGGGAGAGGAGGATGAGGGAAGTTCAGAGGTTTTTTTTTTTTCTTTCAGTTCCCAAGGGTCAGACACTAATTCTCTTTGTGTGTGTGTGTGTGCATGTGCTTAGATTTGGAGTCATGAGGACATGCAAGGTCACGTCTCTCCATGTATTGTCTCCGAGAGGAGATTACTGTTGCGCCATCGCAGTCTTACCCCTGCAGATGTTGGATCAGTTATCCCTACAGTGATTTTACAAGTTTAGCAAATACAGCACAGGCTTTGAAAACATTCAGAAATACCAGAGTGTATGAGCTGTTCTGCAAGCTTTTCTTTTGTGTCCTCTTAATCATAGCTAGCATTAATGGGTGTGTTTCTGCTCAGTGACTTCCTTTTTGTTCACGTTTAGTTGAACCTTGGCTTCTTGTGTGAAAGAAATGACTCAGTATATTACATGAAATGCCACAAATTAATATCAAATGGGGGGCGTACACTACACACATGAACATTTCCTGGCATTGCTAGTTTGAGCGCATGTGGACCACACATGATGTGATTGTCAAATTTGTGAGTTGTCATAGGGTTGCAGAATTCCGGGAATTTTCAGTGTTGGAAACTTCCTATGGGAATTAATGGAAATATATGGGAAATAAGGGGAATACATCTGAAATTAACAAAATTGGAGGTTGGCCCTTAACGGGGAACTTATATATAGTTGGGGAAAATATATTGTAGTATAATCTTGGCTAAAACAACCAGATTTAATGCAAGTACACTCCACAATCACATGCACACAGCACACTGCTTACTCCAGGGCTATTGAGGCCACACCCCCTACATGCACTGTGCATTCCCCCATCACATGAACAGATGATTTCTCGAACCCTGAGGCCACACGTTTGAGCCCAAAGCACAAGACATTTGAGTCCACAGACTTTATAAAGTCAAGTAAGTTTTGATAATATTATGGGGTTAATATACTTGATCTATAATAGTATTAATATTTATCTTGCAAAAATTAAATGAAAATTGGTGCTAAGTGTAAGCTTTTTCTCATTTCATTGACCATTTAAGGGGCTAGCTCATTATGGTGGTGGTAGACACCTCAAAATGTGATGCTGTTTTATCTAACTCCTGCAAGATGGTTTTCTGTAACCATACAATAATTTATACATCAATTGTCAAATATTTTGAAGACCATTCTAGTTGTTAAGCCAGCTATATTTCTGTTCATGCCATTGCATTAGTGTTTAAGCGTTTGTAAAAGCTCATGTTTTTTCATTGTATTTTTTTGCATGGGTGTCTGTGTATGACAAAACAAAAATGTTTACTTTTATGTTTGGATATGATACAATTTGTTTAAATTACTCCCAATTTCCAGTTAATTCCCATGAATTCCCATAACTCCCATGGAAAGTTTCCAATTTGGCATATTTCCAAAACTCCCCAGCTTAAGTTTCCATGGAAAGTTTATGGAAATTCACCAGAACTTTTCCGCCCCTTTGCAACCCTAGGTGCATGTGAGTTTCTTGAATTCAGAAAGGCCTGAACTTTCTGAATCCAAGAAAATTCCAGGAGTTAATCTCGATGCGAACATTTGTGGCTGCTCATTATGTAACAATGCGATGACTCAGTATCTGTAACCAAATCAAGAAAATCAGGTCTGAAGTGTCGGTGCTTGGTAGGATTCCAGATATAACGCATCGAATATGTTTAAGTATTACGGTAGTCTGAAGTTCCAGCGCTGACAGGATTTACGTGTAACTCTAACCACAACCACTTAGCCAAGAAATAATCATTTTCCCTTCTCACTCCCTTGGGGCTAACTCTGCTGTTTCTCCTCCTGCAAGCTGAGCCATTCATCAGCCACCGCACCCCTTTTTTTCCTGGAAAGGTTGGAGAAGTGATGCATCACAGGAGACACGGATAGATGTGTTGCTTCTCCTGCTGTCCGTCTTTCTGCCGTTACATCTCTCTTTCTCTCTGCTGCAGTAGCTCTCACTTACACCTCCCTGTCTTCAGCTGACAGGCTGTTTTTCAAGCTCACGAGAAAAAAACGCTGACATTGCCCAACCTTTGGCTGCCCTGAGTCATAGTGGCCCTCCAGCAGCACGCCTTCTTTCACAAACTACATTCACCTGATTCAGGTCTTGGTAGGAAAAAATCTGCAGCTCTCATCACAACTTAGAATTTCTTCTTTCGTGATTTATTATGCGGTGAATGAGCAACAAAAATAGATTTTGTGGGGGAATTTTTAGAATTCTTTTTAGATTTACAAAGACCAGCTAAATTGGTTTTTTTTTATAGCTATGTTTGTTATTTCAAAAGACTGGTTCCCTTTTATTTCCCATGAGAGCATATTGACATTCAGCATCAGACAGTAAAAAAAGACACTCATCCAGAGCTGTGAGAAGTGAGCACCAGCATGTTTTCAGTGGATTTGATGGAGTGATGTGATGTTAGCTCTGGTAATAGCCAAAGGATTATGACACCGTATGATTGTATAAGACTGTAATCTGCCTTCAGACCTGTGCTCTTGGAACATTACACACAGGTATGAGCATTTGACCATCATGCTGACTAGTCTAGCTGGTGACTTAAGCGTAGTTGGGCCGCCCAAAAATCTATTGTTCTGGTTTCAACCTGCATTATTTCATGAATTTGTGGTTTTGTGTTGAATGAATCAACTTTCTCAGAAGCTTACCTGCTTTACTCTGATTATTTGTCCTACTTTCTTTTTAATTTTGATTCCGATTGGGTAGTGATCAAGACGTTCCTCTGAAAAGCATGTCTGTGTGCCTTTTTTTTTTATTATTGTTTTACCTCTTGTTTATGTTTAGTTGCTGTTAAACTCACTTCCTACACTCATTACCATTTTTTGCTTGGTTTGTATTGTCTAGCACTTGGGCTGTTGTCACATTCCTACATAAAAAAAAACCTTGAATGGATGTTAAATAGGTGGCATGTGGGTGTGTTATGTTGCCTTTTAGTGTCATATTGATGTTTGCAAAAGCAGCTGCACAAAGGTGTTACTGACACCTTAAGATTAGAGATGCATGGATCCACCACCACCTCCTCGGGAAGTGGATGAGGATTTGTTTGACTTACATTTCCACATCGGGCAGGAGGTTACTCTGGTGTATCCTTGTTCTGCTAACTTGGCTAGTTAAGGGAAAAAAACAAACAAACAGACAAACAAACAACAACAAAATGATGCGTAGAACCGTCTTTTAATAAAGCCTCTTTAACAAGGCCTGTATCCATTGTTCAGCCCTTGAGCAGGTTTCAATGACAGCAATGTTAACTTCATGTATCCACAGGCAAGCTGCACTGTAAAAGCAGCATGAACCGAAGTGTTACACCCAAACAGGGTGGCAAGATCTCTTTTACGAATAATACTGTTTATTGTTTTTTCTGTTTTTGAAAAACGATCAAAGAGGACAGTATCCTTTGAGGTTTGGGTGTTTTTGCATCAAGAATATGGGATGTAGTGGAAAACTGTATAAAATGAGAATAAGAGAACGGGAATCGATTAGTGACGCCATTGTTGATCCCACATTTGAATTTCGTTTGAACACCCAGCTCACCTCTAATTATACCACTTTAACAATGTCAGAGTACATCAAAGTATATCTACCAAGCCTACATATAACATAAGTGCTCTAAGGTACACAATGTTTAGAAGGATGAGAACCCCCCTCCCTTATTAAATCAGACCCATATGTTCTCTTAGGCCCCTCCCACCCACTCCAGGGTTTGGCTCAGAAAAATGAGGCCCATCGACGCTGTTTGTTTCGTTGGTGTGATGGTGAGGTGCAAATCCTTTTTGCCATCTGGTATACATGACAATGCTGTGATTCAATCAACATCCCATTTGCTGCCATTTAATGGTCAAGAGGAAACCATCATAGCTCGTGATGGACCATTATCCACGGATGAGGCCCACTCTCATTTCCTAGATGGGTGTGTGTGTGTGTGTGAGTTGCTGTGAGTGTTTATTGCCTCACCAGAAAGCCTGTTTCGTAACCCAGGAGTTACATGAGACCGTCATGCCTTGTGGCAGTTTCACTGTGGAGAGGGTCTGTTTTGTGTATTTGTGTTACAAATTCTGTTTGTCTGCGTCTTGTGCACATGTGTACTGTTGTGAGTAAAGTGTATCAGTCTATGTTTCTGTCAATGCCAGGAGTAGACACCACAGCACGTCAATGTCTCTATCTCGTAAGCTGATCAGCAGCCTGTACTTCACTGCAGCACCCTGGTCCTGAGGTGCTTTGATGTATTAGTGTGCTTAAAAGAAGATATATGGTGAATTTTTTCTTATTATTATTGTGCACATAAATATATCTCAAAACAAAACCTGTTTATCTTTTTCTGTCACTCCCATCTCTTTGTCTTGGCCTTATCCATCAATACAGTTGCAGGGTATCCACTGGGTCTTAAAAAGCCTTAAAACGTATAAAATCCAATAATTTGAATTAAGGGCCTTTAAATGTCAAAAATTCTCTTAAAATCTCACAAAATGTCTTAAACATGATTTTGAAAGGTCTTACAAATGTATTGATGTTACTTACATATAAAGATTGATTTGAAATGAAGTAAAATGTTCCAATTTCACTTCATGTCTTGTGTACTTTTTTTTGCCGGTATGGATGTAAAATGGATAGAATGAATTGTATTCAATCCGTTTTTAAAAAGTCTTAAATTTGACTTGTTTAAACGCGCAGAGACCCAGATGACAGGGTTTTTGCTTATTTAAAGGAAGTGTTTCCTTGATTCTGTTATTAAGTACTTGGTCATTGGTGGGTGGTGTCGGCAAAACCTCAAGAAAAAGTATGAAAAGTGCTGATGCACCAATACATCTTTTTTAATTCCAGTGAGTATTTATGCTTACAGCTGATGATTGAACTGAAATTTATCAAGATCATTAATCATGATCATATAATCACCCAGGCCTAGTTTTCAGCTTTGTAAATCAAGATGAAACAACTTGTACTTAAGTTCCTTTAAGCCACATTAGCTCCGTGGCTAGCAAAATACACTGATGCGTTGATGCAGCAGTATATGGTTGTGGTAAAAACAGAATACAACCCAGCGGCGGCAGGTAGCTATCTAACATGAGTCTGGTTCTGCTCAAGGTTTTCTGCCTGTTAAAGGGGTTGGTTTTTTTTGCCACCGTAACTTGCTAAATACTGCAAAGTGCTTCACTTATGTTGGATGAGATGGGTTGAATCTAAAGGTTGGGTCTATGCAATATGTCAAACAATGAGTTTGGTCTTGACCTGCTCTTTTGGATAGCTTCTCGGGAAAATGACTGTTCTTATTTGGTGCTAAATAAATAAATAAAAATAGATTGATTGATGGATTGAGAATAACATAGAACTGAGTTGGAAAGATCTGAACAATCGACCGGCCCTTCCTCATCAATACCCAGTCCAGTTTTTGGCTTCATATCTGACTGATGTTCAATACCAGGATCAGTATCCCTACTGTAAACATAGAAATATATCCTCACATCCTTCTCTCTTTCTGTTTCTCCTATTTAATCGTCATTGTGATTTGCCGCATCCTTTTTATTTTGAAACAACGTTGTGTCACTGTGGAGAGAAAGAGTTCTCCCACAAACAAGCATTTTTCCACCAGCGGTCACAATCTAAGGGGGCTACTAAATGTGTAACATGTAGCTGAAAATAGAGACATAGCAGCTGATTCTCTGGTCTAGAGACATTTTTCGTGCTTGTTTTCAGTGTGAACATCTTCACTGAATTCTTGCACTGTTGCTGTGCTCGCCCCTACTTGCTTTGGCAGTAGCTTAGAAAAGGACAGAACAATATATTAACACTCTCCTCTTTGTTGTTCATTAACACGCTAAGAGAGTTTGAATGATTAGTCTTCGCTGCAACTGCCAACATTTGAAAGCAATCTCAGGGTAATGTGGTGACTACAGTGAAAGGCTGAGAGGCTGGATGGGAGAGGAGGGTGAGTATATGGAATTGCTTTGCAGCAGCCACTTTGCTGAACTTGACATTTTAGACATTTAAAACACCTTTAAGTGGATCTGAGCACATTTCTTTGCTTTATCAGAGATGTCTCAGAATGTGGCTGAGCCTGCAAGTCTGAATATATATATATATATAAAGCCAGAATACTAGCAGTTTGCATTAGCAGTTGGCACTAATGTGTGGGTAACTTGGATTTTTGGCCAGGCTAACAGCAACATGGCGTTGGGGGACATTTGAGCGTCAAATCTTGTATCATTGTAAGTTAATTTTTTGATGCTGCACTTCACGCACTGGGCTCTTACTTGCTTTCTGAAGGCCTGCCCTCTATTATTTGTTCTGCCACAACCACATTAACACAGCCCCCTCTGTATTTATGAATAATTAAATTGATTTCCTGAAAAAGCTGCAGGAGGTTAAATAGAATAAACAGAGGAAAACACTTTGCTGAAAAAAGGTCTCGTAGATGATCATCTATCAGACGAAGTGGTAATTGAATGTGGGTTATGGCTGTAAGAGCAATTGCTTAATAAGGGGGGAGGAGGATTATGAGCAAAACTGTAATTTGTAGAGTGTTGTTGTTATCCCCAGTTGCTTGCATTAGAAATGCATTTTTAACACTGCCTGGTTCTTAACAGTGTTGAAATGATGCCATAAAACCCAGCATCAATATCAGATTGCTGATCTAGCAATAAACTGGGAACACAGATTTTAAGTGTCTCCTTGTTTATGACTAAAGCTGTCTGAGTGAATTCATAAACACATCTGTCACAGCCACACTGTGAGCCACACCAGGCTGTGGATGGCCTTCTGGGTTATTTGCTTATTCTGGGGATTTTCCTTTTCTTTTTTTGTAGCCCTGTCTGATCCGTTACACAATCTGACAAAGCAGTTGGACTCTTTTTAAGTTAGTATTTGAAATCAGTAACATCAATCAGTTTCACTTAAAATGACAGACTCTTTGCTGAAGGAAAATTGACTGATAGCCACAAATTATTAACAAGATAATTGTAAACTTATAAGTACATGTGTAGGTTAAATTTACACCATTTTCATGATGGAAATATTCTGTATTTTTTATCTCACAATAATTAGAGCTAAAAGAAAACATCTCATTTTTTTCCAACACCATTCACCAATTAATGTGTAATGAAGGATAAGAAATTCATTTTAAGTGCTCCCCCCATACTGAGTGTCCAGACAAAGTGAGTTTCTTTAACATTGCTACTTTGACTATTTCAGCCCATTATATTTCTGTGGGAGCTTATCTGTTTTATACTTCAAATATTAAGTGTGTTGGTGTCAACTTTTGGCTTTTAGTTTGTCAAAGTCCACTGCATTTAACTCAAAATCAACCAACTCGTGGTTTTTATGACTATACTGTGACCTTGTAAATCCAACAGTGTACCCTCAGTGTCTCAAAGTGGCATCAAATGGTATCACAAGCTCTACATTAACAAAAGTGGTTTGTTTTATAACTCCATTAGATTGGTAATGCCCTCACTTGGGTATAACACTGGCTTTAAAGCGGTCTTGTATTTATTATGTATGGGTACTGTATGTATACACCACAGATTAAAGCCACGGCTACATTGTAAACCGTCCTCCTTTATTTCTGACTAGCTTTCAGGCTATCAAGTGTGAGTTGTCATCTGTTCAGATTTAATTCAATGTTCTGCTGGTCCTTTCTCACTCGCTGTCATTTTTACTCCGGTTGTGGGTGTGCATTTGTACATGTGTACGTGTTCACAGGCACAGAGCTGATAGTGTTTTTTTTTACCATCTGTACTTACACACTCGCTGTAGTCCAGATTTTCTCCCATCTTTTCCTGCTTCATTCCTTTTTTTTCCCAAAATGTCTTTAGAGAGATGAGAAGAGAGGTATGCAAGGTACTTGCCAATAGGAGGGGGGTTGGGGTTGGGGGGGTGTTGAAAGGAAATCGTCTACTGGATTAAATGCAGTCTGTGGTTTCTGGGCTGTTCTTTATCAAAGTGTCAGGGAGACTATAGGAGCATTACATTTACTTAAAGACCCACTCCGTTGAAAATCATGTTTTTCTTGTTGTCTACATGTTCTTATGGCATTTTCCTGATGCTACACGACATACGGGAAAACTAAGTGCAAAATTGCATTTCTGAGTATTTCTGCATTCAAATCGTGAACCTCCGGCAGACCCAAATGGCAGGTTCCAACACAGTGAGATTTCCTATGTCACAACTGCAAACTCCGCCCCTGGCACTCCGCACTGCAGGCCAGACTTGGAGAAGTAGAGAGGACGATTGCGGAACAAGTGTATGCGTTAATGGATTGCAATGCTCGTAATAAAGCTAATTATGATATTAGCTTTCATCACGCCCCCAAAGACGTAAGTGTTTGAGAGCTGATTAGCTTCTATGTTACCTGCCACTTTCTACTACACCGGCAATGTTAGACTAAAAGCTAGAGTGAAGAGGAGTGTGCAGAGCAGCGCTGCCTCTGCCCACAACTCAGAGGTGAATTGCTATTGAGCTACTGGAGCTCTGCTGAAGAAAAGCCCTTGAAAATGACACAGGTAACATGATGTTGGCTAAAAACTTAAATAGTAAAAAAAAATAAACCCGAGTGGGACTTTAACCACTGTTATTCAAACAGCTTTAGTACTTTTAAACTAATCTTTTGTTCATCTGTCTGTTATTGCTCGGACTCTTCACTTTATTAAGCAGTTTAGTCTTCAGTCTTTCGGCGTTGAAATGTATGCACATTAGGCAAGTATGCTGTGAGACACTTTAACTCGGTTTTCCTCCACTGTGTTGAGAGCATACTCATACACTCAGGAAAAGAATACTCTGGTGCGCACACACATTGGTCATCATGCTGTTCTGCTATCCGTGCGGCCCACACACAGGTGCAATGTGTCTTTGAAAGAACTATCAGCTCAGCCCACACATGCACACACTTTCCTACACACACACATATACACACACAGACAGAGACACAAATTAGACATGCTATAGATAGCAATATGCTGACACACTTCATTATCATCGCTCGTTTCTATGGTAACCAGTGCTGTTGGTCCCCTACCATTACCCCCACAGCAGTGAGAGTATTATAGTGATTATAGCGTAAGACCCTAGTATTACTGTCAAATAATGAGGCAAATGATGGAGTCTTACCTCCCCCTTGAGTCTGGGATTTAGCACCAAGTGTGTTCTAGACACAATAATATAAGGGTAATAAACTGTGCTAATAACTCGGGCAAATATCCATCCATCAGTTCGTCTTTTGTCGCTGATCTGGAGTCGGGTCACGAACACAATAACTAATCTGCTATTGTCTGTGTTATACAATGCTGCTATTGCATGTTTAAAGTTTATTTCCAGGTAGCGGGGCTTCACTTAGTAGACTGGAAACAATAATGCCCCATTGCAGCAAGAGATTAGTGTTTGTTGTGCGTTTCAGTATTTAAAAGGCTCAAGTTACACCGAGGCTAGCCTTTGTGTGAGACTACACTAAGGCACTAAAGCGCTTTAGAGGTTGATGTGTTCAACTTCATTCATTCGTCATGAGCCCATCAGAGAATGTATGACATATTAGGTGCATGGAACATCACAGCATCTTAAACCAGGTAACATTGCAGGTAAAGGTCCAACATTGGCTTTTAGTTCATAGACTATAAAGAACAGACGCCGTCTGCCTCCTCGCTGGGTGAAGCCACCCCGAGAACAGCACCCCCTGGTGACGGGCTGCAGTATAGGTCATAAATCCCGCCTCCTCGAGCCATCCTTACGGAGCTGTGGACAAACTTTAGAAATTTATTACACAGAATATAAAATTGTCTCCCCCCTGCTTGTGATGTTGACATGTAGTTACTGTAAGACTGGTTTGTGTTCAAGTTCTCTTTTTTCTATACAGATCCATTTTTAAGAGTTATCAGGGGGTTCATGTTTTCTATGATTGACACTTGATACAGCCTATGGGCGTACAAAGATTGCGTAGCTCACCGGGGGGATACGCTGTTTTAGTCGCTGTTCTTGGGGACTCTCCTGCCGAATCCCTACAATGCTACTGCGCAGTGTTGGTTTCAGAAAATGGAGGAAAATGCGGAAATACCGAGAGCTTTTCGGCTTCAAATCCGTATGCTGGCGGAAGGCGGAACCAAGTTGTCCATAGTGTATACAGTCTATGTGTTAGCTTCAACAATCACATGAGATTATTCAACTATGTTGTTATTTCACTCACTATTATTTTAGTTTTCTATGTTTGTATTTGGGTTGAACCTCATCAACAACATTGCCCCTGGAAAGTTTTCCCGAAATACCTCTTGAAATATTATATTCTTTAGTTCTGATCAAACAGCTGCTCTAGCTGCATCTACACTAATCTCTTCATGGGCTTTGTAGTCGCGGTAACAGGCGACTAAATATGCCTGCAGCTACCAGCTCTCTCTTCTTAAATGATATTAATTGGTACAGTCACTCTGAATGGGAACAAGCGTACCAGCTTGAAGCCATGCAAATTCATCTGCCTGATGGTCGAAAAGGAATCTGTCCAATTGATCTGCTTTGCACAAGTATGCTCTATTAAATTTACATCTTGTCTTGTTTATATTTCCCTCCAAGATTCCAAGAGAGAAGCAGAAAAAAATCTGTTATCAATCCATTAATGGTATTGCACACCACTCTGTAGGAATAAGCCTCAGAGCAGTGACAGTGTATTAAAGTCGGTGATATCAGTGGCCATGCTGTAAGTACTATTGAAGACATAGACCCCGGATTTCTAACCTTTAAAGGCTTGGTGCTAACATTAAGTTAAACTGTTTTTAAGAAGATCTGAATAGTCACAGTTTTACCTTCTTAACTCATTGTTTCAGCCTGAATTCGAAGACTACAAATGCGATATTAAATGTGGTGTGTGTGTGTAAGCTGTTTGCATCAGGTAAGACCATATGCTGTACAGATGTCCAATAACCACCGTGATGGCTGTTGAAGTGCAGCTGAGGAAAATCAGGACTGTGTTGATGTCACCCAGAAGATAAGTCAGTTTGTCCCAGTTCCCTGCACAATGACTTCTTGGAAGTACAGACTTTACAGTTATGTTCTTTGAGAGCAGGAAAAATGTGAGGTTGATATTTCCTCTGTCACTTCACACATGGGAACTGTAAGGAGAGGACACGAATTCATCGACTGAACGCCCGCTGAAAGAAAGCTAATACACGATACATCTTATCTTAATAGCTTCAGAGTGAAGGTTGACTTTCATTTCATTTTCAGGAGCTATATGACAAGACAGCGTGTCTTTGTGTGTTTGTGTGTGTTTGGGAGACAGAGGGGTTGTCAGGATATAATTACTTTATCTCACATGATCGTTAAGTGAGGATAGATTACATTCTCAACCTGTGAGCAGAAGAGAGGAAGTGAGGTTTGACCGTCCTCTCCCCTGGTTGATATGTGTGGTGGCTGGGGTGTGTGTTTGTCTGATCGGTAAAAGTTTTTTTTTTCTTTTCTGTTGTATTTTGTTTCCTTCTTAACTCACTCCTGATCATCACTGATTTGTTGCGTTATTTGGAGGATTAAGGCGTGAAAATGACTGCTGGGATAGATTAACTACAGAGAGTGTGTCTGTGTGTGCCTGTGAGGGAGACAGAGTGTGCAGGATGGAGAGTAACAAATTATGTTCAAGGTTTAAGAAGACGGATAATATAATCTGTTCATTTAGATAAGAGCACCATGTTTATTTTTACATTGAAGGTTAAAAACTGTCAATGTGAGAAAGAAGATTAAAAAACAGTCCTTGTAACTTTCACTCTTACATCTGACATGAGATATGCTGCTGACATACTGCCATAACAATGTGAAATGAGATGTAAACAAAAGTAACTTTAATATTAAGATTTTTGGTAATCCACATTAGAGCTGGGGGATTAATCGGATTTTAACTGTGATCACAGCTTACTAGGTAAGTGCTGTGTTTCCCTCCTTAATGGAGTGAAAACAAAGAAGTGAAACAAGGATTGGGAGCATGAGGAAGTTGTGGTTTCTGCTAAGATGAATGGCGAACCGCTTTGTGTAACAGTAGTGCAAACTGCCAGGCAGCCACAGGTGGAGAGGGGAGAGCAGCAGCAGGAGGAGGAGGCAGGTATGTATCTGGATGAGCTCAGCTAGAGAGAGGCTGAAGAATCACGAGCATCAAGATCAGATCTAATGTCCTGTTTTGATTTATCACATTAAAGTGTGAGTTGATCTGTCAGCCCTGTGACTGTAACCTCTAATTTAACAAAAACTCACCATCTTCTTCTGTTTAATGCAACACTGTAGGTGTAGACCCTATAAGTGAAGACAAGCTCTTAGACAAGTTAGAATACACTGTCTTAAAATCTGGATCACACAATGATACATGTACCGGGTCGTCTGTGACACTGGCTGTGTGGTGCACATGTTTACAGTCGTGTGACACACACAAACAGACTCGGCACGGTGGTTACTCCTCTGTGTTCAGTTAAGGAACTGCATTAAAGTCATATTAGACAAACCTGAATGATGGAAAATGTGATATCAGTGGTAACATTATTGCTATAGAGGGGTAGCTATCTGCAGATGGATCCTTGTTACCCATGCTGGAAAAAATCGTTGACTAATAGTCATGTAAGAAGAAGCAGAACAAATGAAATATGCAAGAAAACAGTGGTGTGGTGGTGGTTTTAAGTTCACTTTTTCAGTTCTCAGCCTTGTTGAGACATTTTATGACTAACTGAGAACTGACAGGTCACACGCGCTTGCGGCACATCTTTAAAATTCAGGAACTTCCTTTTTTTGAAATATTTTAAGTGTTTTTTTAAATTGTGCTTGATTTTCTTTCCCCATAAACATGAACTACAGCTTGGATGACGTGAGTTAATTTCTGTGCAGTTGACTCCTGTTGTGTCGCAAAAGATTTCAAAGTGTCAAAGCTTCTGCCTTTTAAAGAGACAGCGTCTGGTCCACTGATGAGTGAAAACCACATAATGCAGCTTTAAGGCGCTAACCGTGTTCACCTCAGTTTCAGAGAGTTTCCATAACAACAGTGTAATGTTTCTTGATTGTCATTTCGAGTGAACTAACTAATGGTTGGGTTGAGTGGTGCAATCTATAAGTCCACCCACCCTGCTCCCAATCATGCTTCACCTTCCTTTTACTTTCCGGGTTTTACAGCCCTGGAAAGGCAAACAGGGGGGCAGATGTGCGGGCTCTTTAAATAGACCTAAAGAGGTCTTAACAAGCATCCTGCTCAGTTAATGTCTGGCAGTCCCTCACGGCCTCTCAGAAATTCCAGTAATCGTGAACAATTATTGACATCGTCTTGTCTCTTTAAAAAAGCTTATAACCTGCACCTGTTCCTCCACCTGGATGGCTGCTGAGGAAATATGTTTCAGGCTGAAATATCAGGCTGTTTAATCTCCACGTTTTACCCAAAATGGAAAATCTATCGGTGTTTTACCTGCCTCGCATTTACGGTTTCTTCTCACCTCAGCCTCTGATCTTGCTTGTCAATCAAGAAAGATACTCTCTGATTGGAAATGAAGAAATGAACAGAAGAAAAACACGCAGCAGAACCACTGGATGAGTCAGGATGGTTTTGTAGCGTAGTGGGTCATGTTCTGGTATGTTCCTGAAGGTTTGACTCATTATCTGAATTCAAAAAAGCTCATTAACAAACAAGACACAGTCGACTCCATGTGGGATAAGTGACAGACAGTCTGCAGCACTGTCAGAATACAAATGTGGGGGAAGATACAAACAAACATTATCAAGCTTTTTTCGTGTTGCTTTTAAGAGATGTGTTTTGGTTTGGTTCTCCTGGCCTGATCACAGCTGAAGCGCAGGACTTCATCCTACCTTTAACAATCAAGTTTGAAACTCCCCCTTTGCCTAGTGCACTCAGGGTATTCTGTTAAAGACTCATTTGTTTCTCATTTGAGAAGCTATGTTAGCTAATACAGGAAAACCTAACTTCCACATTGCAGTGTAATATCATTGCTGTGTCAGGTCTCTGACATTCTGATGACCCCAAACGAAGAGGACTGTTTCGTAATCTCTATTTACAGTCCCCATAAAACTGTCAAATTTGTACCTTAAGGTCTGATTTTCTGCATGGGAAGTTTGTGGTTTCTGTTTACATTAGAAGCCCAAGTGGTATTGACCAATCATGCATCAGCAGGAAAAACAGTCGGTATGAAAAGCAAAAGCAGGTGGAATACAATCCTCCGACATGACATCCTGATCCTCACTCTGTCTGTATAAACAAACATCGGTGTGCAAGTGCTTGATAATAACTTGATAATAAAAACTAGCTTGACTCTGTTTTGGAAAAGCCAACGGGTATTTCGATTAGGTGTGTCCTGATACAATTTTTTCACTTCAGAAACGATACTGATATTATATTGGCACAAACTTGTGCACGACAAGTTTTGCACTTAGCTGCAACACCTTTTTTGTACTTAAACTAAAATGACTGCCACATGGCTGACATCATTACCTCTCCCTGCTACTTTGTTAGTACCTCAGTACACACTGTTATGTGGGCTCTGCATGCTGGATCTGGGCGTTGCTAGCTTGAGCTGAGTCTGGAATGGACTTTTTTTATCGGAGTGTCGATATCAGAGATTTTAGATGCAGGCCGACATAATCTGGTATTTGTTTTTTGCTGATATCGGACCGATATCCGATATCAATTTCAGATTGGGACATCCCTAATTTCGATTTCCTTTGCCCGTCAGAAATGATCCATCATGATTTGTGACAACAAGGGTTGTCGTTGAATTATCACATAAGCTCTGAAACTTAAAATCACTTGGAGCGCTAGCATTTCAACTTTACAGCTGAGTTCAGCTGTCCTCTAGTAGTCCCACGTGTCTGTATACCGTTATCTGCTTGAGATTCAAGAGGTTTCCGGAGCTGCTGTGTGTTGAAAGCTTGTCATTGATAAATGGGCCTTGAAAATACAGGAGCAAGAATAATTTATTTCTGATGCTGATCTGATAATCGATAGTACACAGCTACTGGAAATGAGCATTGTATGTATCCATCAATTATAGTTTGACTTGGTTCAGATAGTTTCTCTGCAGTTTCTGAGCGTATATTTTGATGCTGAAAAGTTCGCAGACTCAGTGCACCAATCTGTGTTCATCTACCCATTGTGTCAAAGATGCTAGAGGCTATGTGTCATGTGAAACGTAGCTGTTGTAAGTGTAACTGGGCCCTTGTTGCCAAAAAAGACAGTGGTGGTTCACACCCTTCCTTGGAATCCCCCTCGTCTGCTTTTCCTGAAAAAGGATGAGCAAATCTTTCCGCAGGTTTTCCTTTGCTTTGTATTTTAAGAAACTTGATTCAGCTGCATTAGCTGCCTCCTCCGGTCTTCCTGTTATTTACCTTGGGCTCTTGTGATAGATATACAGTGCCTTTCCTGCTGAGTCTGACCTCAATAATATTGTTGGAAACTTATCTGATGATTGATAGCCTCTTTTTTTAGAAGTACAAAAGTCTGATATTATTGTTGTGGTTACCTTGAGGTTAAAATAATACCTGAACAATACTTCCACTGTGAGTGTGACAGAAGAATGGAAAGATAGACGACGGAGCCAAATCAGTGTTTAACCTCTCTCTGAAGCGGGAATGTTATGCTGGATAATTAATAAGATGTGACTCTGTTTTGTCTCTGTCTTAGTAACATTTTCTCCTTCCATCTTGCGTCCCCTTTGCACCTCAAGTGACGTCACCGTACACAGCAACAGGGTGCCTACATACTGATCCGCACGCTCACACACGCTGGCCAGGACTCAGCAGTGCAGTTATTTTGGAGGGAGCCAAGTGATTTCCTTGAAAAAATAAAGGGGGGAAGAGAAGCGTTGCTGCTTAGCTGATTGGCCTTATAAGGGCTTTGACGTCAGTGGGAGGCTAAACTGGACCGAGACGCATACTTGTGAAAACTACTCAAGGGGCCTTAAAAGAGGATCTTCAGCATTCCCTCCTTTTGCTGTTTCGAGGATAAATTCGGTTCCAGTGCATCAGGCAGTGAGCCAATGAGCTGGAACACTATTGGCAAACGATTATGAAGTTATGAGCACGCAGCTGTTTGGTTAATCTCATGCAGTCAGTATAGTGTGATGCACAAAGACAATAAAAGGAATCTCTAACTTGTCGTTTAAGTCCTGCATTATACATTTTGGCTGTCAATTTGTTTTATACACATTTTTGTTTCGGGTGTAGCCTCATTTCAGCCGGATGACGCAAGCAGCCAGTCAAAAAAAAAAGGAACCTATCCAAAGGGCTGGACCAAAACACCAGACTCCCCTTTCTATTTGCTTACGTCCCCCCTTCCTTTAACCGGTGGCTGCTCTGAGTGAAGATGAAGAGAGAGAAAGGGGGAAAGAAGGAGGAGAGGAGTACAAGAAAAGATGGGGGGGCTGGGGGATGAGAAATGAGCTACAGCTGCTCTGACAACGTTGACCGCTCGAAGGAAGTAATTTGTAGAAAGCAGAGGTGCTGCCAAAAAGAGAGCTGGCCTCACATACAGATCATGTCGTGTGTTTCCATGTAAGAATGCTACAGAATATCCAATATATTATATATTTATCTCAAAATCTCTTAAAGGTCATATATGGGAAACATGGAAAAGAGACAATTTTGCATCATTTCTTTTTTATAAAACCACCTTCTTTAGAGTGGAGACTATGCATTAAATGATCTTTGTTTTCAGGCAGGGTATTTCCACTCAGTGTGACCCTCCTATCTGCTGCTGTTTTATTCTCAAAGGAACATTTAAAAAGCAATCTCACACCGTAGACTACGTGGTGTTTTGAAATAAATAGGGATGTAGCGCCTGGAAATGGGGGACTGTAAAATGAGGCTGGGTTTGGTTTTGGTTCTGCTAATGGATGCAAGGTTTTGTTCCCTCCATCAGTCCGTTATACAACAAAACAAGAGACGTGAGATTCTTGCCTTCAGAGAGAAATGTTAATCTGTGGCTGGTGTGTGGTTTGACTAAAAGCTCTGCTGTGTAAAAATTACACAGAGGCTTTGATTTGATGCTCTGTTTAAATTTGCTATCGGATTCATCAAGCTGCAAATTGGTTCAGCTCCATAAAAGAAACCACTCAGGGGTGCGGGCACACATGGGACTGCTCTAGGTTTAGGTTTGCGTTTATTTGTGTTTGTGTAGGAGAAAAGTTCCTGTTGAAGTTTTTCCTTTACAAACAGTCAGTGAATCAAATGAAAGTGTTATTGTGAATTCTATGTGACTTTCATCTAACAGGCTCAATTTCCTTCTTATCACAATTCACAATTTTAAAACCACAAAAAGGTCTTTATGTGTGAACCCATCCTTAACCTGGATTTTTTCCTGTCAGTTGCAGTGAGCTGATGTCAAAAAAAAGAAAATAAAACATTTCAGAAAAATCACCAAGAGTGATTGTTGTAACAGGAGAGGTGATGATGAGTATATCATGTTATCGGTGCCAAATAGGGCTGTCATGTATCATGATTATCAAGGCTGTAAAATATCACAATAAGGTTATTGCAATATTTATGGAAAACTTGAAATAAATTTTTTTTTTAAAAAAATCAGTGAATAAAATTGTGAAAAAGCAAGAAAAGTCCATGAATTTGACCAAAAAACACAGTTAACTTTCTTGTCTTGTAATTACTAAATTAAAGATTTATTTACACATTCGGCTGAAATGACCTCATGAACCATTTTTTGGTATGCTTTTATTTTGGTATTTTTCCCTACATTTTAAAACTATGCTTTTATTTTGGTATTTTTCCCTACATTTTAAAACTATGCGTTTATTTGGGTGTATTGGTGTTTACACTGATATTACCTGAAACAATCATGTCTTTACAGAGAACTTCTTCAAAACAAAATGGCAATATATCGTCTCGGTCTCTGTGTGAACAAGGCCTTCATGTCCCTGAGACAAACTCTCCTTCAGAACTTCAGATAAACACTGGAGTCTTGGTATCAGGTGGTTGTTTTCCTGCCACAAAGTCAAAGCTAGAGATGTTGCACTCTGTTGTCACAACTTCTTTCCGTTGAAACCACTCCCTGCGATGTGTTAGCTCTAACACGCACTGCCTGCCTTGCCCGTATTTTGCAGAGTGTTGGTACATAAACATGTGAACCGTGTATGCCTGAGTGTCCTTATTCTGTGAACTCAGCCTGTTTCATCTGCTTTCATAGTATTTTAACTGCTCACTAGTGCCCCTGACACTCTCGCTCAAATATGTTTGTGCGTTCGGCCTTGGGTCTTTGTTCCCATTAGCAGAACTGTTTTGGAAACATGGCTAGTTTTCCTGTAGCTGCAAAAACACAGACACACAGAAGGTCAAGGACAGGAATCTTTTTCAGTCAGCATACTGTACCAGCTGCTGTTAGCCAGAGGAGGAGGGGGTGGGGAGGGAAAGACCCTCACCTGGAGAGGGAAGGGGACTGTGAGGAGGGGAGGGCAGAGGAGTGACTGGTGGGGGGTGCACACAGCAAGTCCAGGGTCCTCTCCCTTCTTGTTGGGAAGCTCATACTGTGACATTTTGGCTGCTGAGGAATCAAAGTGGCCTGATGAGTCAGCTTGTTGAACAAATTGATAAACCATTGTGAACTTCAACATACTGACTGAAATGGAGGTTCCTGTAGGAATTTCTTATAACTAGATAAACAAGTGTCAAAGCGTTACCTAACCTCTAACTAAACTATCTCCAAATAAAATAATTAGTAATTGTTTGATAATGAGAAGAAGTTTTAAAAATTAAACCAGTGTTACAAACCCAGTCATGCAGTCCTTCTACGTTTTTTTTTTACATGAGCTTGGCATGGCTACCGCTGGCTTTGAACTCAGACCCAAACATTAGGTAATAAATGTCTTGTCAAGTGATTTACAAGGACTGAAATGTCTTGTCCTGGCTGGCTTTCTGGCACCACCACCTCATGCCTTCATTTCTTGCCGCTTCTCCTCTTCCTTTCTGAAACACACTTGCAGACAAATAGATTACACGCACAGACTTACACTCCCGCTAGAGGAAGAGACCGCTGCAGTGCTTTTATGCAGTACTCTTTTGCAGAAGAACTCCACTGCAGTCCATTTTAATCATATTATCCCAGTGGCTTCTAGCGCTGTGGCGGTGGTGTTTTTTCCTGCCTTAAATTGTAGCTTTTTTTACTGCAGGACTGTCAGGTAACTTTATTGTTTGTGACAATTCACTTAGCATCTAGTGTATATTATTGTAACACAGTGATCTGATTATTACTGTGATTTAAAGTTGGAGCATGAGAGCGTGTCATGTGGAGTTGGAGGGGCGCTGTTCTCTACATGTTGAGGAGTAGTAATGAATTTCATTTAAGATTTCAATATTTTTCTCAGAGGTTTTTGTTCAAACAGTTGTTTTTTTTCTGATTAAGTGCCTGTTGTGTGATTGTGGGTGCATGAGAAGTTAGGCTGGACTCTACCTGACTGCTGTTTGTCTGGAGAATGTCAGAGTCACAGGGTTTTTAATGCAGTTTCAGCAGATAATCTGCTGCGAATGACTGAGAAATGAGGCTGAAGTCATCAGGGAATACAAGCAGACCAGTGTGTCTTTCTCTTTTTTTTTTTTTTTAGTTTGTTACTCAGCAGTATGTTAAGAGGGGGCTCTGTCCACAGCAATGTCTGGCTGTGCATTGACGGAAATGTTTGACATTCTTGTTGCATCAGTTTTCACTCTAGGACAACTGAGAGAAATGTGTGCCAAACATCTGACTCTCACACACACAAACACACACACACACACACACACACACACACACACACACACACACACACACACACACACACACACACACACACACACACACACACACAGTGTCTCTCTTTCTTTCAGACGCTCGCAGCCACTCACCACCGTCAGGGTGCCACAGTAGTAGACACTGAGTAAGGAGAGTTGCATTGACTGGCCCGCAGGTGATAAGGTAGAGAAGAGCCAGTTCCTGCTAAAATAACACACTTTTCTCTGTGTCAGTCTGCCATACAGACTCCGCTGCCCACAGCCCGTCCCAGCGCACAGCCTGTGTGCTGCACAGCTTCGCATATGACTGACACTCTCACTGGTGTCGTGGTGTTGAGGCTGGCTGACTCCGACCTGCTGAATTAATAGTAATAATATAACTTATATTTATAGCACTTCTCAAAACAGACATTATAAAGTGCTTTACAAACATGAAAGGTCACAATATACAAATAAAACAAAGACAAAATAATCAAACATAATGATAAAAGATGATGCAACTGAAATAGGAAACAGTGGCTGCACAGAGGAAACAACAAATGAAACACCCTAAATAGATCATTTAGAAAATAAATAATTAAAAGAAGACCATTTGATGAGATATGTGATTTACTGTGCAGTGCTTTAAAAGTGATGAGTAAAACTTTATAATCGATTCTAAAAGAAATGGTTAGCCATTTGGGCTGGGCGATAAACCGAAAATTTACAGATGGAAACAGACATGAAATGCTCTCTTTTTTTAGTTTTTGTCAAAAGTTTACCTGCCAAATTTTGCATCATTAATTTCTGATTTATTTCTGTTAAGTTACTATTACAGTAATCTAATCGTGAGGAAGTAAAAGCATGAAAAATTGTTCAGGTGTTGTTAAAAGTCAGCATGGATCTTAATAACTGTGTTTGTATGAGGCTGCTGTCAAAAGTAACTCCAAGGCTTGTTTTATTTTGCTTTACATTGAGTAAGAGAGAACTGATGAAGGACTGAACTCGTGGGTGTAACTTCTGACAAGGCTGACAAGCCACTATGTTTCTTCTTACCTTGCTCATAAACGGAAACAAAGACACTGGCAAATTCTGTTTTTAGTCGTTTTTGATGCAGTGTGTCAGATGTCTAAAAATCACAGAAAGATGACCTGGACAAGAGGATAGGAGTGATAGGAGTCATGAGGCTCAACATAAAATCCATATGTAGAGACAAATAAAGTGATTGTAAATCTTTCAATATCCAATAATTCAGCTGAACTGATTCATGCTGTTATATTAATCACAGACAGTAATATGTTGCTTATCTCTGTTTGTTGCATAGGCGAGTTTATTTCAGGATTTATTTCAGGCTTCTGTGTTTAATTGTCATAGGACTATTGTAAGAAAATGTGTTTGAGTTTATGTGGCTTCTGCTTTAAAAATGTTTTCTACATAATCGCAGTATAAAAGTAGATTGATGCGCAGCAATGAATTGCTTGAAGAATTGCTATCTTTATGTTTGCAATCTTCATATATCGACCAAGTCATATCAAGTTCCTTCATTCCAAGGATATTGTAGTAACCGAAGAGCATCCAAATGCTGAACTTTGACAAAAACAGGAGTGACACACTTTAATCCAGCTGAGGATTGTTTATCAGTTATACAGATGTTTGAAAGTCTTTTTATGTGCCTTTTAAACCTTCAACCAACCAGTAACCTTCAGTAAAGCTTTTCCTGGAAACTGAGTATGTGGTTCCTGGAAAGCTCAAGTTGTTTTTCTAAAGAAAGAGAGAAAGAAGGACGGGCTTTTATTCTCATATTGTTACTTTGCCAGCTAAGCTCATTTCTATGCTCCTGCTGCTCCTGATTTCATTCACGCTTCCTTGTGTTCTTCGTGCTGACTAATGTGTTCTTGACACTTTTGACCGAAGCCACTTTTTATCTCTGAATCTAACTAAGGGTTAAGTTGGTATTCTATTTCCGAAAAAGAAGAGTTGGCTCAATTCTCAGATCTTTTTTCCACTGCTTCTTCTTTCTCTTTTGTCAGTCTCTCTTACTTCATTATAGTGGGCGGAAAATCGTGTTCTTTTTTAAGCGGTCGGTCAAGCATTGTATTTTCAACCAGACCTTTCACCCTCAACAAAGCAAGCAATGACTGGTAGAGAGTATCAACCATAGCGCAAGTGTTGGTTTTGTTCTCAGTTAATCTGTTTGGACATCAGGATGGTCTGTGTACATTTTCAAGACTAATGATTTAACCGAAACAGCAAAAATCAATGGCTTATCTAGTCCTTTACCTACCTGGTGTACCCAGCAAGAATAATGCGAAAGAACTGTGGTCACAGAGCATTCCTACTCATGATTGCATCTTCGCCCAACAGCCCCGAACATGCAGAGTGAAAAAGTGTCATAAGTGTAAATGTGGGCAACAAAATGCATGAATGTTATGTTATTCCTGTGTTCCTCTGTGTGCAGCTTGTTGTGTTACAGTCTATGCAAACTTTATCTCCATCCGACCCTCCACCTCCTTGAGACCTCAGCAGCCCTTACCTTTTTTTTTTTTTCCAAAGACACTTTTCTTCCCCCTCCTGATGCCCGTGACTTATTCACATTTCCCAGTGAAATTCCACTGTGAGCATCCAAGCCTAACAGGGTGTCACTAAAGAAAGATGGCCTGTGTTATCATGCAGACAGACCTATTTTTAAAATGACCTGCTGCTTTAAAGACTCTGTGGTGCCCGCATGCATACCTAGGACTGACGCTTATTTTTACAACAGAGCATGCTTGGATCACAGTTAAAGTCAAGCATGCTGTTGATTTACTCTCACTGCACTTTCAGATGGTATTCTTTGACCTTCTTAGTCTTGTGAGAGAGTAATGGACGACAAATCAGATGAATCCACTGACCACTAATCTCAGTTGGATTTTTACCCCCTGCCTTGTCACTTTCCTCACATAGGTGAACTTGCTCTATTCTGCAGTATCTATTATGCAGATGGAATAATAATAATAATAATAATAATAATAATAATAATAATAATAATAATGATAATAATGATAACAATGATAACAATGAGAACAATGATGATACAATGATAACGATAATAATGATAATAATAACAATAACGATAATAATAACAATAACGATAATAAAGATAATAAAGATAATAATAATGTTAATAATGATTATAATAATGATAATAATGATGACGATAATGATAATAATGATGATAATAATAATAATAGTAATAATAATGGCAATAACAATAATGATAACAATAATAATAATAATAATAATAATAATAATAATAATAATAATGATAATAATGATAATATTAGTAATAATAATGGTAAGAACAATAATGATAATAACAATAATGATGATAATAATAATAATAATAATAATAATAATAATATTATTATTATTATTAACAACAACAATAATAATAATAATAATAATAATAATAATAATAACTTTACTATAGAAACAGAAGTTTACAAAGTGCTTTGACAAATAGTCATAAAGCACATGGAAAAAGACAAAGGAAAAACAAAAATCTCAGTTTAAACAGAATTGAAGGCCATTTTCACGTCATAAGGAACCCAGACAAAACAAGAACCATGCAACGTAAAATGAGACCATGAGGACTAACATAAAATAGGTACGAAAAAGGAAACGCAATTAAAAGGGGGGTTGAAAGCAGAAAACAGGATAGTAAATATAAAAGAAAATATCAATAATGATAATAAAATAATAACAGGTAACACTGATGATAATAGTAATGATAAAATAGAGAAACAGAAATGAGCAAGAGATAAAACAATAAAAGGCCTGAAAGGTTAATTAAAAAAAGGGTTTAAGTATAACAAAAGCTAAAAAAGACATTAAAGCTGAAATAAGATAGAGGTGAAAGAGATAAAAGATAGAAGGAAGAAAAGATAGAAAGAAGAAATGCTGAAGTGAGAATTTAGTCTTGAGGCTTTACTGTCTTATGGTGTGTTCAGGAAGCTGGAAATCCATGCATTTGATGAGGGATATAACAAACCCATTTATGCATGCTCATATTCTAGTTTACAACCCATTCACACATTGAATCTCTCAGTCAGTGCATAGCTGCACTCGGCTGAGCACATGTGCAATCATTTCACAGCAGAGGATCAGACTTTTTCTCCCCCCCTCTGGCAGCTGTTTAGCTGCACTCAGGACCCATCAAAAGTGTGTCAGGCTTGAGCCCAGTTTAAACAGGATTAAATTCACAGAAGCAGGCCCAGTAATTCTAATTATTATCAATCCATCCACTCAGTTGTAATCCATTGTACATCTGCCACGTCAGATATACAGCGAATTACCTGCTGGATCACAGGAAACCCAGAGGTCATCGGGTGATAGCAGGACAATCAGACATATCATGTTGTATAGGCATAATGTACAGCCGCATGTACAGTATGGGAGTGTCGGCTGTAATGTTATGAGATTAAAGCAGATGTGCCTTTCTCAAATTTATGCTAATCTAAATTGTAATCTGTCACCGTGGATAGCCTTGCACATAAAATCGAGGGATTAAGATTTAAATAGAACAATGTCAACACAGGTTATGTTTGACTTCACCCACTTTCTCTGTGTTAAGAACCTGTAGCTGTCCAAGGTACTGAAGTGTCAACACTCACACGTCGACACACACACCTCTAATTATGGTAAGAAAACACAATCAAGACAAAAAAGCTGTTATGTGCGTCATTACATGACATAACCTGCATGACAGTGCGGGTTAGCACAATCGTCTATACATTGACTTGTCAGCAGTTCCCTTAAGGAATTGTGTGTATGCGTGTGTGTGTGTGTGTATGGATCGTTGGGGATGGGGGATGCATCTCATGTACCGGCATGTGTGAACATCCTTGAACACTTTGTGAGGATCAAATGTATTTTTAAACAGCCGGTGACGTTCTTGTCGTGGGAGGTCAACTGGTTCCTCACTTTGAAACAGACCTTTAGACATTGTTTATGTTTGTTTGTGTGTTTGTGTGCAGGTGAGGGAGAATTTTACACCTTTTGCTCTACACCAACGCTTCAAGCCCTGACAGTGTGTGGCTGAGTCACTCTGCTTCTGCATAGTCTGATCCATGTGTGCATATCAGCAGGATTACCTTGCAGAACTTTAACCATCATGCGATTGTATTGAAATGTCATTGTTGAGTAATTGAGGGGGTTTCAAGTATGATTGATGTTAGGCACTGGATTCACAGTTGACAGTGTTTCCTCCCAGTTAATTTCCTGTGGTGGATTTAGAGATGACGGGGACAATAAAGCTAAACTTTTTTGGTAGCTGAGAACTACAGAGAGTTCACATCCTGCCTCAGCATTTATTTTGTGACTTACCTTGTCTGGAGGACATTGTTCACGTCATGTCTAGCTTTTGGAGGATTAGAGAAATGAAAAATTGCTTGAAATAAAAGGATGAAAATGGCTGTAGCAAAAGGTTAAACCCAGAGAAGGTCAAAATATAGATTCAGATTTCAGAGTGATAAGAAGATGAAAGACAGCAGAGAGAGGTAGTGTTGCTTAAAATAGCAGTCTATTTTTAGGTACTTCGCTGTGGTGGGCGTCACAAACACAGAGGTGTGTGATTTTTGATTCAGCACCCAAGAGAGGGAGCTGGTCATTGAATTCAGCAGCCTGATTTTTGTATAGTAACTAGCCTGTTTCAGAATAACTGTGCCATTTGTTCTGTCATTGAAGTGGCTTAATACATTTTGTTTTAACTCTTGCTTAGAAAAACACAAAAGTCTGAAAAAATCTCAGCCTTATTTTTATTTTTATTATACTCAACCTTTATAAGGAAACAAAACTAACAAACATGGCTTCAATAAAGTCTATGTTGCTTTTGTGAAAAGTTAAAGGTTACACACTTTTATCCCAAATTACATGGGTCTATTCAGCCTAAGTTGTTCTGCAGAGACCTCACCACAAAGTATGCAGTAAATTTTAAAACCATTGCAGTCAAACCATTAAAATTTCATCTATACTTTGCCTCTAGAAGATGCATCAAATTCAGATGAAGAGCTTTCTTTGGCTCATCATAGTTTCATAAGAAACAAGACTTTTCCCAAAGTTTTGCCCTTGACAGAGTGTTGCACATACACACGCACACACAAAAAGAATTAAGATGTTGCTTTATTCATTTAAATAGTGAAGTATAAAATAATAATAATAATGAAAAAAAGATAGACCTCGGAATTTATTATCATTCATGATTGATAATAGGGTGTCCTGACAACTTTATTGGCCAATACCAATATTGATAAGATATTGAAAAACGTGGGCATGTTAAGTTTTGCACTCAGCTGCAATGTCTTTTCCGGACTTAAACTAAAAATGTTGCCACACGCCTTACATCACTCCTACTCCTTGTTACTTTGTTCGTACCTTAGTACACGCTGTTGTTCTGAATGCTGGATTCCGGCGCTGCTAGAAAGAGGTACCAGAGTGGAGTCTGGGATGGACTGCTTGTATCAGAGTGCTGATATTGGAGATTTTAGATGCAGGCCGATATAATCTGATATTTGTTTTTTGTGTTGATATCGGACAGATATCTGATATCTATACCGTATCAGGACATCCCATTGTGGGATATCAGTATTGATCCCAATTATAGTGATTTTCATGCAGTCATCTCTAGCTCACAGTTAGGAGGCAGCGGTCTTATATTTGGACCATTACATAACCATCTAAAAACTCCACAAAGAAGGCTCTTTGTGAGGTAAGTTTCTGACAAAAACAAACTGTATCTCAAGATCAACTGTATCACATCAACATTTCAACTTATCTCATAGGGCACTTGTGTGGCTCAGTTGGGGAAGGCCCCCTGTGCACCGAGGCTGAGGTCCCTGTCACACTGATTTCTGGACTCTCTCATCATCATCAACTCCATTCCCATTCATACTCATTTTATTGTAATTCTATGTTGTTACCGACATCAACAGCAAAACTTGGCAACGCAATCCTTCGTTAAGCTGAACTTACAAAACACACATAGATGATCTATACAGCATAAGACTGAGCAGTTGTGCTCATTTTCAACCTAAGCATGGCGTCTGTTGAGACTGAACCCCAAAACCTGGATTTATTGACTATCTCCCAGAAGAGAAAATTGCCTGGTTCCTTGGTGTGTTTGCTCATGTGAGTGTGTCTGAGTCTGACTTTGTGTGCAGCTGGTTGCCTTGGTAGCACCACAAAGTCCCTGTGAGTGTGTGTCTATGTACGCTTGTATGTAAGAAAGTAAATTTAACAAGTGTGCTGTGGCATTTTCTGCTGTCAATCAACTGCAAATGCTGCAGAGATGTGGCGTCACTCAACAGAGGAAACTTTTATGAGATTTTCAGACCCAGATAAGTTTTTATACATTATCTTGAAAGTCACACGATAATGTGCAGACAAGATGACAGACCATGGTGTTTAGTTGAAGTGAGAGAAACTGGTCACAGATTTGTTTTGATCTCATCGTTTGCAGCGCGACTGGTGGCAAAGACTCTGTCTAAAAATGTCTTGCTTGTGAGCGTGTGAAACTATCTATAAAATGCTGGCAGCAAGAGAGTATCAGCCAGACACTGTGACTATTGAGTGGACGATAAACAAGCAATGTTCATTGTGCTTCATTAACTGTTATTACTGAGATTATAATTTGGTTGGATGTTTATAATGCATTATTATATAGACCTGATCATAATTTTTTTTTCTGTGTAATTTCACCAATCCAAATCTGGGGTTATAGTAACGGAAGAAAACATGTCAGCACGTTTTTTTACACCTGTTTCTCTGCACTGGGAAGAAAATAGAGTCTAGAATCTTATTGAACCTTACTGTGATGTTTGCAGAGTGTATTCTTATCAAAGATACACAGTAGAGAGTTAATAGGGTTGCACAACATCCACGTGTAAAACTCGACACAGGTTGAAGGCATAATCTCTTTCTTTCCCTTTTCCTAATTGTCAGTGTTGATACTTGAAATAAACCTGAACAAATACGTCATTTTATATTCCCAAGCTTAGTATTCATTAGTCCACTGCTTTCCCAATGATAGACTATTGATCTCTCCCAGCTTGTCACTGAGCCAAACCTTATGTTGGTACACAGCGGGGTCCATAAACTCACAGTGTCAAACAAAAACATTATGTCATTTTGGATGTCAATACAGCAGTTGTGCCTGTGGTTGTATTTTCCACCACAGAAAATGAGTTTTTGAATCTGTATGAATAAGTGTAGGTTAATCATGTTTTAAAAACCACATTGGTTAAAACAGATTATAAAATACAGCTGATTTACGTGTGTTATGTCAGTGGAGTGATAGTAAGCCTGGCTGGTAAGAAAATTGACCTCATCTGACTGGCCGCTGCTGTCATCTCACATCGGGAATCATTAGTGCGTATAGAATTACACCTCTGTGGACAGTAACACCATCTGACTGCCATTATGCAACAACCCAGCATGCTGCACACAAGTCCATTGCATCAGTGATGCACGGAGCGATGTACACAAGAATGGCTGATAAAAGCAAAAGACACAGACAGGGAAGGGAAAACAGGGTAAAAATGCAGGCTGTGTTTATGTGGTCGGTGCTCTTGGATGTACTGTTGAATTAGTCAAGGGGTTAAATAGAGGTGAGGCCAGGGTGAGGAGGAAAGGGAAGAGAGCAGTTTTTCATGAAATCCCAAAGACAATTTTTTATTCATATTACACTTTGACTATTTCTCAATAAAATATTTCACTCTGACTGTCCAAGAGCAGGAGTCTTTACCACTGAGACGTTGTGATCAATGAGACGAGTATGAAATATTTGGTTTTTAAAGGGATGGACACTTTATTTGTCACATTGATCTGCACAGCTTCACTGGTGTCAAAGTGAGTCCTAAAATAGACCGGTCCTGCAGGTGTTTGCACAGCTGGTCCAATTAGATGCTGCAGAGGGTGTCTCAGGTTCCTTAGTCAGTGTGGTAAACAGTTAATCACTAAAGTCTGATCATGAAATGTGTTGATGAACATAGAGCCACTGATGAGACTTCTGGTAAGATTTGACATTACAGGGCAACTACAGGAGACCTTTACTCTTTGCATAACCCTATTTATATAACCTTTTAATGTATAATACCCTCACCAAAGTGATTAATAAAATAAAACTCCCCTCCTGTGCTCTTGACATCCTGCCAGTGAGATTTCTCAAAGAGGTTTATGAACCCATCAGTTCATATCTTCTCTCCTTAATAAACACGTCACTGACAGCTGGTACTGTCCGTACTGATTTCTAAAAAAGCAAGAGTTTAACCACGACTGATAAAACCCTCAATTGACCCAAATTCTCTGCATAATTTCAGACCCATCTCAGATCCTCAGTTTCTATCCAAAGTTCTTGAAAAAATGGTGGTTGAACAAGTGATTTCTTTTTTAAATAACAATGAGCTCTCTGAGGAATCCCAGTCTGGTTTTAGGGCAAAGTACGGCACAGATTTTAGTCCTTTAGTCCTAGGACAGATCTTTTAGCGTGGCTATTGGCAGCTTTCATGTGGGGTTCCCCAGGGGTTGGTCCTTAGACCACTCCTCTTCTCCCTGTATGCTACCCCTGGGTCATATCATATGCAAACTGGATGATACCCAGCTGTACCTGTCTTTTAATCTCAATGATTTTACCCATTTTAGCACACGAAATAACTAACAGAGACATAAAATGGTGGATGTCTCAGAATTGATAATTTCAGGTAAAACTGAGGGAATGATTATTGGTCCACACTCAACAGGAATGCTCTCTGTCACAAAACGTTACAGCCAAATGCAAAAATCTGGGTGTGTTTTTTGATGAAAACCTTATCTTGGATCAGCATGTCAACGTAGATAAGCAGTCTTGTTTTACGCAGCTGAGGAAACTCTCCAAAGTCCTGTTTGGAAAAGTGATTATTCTTATTCGTATTATTTCTTTTTTTATCTTCCATGTCAATGTTCAAGCTGCAGGTCCAGGGTAAAAGAATACTGTCTTATTATGATCAGTTAGGGCCAAACACATTTGACTCCCCGCAAGATGTTTTGGAGCAGCTTTCTGACTTCTATACTATTCCTTGACACTTACTCCACCTTTCAGAAAACACCTCTAATGGAGGTAATTCTCAAGTATTTGGGTCACCAAATCAAAACCTGTTGTAACTGAGGCATGAGAATAAAGAAAGGGAAGGAAACGGTGTGAAGTTGTTTAAAGGGACTCAGATAGACAGATGCTGAGCAGTGGAAGAGATAGAAGAAGGAAAAATGAAAGAAGGAGGGGAAATTGACTGTTTTTTGTCCCTGATGTTAAAGTCAAACATCAACCAGCAGGACTAAAAATAGTACAGTAGTGGCCCTGCTGCTCTCTCACGCACACAGAAACTCACACAGGCTCTCTCCCATACACACAAACAAAGACAGACACGTCCCAGTGGGGATTCCCATCAAAGCTGCCCTCACCCGTCCTGACCTTTCATTTAAGTTGTGTCCCCATACTCACACACGGTCCCTCTCTCCTCCATTCACAGCCTCCCCTGCAGTACGAACTGCACACCAAGCCGCCAGGTTCACTGACAGTCTGTGTTACCTGTCGTTTGTTTTCCTCTCTCACAAGAATTCGGTTCAGATCACAAACACAACCCATCTTCACACAGGTAGCCTTTGATTTGCTGTGCTTTGCTCTGAGGAGCTGCCCTTTGAAAGCTTTGTTGAGCGTCTTCCAAGCTTATTTCCTCCTGCTCCTACATTATACTGCAACAACTGAGCAGTTCAGTGCGGAAAAAAGGGTGGCAGCACAGAAATTACAGCATGTGCGATCTCATCTGCAGGCATTATTTATCGTCATCTGATGACAAGATGGGCTGTTAAAGTCTGCTGTGAAAGATTTGCAAAGGGTAGAAATGAAACTCTCCCTCTGGTGGTACTCTTGGTCGTACAGATCAGGCTTTGAGAAGAAAAGCTGAACACCACACAGCTTTCTGCAGCTCACTGTTTTGATACAAGATGGTACAGTGCTTGCTTAGTGGACAAAAAAACATCTCTGTGCTGTTTGAAAGCATGAAGTTTCTAAAAATAACAGACAGTTTTAAAAGCCGAAGAGAAAGATGTAGATGTAGTGAGACTAATTGAGTGTGAAGTTATTTCCGGGGGAGGTCTCTTGTCTTCTGATGCTGGTTACTCTGCGCTCACACTCCTTGTGTAAAGCTTATATGATCTGTAGGGAAAGACATTAGTACAAATGATGAATGTTAGCCATAAACAAACACTGTGTGTAAAAGAGGGGTCAGAAACTGATGTTTATCTGTTGCATGCTGGTATACCTGCCTGTAGGACATGCTGTGTGTATGTATTACCCAGTTAAAGTCCCACTCTGATTGTTTTTTTTTTACTACTTAAAGTGTTATCAGTGGTCTTTAAGTTGTTATTATGAAGTTTGTAGCCAAAATCACATTACCTGTGTCATTTTCTACTTTTTTTTTTTTTGCAGAGCTCCAGTAGCTCATTAGCAATTCACCTCTGAGTCCTGGGCGGAGACAGCGCTGCTCTGCACACTTCTTTTCACATTAGCTTGCAGCCTAACATTGCTGGTGTAGTAGAAGTGGCAGGTAACATAGGAGCTATTCAGACTCGGACTCTTATGTCTTTAGGGGCATAATGAAAATAAATTTCATAACTAGCTTTCTTACGAGCATTGCAATCCGCTAACCTGAGGCTTGTTCCGAGCCTGGCCTGCATAGTGGGGCTCCGGGAGTTCACCTCTTTGTGATGTATGAAATCTCACTGTTTCTGAACCTGCCATTTGGGTCTGCTTTAGATTCACAGCGATTAGAATGGAGAAATACTGATATGTCCTCTAGTATCAGAAAATGCCATATGAACATGTAGACAACAAGAAAAACATGATTTTCCTCAGAGTGGGTCTTAAACACCTTTGATGCATCAAATCTCAGCTAGTTTAATCAGGTATGAAGACGTACTGTGAGGTGATGAGAAAAAACATCAGCTGAATAGTCCTTTAAATCATGAGTAAGGACAATGATTTTCACAATCAGGACATCCCTGTCTGGGAGTTTTTTTGCGTACCCACATACATGTGTGCCGTGCCTCCCCTGTGTAATTCAGTGGCTGGGTTTGAACATTAATCTGCACACGTCCACTTGAAGTGTAAAATTGCTATCTTAGAACTACATGTGAGTAATTTCTTTCCTAGCAGCCCAGAAATGTAATAATTGAATTCATTCAACACGTTTTCCTTTTTCTATAGCCAGCTCAGAGTGGGACTTCTGAGACATTCATGACTGATAAAGTTATAGTGATTGTTGTTGAAAGTCATCAGCTCTTGAACTGCACTGAAGGCACTCAGACCAGCTGCATTGTCCTTTTCCATAAACTTCACGTTCACGAGTTCACGTCAGTGTTTCCTGCTATGTATCAGGAAATTACAGGGCTTTCAAAGACCATTAAAGAGTAATTCATGAACCATTTTTATTAAATTTGTACATTTAAAACAAGCAGGCCAAACAAAAAGTTATTTCAAGGCTTTAGCTTTTAAAAGTGTATTGATGGTTTAAAAAAGTGACTTGAATGTGTCTAAATTGGAGGAGGGTTGGAGCAGGGAGCGCTGGGCTCGCTGAACTCGATGTTGATTGGCAGAAGGTCTTTGTGTGTTCTTAGCTGGTCACCCACGGTGTTCCAGGACAAATCGTGACTCATTGCTCCAGAAGTGGCCGAACATTGGGCGGCTTAATGATGTGTGTCCGTTAAAGAAAATAGTCCCTGTCCCATCAACAAAAAGAAACAGCAGCATTGAGGGGGGAATCACTGCATTCAAAGTGCTTGTATTGACACCTTCCTGGATGTGTGTATGTGTCCTGTCTGTTCCCTGCATAGATGCCCTCTGGCTTTTATGACTCAGGCATTTTTGCCTCTTTACACCTGTTTTAGTCTGTGTTTGTGTGTTATTTTTATGTGTAAATGTGTGTTTTTGCGTGGATGATGGAGTTCCCTCCAGTAAAACAGGCTAATTGTTTGTTTATATCCTCTCAAGTTTCGACAGGGATTCACAGTCCCCGTGTTGGAGAACGTCTACCCTGCTCTTCTTCTGCCTACCTTTTGTCTCACTAGGTTCACTTCTCTTTTGTGACATCCTTTTAAAAGCTTAATTGAGTGTCTCCTTTTTTCTTGCCTTTTTGAAGATGAATTTATAATCTAATTGAGTTAAAGTAACTCAAATCTTTTAAATGTTAATGTAATTATTCCATTAATGTAATTTGATTAACGTAAGCCATGTAAAAGGAAATGAAAGCAGAACGATAGCTGCATCCTGATCTAGGGGCTGGAGCCCTTCAAGCACCAAGGCTTTAAAGGGCTCGGCCGTTGAGGTCTATGTAGACCAGTCAGGCTGAAGTCAGGGTTCCCCTAAATGTAATTGACGGCTACCACACCTTAAAAATGAGTTTCTTTGTTACGTGGTGCTACCTCGCTTGGACGCAGTAGTATTTGTGACGCAGATAGCGATGCATCACTGCATCGAGTTTTAACATCCGTGAGTTGACATCTGCGATCACACAGCTGATTAATTAGTACCCCACCCCTGCTTGCTGTCCTGTGGGAAACACTGGAATTGACCCAAGTGGCGTGCAGTTGTCACTTAGCAGCTACTTAGCAGCTTTCTCTCGACATAATTAAATGTTTCTAACTTTGCCATGATGTTGAATCTTTTCCTTTATTTGTTCTTCTGCGATACCTTTGCATTTAAGTCATCTGTCATACAGATCTCTTCCTGCTCTTTACACCTTGTTTCCCACTTTCTCTTACATTTTCCCTCTTTCCATCTCCTTTTTCTGTGCCTTTTTCTTTCCCGGCCCTCATTTGTTTTCTTTGTGTGTTCAGGGCTCTGTTATTTTTTATTTTCTGCTCCATGTCTTTTCAAGATATTAAAAACCAAGCTCCATCACAAACTGGTTACAAATATGCACAGCTCCAGAGCCTGTTCTTCACTTGAATATTCCTCTTGAAATATAACTGAATTGTGAAACAGGACTGAAACATGACCAGACCTCATCATTGTCAGATTTTAGGTACAAATGTTGTCACGAAATAAAAATCGGATTTTTTGATTTCTTGAAAACTAGTGGAGTTGGGAACAGAAAACCGAGGAGTAAACACGTTGACTTCACCCTGACTGGTTGTGTTCAGTGTAACATGATGTTTCACAGATATCTGTTGCTAATTAACCAGTTGCACCACTTTCTCATTAAATGGTCCTCTGATATGATTATTTTTAGTCCGTGATCACTTTCCAATGTCAGACTTAATCCTGAAATTTCTGATTATTTTTGGTAGAGCTTGCTGCAGTAACCTCTGTGAACAGCTACAAGTTTGAAAAGCTGCTAATTAGATATTAAAAGCTTATTCAAAAAAGGTTAAAATCAAAACGACATATTTACCGGTGTAATGTCAACTCCTGGAACCAAGATAACTTTTTGACACGCTGTTGATGTCAATGAGATAGTAGCAGGCTGTCAATGAGGCTCTTTAAAACTTCTGTTTATCTCACTCATGTCTCCCACAAAAGGCCTCCAGCATGTTTTTATCTTGAGCAAATATGGGTCAGAGTGAATTAATCTGCCTGAATGCAGACTCTTTTTATTTTGCAGATGAATTCAGTTGATTGAATTATCGCACAAAGTGTGAAAATTATCAAATCCAATGTGTAAAATTCAGTGTCATTGAGAGCTGATGGAGAAACGAAAAACTAGTGATGAGGAAACACATCGAAGATTGATTTCTTCAAGGGAAAAAAGTGTTGAGTTTTGTGCGTGTTTTTTTGTTTGTGGCGTAGAAAAGAGGATGTCACTCAATGTAATGTGTCCTTTCATCCTCACACACATACATGGTTGATATATGTTCAGTGAATCATCTGCTCACTTTGAAAAGGCAAAGTCAGTGACACATAGAGCCTTGAACATATGTTCTGCCCTTTATTAGCCTGCTACACATACACAAATACACAAACACACACACACACAAACACAGTGACATGTTACCGAGTGCTCTTCACACCATTCTGTTGTGACACACACACTGTGCTGCAGCTGTGTATGCTAATCTGCAATTCATAACACACTACCATGACCTTCACCTCGATGCCAACAGCTTGCCGGGTTTGCGCCCAGATCCATGTTGGCTTGGGGTAGCACTCCACACCCCCCTGCTGTTATGATCATCTCTCAGTCTTAACAGGTGTATCATCATCCTGTTAAGCCAGCATTTGAATTTGGTGTTGAAGGAAATTTTCACGCCGGTGTATCAGACGACTAGTCTGTCACGTATTGAATGAATCATTTGCTTGTCCTCACCTTCCGCCAACAGATTACCTTGTTGTGTGAGGACATCTGCCAGCCTGCACCCCCTTTTCTGTGAATACAAAATCAGACTGATTATATTGATGCTGCTTCAGAGCTGTGCTGTTATTTACTGATATTTGGACGATTGTGAAGATTGTTTACCTTAAAAGCAATGTCAGTGTTTATGCTTTTGACATGAAATTAACCATTTTTCGAACTGTCTCTACAGAAGGGTTGGGTATTGATAAGAATTTATTGATACCAATGCCATTATTGATTTGATCCATTCTTTGTCATACCCTATAAATTCCTCCCGTGAATTTTCTGTGTACAGAATGTAGGCTTTACAGGTTGTCTGTGTCAACAACATTTTATTAAGTTTATAAGTAAATAGATATAAAATTGGTCTCTGGATCTGGATATCTCTGGACGCAAACAAAAGAAAATAAGTGAAAATCTTGGAAGATGGTTGTCGAATTCCAGATCTCTGGACGTAAATAAATATATCAATGCATACTAAACTGTTCCTGTTTAAAAATATAAGCATATCTATTTTCTCAGAAAGGATTCTTAATCCTTCAGGGCTGATAGCATCTCCAGCCACTGAAAAGACCCTCCCAGATGGGGTTAAAGATCCTTAGACACACAAATAGGTTGCCCAAAGTGCTGAGAGCAAAGGCAGACAGCAGAGGTACTTGGTGCACCACTAATATTGTCTAAAAATGGATCCAATGACTACAAGTTACAACCTTTACTACAACACAAGGGTTAATACAGATTGTCATTGGACAATAACGTGAAAACCCAGTGTTGTTCCTGTGGTGCACTGAGAGTAACGTCAGTGAAAACAGTCAAAGTGTCAGCAATCAGGGCTTTTCTACTTATTCTAATTTATGCATCATTTTGCACCAAATTCGTACCAGAGGGTTACCTGATCAGCCATTACTCCGATCTCGGTATTGGGAAAGAAAAAGTGTTCACATTCTTAAGTATTCCTCTTCCTATCACTGTTTTTCTATTTGTAGCCATGACCAACATCTCAGTCCCTGGAGAACATCCATCCCACTGTCTCCAGTATTGGATTTGTATGTATGAATGTTTGATGTACGTCGCCTGTGTGTTTACGTCTGATTTGCACGTGTGATGGCAATGACAATAATAGTCCAGGTGATTCATGGTTTTGTCCCGGGGAAGCGTGAGTCGCAGGTGTATACCTCAGCTGGCTGGCACTTAACAGGGACTTCCTGACATTTGTCAGGCTGAGTCAAAGGTGGGCACGTTGACACAGTTTGTCACTGAAAGGTCGAAGAGGCAGTCATCAAAACTCATATACAACAATTACAACGCAGTGTGTTAGTAGCTGTGTGCACTTGAATCCTGGTTTTGCTTCGTAGTAGGGCTGACAAGAAAGGACCTGTATTAAATGTACTTCTATTTACAACATTTGGCTCAAGATTTCTCCGACTAGACTGTTTAAGTCTGAGTCTTTCTATTTTTGTATCTTATAGGACATGAGTAAAGTACAGACACTCATGGTTCCCAGAGGATAAACCCTGCTGATTTTGGTTCTTCATTTATCATCATTAGCCGGTCAAAAGTTGTGGTTTTGAGTTAAACGTTGCTTCAAGGTAGCTGCAGGTATTTTGATTTGAACCCAGAAAGAGAGGCGGAGGCAGATAAAGCATTAACAGTAAATCTATTGATTGGAAGAGATCCAGGGTCCGAGGCGTGAGGAGGGTATCCGAGGAGTGGTGAGGACTAGAGGTGTGAGGGCATGTGGCAGAAGCAGGTGAGTAAATCTGGAGAGAGTGTAGCAGTTTGGTGGAGATTGAAAGGTAACATTGGGACTTGTGGACCCACTGGAAATCCAAGGGAAAGCAAAAAAACATTGACAATGTACAACAAGTAGCAAACACAAGAGAACTCCAGCAGATTCAGTACCACAGGAGGTGCAGGAATAATCTGGCACTGGAGAGGCCTTAGAGCAGAGCTCAAGAGCTGCTGGTGATTGCAGCAATTAGGTGCAAGGAGAGCCAGTGCAGGAGGGAACCACTCAATCGATGTGTAGTAAAGACACACAGACTCTGCATAAGGGCCAAACCCAGAATTCACCAAAATAAAAGCTTAAAATGTGCAATTACTACAGGTGTGGTGCAACCAACGTGTGCCGAACAATATCTGCAAACTGCTTTCCTCTTATCCACTTGTCTTTGGGAAATGATATTGTTCCCACACAGGAAACCTTCATGTCAGTGGGAGATCTTCTAGATCTTGCTTTTTGTGTGTTGACATGGCTAGCACGGCAGGAAAGTCATGTTCTGTGTGTGGTCCGCTTTCATCTTCTGGCTCTGTGGGAACTTGGATTTTAAGTACTTATGGTTCTAATACGTGTACCACCACACCTCTAGTCACGAGTCATATCAACTGGGGCTTTGTGTCCATCCCATTAGCAGGATCATGGTATGTTACGAATACTAGAGGTAAAACTCTCACAAGGACTTAAACCTGAAGAAGTCATGCTGACTGTGACACCTTCCAACTCAAAAAGGATGAAATGAAGACATATAATAACCTGAAGGTCACTGTCACAGTGACATCAAGAAATCCCTTTTCTGTTGGAGCCATAGTATCACTTGAGGGGAGTTTTATTACATTAAAGTTATTATTTAATCATCCATTTGTGGAAATCTCCACAGTAACTGCTGATTCTGCTGCTGTAAGAATGATTTACTGAAAGTTTTAATGATCTACGAAAAAAAACAACAAACATAAAAAAAGACAGCTTTAATGGTATCATGAATGAATGATAAAAGTAGTTTCTATATTCAATGTACAAACATCATCAAGTCTGCAGTTTTGCTGTTATTCTGCAGTGAATTTACCAACAAGAAAATGCACCTTGGCAAGTTGGTTGAAGAAACACAGACAACAATATTCTTTTACTGACAAACACACGGCAAATTCAAAATCCCCCCTCACAGCACAGACCACTTACCTGAGGAAAAAGCATCACATACAGCGAAAAGTGGGGAATTGTAAAGCTTCATGTTGAGGGTCGGTCAGGGATGCGTTGCTATTGCTTTGTTTTGTTCATGAGGCACAGACCATTCAAGGTTGACAACCCCATTATCTGTTTATTTTTTCTTTTTTTTTTACACTCACTTGCCATCACTATCTTTTGGTTGTCTTCTTTATTTGTCCTTTAGTCTCCTCTTTCCTCCATATACTCACTAATTACACTCCTGCTTCACTGTCAGCCCTACAGCTGAAGGATAATCTTATCTGGAGAGAGCAGCCCCAGTGCACTACTCACAGCCGCCCAGTTGATTAAATGTGTAGAGGACGGGGAAGAAGATTGTGTGTGTGTGTGTGTGTGTGTGTGTGTGTGTGTGTGTGTGTGTGTGTGTGTGTGTGTGTGTGTGTGTGTGTGTGTGTCTGTGTGTGTGCCTTTGCCATCATAGGTAATGAAACTGCAAAGTGATGGGCATTTAGCTGTGCCAGCAGTATGGGATGTATATGTAGTATGTATATCTTTCACTCTGTGCAACAGATGAATGTTTATAAGGGCTGCAGATAAGTGTAATCCCAGCTGTAGACCTCAAAGAGCGGAGGGAGCACGTGGCTTTTTCCCTGAACTTTCAAAAGATTCCTGACGTTATCTGTGTTGGAGAGGGCACATAAGTGAATGCAGTGGACCATATTACTTCACTTGGACATCAAGAAGATTTATTTCTGCCAGACCCCTGGTAAAAAGTCAGTACGAACTGTTTTGAGTACATACGTGAACAGGGTAGGTATACTGGGATATATACAGGGATCTCGTGGTACGGATTAGATCAACATTTTACTGTACTTTGGATCAGCTAAAGAGGAAAAATACAGGCCTATAACATAATCAGACCCAGCACCTTCCTTCAGACTAAAGTTGGCAAAGGCCCAGCTGGATTAAAATAGTGTATATTTAACATGTTTGGATATAGCGTTGTGTAGGAGAAACCTCGAGGACAGCATGCACTCTGTGGATTGTCACATAGCACTGGCTGACTGCCAGTTGTGGATGCAGCAACAGACTGTGTTCATCAAGGTTTTTCAATGTGATTTTGAGCCTGTGCTGTAATTTTTCCAGATCACCCTCACCTGTGAAACATCATTTTTTCTCAGACAGTTCAACCAATTAGCCATATTTGTAAGAGTAAAACTAGTTAAACATCTAGATTCATGGTTTTTCAATTTACATTCGACATCTAACTGAATCTCTTAAGGAAAGTGAACCCTGTTGATAAAAACCAAGGCAGTGATTAGACTGAATGGTAAATTTTCTTTGTAGTTAATTACACAGTATGGATCAGCCAAACTAGGATTTTTACAATAAAAGATGCTGATATTCTTAACAGCGAACGATTCAATGATTTTAACATAACATCAATAGTGTAAAGGATTTTCAAAAACTGCCAAACAGAAGGATCATTTTTCTTATTGAGGCTATTACAAAGCGTCACGTTGATTTTAAAGAGGATTAAATCTAATGCAACAAAAAGCTGCCAATTAAGACTTTTTTACAACACACACTAAAAATAAAACAGTTAATTTACATAGGAACAAAAGACTCCAGTTTGAAATGTTAGTCGTAGTTTTCCATGCAGATAAAATACTGGATGGTATCACACAGAAAAACAGTGAGAGAGATCATCTGTCTGTGGACAGAAGATGACTCCACACTTTCCTCCATCCAGTTTTGGTTTATTGCTCCCATTCATTTGATTTGCCTGACCCCCGTCTTTGATTTACAGACACGCATTGACCACTAATCATAACCACTCTCTCACTTTCTACTTTTCCCTTTCTCCCTCCTTTTTATTTCTTTCTATCTGCTTTTTGTCAAATTCTCAGCTTCTACCCTTCCTAATCCTCTTTTTTCTGTCCCCTCAACAACACTACTAGCTTTATTGATGAGGAAATAATACCAAATCTGCTCTCCACTCCACTTGCCTGATGGTGCTGCGGCTTTATTGACTGCACAGAAATGCTGAGGGAGTCCAGATAGACCACGTATTGATTTATACAGCTTAATGCTGCAGTGTTGTTTATTCATATTGCGTTCCTCCACTTCAGCAGTGCATCAGCCGCCTGTCGACCAGTCTAGACTTCTAAATCCCTGGATATGTGAGCCATAGTGTTAGTAGTTTTATTTGTTTGAATTAAATAATTTGCAAGTGTGTTTAATGAGCCTTCTTAATGGTTGTGCAAAGTGTTTGTTCTTATATAGAGACAGAGACACTTCATATTGGCAGAAACAGATTTGATTAAAATGAGCTGAGTGTTTGAAATTGAACAAAATAATTGCTATTATGTCAAATCAAGCTGAGCGTGATGATTATGTCGAGTGTTTTGAAAACAACCTTATTCACGGTTTAAGTTTCTGAAAATGCACATCAGTAATCTTGTTTAAAAGGGTATTGTAAATCTATTTAATTGAAAACTGACTTGATATAAGTTAATGTTAAAGTTGTGGGTGGCAAATACCAAGAGTTTATGCTACAATTTCTTCATTCCAAGCCTCTGACATTTCACAACATATCTCAAATCTGGTGCATCCATCCTGTAAGAATCTCCAAACAGAAGGTCTCATGTTCATTTACATATTTTTATATGGCAAAGATTTCTGACTGGTGATACACTTTACTGTTGAGAGAAAGCAGGATGGGATTTTTAAGATAGAAGTACAAATAAATTCTTCTAAGATACCTGCAGGGCTAAATTCATTTAAAAATGTAGTTTTGTGAAAATGTAGTTTTATATTTCAAGATTTTGAATGAAGACTTAATCTCTGCGACGAAATTTTGTAACTAGGGTGTTCAAGTTTTCTGTTTTGAGCGAGTTTGCAGGTCCTATCAAGTTGATGTATCTTTAACTTCAACAGTAATCTGTTGAAGTGCAGTCCACAGTCTGACTGTCGATTGTCAGGGCACAGTTCATCTTTCATGTTGAATGGTCGATGAAGGTGATGTACCAAAAAGGAAGTCTTGACGCAAGGTACTTCATCCCTAATGGCAGGCTCCAAACACGACCCCACTTTTTTTTGCTGTTGCTTCCCAAGAGTTAAAGATAACTGATGGGATCTGATAGGATCTGTTATTGACAAAAACAAATCTTGTTTTTAGGAGGAAAGTTTAGGATTAAATTCCAATAGAAAACCTGTGGTGTTTAATAAATAAATAAATAAATAAATAAATAAATAGAATTTTAGCTATTTGCAGTTTCTGAAGTGTCCACTTGAGGCTGGGACCGTAAGCCATAGAAGCCTCATTGAAACCCATATTAAAACACCCCAAAAAAACAGCCTGGTGAAGAGACTAAATTAGGTCTGAGTAACATGTTTGTTGATTTGTTTTGCTCATTTGTTTTGACGATATTAGAGCACATTGAAGCATATTAAAATGTATTTTAATGAAATTTTGTTATTGCAAGGTGAAATGAATATAATGACAGCCAATAATAGCCGGCCAACAGAAGATCCTAAGCCAGCTTCAAATAGGATTCACCATGTTGGATTGCTAGTGACTAGCAGCAGTTAACTCCAGCTCTGTTAGCGAGCACCGTCTGCAGCTGCCTGGACAGCTACCGTGTTGACATTGCAGCGACTAATTAGAGTTATTTATGTAACATGTGCCACGATATAAGGCAAAAATTACCTGTTCAACAAAGACAGGTTCCTGGCAGAGCTTTCTCCACCGCTCGAAGGATGACCCGATGTTTATTCAAGTTAGATTCCTCGCTTGGTCACATTTCCTCTTTGACTCTTCCCTTTCTTCTGTCAGCTTGTGTTTTATTCCCACTTTTGGCGGTGGGGCAAGCAGAAGCGTTTTTTTTGCGTCCTTCTTCATCACAGCGCCTGTATCTAAGCTGCTACACTACTTTTAGCCGCTCAGAGCTCCGTGGCTGGGAGAGTGGGAGGGGACGAGTCTGAGGGGTGTGTGGAATACAGCAAGGTGATTGGATGTAGAGGTGGAGCAGGAGATTGACCAATAGGGGCTGTCCAGGACGGATGGCTCCCGTTAGTCAATGTTTTTGCAGCCCTGCACCTGATAGGGTGAACAGATTTTAGCCATTCCTTTTTCCCTTCACTTTGTGGGTATCGCACTTTAGGACCATGATCGCCATATAAACAAGGTTTATAATAATTACCAGTCTCTTCAATCGTCAACTATGCCTTTAAGTCAAGTGAGGATTTTATTCTTTGGAGTACTTCACCAATATTTAAAGCCAAGAGAAACATGGATTTTTTCTGATTTGACATGGACAAAAGTTCTTAGAGCCAGTCAGAGAGAGCAGCCTTTAAGTCATTTGTGTGGTGTTTCCAGAGCATGAATACCCAGAGGGCAAAGATGCAGTAAACACTTCTGTTACACAATTGCCCCATTGGAAGAAAATCTTTGGATCAATTGCTGTCATTATTTACAATGATTTGAAATTGTGGGCTGTGGGTAGAGACACTTCAGCGGTATACAGTTGTCAAACATGATTTCACGCCACTATTGCAGCATGGACTTGGATTGTATTGGCCTCAACCAGAACCCTATGATGATGGCTGATGATGATGATGACAACACACTCCAGTTTATTGTCATTTATTAATGAGACACAAAAAACCAGAGGGCCTTGTCATCAGACAAATCGAATAAAGACGAGGCGAGCCCTGGCCTCTTTGTGCTGTACAGCTCAATGATCGATTGCGTTGGGAAGACTCCAGACAAGAGGCGGATTGAGGACCACTCCGGTGCTTCCAAGTGATTGGCTGTTTTTGTTCAACTAGGGGAAATAACAGGGCTGTTCAACCAGTTAGTACAAGCTTTTATTTGTTGTTGTACAAACCTCACCAACACAGAGCAGTCTGTTCTGGCTTGTTCACAGTCAAGCACATTCATCAGGGTGCCCTCAAACATTTCAAACAGGCTGAGAAGATATATGCACGTCCTAAGTATTTTTAGAAATTGAGGACTGTGTAGGCCATTGATGATTAAGAGGATGGGAAAGGACATCTCTTCTCTGGATGGACATTAAATTAGGCTGATGTCACACTTAACTGCTGCTGTGATCATCCAACTTGAGCTGTTATTACTCTTCATCATTTTCCGCAACCTCGACCTTACAGGGCAGCAAAGGACTTCCTTCCTCTCCGTCATCTTTCTTTTGATCCCCCTCTCAGTATGTCCTTAGCCTCAGTTGCTTTCCATTTACACCCCCTGCCCTCCATCATTCTCTATGTAGCATGAAGTCGAGGGACACAGAGTATTTGCATTATTTAGGAGCTCTTAACCTGGCAGGCTAGCACTCACTCCAGCCCAGAGGTTTATTTTTAGAAATGCTGCCTTTTGCTTTTTTTTTTTCCCTAAGAAAAACATTGACTTTTATATGGAAGCCCGTTTCCGCCAGTCAAAAAAAAAAAAAAAGTCGAAATTATGAGATTTAAAAGTCATAATTATGAGATAAAAAGTCAAAATTATGAGATAAAAAGTCGAAATTATGAGATTTTAAAGTCATAATTATGAGATAAAAAGTCGAAATTATGAGATAAAAAGTCATAATTATGAGATAAAAAGTCGAAATTATGAGATACTTCTTTAACACAACAGTCAAAGTAGCAGCCATGGATTGTGAGCACATTGAAGACTACTTTAAACGTGGATTTACAACGAATGAAATTCTCCATTTGCTTGCGGATTTCCATGGGATTGTAATAAGCAAACGCACCTTGGAAAGAATCTTGAGCAAGAAGCGGCTTTGGCGTAGGAAGAACAAAACTGATGTGGCTGAGGTGGCAACCTTCATTGAACAGCAACTGGAAACATCTGGTCAGTGTCATGGGTACAGATGGATGCACCAAAAATGTTGGTTAAACGGAATTGTGACTGACAGAGAAACAGTTCAAATACTGTTGCAATTATTGGATGGTGAAGGTGTTGACCTGAGGTCAAGAAACAGACTCCGAAGGCGTGTGTACCACAGCTGCGGTCCAAACTATGTCTGGCACATTGATGGCTACGACAAGCTGAAGCCATTTGGAGTTGCAATTAGTGGATGCATTGATGGGTTTTCCAGAAAGATGATATGGCTTGAGGCTTACAAAACAAACAATGACCCAAAGATCATAGCTGGCTACTTTATGGATGCTGTGATCAGTGCCGGAGGATGTCCTGCCAAGCTCAGACTTGATTTAGGGACAGAAAATGGGCACATGGCTGAAATGCAGCGCTTTTTGCATTTTTCCGAAAACCGAACTGAAACAGACAGTGTAACCTTTGGTCCAAGCACTGGAAACCAGCGGATTGAACGATGGTGGCTGATCTTACGAAGTGAGTGTGTCCAGTTTTGGATAGACCTATTCGACAAACTGAGAGAAGATGGCTTCTTCTCAGACAACTTCTTGGACAAGTCCCTAATCCAGTTTTGCTTTCTTCAAACAATACAGGTAAATGCCACATATAATAAAGGATTACCCATTCAGTACATACATTGTTGTGGGTTGAGGCATTCAAAGTAACTCTGCACCAAATAAGAGGGCCTAATTTAACAATTATCATATGTAATGAATGATATGACATAGTTTGAGAGCCTCTTTTTGATTTCTGGGCTATTCCACCATATTTGATAGCTGTGAAAATATATTTGCAATATTAGTTACACTACATCAAATTACATTTTGGCCTGAATAATAACGGTGTCAACCCACCAGAAGACAAATCTGTAATATATGTAACCAATATGTTTATATATGCTATGACTGAATGTCATATGCCTCCCAGGAAGAACTTAATGAGGTTGCATTGACCTGGAACAACCACAGAGTTCGTCAGGTCCACAACTCACGATCACCTCATGGACGTCCCTCCATATTGCATGCAGTCCCTCATCTTTACGGAGGCAGAAATTGTTTGCATCATGTGGACCTGGAGAGGGTTCAAGTCTGCCTGGAAGAGTGTGTGTTCAAGGACTTTCCATGTGATGAAGATGTGTTCCATGTCTGTGTGGATTTAATGTCAGAGTATGACCTGAAATTAACAAATGATGTGTTTGAAACAGTTAACCTGTATATCGAACTCAGACGTCTGATAAACACTGAACTGGATCTAGATCATTGACTTACCTGGTCCTGTGTCACAATTTATATTTCATCTGTTTAACTGCAGTACAAATTGAAACTTATATGTGTTTCGACTGTCAAAATTATGTTTTAACCTGTGATGATAAAATAAATGTTATTTCAGACAAATCAAAGAGGTACCAAATATGTTAATGTCTTTCTAACAAAAAACACAGTACTAAGTGCTTTGTCATTCCTGTATTCACTATTTCTAAGAAGGAAATTTCACACATGTATTAACTGTTGTTTTATTTCATTAAAACATTTAAAACATTAACAACATACCAAACTGCATGTGCTTTTCCTTTCAGCTGTAATTTCATTCAACTTGCTACAGCAGGGATCCTTTAGGCTTCCAATGTGGAATTAAAAAAAGAAAAAGTAACTTGTAACAAGATTGGAATACTATGTAACATTTACTTGAAACAAGCAAAAAGAAAACCCAATCTTTTAAATGACAGCATTTTAAATAACACAAGTGCAGTAATAATGTTTTATGAAAACAGAAATAACTGAAATATTCCTGTTGATATTAATGCTTTTAACTTTAGAATAATTGTATATAATTACTGCATATCAACATAATTATGGCGAGTAATGAAAAAAAAATATCAAACATAAGTCAGCAGCCCCACTATATTTGCAAGAAAAAACAATACTTAACAAAGCAAGAGGGGCAAAAAACGCAACTAAAATGTGGACAGCATGTTAAAGCTGTGACACTCAGTAAGGTTACAAGGGAACAGAAGTATTTCATTCATAAACCCAAGCTGTGAAAAACCTAGTCCTAAAAAGACTACACATGGACCTCTGATGGCAGTTCAGTTCCTGTTGGCTAAAATCTTTGTATCTTAGGCAATGTCCATTACCCACACATTGCTTTCAAAGACTTTGTTCATTTCATGACGAAAATCTGGGTAGTTGTCATAACTGACTGGCAACTCCAAGTAACAGCCGCATGTATGAGCAATAGGTCTTCTCTGAAATCCCTGAACTTGTGTAAAGCTGACAGTGATGCTCTTTCCTGTAAACAAGTCTGATCCAGTGCAAAATCTGAGGAAAGAGGAGAGATGATGGGTGTCTGACTCTCTAAGGTACGCACTTAGATACTTGACAATTTGTTTCTCCTGGGCATTCTGGGTACTTGGGTAAGTAATTGATTTCATGATCTTTCGTGATGTTGGTTGCAGGTCTTCATAGATAGCTGCAATCCCTTTCAGCTCTGATCTAACAGGTGCTAGCATGTTGCTCCACTGTTCAATCACAAAAGCTGGCTCTTGAATCAGTTTTTGGTGAGCAAGCTCCCTCAAGATTTGCTCAATGTTATCTGCTGTTGGAAGCCTCCGGCAGTTGTGAATGTCCATGATTTCCAATAATTCTTCATGGTCAACACTTTCAAAAGCTGAACGACAAGATCCAAAGATGACTCGCTCAGATTCTGACACGTACTTGAAAAAGGTATCTACAAGATCACTCTCCACAGTGCCCAAAATAGCTTGCTCCAGAAGTACAGGTGCGAGTTTTACAGGAAGGTACTTCTCTCTTTGCCAGCCAAATGTGATTATTCTGCCTACACTTTCCCATTCTTCTTTTCCAAAATCATGACGTAGGTATGGCACTTTGAAGGCATTTCCCAGAGTGCACTGCTCATAAAAGTCATTCCAAAATTCTGACAGAACATCCCTCAAAACACCTCCATCATCCACAGCCTGTTCAAGTTTTCCATCAGGAAAAATAACTTTAAAGAAAATGTCATCCTCCATGACACTTTCCTCAGAAAACACTTGAATAAGTTCTCTAAGAATCTGACCACGATGAAGAACAATAATTTTCTTCACTCTTTCTCCCTGGCTGGCTTGTTCCTGTAACATATCCATGGAGGGAGTCATGGTTGACTCAAAAGACAGGTGCTGAGAGAGAGGCAAGGTATCATCAAGACTGGAGTACTCCATCCCAGAGACACTTTCTGTGTGGAAAGTTACAATGCCACTATCCTCTAAAGCATCCACATGAAGTAATGTTCCATGTTCTGGAAAACTAGATGCATCTATTTGGTTAGCTGTGGTATAAAGAAGGGAAACCCTCTCACTGCTTGCATTTGCAGATATTGTGCTGCTTCCAACATAAATGACATCTGTAGTATTTTGCTCCACAGCATCTGTGGCAGAAGTGTCTGAAAAGTAACAATAGTTACCAGGTTCATCATGTGTCTTTTCAACTTGTGCAGTTGTATCACTATTCTCCTCACTGGTAATATCTCTCTTCTTCGTTTTTAAATAAAAACGTAAGAGTGGTAACTTTGTCTTGTCATACAGTTCACCGACTGTGGTAGTGTCCTCTAATGGATGTTGCTGAAAATCAGTTATATCAATCTCAAAATCAGTCAGGCTTCCCTCTGCATTTTTTCCACCTGGGAAAAACAACTGACCAGCTTTTTCAATCAAGCCCTGTTTTTTCGTGTCCTTTGAGACACTCTCTTTCCTGGTTCCCCCTCCCTTTTTGGTGCGTACCTGGACAAATTCCCCTTCTCTGTAATGTAGCCATCCTAGTTCAATTTTTCTTTCACTTTTCTGAGCATTCCTTGTAGGGCTCTGATGCTCTCTCACAGACACCTGATCACCTTTGTGTCGTGACAGCTTTCCTCTAAGTCGCTCAAAAATCTTGGACTTTCGATTGCTTGGTTCTCTTTGCTTTCTTCTGGAGTATCCAAAAACAGCTAGTCGGTCACCGTAGGATGGGAGATACTCTTTTAGCTGGTCATCTGTCATGAAGGGTATGACACTGGAATCAATCTAAAAAGAAGAAATATTTCATGAATTCTTCAGTCAAGTCCATTAAATCACAACAATCAAAAAAATGTATACACAGCACCACATGTTAACTACAAAGCTCTTCCAAACTATGAATTTTTTAGTGTTAGTGTGATTTGTACAAGAACCTATGTTAACTACCTTCTCCTGTTCCATTCGCTGTATGTTTTCCTCAGGCACATGGCGTGACCTTAAGTAGTCACTTAGCTCATCCATCTTGTTACAGATAGAAAACCTCTGTTGAATAAAATAAGAATTAAAATGTGAAATCAAAAAAACATAATACATATTTAGTTGATTTCAGAGAATCTATTTGTTTGCAATTTTGATATTCAAGCAATGTTCATGTTTAAATCCACTCTGTTCCAAGAAGAAAGGGATAATTACTTTACTTTATAAAGTGTTATCTTTCTATTAATATCTTGATTAAGTCTCTTGGTTTTCTGATTTAGAAAAGCTGTCCTCTGATATTATCACAAATTAATTACTTTTTATCTGATTATCTAGTAGACCTAACATCTTGTTACATCCTCACTATACAGTTCTCTATTTTCAGGTCGCATATTTTGACTTATTATAACAGTCTCACTGGCTTTTCCATCTTTCATGCACATAAGTTACCCATTAGACAGAAATTTTTTGCCAGACGTTAACTAAACCCGGTCACTGAGACAAACAGTCACTAATGGAAGTCGTGCATTTATACAGTAAGGTATTTGCATACTGTTTTTATAGCAATCTTTCTGCTGTCATGCCATTAACAGCAAAAACACACGACCAGTACGACCAAAATGTTCCTTTAAAAACGTGAGGAATAGACGGGTAGTGACGTGCAGTTCATCATGCTAGCTGTTGCACCGAGGATACAATACAGGTGCTCCACAGTCCTATGGCATTAGCATCGTTTCTCAGAATCGTTAGCTAAACTGGAAAATGACAACTCAGTGCACAGTGTACAATTTTCGCATGACTTTTCAACATGCTGGAGAACACAGCGTTACATGCAAAACTAGCTCTGATAACACTTACCAACTCTTAACAAAGACCTTTGTGGAGACTTTTGTAGCCGACTCTAAGTAACATGATGCAACTCACAGGTAGAAAGTACGGACACTGTTCCTGTCTCAGTGTCACCATCTAGTGGCATAAACGTGACTTCAAAACGATGATTCTCTTACAGCTGAAAGATATTGTCAAAATAACGTTGTAATTTGTTTAGGAGCACGGACGGACTGATTGAATGAATAGTAATATCTAATATCTATCAAAGACACCTATAATACTTACCTAATTTACTGACGAGTATCGTTTGCATGGTGCGTCCAGTGAGGTGAAGTGAGACCTTGAAGACGGCGCCATAAAACATGCGCACTTACTATCTCATAATTTCGACTTTTTATCTCATAATTTCGACTTTTTATCTCATAATTTCGACTTTTTATCTCATAATTATGACTTTAAAATCTCATAATTTCGACTTTTTATCTCATAATTATGACTTTTTATCTCATAATTTCGACTTTTTATCTCATAATTATGACTTTTTTTTTTTTTTTGACTGGCGGAAACGGGCTTCCATATTTTTATGTATGGCGCTGATGAAGCTGCAGAGAAAGAGAGCTGAAGAAAGCATGATGCAAAAAGTATGCGTTATGCAATTTGTTCTGGCTGCTCTGGAATGCTAAGAGAATAAGAGTGGTAATGTATAACTTCAGCTCATGTATGCATTAATAAATGAATACTCAAGTGGGCAGAGGGCTTTTTTTCCATTTTCAGCTGTGGATTGCATATGATTTCTCATTCCACTCCACCATTTTAAGATACATTTGTGCATTTTTAAAGCTTGTACAAATTCAGTGCTAATCTGTTTGACATTCCCACTGATTAATTTATTGTGACTGACTCAAACATGTTCCAAAATTAGACTTGCTGCTATCTGACTAAACAGCTCAGTAGCCCAAGACTTATCACTTAAACATCAACAGATTTAATATTTGTTAAATAAGTAGACAAAAGCAGCAATAAGTATGGGTTTGTCATTCATTTTAGCATCGCAGAACTGGCAGCAGCACAAAATTTCCAGCAAGTGTTCTGCAGGTGTCTACAATGTCCTCTCAGTTGATGCATTTCATAATCTTTCAATGTGACAGACTTTCGCTACACTGCACTTACTGAACTTTTCCTGAACGTAGAGGTGGCTGGTTGATTCCGCTCCACTGCTACTTACGTAAATTTTGGACATTATAAGTCAGACGTGCCTAGAATATATAATGTATATTTAATGGATGTCTACTGATATTGACATTGAAAAGAGTAGCCTTTTTTTGTTCTTGATACTTCCATGAAGTGAACTAACCATTCCCTTTCCATGCATTCAGCATCTTTTCGTTCATTATTTTATGGGCCCTTTGCAGAGAAAAAGTGTGAATAAAATGACCAAACCTAAATAAAAAAAAGAGAATCAAAGATAAAAGTATAATAATTATTACCTTCACTAATGTAAATTAAAAGGTATCTACACTCTGGTGGAGTTCTGAGATCTAAGTTGTAATTATAAGGTCAAAATTGTAATTCTGAGAATAAAGTTAGAACTCAGAGATAGAAGTTGAAATTCTGAGATCAAAATTGGAAATTTGCGATTGATATTGGAATTCTGAGATCAAAGTTGGAATTCTGAGATTAAAGTTGGAATTCTCAGAATAAAGTCAGAACTCAGAGATTAAAGTTGAAATTCTGAGATCAAAGTCAGAACTTTGAGCTTAAAGTAGAGATTCTGAGATAAAGTTAAAAACTCTAAGAAGTTCAGATGATTACAATCTTATCCAAGATCACAGTTGCACATAAATTCGTGAGATTAGAGGTGTGGCTGAGTTGACAGGGTTTCAGGTGCATTGCATGAGGAGGGTTAGGGTTAGGATAAATGCCCGTCCCAGCATACCTGTGTGTAGGTTTATCCACAGTTAGGTTGATTAGCACTTCCAAAATGGCAATCAGCTGAATTGTGTCATTTTTTTCAGCACACCAAAACCCAAACAAAAATGTAATATACTTGAATCATGTATATACACTCACCGGCCACTTTATTAGGTACACCATGCTAGTAACGGGTTGGACCCCCTTTTGCCTTCAGAACTGCCTCAATTCTTCGTGGCATAGATTCAACAAGGTGCTGGAAGCATTCCTCAGAGAGCTTGGTCCATATTGACATGATGGCATCACACAGTTGCCGCAGATTTGTCGGCTGCACATCCGTGATGCGAATCTCCCGTTCCACCACATCCCAAAGATGCTCTATTGGATTGAGATCTGGTGACTGTGGAGGCCATTTGAGTACAGTGAACTCATTGTCATGTTCAAGAAACCAGTCTGAGATGATTCCAGCTTTATGACATGGCGCATTATCCTGCTGAAAGTAGCCATCAGAAGTTGGGTACATTGTGGTCATAAAGGGATGGACATGGTCAGCAACAATACTCAGGTAGGCTGTGGCGTTGCAACGATGCTCAATTGGTACCAAGGGGCCCAAAGAGTGCCAAGAAAATATTCCCCACACCATGACACCACCACCCCCAGCCTGAACCGTTGATACAAGGCAGGATGGATCCATGCTTTCATGTTGTTGACGCCAAATTCTGACCCTACCATCCGAATGTCGCAGCAGAAATCGAGACTCATCAGACCAGGCAACGTTTTTCCAATCTTCTATTGTCCAATTTCGATGAGCTTGTGCAAATTGTAGCCTCAGTTTCCTGTTCTTAGCTGAAAGGAGTGGCACCCGGCGTGGTCTTCTGCTGCTGTAGCCCATCTGCCTCAAAGTTCGACGTACTGTGCATTCAGAGATGCTCTTCTGCCTACCTTGGTTGTAACGGGTGGTTATTTGAGTCACTGTTGCCTTTCTATCAGCTCGAACCAGTCTGGCCATTCTCCTCTGACCTCTGGCATCAACAAGGCATTTCCGCCCACAGAACTGCCGCTCACTGGATATTTTTTCTTTTTTGGACCATTCTCTGTAAACCCTAGAGATGGTTGTGCGGGAAAATCCCAGTAGATCAGCAGTTTCTGAAATACTCAGACCAGCCCTTCTGGCACCAACAACCATGCCACGTTCAAAGTCACTCAAATCACCTTTCTTCCCCATACTGATGCTCGGTTTGAACTGCAGGAGATTGTCTTGACCATGTCTACATGCCTAAATGCACTAAGTTGCCGCCATGTGATTGGCTGATTAGAAATTAAGTGTTAACGAGCAGTTGGACAGGTGTACCTAATAAAGTGGCCGGTGAGTGTATATATATATATATATATATATATATATATATATATATATAAAAAGTACAGATGCCCTTACTGTATAAAACCCAATTAAGCTAGCATGTCTTTTAGCCACTTGGTTTGCATCCCTCCACTTGGCCTGGTCAAATAATGGCTTAAAGCCTTCACACAGATGTTTCTCTTATTCTAGCAGGCACCTGTAACAGAAGTGTCGTACCTCCATAGATTTGGCTGACTTCGTGCTGACACAGATTTGAAATCCCACCCCTGGGAGCTAATTCTTGATGAGCAACCCCCATTTTTTTCACTCTGACAGCATTTCACAGCTTAGCTAGCAACCGTGACAGGTAAAGGTCATGTGGAGAGGCAGTTTGGAGTCCTGGGGAATAGGGATGATTTGACTCTCCTCATTAGCTGTGCCCTGCTCTCACACAAGAGATTTCTTACTCAAACAAAGGCGCATTTGTGGAGGAGAGCTCTTCGGCAGTTGTTTGCAGTCTTTTATTTTACTGTAGGATCATAAGCGGCATAGTTGATCATCAAATCATTCATTGTCTTCTGTTTGCGGCTAATTTTTCAACACCTTCTTAATGTTCCACTCACTTTAGACTGTCAAAAGTTTCCAGTTTTCTCGATATTTTGTAGCAGATTTCATTTCTGCTCCTCCTCAAGTCGCCCTCCTTTCATTCTCCTCAGCCTCACTCACACTCACATCTACTTTTTTTCTCTGTGAAATAATTCGTTCATTTCATTTCTCTTCCCTTTGTGGGTCTTTTGTTGCAGACAGAAGCTTTTGATTCAGTTTATGAAGATTAAAAGCAGAGAGAAGTACTTTTGTCATTTGGCCAATCCAAAATTTCTTGCTTGAATGAGAAGAACATGCTGTGGGGCATTGGGAAATAAAAGCTGTAATTGCATGGCTGAAGTATTTAATTAGCTCAATGTAGTGTATGTAGGAAAACCACAGAGTTGTGTTAATCAGAAAAATTAGCTGCTGATTCGGACTGCTCCTTTATGTCTGGCCTCTGACTGAAGAACTGCTGCAGAGGCTCGCACAGCTTTGCTTGCTTTTCTGATTGTTTCTCGATATAATCAGAAGAATATAACAATATATATGAGATTTTCCTCTGATTTCTCTTGAATTTGCGCTTAAGGAAGTCTAATGCAAGTCATATGAACTTGATCTTAAACTGCAGACTTGTTTGTACTTAAAGGGCAGTAAAGTAGCAGGGAAATGCTTAAATTGAAGTTCCAATAGATTGTGCTGGTCCTTAAATAAAAAAAACAAACTTATTAGTTCTGAAACTGTGAGGAAACAGTACTTAGTGTGGCAACTAGAGTGCTGTCTGACCCTTGTCATTTTGTCTCTACAGAGTATGTGCTGCTACCTTCTGGTAGACATTACAGTGCTTGCCGTTGTATAAGCAATCGCTTTTAAAACTCTTTCCTCCCCACTTCAATCGTTCTATTGAACAATCGACACATAGTTCATAACTCTTAGTGTGAGGGAGATCTTGACCGCTGTCATTTGTTTATTTATTTAGTCGCTATGAATCATCTTGTTTTCTTTGTACTTTTATATTTTTATTTTGTACTTTTAAATTTTCTACTACTATTTTACATTGTATTTGTACTTACAATATACTTCTGTGTAAATCGAAGGGCCTGGGTTGTCTGTCTACCTATTATGTTTGTACAAATGCTACAATTGTGTGTTGTCTGTCTGTGTTTTTAAATGTTTGAAGTGCACTTTTGCCCAAGACAAATTTCCCCTTGTGGGACAATAAAGTATATTTTATCCTATTTATCTTATCTTAGGTACCGCTGGAAGTAAAACACAAATGGGCTAATTTGTTTGATTAAATTTGTAGCCTCTGTAGTGAGTATAAACCCAGTTATCTGGGGATATCAGTCTGTCAGGGACGGCTGTAATCAGAGACGCTGCTCTGTGATATAAAAAGAAAAAAAAACATCACACCAGATGGCGTGAAATAAGAAGGTTTTCTCTCAAATCTAAGGGAAAAAGACTTTGAGAGATCAAGTATTTAAACTTACTGTGCCTATCTATGTGTGTTTTTCTTCTCTAGTACCGGGTTGGCCAGCTGTACATGATCAGTAAACACAGTCACGAGCAGAGTGATCGAGGGGAGGGAGTAGAGGTTGTCCAGAATGAACCCTTTGAAGACCCAATACACGGACAAGGACAGTTCACAGAGAAACGAGTCTACCTCAACAGGTCTGTATCTCATTAATATTCATTGTGTCGTCATGCTTAATAATTATGTACATGAGGAGCAGTATTAAGCTCTGCATAGCTTTAAAAAGCCTGTTTCACCTTGTTGTTAATCATCTGTTGGTTTGTGTTTCTCTGTGTTTTTAAAGCATACACAAATGTATTCATTACTCCATATCAGAAAACCAAACACCAGTAACCGAAATAGATAAATATGCATTTACATTTTGCTGTATGTAGTACATGCTGAATGCAGATGCTCTGTAATGTGATGCATACAGTAGTTGCTGTTACTGTAACTGCATGGCTGTGATTTGTGGCTTTATTAATGTTATTTTCATGCATATTATTTTAGCTGAGAATCAAAACTACCCACAAAAAACGCTGTCATATCATCATTACTGAATTTTAAACTGAAACTCCGACCGTAACCTGGACCAGGTTCGCACTGCTAAGTATGCTAAGATGGTGATCTGATGAGGTTAAAAGAGATGTCAGAATCAACAGACCTTAAAACTGGCTTTTGCAGTTTACCAACTCAACTTTTAATTTAGACCTTTTTTTGCAATTTTGCTGCAGTTAGTTGAATTTCTGATGCCAAAGAGAACAATTCATTTTTATATTGAGAAATTCGACTCAAACATGAATGTGTCTTGGCTTATAACTCTGTCTCAGAGCACACGGTGGTCATAGACTTTCACTGCCTTCTCAATGAATTAGATCTGAATTTTCACACATTCAGTAAGTAGATTTTTGTCAGTACTCTTTTGATCCTCGTACTGTTTTTAACATCACATTTCAGCTTTACTTAGGCTTACTAGAGCATTATAACCATAGTATAAAACCCAAAAACACAGATGTCTGTGCTCATCACACAAAGCAATGCACATCTTTTAGGATGCTTATTGCAATAATTACACATGTATTTCATGAGGGTTTTTTATTTTTTATTTTAAATGCCGGATCTTTGCATCAACTTTATGTTTAATCAGCAGCACTTAAATATTGGCTTAAATAAATATTGTTGCTTTTGGTCCATTTGATCCACTTTTTTGGTCTTCCTTCATACAAATAAAAAAATTGCAAATCAGAACTTTTTCTTTTGTTAATCAAGAACATCAGGGTATTTATTTTTAATGAGGGTTGAGGTTCAAATAATGAATTGTAAATGTAAATCTGCTTGCTTACAGACAGCTGCTTGACAAGGCTTGCACATACCCAACCACTCACAAATTCATGAGCACACACGCATACACACTAGCTATCCTCTGCAAGGTATGACTAGCAGCTTTATTCATCACTTTTGTCACCTTGCTCTGGTGCGTCTCACTGCACCCGATGAGTAGACAGATACAGTGTATGGTTTTTCTTCATGCAAATGTGTTTGAGACTCTTTCAGTTTTCTTAGAATAAGATGTAACAGTGAGAGAGATCAAGAATATTTAGAGGAAAGAAAGGAAAACAAATAATTATCATGGATAGAAAGAAAAACAAAGAGCGAGAGTGTAGAACGAGGGGTTAGAGATGCTTTTGGCACAAGTACCTGTGTCAGCGTTCGTTATGCTTGGGAACTAATTATGCTGAGTCAGCGCTGCTCTGTTCCTCAGGGGAGAGAGGAGGAAAAACTGGCAGCGAGGGGAATAGAGGGGCTTTCATTCATGGATTACATGCAACTGTCTTTGTGTTTGATTTAAAAAAAAAATCCTGATAACTGTAATTAATTAACAATTGGTTTAATTGATATGAATACCTGCAGATTATTGCAGTTTTTTATTTCTTAATTTTCTTCAAGCTTCGAGTTATCTTCATAGCAAAAATGGATTAAAGAGGAGAACAGGGCCAGGATTAAAAACCATAATCTGGTCTCTGTAGTTGCTGTGGTCATTCTCTTACTGTGAAGATGGTGTGTTTACTTGTAAAGTGTTCATTTTAAACAGGTAAAAACAAGAGGAGGGAGATTGGAGGGGGGTCAGATCATGTTGATCACCACCTAAATGGAGAGGCTCTATAATGTGATGCACACAGTGTGTGCTATTGTAACAGCAGGCTGTGTTACGTGGCATTCGTGTTTGATTTAGATTTCAAATGTTTGTTTAGCCGAGGATATAAACTGGCTCTAGAGAACAATAGCGTGTAAATAGTGATAGGATGGTGTTTCTCAGCCTGTTGAAACCTGGAAGCGTGAACATGACCTGGTCTTGATCAGGTTAGCTTTGTGAAGTGAGTCAGGGTATAAAGACATGGCTCCATTTTACTGAACGCTCTGACCTCAAAATCAACAGACCCAATTCTTTCCATTAAATCTTGCTTTGTAGTACACCAGTCTGTTCCTCATGGAAGCAGAGGTGGACGCTGACACGACTACTATGTGTTTTCAGAGGTTATGTGCTTACTAACACTCTGTGAATGTGGCTGCAGTGACTGCTTACCGTGATGTCTAAAGGTGCTTACACACCGGCGAATTTGCGTAGCGAAGCGAAAAAGCGAGACGAAAATTGCGAATATTCGCCGGTCCGAAAAATCGCTTTCGCCTATACACACCGGCCGCGAAGCGAATATGCGTATATTTTTTGCAAAGCGAATTAATAAAGTCGCTTTTAGGCACGGACATGACACATGACATCTGTCTCCTAAGGAAGACAAGAGAGTGTCATCTTGTGAGAAAACTACTTCATTAGTTATTCGAAAGAGTTTTGGATGCACCTCAGCTGTCTTCATCTGCGTTTTCATAATGTCAAACTTCTCCCTCTCCTCCAGCCGTATGGGTCTGTGATGTCATCAACAACATGACTTTTGATTGGCCAGAGGTCTAGCAGGTCCAGATATTCGCCTGCGAATATCCGAAAAATTCGACACAAGAGTGAAAAAATAAAAGCGGCTTTTCGCCCCACAGAAAAATCGCCGCCGGTGTGGAAGCTTGCATTGACTTTATGCTGTTTTAAAAAAAGGCGAATAATTCGCTTGGCGAATTCTCGCCTGGTGTGTAAGGACCTTTAGTCTCACCCTCTAATACAGAGAGATTGTTGAGTAGGAAACAAACGATCTTGGCTGTCTCAGTGATCCTACAGTGGCTGTAGATGCTCTCATCTAAAGGAGATCAATCTGAATTATTAATTTTAAATCTCTCTTTTTTAAATGCAAGTTCAGTGTATTTACAACAGCCCGTAACGGTGCTGGGAATATAAAGACAGAAGCGAAAATAAACTCTGAGCTGCCGAGTCTAGCAACAGACAAAACATCAAACTTTACTGAGAGGCTCAAAAAGTAGACATCATTTTTTTGAGGATAATCTAAGTAATGCATTGCTAGTGCTAGCTCAAGTGGTTCATTTTACATACAAACATTCAGATCCTGAGTAAAGGAAATAAAAAGCTAGTTGACTTTAGTGTAGATTTCTCTCCAGGCAGAAAGCCAAACTTAAGATGTTGATGCTGAATTATACATGAAAAGACGACATGGATGTATCTGCACTGTGAAGTAAAAGCTCCCAGTAAAGAGAAAAAGGAGGTAAATGGAGGAACAACTTCAGTCATCTTTAGCACATTTCATACAAATGCACACCCAATGTGATTTACAGGAGATACAAGAGAACAAAAAATCTGATTATGTATAAAAACAACAAACACATTCATGAAATAACATTGCACCAACCTATATATCTCAAACACGCATAAGGCAAACACACAGGGCCTCAGATCATGGGGTAGCTTATTCCATAGCATAGCGCCTTAGCGACTGAATGCACCATCATCTGTTTAACCTTAGGTACACTCAGGAGGCCCCTTACCTGATAATCTGAGGGATCTGATTGGATTATAGTCAATGAGCAGGTCCAAAAGACATAGAGATGCCATACCATTAAGAGCTTTGTAAACTAGAAGTAGTGTTTTAATTCTATTCTGCCAATGAAGATTTTTCAGTATGGGTGCAGCATCTGCAGCATAGGTCACTGAACCAAGTAGGTTTAATTTTTATACATTTCATCATGCAAATCATACTTAGATGATCTATCAAGACCTTTTTTTAACATTTGCAACAACAGTTCTGCCTCAGTCAACTGGCCATCCATCTGGCTCTATAACAACTAAACCTTTAGCTCTGATTTACCAGCAGGAGAGCCAATCTGGACCCATTCGGTTGTGCTTCAACCGTCCCATTAACTCACACAATCTGCCTGCACTGTATACCACTATCTGGCCTCATCCCATTGGGACCGAACACCAATTCTTCACACATGTCCAGTCAAGCAATGATGGGCTGCTTCATTTTATTGGTTGAATTTACAGTTTCCTGCCTTGGTATACTGACAGAACTAGGTTTTATTTTTTATGTTTCTAAATACAAACACTTACTTTGACATGAAAACTCGAACAGCCACCCACTGCAATAACATGCTTGGCAACCATAGCCCCCAGCACACCAGTATTTGGCAAAGTCTTCTAAAAGACCAGGGAGGGAGTGGGAGAAATCAACAGATGGGGATGTAGGAGGAGGAGGAGTGTCAGTCTCTTTTGTTGGGATAGAGAGAACGAGAGAGAGCGGGAAGAGAGAGAGAGAGTGGAGAGAGGGAAAACAAGCCTGCCAACATTCGCACAATGTGACTGTCGGGGGCTGCTTTTATTCACTACCATCACGATGCAGTGGGCACCATTTTTGTCCCTAAGAAATTTGTTTTCAACGTCAATCATATGATTCATAAATGATAGATAGCTTCCTGAAAGGCTGTATGCCAAGGTGTGTGACAAATCTCTTTAAAAAAAGTTTTCTTTTTTCTAAACAGCTTAAATTAGAGTCTGAGAGGTGATCAAGTTCAAGACCACGGGATACACTCACTCATATAGTCCTCTGAGAGCTCCACTGGCAGAATATTAAACCTTCATGAGCAGTGAACACATAGCGGATGATGGAAACTATTCAGGATGCCAGAGAAGACTATTTTCCAAATCCAGGGATGCAACTGAAACAAACGCTCACATTTCAGTAAAAATATTCATCGGTTTTCTTCATTAAAATCTTATTTGTTATTCTTAATTAAAAACTACTTCCTTCAAAACGTTTCTTCAGTAACAGGCAGCTTGGTTCAGTCACAAGGTGAAAATTTTGTCCTACTTTTGCGTCAAAGCTTAGTTATATCTACATTGTTCAATTTCTAAAGGTTGACTAAAACAAGTTAATGAGTGTTAAGAGGATATGTTCACTTTGGGTGGAGATTTAAACTTAGCAAATATTTTTCTGAATAACTGTCAACGTTTGACATTTTCTTTTTGGACTGCAAAACATCAGTTTCTCTTTCTATCAACATTTAACACAGTGTCCTGTGAAATCAGGGTTGTTCTTTGTGCCACATATTTTTTTGCCACAATGTCATCATCAAACATCGTGCAGAAGAAACGGCTGTTTTGGAAATCTTCACTGCCAAATATTTTAATAAGATTTATGTTGAATGTTGAAAATAAACAAGGCTGAGATTTTTTATCTATCAGGAAACAATATTTACACACTAAAACCAACAGCAAAAGTTCCTCATTGGAGCTTTAAAGTTGTCAGAGTTATGTCAGGCTAATTGTTTTGTTGTTTTTTAAGCCGTTTACATTCAGGATAATTAAAGAAAAACTGAACGGTCAATTATTGTTGTGATTACAATGCCATTTTCTAACTAATAAACATAAATGAAACAGAGCTAACTAGGGGAAAATTATAGTGCAGTTCTTGTCTATACTTCATTACCATTTTAGATACCCTTGAGCAATGCACTCCACCCCCTTACCACAACAATGGAGCTCTTGAGCGTCCTGTATTATAATGAAGTTTATGTTTTTATGTTGGTTTATGAGTCTGTATTCCTGCATAGTTAAAAGAACATTGTGTAATGTGGAAAGATGTGTTTGGGCTCCTGTAGTGTTTCCTTTCTCCCCCTCAGTCTCAGCGTTTCATATCAGATCAGATTTCCCTTTCTGAACAAGTTTTTGCAGATCGCCTCAATTACAGGAGCGATTTCACCCTTTCTCGTCTCATATGTCTCTGTCTGTTTCGCTGTCTCTCTGCAGTAAATTACCCAGCTGGGCTCGAGCAGTGGTTCCCAAAATCTTCTACGTGACGGAGAAAGCATGGAACTATTACCCTTACACCATAACAGGTGAGATTAGATGGCCTTAGTGCCTACCACTGGCACACATGCTCACTACCTAGATCACATCAAATCCAATTAGCTGCTGTAGCAGAGGGAGCTCTATTATACCCCCCCACCTTTCCAACTGTGTAGGAGCACAGCCAGTCGCTCAGAGCCAACAATAGCTCAGTCTCCAATGATGTTGAGCCACAGTCTCTGTTTAAAGTTCAGGTCTTCTTCGCTGGTTTTCAGACTCTTCTGTCAACACATAGATTACCCAGCACTTAACACTGTGTACAGACGCTTTACTCAGTGGAGGTTTGGTAACATTAACCTGTACACCTATTGGTAACCAATAAGCAGCTTGGTTGTGATTGATCTCTGGTCGTCAGTCATACCATCGCAGCTGTTTTGAGTAACCGTGACATATACTGACACATAAACAACATTTATGAACATGTTTACAGCGAAGCAAATGCTTTTCATCCACACTGACTGTCAATGAGTGCATCTGTGAAAGAAGCCTGGCTTAATATATTGCTGACTTTACAAGCACATGGTAAGACTGAGTCCACTGATCAGAGCCAAACAGTCTGTGTTGTTTTAATGATAGGAGTTCAAGACAGAAGAGTAACAAGCTCTGGGATGTACAGGGGAGGTAGTTTCTTTCTCATGAGGGCAAATTAGAGTATAGAGAAGAAAGCCACTGAGGAGAGGACAGACTGTGAGACCCCGAATGTCCTGTAATGCTGTAAAATATTTGAGTGGGCTTTGTCACTAACTGTGTTTTCTCTTTGTTCCTGCTCTGACCTGATGTCTGTGACACTTCACGCTACATCTGTAGAATACACAGTAAGTATCCTCATGACTTGGTTTATTTGCTTTTTTTGACAAAACATCCATCATATTGTAGAAGAGGTGAGATGTGAAAAGCCAGAGTAAAGCTGCGTAGCTTTGGGTTTACCATAAAGTTAATCAGTTAAATTCAATACAGCAAACTGAGGCTGCTGGTCTCTGAGTGAAAGTGTAAACCCTGTCTACTATAGTTGGTAAATGATGGGTGAGTTAGGACACAGCAGCCTTTCAGAGTTTGGACATGATGGCAGGAGAAGTTATTAAATGAGTGTAAATAAAGTTTAATCAAAGTTAAAGGTGGGGTAGGCAGGATTCTGTTAAAGAAGCGTTTTTATGTTATGTTATGTGTAGTCAACATTTTACATTTTTTGAGCGGCCCGCTCTTTCTGACCAAAGACAGAGCCATCTCCGCCTCCCTCGACCTGATTGGTTGTGAGGCAGACGCTGCTCCCTCGTGTTGTGAGGCACGCTCCACATCCTCGAATAATGTTCATGAGCCCAAACAATGTTAGCGTGCTACAACATCGGACAATAGAAACTAACCAGAAAGTACGGAAAACACAAGACTCTGGCGGAATAATGGGCACTTAAAACGGAGGAAGACCGGACAAGAGCTAAGAAGCCAGGTCAACACCAGCATAAAAAATGGGGGATGCTTCGGGATCTTACGGACCCTGTGACCTTTCTGCTGGACAAGTGAACCGTTTTAACAAAATAAGCCAAGTGTCTGTAACAGAAGTGTTTCTTGTCAAACGGGACCTGCTGCGTGTTGTAGTGCCGCTAAACTGTTTACCTCGGGTCCTGGACTATGTCACTTTGTCCTAGTTGTAGGAGTCCTGCAAATTTTGTGTTTGCTGGTAGTCTGTTGGCATCTACAGTAGCACCAATGCTTTTTACTTTCATGTTTAATGGGCCCCATTTGTAATTATCTAAAGTATTTAACTGCATGATATCTGAATTTAGTTGAAACGATATGAGCGAACAGGAGCATCTATTTGTGGGCGGGGCTTGCTGGAGCAGAGAGGGAGGGGAGAGGAGGAGCTGGGGGGGGAACTGGTTTGAAGTAGAAGTGTTTACATTCAAGATTTCTCCCAAAAACGGGCACTTCCTCAGATTCTGCCTACCCCACCTTTAATGGATCGATTTTTGGCAAACTGTAATCTCAGTATAAACAAATCTTACCTCGTAGGAAAACATTTATCTGTGGACAAATTTCGGTTTCTTTGAACCTGGGACATTGATGTAACAAATAAAGACTTCTTTGTGTCTTTGGCCTTCAATAACTACTCAGAAAATGTCATGTGCCTTCTTACATACTCATACTTCATACTCTAATGTATCTTTGTACAGAGGGGTTATTGAAGATTTCGCTTTCAAAAAAGATACATCAAGAGATACAAAACATATTTGTTGTTTACTTTTATTGCTAATTCACAGAAAAGGTTACCCCTTGAAAATTAGCTGACGCATTTCTAAGACACGTGTATATCAGCAAGTGTAGCTGTCAGGCTTGTGTCGCACAAAGTGACACATGTCGGCAGCACAAGTCTCTTGGCTTCTAGGCTGTGGAGAAGAGAGAGTAGAAGAAAGACAACAAAACACCGTTATTGTGTAGGAGTGCTTTGTGTTTTTGCATTAATCAGTGTAAATGGGCCCATCCCGGGATGACATTTTATGTAAAAGACTCACAATAGCCTCAAGAATTTTCCTTGCTTTTGTCAAATTTGACAAGCAGATAAAAGTCCAAGTGCGTCATCACCGAAGCTCTGTTTAATTTTGAACCATGCGGTGAGGACACCCACTGGAACAAAGTGACAGAAACATCAAGCTGCGGCGCTGACAGCAAATGCTAACTCTGTACTCTGAATGTCTTTGTCTTTTACACACACCTGTTGAAAGACCTTACAGTTTTCCTTGAACGAGAGTCAGGACAAAAATGTCAATGAAGTAATCCCTTTGTCTGTAATATTCACTGGTTAGGTGCTCTCTGTATGACATACTAGTTACTAGTTAGCACTTGTATTTTGTATTTTGCTGTAAATTGACAATACCCCACACACACATATGTACACCAGGGCAAACTCTAATGCGTCTCATCCATTCGTTTTTGTTTGTTTGTTTTTTTCCTGTATCCACAGTGCTCATTCCTGCCCAAGTTCTCCATCCACATAGAGACCAAATACGAGGACAACAAAGGTTGCAATGACAATGTGAGTATGAGTGGAGCTTTGGGGATTCGAGCAAGTCTGTTTCTGTAGCTGTGTTTGCGTAGCTATGTTTGAACAGGATGAAAATGCCTCATGTAGCAACCTTAATAGAAAAATGCTGGGCCATCAAAAAGAAATGAAATTCCCATGATGTTGGTTGGGATTGGTCCTTGTCATCTGGATCAGCATTCATGTAAACAGTTTCTGTTTCTGTTTGGGGTAAAATTATTCTGTTCTTAAAGATTTACTCTAATATATCAGAAGTAACAACAGTACGTTCAAAGCCAGACAAAAAAAACTGTGAAAGCTTGATTGTTGCCATATTGGCGTATTCTGTGATTCACCATCGATTTGCTTATTTCTAAACTTTGCAATCAGACATCTGCATGTGAGTACATAAACCACAGCTGACACAACATTTTTTTATTATAAGAGGAGTTAAAATTCCTGATGTGTTGACAAATTTGTTTCAATTGAATTTCACTTCAGGGTCAATAAAGGTCTTCTTCTTCTTCCTGCTTCTTCTTTTTTCTCTTTTCTTCTTCTTCTTCTTTCTTCTCTTTTTTCTCTTTTCTTCTTCTTCTTTCTTCTCTTTTCTTCTTCTTCTTCTTCTGACTTTGAACCCTTTTGCCTCTGTCTATGACCATTCCGCTTATCTCTGTGTGCGGTTATCTGCACAGAAAAAAATGCCACGCTTCTTCTCCAACTTTTTTGTCTAATTTTTTTTGTTTTATTCAATGACCAGCATTGGGAACAGAAAGTCTTCACGCTGGTGTCTGTTTTTAGTCATTCTCACATCCACCAGCTGCAACGGGATTCAGAAGTATTTGTTGTTTCCCTCTGAGGCGAGCTCAAAGGAGATTGCTTATCTGTTAAAATATAACCATTACCAAAATGTTTGCAATAATGGTGCATTCCAGTTGTCCTCAGAGGTAGAAATTTACGAGCTCCGAGTCGGAACTTTCATCTGGAACGACCATCGAGGTTGGATTTCTGCCTCAGAAAGTTGCACGATCAACACAGCCCCCTAGATGACGTTAAAAGATGGCGGCGCCGGTTGTAAACTGTAAATTAAAGCTCCTATTATAATCCTTTTATTAACACTTTTCATTCTTTATTGTCGCAATAATTCAGCCTGAGGCTCGGCCTACAAAAGTATTATTAAATGTTTATTTGTGGAAATGCTGTCATAGTGTAATTTACATTTTTTATGTGAATGTGCCAACTACAAAGCTAGCGTGCTAACAGTGGCTAACAACAGTTAACAGTAGCCTGGTAGTTCCAGCTGGTGTTTTTTTTTGTTTATTTCAACATGTAATTGACAAAATGTATGTATGCAATTGTTAAGAGCACTTGCCCGTTATCAACTGATGACCGATCAAACAGCAATAGGTACTTTTTGTAAACAATGAAATATTTAGAAATAAAAAAAATAGGCTACTTTCTGTGCCTTTGTGCTGCCTCTTCATCCACCATGTTTGCATGTCTCAGAAGGACCGCATATTTGTCCAGAAGTTGCTTATATTCGGACAAGAAAGGCGCTAAAATAACTTAAAATATCTTGTTTCCACCTCCGATTTTGCTTTTTTCCGACATGGTAACTGAAACAATGGTAACGCGGGTGTGACTTTATTCCCAGTTCCGACATCTGTCTTCCGAGGTAACTCGAACGCACCATCAGCTTGTATCAGGCCACAGTCCCCGTTTTATCAAACATTCAGGCTCTGATTCAAACACAAACCTCTCAGCACAGCATAAAACTCTGTCTTTATTTTGCATAAATCTGTGCGGCTCAAAAAGGTTGTTTTTTTATCTTTAAACACGCCATCTTGTAACAGACATATGGTTGAAAACAAGACCTCTATGAATCATGTGAGTTAAACCAAGCAGGCAGATTTGGCAGCTCATAGACCCTCTGCTGCAATTCCATCATTTCCCAGTGCCAACTATACAATAGGCCTGAGGAGTCTGCCAAAAACTGTTTCACATTTCAGGGCGCTCATTTTATTTGGACTTCTGAAGTAGTCCTCTCTTTCTCTATATATTTCTTATCCGTTATTTGGTGTTTAGAGAATCAGAGCATTTCCACTTTGCTCAAATGTCATGTTGATATGTTTGGATGATTGCACATGTATATGTGTGATGATGCTGATGAAAGTGGACCCTCGGTTGTCGTGCGTCAAACCTAAAGTGATATTTCAGATTGATGCTTATTTGGTTTGACAAAACAAGGACACATATCAGGGACTTATCAGACAATTCATGTTGAAAAAAAAAACAGCTGACACTAATGACAGTGCTGTTGCATTCATAAGCGATCCCCATGTGATTAGATGCCAGACAGTTCTTGCTGCCTGTGCATAGAAGCACAAATACACCCATGCACTTCAGTCAATGACTCAGTGATGCAGCTGCATGATTTTGTGTAACATCTACAGGAACACAAACCAAAGCTCTGCATGTTTAATGACATTGTGTAACCAGAGTATGAGGGGGTAATGTGCGTGTGCTCGAAGGATGCTGTGAAATAAATATGCATGCAGCTGTGTTACGTTTTTGTCGGTGAGCTTTCTGATGGAATACATGTGTCCACTCAGGATGTCTAAACAGGTTAAGTCTGCAAGAAACAAATAGGAAGGAAGGAGGATGAAGGAAGGACGGAAGGAAGGAAGGAAGGCGAAGTTGGGGGGGCAGGGAAATCAGAACGTGTGCGTCTCTGCATGCTTGTGTGCGTGAGCCTGCAGAGACAGTCCATGTCATCAAATGTCTGACACATTCACACTTCTGACACATGTATATCCACACACACGCAAACACACACACACACACACACACACACACACCATGTGGCTTGTGTTTGCTGTTGTAATCAAGCACTTTTTATTATGATTGTTCCATCGTTTGCTGTATTTTTTAGCACAAGTAATATAGTAAATTGCACCAGTATTTTAACCATTTGATATGTAAATAGTCTAATTTCATTTAGCTAGTTTCCTTTTTGTCAAACACATGCACTGCATCTCTCTCTCTCTTTCTTTGTTATGCTCTCATCAGGTCATTGATATTTAAACTTACTCAGTTTACAGACAGGTTAAATAAGACGAGATCTGTATTTCTTTGAGGAAATCTGCTATGATCAGTGATGCTACATACTGTACAACTGCCTTAATATTATTAACACAATCCAAGCTATTAAGAAAAAAAAATCTTAACATTATAGTAGCAAAAATTCAATACAGAAATGGAAAGAATGTGTCAAGTATTTCTCAGCCGGGTGTGATATGAACTACAGTTGCCTCCTCAATGAAATCATTGACTATAGAAATTCTTCAAGATCTCTTGTGACTATCCAGGAAAAGGAAGCTTCACAATTCACTGCAGAGCGAAATGCAGTCCAATTTATTGAATTTAGCGGCCATTTTTCAGTTTGTTGTTTATTTGTGCTTCACACAGTAAAGTCAGCAATATCAAGTAACACTGGTATACAGCAGGAAACCAATGAGATGTTTAAATAAATATGGGGGAAGGATTAAATAAAAAAATTTGGTTGGTAAAAGTAAAGGTGGAGAGTTTTTTTTTAGTTTTTTAAAAACTATATAATGTAGAGTTTCCCTGTTTGAAGAAAATATGATCCTCTGCAGCTGATTTCTATCAAATTCAGTTTTACTTTGTTTTAAATCCACAAGCACTTAAGACACTTAATAATTTACATTCAGCTTATTCTTTTTTCCCTCATTCCTTCTCTTCCTGATCACGCAAATGCATTTGTCCTCCTTCATGTTGTCATCTTTGCCTCTCAGTTTCAGTCCCTGCATACATTTTCTTCTCTTTCTCCACCGCTGCTCCTCTGCTCTGTTTTCTATCCGTCTCTGTGATTCCTTTAACCATATACAACACACACTGTCTTACTTACGCCTCCCCCCACCAGCCAATATATTTTTAATTGTTTACCTCTTCTCCTCATCCACTCATTTCTCTCACCTCCCTCCTCATCCCTTTCTTCATTTTCCGTTGCTTGGCTGCGCATTTGTGCGCCAATCCATCACCTTATTGTCGCAGCAGTGCTCAGCCGCACTAAAATTGACAGAATACACCCCTGTGGGGGGTTCTTGTCTTCGCTGGTGATAGGTCAGCCACTTACCTTCAAACCTTAAAAAAAAACAGTCATACTAAAAATATCCTCAATGTGTTTTTTGATTTAAAACAAAGATACAGTATTTGCTTAAGGTAGAAGTGTGCCATATTCCTTCCTGTTTGTTATCGCTCACATTAAACTGCATGTTTCTTACGATGGTAAGGTAAGACAAGGTCAACTCATCTGGACTTTGGAAGGCGTATTTCATTGACACTTCTGTCATTTGTCTGTAGGTAGCAGCAAAACAAAGCAGAAAACACTTTTACTTACATTGAGCAAACTTCGACAATAAGAGAACAAATTGACGTTGTTTACTTACCGATTGTAGAAGGAAAACTGTACAAATGAATGGTACATCAACCTGGAAGAGGCATAGTAACCTGTGATACAAGTGTGTTGTTCCCTGAAAATCTTTGTAATGAAATCTTGTGGAGTTATGATTGTGTTGATTTGAAACTCATTGATGGACACAGCTTCAGAAAGTGTCTGAATCCACGGTTTGTTACACTTCCATGACATTTGCTTCTTACCAGCCTTCTTGTGGGACAATTAACAGTAAACTGACGTGACATGAGACAGACGTGAGCACATCACTCCTGTCCTTAGCTCCCTTCATTTGCTTCCCCTCTCCTATAGGATTGATTTTAAACTTTTAATGTTTGTTTTTAAAGCTCTTAATGTCCTCGCTCCCATCTGTTTAATTGAGCTTTTAACTGTTCAGGAGCCGGGTAGAACTCTGAGGTCGTCAAACCAACTTGTGCTGAAAGTGCCCAGATCAAAACACACACACTGGGGTGACCGAGCCTTTTCAGTTGTTGGTCCCAGGCTCTGGAATAAGCTCCCCACTGAAATGAGACTTATTTCCTGCCTGGGCCTTTTCAAATCACTATTGAAAACGTATTTATTTATGCTGGCTTTCAATACCCAGTCGCGTGGTGACACTTTATTTTATTGCATTGTGTCTTATTCTTTTTTTATTGTTTTTATTGTTTTTATTTATTCATTATTGTAAAGCACTTTGGTTCACAGAAAGGGTTGTTGTAAAGGGCTGTATTAATAAAGAACATTTACATTTACATTTAAACAGAATAATTTTAATTCCCGGTCAAGTTACAGTCAAACATTTAAATGGACATGAATATTTTTTTGAAGGTACAGAGCCTCTGCAAGAATATCGGCATTGACTTCTTTCATTCAGCTCTCAGGCTTGCAGTGGACACACTTTAAAACAACGATGAGGTTCAACTTTTAATTTTGTGCCTATTGTCGTCACAACCCCTCATGATTCACTTTGTTGCAATCAGTAACTTTGAGCTCTGCTGCCTTTCTGAGAGCTAACATTTTTTTGCCTCAGTGTAGACAGGCAGAGGTGAAATGTACCAGACTCTGCCAAATTGATTTGATATAACACGAGTGATCTGGTTGACCCTGGCGCTGCTACTATACAGCATTTATTCACAGGAGATTTTTCTGAAATACTAACATTTAATGAAAAGGTTTTTATCTCATGTCCTTATCTCATTTTGCTCATTTGAATCAAACAGACGGAAAATAATCCCTTAAATGAATCCTGTAGCCTCTAACCTCGCTTGAAATACAGGGACACAGTCTTTCCTCACATCTGTCTGTGCAGTGAGAGGATAAAGTTAGACTGCATGACCCTGTCAGCTTTAATGTTCAAGTTTATGCTTATTGGTCTTGGGTTGTTAGATGTCCCTTGTGATCAGCATTAGGATGAATCAAGTTTCATTAATAAAATTCTGGGAGAATAACAAAGAGGTCCTCGCCTCTGTGTTTTTACTGCATGATGCAGTAGTCTCAGTCAACAGTCAGTTATCACAGTAACAGAGACACGGGCACTGTGCACCACCTAATGGCCTTATAGGCTCATGTGCATTTCTAGTATTTGGCTGGGTGAGAAGACACATGGTCAAATCAAATCGATCAAAATTTAACAACCTTAGAGTCAAGCAGTAGGCAAGTGTCCTGACTTCTGGTCAAACAGGAGATGATCAAACCAGAGAAAGAGCAAATATCTGACGTGAGGTTACACTCATAGAGATGCTTCGGGGAGAGAGCCAGCCAGAGGCTTCACTGAACCTTTTTAAACCACTTCTTTCTGTTTTTAGATCTTTGACACAGAGCTGAAGGAGCAGGAGAGGGAGGTGTGTTTCATCGACATCGCCTACGATGAGATCCCCGAGCGCTACTATAAAGAGTCTGAGGTGAGATTGCATGAGTGAATGTGTGTGGACGCTCCAGGAAATGAGTGTTTAACACCAGTTGACGGGTGAAAGTGGAGTGGAAGTTAAAAATACTGAAGCAAACAATGTGATCCATGTGAAAGAGTGTGATTTCAGTGCCTGGCATATTGTGATCTAAATCAGATGTTTTTTTTTGTGTCCTCACTGCCACATGATCTTCATTAAGAACATTGTATACTTGGTACTATCTGTGTTGATTAGTAAATGTGTCTTCAGAGCATAAATGTTTATCCTTACAGAAACTTTAGCTTCCTCACAGCTCTCTTGTCCCACACAAATTTTCCCTGAAGTCTGAAAGTCTTCATACTTCAGACTCTTATCGAGTATCAGAGCTGCTAATTGTCTTTAGAGCAGTTTGATAACACAATGCCTGATGAGCCTTGATAGGATCTGATGGGTATATGTAAAAGGTATTCAATAGTGGCTTTCAATAGTGCGTCTAATTTGTGCTGTCAGTTATGACTCTCCACGGGGGTGTCGTTTTTCCACTGGGATGCAGAATCACTAATGATGACTTCAGGTTCTGGGTCGGTTTTTCTAACATCTTAGTAAACGTGTGTTCAACGCAGGACTTGCGGTATTTCAAGTCAGAGAAGACGTCACGAGGTATTCTTCAGGAGGGCTGGAGGGACACTCAAGACCCCATCATGTGCTCGTACAAACTGGTCACCGTCAAGTTTGAGGTTTGGGGTCTGCAGACACGAGTGGAGCAGTTTGTTCACAAGGTCAGTGGCTACCCGTAGGAGGAATCTGACTTTTTCAGTCAAAGCTGAAATTAATATTAACAGCTTTATGTTTTTAATTTGATTTTTTTTCTTCTTCTTTTGGCTTGTAATGTAAAACAGGTGCTAAATTCAATTGCTAAAAAAACGTACTGTGCACAATGTTGCTGTTTCAGAGCTTTTTAACATCTGTGTTTTCATGGCAACTGAAGTATACAATATTTTCATGAATGAAAAACAATGATAAAAAATCTTGCTGGATTGATCCCTGACCCTGGATTCCTGACCGTCTTCTCAAGATCTTCATCTCCACATTCTCGCTTTTCTTAAGTGATCCTGTTTAACGAAGGACCTTAAAAGGGGACTTTTTAAAAATGGTATTATGGCATAGTTCATTGTATGAAGTTTAGCTGTGAACGTCTCATTAGGTGTTAAATGGATTTTAATTTCGGCACAATTAGCTCATATTATTTGAAAATGTGTAATGAGTTGTTTTATACATGTTCAATACTAATCAAAATATTGATTTACATATTCCTGTTTACATATTTACAGAGCCTTTTAGGTGAGAGATTAAATAAAGGCCATGTGCAGATTTGTATGCATGCACTCACAATTCATGTGCACAGGTTGTTATCTATACTCATACACATCATTGTTTTCTTGACCTTGGCACCTCATTCATTCATTCATACATACATGTGTTTTGGACTAGAGATCTGTCGGAGACAGGGGTTACACATTCCTATTTCTATTGATCTTCTGTTGATATTAATATTTTCAAAAGCAAGAGTAATAATGACCAAATATTTCCCTGGGATAAATAAAGTACTCCGATACTGAAGCCAAGGCTCTTGACTCTGATGACCCACCGCACACAAGGCGGGAGTTGTCTTTTATGACACTCAATACAAGCTCAGACTGTCAGAGCACACCAACAGTGATCTAAAGAAGAGTGTCACATTATCACTCACAGAAGAAAAGAGTTTTTTTTTTTTCCCCCCTAATTCCACCTCTACCAAAGCAACTTCGGTCCACAGGAAACATATACCCACACCTCCTTATTAGGTGTTCACATGTCTATGATCAAACAGGGTTTTCTGCTGCGAATTCACCCTCAAATTAAACGATAACACATATACAGTGTTTAGTGAGAATGCAGGAACAATTAAAGGATTTATTTGTTTAACAATGTGCACTGCAGTATGTTGGTGCTCATATGTGCATTTTGTCAATAGGATTTCAATATCAGCGATCACAAAGTGTTGTAGGATTAATCGCTCCCTGAATTGACTTTGTCTTGTTACAGGTTGTTCGGGATGTGTTGCTGCTTGGTCACAGGCAGGCGTTTGCCTGGGTGGATGAGTGGATTGGTAGGTCTATCAGCACTTTGTCTTTGCTGTCATATCTATGTTGATAATATACGTCATGGTTGCTTGATAATTGTTCACTAATTAGTGTGCATGAAAAGTCACCCCACATGCATCCAACCCTGTCACTGCTAGTCCTGCTCATTACCCGCAGCATGGATCCTCCCCTCAGTACCACCGCACTAACACTGACTCATGCCAATGACTAACTATGTGACCAGACATAGTGTTTGATTTCAATGAAACCTGCTTCATAATATATATCCCCTTAACCTTACTCTTTTGTGTTTCATCAAAGATAAGGTCAAATGTATTTATAGTTATCAGTTAAAACAAGTTTTATTGCACAGATTTATTATCTTAGTACTCTACCGTGAATTTTAATGATTTTTTTTTCTAAATTTTAATAACAGCCATGTATAAACTGGTGAAGGAAATCTCTATTTATTCTCCAACTAAACTTGGTAGTGTTAATCTACAAAAATGCTTGTATTTCAGCAGGGGTTAATAGTATATGTGCTCTAGTGAAGACAGATATCCTCCTCACTGCAGCACCTGCACAAAAGGCAGATCCGTTTGCAGCCACAAGTGCAACACATTTAATGACTCGTGAGGGTTCAACTAGTTTGAAAGCTTAAGGGCATAGAAAAGAAAAAGACATAATCTTTGCCATGAAACACATTTTCCATCTCCCTGCAAATGGCTAACCTTTCTATCACAACTCCCTTCAGCCTGAAAGCCTTAAACGATACTCTAGTCTTTTCACATGTGGAATGATATTGCCTGAAGAGTAAGTGAACCCCTCCAGGGTGTGACTTTCTTTTCCTTCCAATGATCCAAACTCTTATTTTGGTTTGGATTGTCTTTGCTTTTCCCTTGTCGTGAGACATCGTTTTTTCTCCCTTTTCCCTGGTTTTGGCTCTGATTTGCAAAGCTGGCTCCTGTACATTCTCTTGGTAATGGAGGCTACCACTTCCTTTATGGCTTTTAACACTAAAACGCTGTAGTGATTTGCTAAAACCCCAACACAATACCCATGGAATGCACTGAAGACACCTAACCCTTTCCGCCCCAACTGTCTTTCAACCGGAGTGCCATAAAAGAGGCATTAACAACATTCTGACCCCCGTTCCACCCTCCCCCCCTTCTTCCAGATATGACTTTGGATGACGTGCGGGATTATGAGAAACAAATGCATGAGAAAACCAACATTAAAGTTTGCCATGAGCAGCAAGAGCATTCCACAACAAATCCATCTTCCCTGGATGACATAGAGATCCATGACAAAGCAAGCGTATGTGTCTTTTTCATTGTTTCATTACTCCATTGCTCGTTCTCTGTCTCATTTTTTAATTGTTAGTTAATGTGAAAGAAGTTGTCAAAGTTGCAGTCAGTTGTAGCTTCCCTCTTTATATCACTTTATCATTCTGTGGGCTTTATGTCAAATGAAGTAGTTCTGTCCTGAAAATAGTTGTTGACCTGTCTGTGTTGTGTATTGCTTCCCCAATGAAGAGCGTAAGAAGATCTGATCAGCTGTTATCTGAGTGTCTGCTGCTGTATGGATCACTTTTGTCTTGTTTGTTTCCAATGACACGTGCCTCAAACTTAAAAATACCTCCTTGACATCTGAATGCGATATAAAACCACATTCTGATGACAGAAGGTTTTTAGAAAAGTGTTTTCAAGCTGTCTTTAGCAATAAATTACTGGATACTCTATGAAGAGTTAATATTTCTTCAGTACATCCATTTATTCTGGTCTATATGGATCCAAACATGGCGTTAGTGAACTCTTAAAAGTTTTGAAGGGGCTCTCTAGAAAACACATAGAATTTGAATGTTTACCAGAAACTTTTTTGTCACAATAGAAATGAAGATAAAAACTTGGATGTGAGTTTTTCCTGACATAAGAATAAGAAGAACTTTATTTAATTATTTATTCATTTTATTTCATATGCCTATACTCCTTATAATTAATTTTATCTATGAAAGTTGAATGGACATATATACACATTTTCCAGTTATTTGTCTCATTAGTACAAATTGTTCTTTTCCGATACAGACATGACTATGGATGAGGTGAGAGAGTTTGAACGCACCATCCAGGAGGCCACCAACCAGAAGATTGGGATGTTCCCCCCGTCAATCTCCATCAGCGAGATGCCCCTATCGTCTTGTGCCCTTACCAGCCCTGCCAGTGCTCCTACTACCCCCATGTGCACTGATGCGCCTGAGGCCCTCTCTGTCCCCAAGGACCGACCCCGCAAAAAGTCTGCCCCTGAAACTCTAACCCTCCCCGACCGTGCATCAAGTGGCGTCCCCCAGGGCTCTGTGCCAAGCCCACTGCCAGATTCAAACCACGTCCAGTCATTCACAACGCTATCCTCCAACCCTGATCTCACGGAGATGGATGAGTAGTAGGGTGACCTTAGGATGTCTTTCCACACCTCTTTCTTTACTTACACGCCCAAACCTTTTGTCAGCTGTATCAAGACATTCAAGTTTTCTGGGCTTATCCAGCGATTCACCATAATGTTATACACACAACAATCCGTTTTTACCAGTGGCAGCTGTAGGTTTGAACAACCTGACAAGGCTGACCTCTTCCTGCAAGTTCAGTGTCTCATCTACTTAAAGAACCACTATGATGTCCAATTAAATTAAGAGCAGCCACTTTCTTTTGCATAGTTTCTTATGTTGTTTCCATAAAAATGCCAAGTGTTTCCTTACGTATTTTTGTCCAGGACATGAGCTGATACCTCGCTATCTGCTGAACTATGAATTGGTTGCCTTACCACCACAGAGCCAGTGTTACTTTCTTTTTTAGTTTTGACAATGTGCCCAAATAAATGACTGAATTATTCAGTCTGCAAATGGCTGTATGTGTTTAATTTGAGATTAAATTATGATACAAACTAGAGTAGCACAGTGGACACAAAATGATAGATCAAGGCTTACCAAAAAGAAAGCCAAGTGCCCTGATTACAGAGGAGCTTAGCCCCTGTTTCCTGAGCCGTCCAAACTAGCCTGCAAATCAGGCTGCACCAAACCTTTCTATCACAAACTCCCAATAGATGCAAAATCAGTACAATCATAGAGTTTACTCCTCAGGTCTCCCCGACTCTTCATGACTTGCACTCCAAAGGCAGGGATGTAACCGTACCTTTCTGTCCCTTCTTATTGCCAAACAGCTGCATATAATACCTCTACAGATATTGCAACACAGCACCTATTGTATGGACTATACCGGTCGAGTTAACCCTTGGAATGTTTATACATCTGAAATCTTGGAGCATTTGTGTACTATAGCATGACATTTTAATGATTCTGAAATTGGTTCAATTAAGTTTATAACTGCATATATCTTGTTCAAGCTGTCTGAAAGGTCAGTACAACGTGAAAAATGTAAAATGTTGCCTGAACTTAATGCTGGACATCTCATGTGACAGAAAGGGGATTTAGTTTTACCAAATCAGCAGATCACTCTCAAGTCATATACGTATAGGAACAAGGCCATTGTGGGAAGGTTTTTTTAGGCACAGACAGATCTCTGTCCCCAGAGGAGGCCACAAGAATTCACTGCTTAATTTGATGAGGAGGGCATGTGCATCAAGCTGACTTGAGTATGTGCCAAGCTGCATAATGCTTACACCTTTGCTTTGCTAGCACTGGCTGGTCATCTTGAGCCAGCGCTTTGGTTGGCAGGGATTTGAAGATGGGGAAATCTTTTGTGATTTCTCATCTTTAGTGGACTTTTATTGGTGGTTTCCACCCAAAACTCCTAAAGGAGAAAAAAGACAACAGCCAGTTGTTCTCTTAACCCCATTTTTTAAGTTTAATGTTATGATGAAGAGGGTTGTATATGCTGCATGTGATGTTCACAGCATATATACGTAGCTTACCTGAGGCTAGCATATGTAAAGTGTATATACTGTAAATGAATGGATTGGTAAAGTTTATTCTGCGATGCAATTGAATGGAAAAGTGAATGCTAACTCAGACAGCTATGTACTAATTCTGTATGGTAGAGAAATCCGATTTTGAGTGAAAGGTAAGCATGTCCAATATAGGCCTACAAACTCTTGCAACTCAGTGCCTCTGCATGCAACTATTGTGTCATTGCCTACCAGTTTGTGAACCAAAATCTCCAATCATCTTATTATCCACAGCACAAAAGTCAACTGTTTCTTTGCCTGTTTTCTATCTTAGCTGTTGCATCAGTAGTTTCAAAAGGGGCCTCAACCCCTTGATTCAAAAGTACAATGCAATCATACAAGATTAATCATATCAAACTAAAGGGGCGTGTCTGACTTTTTTGAGTGGGGTGGCCCAGCTAGGATTCTGACTTATGCAGGGGTGATATGACGTTGATGCACTCACACACATGTAAATTTTCGGCCCTCTGCCTCCACTAATCATTTCTACTTAGACTAACATTGAAGTATCACTCAGGTGTTATATCCTTGGGTAGAAGTCTTCTCTAATCATCTAAGCTTTATTCTTGAAGGACTCCAAAAGAAGGTGTTTGTCCAAAGTCACTATGTTAATTACTTAAACAGAGTGCAGGAGTTTGCACGCTATCTCTAATTTACCGATTCCTCTCCTATGCAACTATCTTATGCAATAGATGTCTCAAGTATTTTTATAAAATTAAAGGTTCAAACATAAACAAATCTTCATCTGAATTTAGGTAAAACTAATATTTGCCTGTAACTACGATCTAAATAGTTCACTTTGACATAGGCTCTGACAAAGCCAATGGCCAATCCCAATTATAGGATTTTTGTGTGGTCCTCAGGGTGGCCACGATTTAAAAGGGGGCCCCAAGCCACCCCTATGGACACGCCCCTATAAACCACATCATCACAGTTTTGAATAACAGGATGCTGTTGTGTTCTTCAAAACAAGTAGGTTTTAGTTCTCCTGCTTATGTCAATTACTTCCAGCCATACGGCACAAATGCTTTTTTTTTTTTTTTTTTGCACTTTCCAGTGTTTGACACCTTATTTGACAATGAAGAAATGTGTTACATTACCGTCTTTTAGGTTTGTTGGACCAAAGTCCTGCAGTACAGTAAAGTTATTTTAAAAAGAACAGATTAAGGAGAGAGTCCTCAGTGGTCTTGTCATACAACCTGTTAATATTATGTACAGTTTCTCACTGCTTTTGTTAAAAAACAAAACAACTGTAGCTATTTATCTGTAACTGTAGCTTATGTCTTTGCCTTTTGAGGTAATGATATTATATACCAGTTACAGGCCCTCTTTATTGGTCTAATATGTATGGATTACACATACATCAGACTCTGGTAATGACCATCTCTCTTTGTCAGGAACACAGAGATCCAGGGAAATGTTTGATCTACCACGGGCCATTAAAAGTAATGCAAAATATCCATTAGTGTAACATGAAGCTCTGCTCTGTTTAAAAGAGTAACACATTAATAGGTTGTGTAAATACTGTTGTTATTGACTAATGTAGTAAGGTTCTTACATTGAACCTGATCAAAGTTGCATTACTGATGTGATATGAATGTGCTGAAAGTTTTCAAATGGACAATGAAGGATACTCTTCAATGCATTTTCTGGGATGACTTCTTCACGGACACAGATTTAGGGTGGGTTCGGATCTAGAAGTAAAATGTGTCTGTACCTATGAAGTCATTATGGAGGATACTGAGTTTAGTTTATTGAGTTTGAAAATTCCTCATTGTAGTGGTGCAATTTTTGACTCTTGAGTTGCTTTCGTTGACCCTCTGGGGCGAAATTCTTTGTAAAAGTTGTAAAACAAATTGATACTTTTATTTTGGTGGGTTGGCTTTTTTGATGTTAATTGATGTTAATGAAGAGGTGATTGGCTTTTCTGATGTATCCTTTTTTTGTATCAAACCTGCTGTACTTTGATTTTGTGGTTGCTGTATTGTTTGAAGGAAAATTTAAATCAGTTTTTCATCGTTTCTCTTGACAAAAGGACCAAGCATTTCACTCCTCCTGGTGCAGTTCGCACTACAACCTCACTGTTGTGTTGTTTGCCTGGAACCTGTTTCACAAACCAGGATCTGTGAGTTAGCTGAAGAGGTGCCCGGTGTGCTTGTCCAGCCTTCAGCACTAGCCCTGCTTTGTGAAACAGGACGTGCAAGTGCCGTCCCTGTTTGGCTGCTGGAAATAGCTCTTATTATTGTATTTGGTATACTTTTACTGCCCTTTGAGGTTCATTTGGTTCTTTGTTGTAACTTTCCTTTTTTCTGAAATAGAAAAATAAACTTTACAAGCTATTGCACCAGTGTTAACATTCTTTTCTTTTACCTTCCATGTTACACCCAGTGTTCTATATTTTATCCTCGAACACCAAACTGCTGGCTGCAATAAGCACTTATGAGTAACATGTAGAAAAAAAAACCCTTCAGGAATAAAATCATATAGATCATGGGTTGGTAGTGAGTAAATATACCCTGTAGTGTTCCAACAGAAAGTCTTTGAGGTTCAGTTACAAGTATTTTATAAGAATAAAAGCTTTAATTCAAGCCACAGTAATATAAACATGTGGATACATCTTGTGATATTAGTTGTACAAAAGCTTTGTCATGAATGTGTCTCTTTTACCTCCAGAGGAGAGAAAGCACAACGCTGATGATCCAGAACCAGTGTGAAGTGCTGAGAGTGTGCCCTCCAGAGGATGTTGTGTTAACTGCAGCTGTAGTTACCATAGATGTGATATCCATGGCTGTGGTAACTGGCACAGCTGTGGTAAGTGCTCTAGCTTGACCCACACATGTCCCCACGTTTCCCACATTGTCCACAGCAGTCAGCTCTACAATCTGTGAACAGCAGGAGGCGCTGTAGGTAGCTACTGTAACATTCTCTCCCCCTGCTCCAGTGGTCATGCTGGTATTGAGGGTACCGTTTCCTTGGCGAATGGTGACACTGTCTACGCCTGTTCCATTTATGCCATCAGTGATGTTTGCAATGAACGTCCACTGAGAGGCTGCACAGAGTGACGTAGAAGATGAACAGTTGCTTATTGTGTTGACTTCCTGGCACACCGGACGGGTAACGTCTGTAACCTGAGAGACAGACACCGAAAAAGGATGAGATAAAGTAAGAAGGAAGGAAAGGGTTATCAGTGATTGACCAACTACAAGACTGAACACTGAGACTTAGGCCAGAAATTTTTTTCCTGCTTTTGCAATAAATGTAGCGAAACATACATTAATTATTACTTCATATTTGGTCACATACAGTGTGTAGCAGAGAAGTGACTGAACATTATAAAGCTATATTTGACATTTATGTTTCTCACTTACATAAAATACTAATATGGAAAAGGAACAGCCTTTCTTCCTGGTCTTTATTTTTGTCAGTAGAAGTTCAACACAAGAGGTCATCAAAACATTGCAAACAATACTATTAAGCCATTGTTGCTTGACTTCCAAAAAATGCACAAAGTTTTTCATCTTTCATGCATTCTTCAACAAAGTATACAACCTGTGTTTTTGTCTTACCCTGGCAATCACAGACAGCCTGATGACCTCAAAGTTGATGTCAGTGGCGGCTGCATTTTCTACCTCGACGGTGAGGGTCACGTCTGTTCCTGAAGCAGCATTGGCTGGTACGGTTAAAGTAACAGTGCCATTGGCTTTGCCTCCACTGCCCCCTGCTATGGTGACAGTGCTGGGTGAAGATGTAGCATAGCTGCGGTCATTGTTGACTCGTACTGTGAACGTCCCGGTTGCAGATTCATCAACAACTCCATTGGTGGTGTTGCTGACAGTGAAAGGGATGGAGACGGTGGAGTCTGGCTCTATGCTGGTGTTATTGAGCTGAGCCTGAAAAGGTGAAAGGATAGAAATGTGTAAATTAATAGAAAGAAGCACTAATGAAAGAAGAACAGAACCAACATGATGATACCTTAAGCAATATTTGGGTCTATGATCAAACTAACGGGACAGAAAACTGAAGGTTATTACACTCACAGTGACAGAGATGCTGGAGGTCTTGATCCGTGTCGAGACTTGTCTCTGGAAGGTGCTTGCTTTCATTCTGGAGGTGGTGCTGCTGTCCACTCCTTTCAAACGAACCACAAACTCACCAGCAGGGACACCACTGAATGTCACAAGAAAGTTTCCACTTCCCACTGACTGTAAAGACAGAAAAAAACAGAGAGACTTCTGCTGTCACAGTGTAGACAGTGCTGGGAAATGGCCAACACTTTGAAGTGTCATGATCACAACACTGAAGGTTTACAGCGCACTGCTGAAATCAATAAGCAAAGTTTAATTGATACTTAAGATTAAGAGCGCTCAATTACTGCAACTTGTAACGTCTTGTGTCATTGCCAAATTGCTACAAGAGGAAGTCTTTGTGAGAAGTGGATATAAAATAGACCAATGTCAATCTCCATGGACAAGGTGGTTTCTTTTCCCTCTTTACTGATCTTGTCTTCAGATGTGAGTGAAGATTTGAGGACAAAATCCTGCTTTCCTCAAACAAACAAATGTCTTACCCACATGAATTTTTCATTCCCCTTTAATTTCATCCATAATCCCCACTTGCACCCTAGACTTTCTAGGTGCATTAAATATGCATGACAAGAATTCTGTCAAAAATTTCTTTCTCATCCAAGCTCTGATTTTCCGTCATTCTCTCTGATTTTCACCCCTAGAAGCAGAGTTAAGAGCTTTGGAGTGCTACTTAGTATGGCAGATCTGTAAGAATTTCTGATTCAACTAAAGACCAAGGACAGAGACCTCGGTGAGGGCTTTGGGGTTCGGGGGGAAGCTGTTTCTGCAGGCATCTGTAGACCATTTCATCTGCAAACGGTCCCAAGGAACCGTTGTTGATGGTCTAGCCTGCTCTTGATGGTCTTGATAATGTCTCTCTGATTCATAACTAGATGCCAGCCTTCATTTACATTTTCCACAGAACAATGATAACACAAAGCAAAATCAGATTCAAGAGACCACTTCTTAAACAGCAGAATAAGATTTGTGGCGAGAAAAAATATGATGCTTTGTCCCGAGGGACCACCAACATTAAGGTGTGAAACTTCTCTGTGGAGATTGGAAGCAGCAATAAATACTATTTAGCGGCTGAATGTGTGTGTGTTTTTCATTAGAGTTTTTGAAATGCATCATGTATCATACCTGCATTGTGCCATTGACTTCTGTTGGCCCTGAGCTGTCAAACAGGGTTACCTCTGTGACCTCTATTGTGTCACTTCCTGTCACAGAGACCAAGAGGCTGGTGTTACCACCTGGATGGTAAGAGAAAAAGAAAACCACTTTAGTAGAGCTAAAACATGGTTTAGATGTCATGGGTTTCATTGAGACCTTTTGTTTCTCTGCAGAGTGAGAATTATGATTCTCAATCATGTAGTGAAGCACACAGAAAAACTTCAGTATTGTAATATGTGCACTGATAGATGAAAATATGTTCTACAGAAAAAAAATCAAGGTCAGAATAATGATGACAGTGGTCTGACCTGAAAGAGGACGTCCCTCCTTTAAACTGAAGTCTCCATGGACTCCTTCGTTTGCGTCCACAAGGTTAAATATGAAGTTCACTGAACTTTGACCTTTATTATAGACACAACAAACAGATAGAAAGGGCTGCCACAAAGCTGATACAACTGTAAACAGACGCAAAATATCCATATCACTGACCTGTGACTTTAACAGAGTACTGGCTATTAGAGTCAACACTGATTTTCCACAATCCTGTTTGGTTGTCACTGTTGAAGCTTAACCGACGGAGGTTTCCTACTGTGGTGATGGAGGCTAGAGGACCACTGGCCTGACTGGAACTCTGAGATACACCTGAGAAAGGAGACAGAATGTCATTTTCTTCCTAAAACTAGCAAATCTAAAGGTTCTTTTGGTTAATTTTTTGGAAAAAGGTGACTTAGTTGTCGAACAAAACTAGTTTTAACTTGAGAATTAACAGTGGAAACAACACCTGAAGGGCTGGTGAGAGTGAAGCTGAGAGAGGAGGCTCCTGTAACATAGGCAGTCACGTTCCTCAGGGAATCATCTAAAGTAAATGTGAAATTATCAGGCCTGCCAGGATTCTTTACCACCTGAAAAACTGTCACCTAAAATAAGGAGAAAGAGAGACAGCAAATGTAAAAACATACTCTTCAGTAAAACATAAAATCAGGAACGATTCTTTCTCAGTGTCTCACCACAGCACTGGCCGATGAATCCTCTATGACACTTGTAGCCAGAGAAAGATCTGACTTTGAGACCTCGATGGTTTGACCACCTGAGGCCTGGGCGAGGTCACGGTACAGTTGGGTGTCTGATTGGCCCATTGCACGTGGGAACACTCCCTGAAGACCTCTGCGGAGCTGGCGACTGCCCAGGACATTAGTGAGCATGAAAGTTACCTTCAAGTGCGAGGATAAAAATAACATTTTGGAGGTTACATAACATCACTCAGGTCCTCTACTACTCTATTTTTAAACACTCTGAGTGTGTTCCAAAAATATCTATGCATGTTTTATACTCCTAAATTTTAGAGCTTACTAACTCTAGAGTGGCATGCTCCCAAGATATTAAATCAGGAAATAAAAGATGGACGGTCCGAATCTGGATTTTTTTTTCTCCCCAAACATCAATTTGATCGCTGCTGCTTTTTCCCTCTTGAATTTAACCACACACAGGTCATAAAATGCCAAGAATGATGGAAAAAAAAGAGGGAGAGAAGGTTTTTACCACAGACTTGGTGCTCTCTATAAGAGCAGTGATTGTGCCTTTTAGATGAGCATCTTTAGCTGGTGCATCAGTGAAGACAAAGATATCAGAGGAAGGAGGAGCAGCAGTCAAGGCAAGCTGTTGATGACATATCAAAAATGTTGTTGATGAAAATAATTGTTTGCAGTCTTTATTATAGTTAAATCTTTCAAAGTGTCTCTGGCCAGTAAATCTTTTATTATAAATAGATTTTATTCAATCCTTTCATGACGATGACAGTGTTGTCTATGCTAACATTCATGAAGTGCAGAAACTGATCATGTGAACACCTGCAGTCCAGACAAGGAAAGCTCAGGGATGTCTCCTCCTCCAAATGCAGACAGCCTATTGATGTTGTCTTTGAAGACATCTGCGTCAGTTGTCAGAACCAAGGGTCCAAAACCTGGAAATAAAAACGAGAATATAACCAGCCACTGTCCCTCAAAAGCAATGACAGTATTTACTCTTCAGCTAAATATACAGTATGTTTGTACCTGGGTCGTTGAAAGGTACCAGTATGTAGGCAGATGGTTCCTGTTGGGTTCCTCTCTTTTTGTCAATGATTTCAAAGGAAACTCTCTTGGCCTCGGCTATATCATCAGCCATACTGCCTGTAGTGTCAATGACAAAACACAGCACAGAGGACTGGGAGATGCCCATCAACCTGCAAGAATGACAGAGAGGCAAATATGAGGAGTTAAATAACTGTCGGTGATCAGTGCTCACTCTTGACCTCATGAAAAATAAACAGCCAAAAAGATTTCAGGTCTTTGATTTTCTTTTATATGCTCCAAAAGTGCTGCAGGGGAAGGTGTCCCTTACCGCAGAAAACTCTTGTCTCCTACAGCCACTCTGATGTCCTCCAGCAGCTCCATGGTGGCTTTCACAGCCAGATCAGCGGCTTTTTCGTGAAGGAAGCCATGATTGGACTTGACAGTGTCCTTGTTGATTCCCCCAACTGGGTCACGTCTGCTTGTGCGGTCAAAAGTCCCACCATGGCTGCATTTACCTTCGAACAAGGAAAAAAAGAGGTTTTGTGCTACACATGTATATTACACGAGTCAAACTTTACAGAAAGTTGATGATACATCTGTGTTACCTGAAGGTTTTGCTGATGAGAAGATGCTGAAGTAGCCTGAAGTGATTAGCCCCTGACTCAGCACATCAGGCAGAAGGTTGTTTGTGCAGTTTCCATTAATACAGTTTCTACAGGTTGGAGTGTTCAGGCCTGCAGAGAGGAACAGAGAAGAGGAAAGTTTTTTGTCAGCATACCCCTGCTCAAACTGACCTTTTTTTCACCTTAAAATTATGATTGGAAGAAAAAAAAGTGCAAAGTTGAAATAAAGCAAATTTGTATTCACCCCCTCTTATACATTGTGGCTGTCATTGACCTGTTTTCATGAGTGGTTTTGTGTGAGCATGTGTGCAGCGTTTATGTCTAACAAGCCAAGGCAGGGCTGGTATTTTGTCCCTGACAGTTGATTGATGACAGAACAATAAGTCTAGTGTTGTTTCTCAGTCGAGTGTACACCGTGGCTCGGTCAGGCCATAGATTCATGGACAGAGACAGTATCTTACCTGCCAGGTTCTCTAGGGTTTCATCTGGCCTGATAAGGGAGCTGTACGGGGTCATTTTCCCCAGCTCTACCCAGTTACTGTGACTGTAGAAGTCCTAGATAAGCAGAGAAGAAAACTTATTTACCACTGCTTTAATCTGGTGATACCTCTAGCATAGGAAACTCAACTCATCAGTCTCACCTGTAAGGTATGGCAGAGTCGTCCAAGAGTCCACCTCCCTGTCACAAATTTCTCCAGTTTGACACTGGCCTTCACAGAAGAGACACCTCAATAAGAGAAAGAGATACAAAAAAGCAGGTCAAACATCATGTGATGAAATTTGTCCTTCCCCACCAACTTTTTTCTGCTGTTTGCTTTGTTAACCAGTAAAAAAAAATTTAAATTTCGATTCCAAGTTTCGATGCCGGAGTCGACGCCGACCGGAAGAAATAGCCGCCTAAGCGAAGCGTATGAGAAGAAGCCTTTAGCAGGAAGAATGAACCGTTATCTCAGTGCAACATTAGCAACACAGTGATATCATGCAAAGGAGGGTGGACGACCAACACCTCAGGATTCATGGAGGAGAAATACCCGAGTGCTCGTCTTTGACGCGCTTCGCCGGTCTTTCGCTAACCAGTCACAACCAGATAAGTGAAACAATAAATTATTTCTGCCTTCTGCTAACATTGAAGCAACAAACGAATCGTCTACTCAGACCCGGCGGCATGGGCGGGCATTGGGTAGCCGTGCCGGCCCACCGAGCCAGTTGTACCCGCCCTGGACTAAAAGCAAAATTTTCTTTTAATTTGATTTTGGGTTTGTTTTTTTCCGGCAGAGTAGTCATCTTCAGTTAATCCCATCTATCTTGACATGGCAATCAATCCAACCAATCCAATCGATCTAAGGCAACGCGTTAGCCTATTACAGGTAAAGGGGGGCGGGCCGGTGTACCGAGTTAAAGTTCAAATATTCATAGACGGACTCGGCGGGGCGGAAGGCGGACTCGCAGGTAAGCATCGAAAAAATGGATATATTAGGTTTTTTTGTTCGTCAAAAAAGGACGAGCAACACTGACGGGCGCAAGCAGGAAGTAGCGGCAGCGCCACACAGCTCCAGTTTTAGGTAAGTTAAGCACCAAAGCCAACTGTCACACAGGAGTAAACATTAATGCTAGCAGAGGGAGCAGCAGCGAGTAGCGAGTCTCGTTACTCGTATGACTTGTAAATTCAGAAATGAGTGGACAGAGAAGGTTTTAAGACGGTTCCACTCAAGTCACAAATGCCGTCTGCCACTATTCTAATCAGAACCCCCAACACACGCGCATTCACGCACGCACGCACACACACACACACACACACACACACACACACACACACACACACACACACACACTCCTTTCTCATTTTCATTTACATTACTTGCAGGCAGGAGTATACACGCTGCTTCATTCTGCTCTTGCTACTCCCTAGCTACTGTACCTCCTCCCCGAGCGTGAATGTTTACTCCGGTGTGACTGTTGGCTCGGTGTTTAGGTTCCAAGAAGTGAAGCTGTGTGGCCCTGGCCTCTTTTTTAGTGATAATAAATGAACACAGCACTACAGTCACCACTGTATTTTGTGTGTTTTATTCTTTATATTTAAAGATTAAATGCCTCTTATTACTGAGAGAAAATAACATTTCAATACTTTAGGAGTGGCCACGGAGCTGCTGTTAAGCCTGAAGCAGATAAAAATACCCTGCCTTTTTAAAGAATCAGAATCGAGGATCATTAGGAACCGGAATCGAAACGAGGAATCGGAACCGGAATCATTCAAAATCAAATGATACCCAACCCTACTGGTCTTGAAACATTGTTTGAGGTTTACCTGATGTAATGAGATCCCGTCCTTCCTCAAAGGTCTCATCATCAAAATGGTGCCTTGCACTCAGAGCAAAAATCACATCCACTTTAGCATTGCTGAAATACATGGTGGCGATGGAGGTTTGAAACCTGACAGAGGAAGAGGAGGCTGTAGAGGAGCAGGCTCTGTGCACCTTGTCAGCTGTCAGGCTGTTTTCAATCTGGAGATAAGTATGTCAGATATGAACCATCAAAAAATAACTGCTAGCTAAAAAAATTGTTCAAAACACAATAGGTACATTTTTGTCTTCTAAATCTATAATTCAGTAAAAAGAATAGACCCTACAATATCTACATTTGATATTTGAATTTATCGCATTTCTTCTTCTTGATTTTAAATCCACTCTGAAACTCACAGTCAGGCTGAAGTCTCGTCCCTCTGCAGCTGCGATGTCTCTGCAGACCTCAGCTGTCTTTCTGAGCACCGCCCTCGACGTGATGACCCGGTGAGTTATGGAGCTCCCATCAAAAATGACAAGTGGCTGAAAGCTGTGAGTGAGACCTGACAGGGAGAGGATCACCACCACTGTGATCATGACCGTGTGTTTGGCCACCATGACCGAAGGTGATGATGGTGAAGATGAAGGAGAGAGAAATCTCAACTCTCAACCGTCTGACCTCCTTTGTCTGACCACCTCTTGTCTGTACTTGCTGTCTTGTTGTGTTTTGCTATTGGCAACACCAAAACTCACCCTAACAAAATCAGCTTTGTTTTGTTTTTTTTGATTGTCTCTCTCCTCCTTTGCTACTAGGGACTTAACAATGATTTGCCAGAACCAGGAAGCAGCAGAGAGAGTACTGGTGGTGAACCAGGTGTGACGAGGCAACTGGAGACAAGTGGAATCACCTGAGGGAGAGAGGAAGCAGCACAGGGAGCAGGAGGTGAATAAAACTGACAAAGGCTTTCCTTAAACAAATATATCTGTGCTCATTTGGTAAGTTTCAGGGTTTGTATGAAATAAGAAAAAAAAATAACCCATATAATCACAAGTATGGCAGTTACAGTTTTAGATAATTAAACACCTGCTTATAATGATACATTAAGACTGAGATTTAACTAATTTTACACACAATCAATAAAATCTGACAGCATCTTACCTGTGTACTCTGCAGGTGAACCTTTACTTCTGATGTTGGCACCACTTCAGTGTTACTATGTCAGCATGGCATGTTTACACTCAGTAGATACTATTGTGTTTAGTCCTAAGAGTTCTGGTGTTATCTGGAAACTGACAACAAACGTGTGCACTCCTTCCTCTTATACTTAGGTCTGTCATGACTGAGCTGATGTGAAAAATTCCTCAAACTCCCACACACATGCTGCATTTCTTTGCATGCAAACATGCACTCCTGTGACAGTGTGGGTGTGCCTCTCGTGCATGTACATTTTTTTCCAATTTATCTGTTCTTATTAGATAAACTCACCTTGAAAAGACTTTTAAATTTAGGAGCTTAAAACTTAACCATTAAATAGCAGAGGTCATGTGTCTGAGGTCATGCTTATCCTCTTCTCAGTTTTTTCTGGGTAATAGCATCATAAAAATTCATGCTGATAGAGAAATCAAGTCTTTCAGTGAGCCAAGAGAGACTGTTGATGTTGAAATGTGTGAATGTCCCTTTATGTAAAGCTGTTATTATTGTCATAAAGGATTTCACAAGAGCCTTATGCGTGAAGTTCCAGCTAAAGAAGTGGAGGAAGTTAATGAGATGATTAAGCAATCATGCAGTTTGTGGCTGATAGTGATGCTTGAGACCTTTTCACTCTTGAACCTCTGACATGCTTGCCAGTCACGAAATGCTTGGACATTCAGGCCCTGGTCATCAGCAGGAGGATTATCAGTGGGGGATTATCAGCATCTGTCAGACTCTGACAACTCAAAATACTCTGTTTGGTTTGGGAGAAAAAGGGGGAAGGAGTCTTCGGAGTCTTCACAGTGATTCTCTGTATGTTCATACAGCCACAGCATGTAATAGGAGCATAGTTTATAAAAAGTGGATAAAGTCTCAGTGACCTCATCAAATGGTTTTTGAAGTGGAGTTATGAAGCTTAACAGTGGTGGTCACCATATTGGAAATGCAGACTTAACTTTTATTTGTCAATGAAAAATAAAGGGAGGAGTGGGGAAAGTTAGACAACATATTACTATAGTTTGGTACTTTAATAAGCTATGAAAAGTAGTTAAACTCTGCTCAAAGTGGAATGTCATCAGTTTAGCTCATTCACTCTGATTTTATAGACTTTTGACCAAAGGGCTGCCCCCCCCCCCCCCCCCAAAAAAGAAAAAAAATGCAAACTGCAGAAACAAAATTCTGCTGTTTGCATTCACATGTGCAGCTTAACCAGATATAGTCTGAAAATTTTCCGGAGTTTGGTACATGAGTTAGACTGTATATCAACAGCCACCTAAAATGGCATTAGTTTAGTGTCAGAATTTGTCTGTTATCTGCCATTATTTTCTGTTGCCTTTTATTTGAAGAGCTCTTTGGAAAACTAAAGTCCAAATTTCTTAAAGACAACAGACCTTAAAGTTAGATTATGAAATTATGAGGAAATCTGAGGCACACCTACTTCAATAGGGGTTTGCTTGACTCCTGACCAGATGAACTTGGGTTAAAACCTGCCATTGTAGGATGTCACTAAACTGTAATTTCTTTTTCTAATAGGATGTAACTTTAACAGTATATTCTGAAAGCACAGTGGCCCTCTGATAGAAAGCAGAGAACAATCTCATCTGCACCATCTCACAGACTAAACAAAAACCCCAAATCCTGCAGAGCAGCATATTTTGTGTCTAACCCTGTAGTCAATATCTGAGTCATTGAACCCTCACTAAAAAAATACAATCAAAAAAGATTTAAAAGAGATATCTTGTGTCTATTCACGTGACATACTTCCACCTCCCCACACCCTTAATAAGCTTGTTGACAGTTTGACACCTACAAACAAAGTACCTAGAAGTCTGCCATGGTAAAAAACAATGACATATGATGGTAAGGTGACATAATTTCACAAATGTTCTCAAAAGTCAGGGTTGTTTGTGGAATCAGGTTAAATTACACCGTTGTAGTACTCTTGACAAGGCAGCACAACTTCTACACTCACTCACCTACCTTCTTCTGATTATGATTTGAGTTTCTAAGACTCGTGTACAGACCCTGAGTCATTCAGCAAACATTGACGTAGTTTGATTAAATGTTGCTCCATGAAACAGAGAGGTCATTTGTGCTGTTGCAATGTAGACTTGTTGCACTTTTCATAGTAATTCTTAGGCATTCATTTTGTCAATGACTTTTCATAAGTGTCTTTTTTTTTCTTATTCTGTTTGCTTATAATACCAACATGACTTATCACATAGTGACTCACACATCTTAATAAATACTGTCAAACATATGAGGAATAAGTAAGAGTTGCTAGATGATTTGAATTTAGTAAGCTCACATTAAATGCTAAAAAGACATAAAACCGAGAAGGTTTTGAATAAAAATTAATGCTCACTAAGATGAGATGAACCTAAATGGAAACTGAAATCCCTTGGCTAAATCTTGCACAAAACAAAATATCAAGACTGAAATATGACTAAAATCAACCATAACTCTCTGAAAACGACTGAGACTAAAGCTAAGTTTACATTCCTTGTTAAGATTAATCCTAGAAAGTCTGGCCCAAATGTCACCTTTGAGCAGGGCCATGTACAGGTGTAATTTAAGTCAGTTTTATTTGATGTATTTTTTAAATAAGGGTGTTACAGTAATGTCTCCAACTACCACTGACACACACATTTTTGGATGTGGTGCATCTTTGGCACTTAAATCTTTCATTTTAAAATAAATTCAAAACAGGTTTACAGCTTCCTTGGAAGAAGAGACGTTATGCCATAAGGGGATTGATTGCTTCATTTGTTATATTAAAGTTAAACCAACCTTTTTGACTTCAAATAATGCTTTACTATGGCAGGACACGTTAAACAAATCTTAGAGGTTTTATTTCAAGATAGAAGTTTGCAACTTCTGTTGTATCGCCAATACCGAGGTCCAGATCAAGCTCAAACAAAAAACAGACACCAAAGGGTAACATCACAAACCTAAACCAACATTGTTACTATTACTCACAACAGACCCTAAATCTGTTCAAGTTAATTGGTAATCAATATAAAAATGTGAAAGCTAGAACATAGTTATTGTACACAGGTAATGTGTTAGAAAAATGAGTGATAATGTGCATCATGTTCAAAATATGAAGTCTAAAAACAGAAACACATGTAACTGCTTTCGATAAGGTTTACTGAAAATCTTTATGTAAATATACACCATGTACCTCCTTTAACTGCAAACTTTACCTGGATAGTAAGTGCTGTCATACAGAGATGGAGCATTGTGAACAGCCCTTTTCTTATTGCTTTCTATCACCTTAAAAATTAAAAAAAAAAATCTACATGTTTGTGTGGGATTAAAACAAAAACTTAAACAGATGCTTGCACTAGAATAGTAAGGGAGGGTTTTTGAGGGATGTTCGTAACATGGATTTTAGATTAAGTGGAGGGAAGAAAGAATTTTCTTCAAGCATCCAAACCCACCTCAGTGATAACAAAACTGTCTGAGAGGAGTCCTGATTCAATTTCTACAATTTTATGTTAGATGAGTGATATTCATTTGTTTCTTTTACCCCCAGAGAAGAGAAAGCACAACACTGATCCAGAACAAGTGTGAAGTACTAAGAATGTGCCCTCCCGATGTTGTTGTGTTAACTGCAGCTGTAGTTACCATAGTCGTGTTAACTGCAGCTGTAGTTACCATAGTCGTGTTGCTTGGCGCAGCTGTGGTAAGTGCTCTAGCCCGCCCCACACATGTCCCCACGTTCCCCACTTTGTCCACAGCAGTCAGCTCTACAATCTCTGAGCAGCAGGAGGCGCTGTAGGTAGCTACTGTAATAGTCTCTCCCCCTGCTCCAGTGGTCATGCTGGTATTGAGGGTACCGTTTCCTTGGCGAATGGTGACACTGTCTACGCCAGTTCCATTTATGCCATCAGTGATGTTTGCAATGAACATCCACTGAGAGGCTGCACAGAGTGACATAGAAGATGAACAGTTGCTTATTGTGTTGACTTCCTGGCACACCGGGCGGGTAACGTCTGTAACCTGGGAGGCAAACACCGAAAAGGAAGAGATAAGAAGGAGATATCAACTTATCACCTGGCTGAGTAAAGTACTTGGCTTTGATTAGTTAAAACCTTTCTAACAACATGATCGTGATGACCCTCAACACCAAGGACAACCAAAACACAGACTTTATATCAAACATAATTCATCCTGTTGACAATGTGATAAATGTTATTTCAATAAACAATCTTGAGGATATTTCAGATGTGACTCTTGACAAATCTGAAGAGTGCAAAACTGAAAATTTGTTGTTTAGTCAACAGCACAGAAAACAAGATGGGAAGGATAAACTAGCAAATGATGTTAATAAAAACACATAAGCAGCTGAGTGAAAGACATAAACTAAATTGAAGAAAACAGCATGCAGCAATCCGAAACTGCAGCACAGTATAGGCTTTGGCCAAGACTGGTTAAACGGGTAGAAAATGTTTGAAAGGTTACAGTGAAAAATTATACAGATGCTGCTTTTTTCTGCATCTGATAAGAATACCAACAAAAATACTCTGATGTTATACTAACCATGGATGAAAATCTTTATTTTACTGTGATCTGTAACAGCAAAGCAGGCTAATGTGAAGACTATGGCACAAATAAAACTTTGATTTTGGTTTGACCAGTACGTAGGCTAATAACACAACTTTTGTTTCTAACTGTATCATTTTCAAATTGTAAAACTCATATCTTGTGTTATCTTATTTGTAGTTGGTAGCCTGGTAACAAGCTGGATATTGTGCAGTGAAGTGCAATGCAGATACATTCCAGTGAGTCAAATTATTAAACTTCCCAAAAGAGTTTTATCTACCAATAAACAGTGTCTCTCTTATATATAAAACAACCGAATATGCAATATCATCTCCATTATAAGTGGATGCAATATGCTGATGATATTATGCTGTTTTATTCTGAAGAATGCTCTCTGGAACACACTTGCACATCAGCTTTGGACCAATACTGCAAGCCAGCTAAGCCATTTTTTTTCCTTTGGTCAAGAGATATTAACTTAATTAGTGATTGAATCTAATTGTGATTTTGTAAAAAAAAAGTATCTTTATACACAATATTAAATTCAAAACAGTTTATCTTCAAGGTTTTGATGAAATTGACCAAATATCATTCGTGTAGCAAATAATTCTGCCAAAAAAAGGGGCGCAAACTTATTCATCTATTATGCATTCTTCAACAAAGTATACAACCTGGGTTTTTTTTCTTACCCTGGCAGTCACAGACAGCCTGATGACCTCAAAGTTGATGTCAGTGGTGGCTGCATTTTCTACCTCGATAGTGAGGGTCACATCTGTTCCTGAAGCAGCATTGGCTGGTACCGTTAATGTTACAGTGCCATTGGCTTTGCCTCCACTGCCCCCTGCTATGGTGACAGTGCTGGGTGAGGACGTAGCATAGCTGCGGTCATTGTTGGCTCGTACTGTGAATGTCCCGGTTGCAGATTCATCAACAACTCCATTGGTGGTGGTGGTGACAGTGAAAGGGATGGAGACAGTGGAGTCTGGCTCTATGCTGGTGTTATTGACCTGAGCCTGAAAAGGTGAAAGGATAGAAATGTGTAAAATAAAAGAAAGAAGCACTGATGAAAGAATAGAAGTAGCATGATGATATATGTTTTCTATCTTTGTTTCCAGGGTCTTGGTGTAGTCAAAGTAGGCAAGCAATATGAGGTAAAAAAAAAAAAAAAAAAACACTTTGAAACAGTGCCATGAAGACATCCTTTGTTTTGTAGATCAACATTGACACATGGAGTCCTAATATAACCATCAGGAAGTGTCAAAACATAATCAGACACTTTTGCCAAGGAGGGCCAAGGATATAGGGAGGAAGCAGTGATGGTTCCTTGCAAAGCACATCCAAGAGTATCTTATACTCAGTATCTCACACGTGAGTAATACCTATCAAACTAATGGGACGGAAAAGGTTATTACACTCACAGTTACAGAGATGCTGGAGGTCTTGATCTGTGTAGAGGCCTGTCTCTGGATGGTGCTTGCTGTCATTCTGGAGGTGGAGCTGCTGTCCACTCCTTTCAGACGAACCACAAACTCACCAGCAGGGACTCCACTGAATGTCACTAGAAAGTTTCCACTCCCCTCTGACTGTGAAGACAGAAAAGGGAGAGACTTATGCTGTCACAATGTAGACAGTGCAGAGAAGTGGAAGACAAAAAGAGGTTAGACTGCTACTATTTCCCACACCACAATGACCAACATGTTTGACTTTCAAAACAAAATAGGATTAGATTTTAGAAAATAGTACAGTGCGGGACAAGGTTTAGCAAACAGAATGTGACAAAGTGTCACAAAAATGACCCTTTGTCCACAGGGGGCGCCAAAGTTGACCTACAGTGACAGCACAAATTGCTGTTTTGGAAGTTGTTGTACTACCCTCTGCAGCAGAAATTTGGATCGCCAAGGTGTCCACTTTAGGCTGCTGCCCAACTCACATTGCACCCAACCCCTTTGGAAGCAGGGCTGGGAGACTTGGATGTGGGCTCTTCTGTCTCATGGGCTGAGGCTGCTGTGGTGGTTAGTACACTCCTTGGTGGCAAGGCCCTAGGGGTGGACAAGATTCACCCTGAGTTCCTCAGGGCCCTGGATGTTGTGGGTCTGACATGGCTGACACAACCCTGCAACATCGTGTGGACATCGGGGGCAGTGCCTTTGGATTGGCAAACCGGGGTGGTGGTCTTTTTAAGAAGGGGGATCGGAGGGTGTGTTCCAACAAAAGGGGGATCACACTCCTCATCCTCATCCCGGAAAGGCCTATTCAGGGGTCCTGGATAGCAGGGTTTGCTAGATAGTTGAACCTCAGATTTAAGCGGAGCAATGCAGTTTTTGCCCTGGTCATGGAACTGTGGACCAGTTCTACACTCTCAGCAGGATCCTCGAGCGTGCATGGGAGTTTGCCCAACATCATGTGTTTGCGGACTTGGAGAAGGCATTTGACGGAGTCCCCCTGGGAATCCTGTGGGGGGTTCTCCGGGAGTATGGGGTAACAGACACCCTAACAAGGGCTGTTCATTCCCTACAACTGGTGCCAGAGCTTGGACCACAAGGGTTAGTAACTCGGACGTGTTTCCGGTGAGGGTTGGACTCCGCCAGAGCTGCTCTTTTTCATCGATTCTGTTGAGAACTTTTATGGACAGAATTGCTAGGTGCAGCCAGGGTGTCCTGAGGATAGCTGGCCTCAGGATTCCGTAGTGGAGCCGTTCCAGATAAGGTGGAAATAGGGGGTAAGAAATACACGCTGGCTAACACATACCTGCAAAGTTCCATCAACCTCTGTTGGCCCCGAGTTGCCAAACAGGGTTAACTCTGTGACATTCACTGTGTCACTTCCTGTCACAGTGACCAAGAGGCTGATGTTACCACCTGAGAGTGTGGGCAGGAGAGAGAAAGAAACTGCATAAGCAGTGTGACACAATTTTTAACTTTATTTAAGCAATTAGTATGGTTAAGGTGTCATAGTTTTACTCCGACCTTTTTCACTGGTTGATGAAAATGCAGATTTTCAGAGTAACAATTATGAATTTTTATTATGTTGTGGACCACACAGAGAAAAGTCTCAGATAAGTGATAGGTGCTCAAGTAAGTAAAGCATGTTGAAATGAAAAAAAAAAAGATCAGGGCAATAATATTTGATCGGACCTGAAAAAGGACGTCCCTCCTTCAGACTGAAGTCTCCATGGATTCCTTCATTTGCTTCCACAAGATTAAATATGAAGTTCACTGAACTTTGACCTTTAATATAGACACAACAAACAGATAGTAAGGGCTGCCACAAAGCTGATACAACTGTAAACAGACGCAAAATATCCATAACACTGACCTGTGACTTTAACAGTGTACTGGCTATTAGAATCAACACCGATTTTCCACAATCCTGTTTGATTGTCACTGTTGAATCTTAACCGACGGAGGTTTCCTACTGTGGTGATGGAGGCCAGAGGACCACTGGCCTGACTGGAGTTCTGAAATACACCTGAGAAAGAAGAAAAGATGTCATTTGCTTACTAACACTAACAAATCTAAAGGTTCTTTTGGTTAATTTTTTGGAAAAAGGTGACTTAGATTTGGAACAAAACTAGTTTTAACTTGAGAATCAACAGTGGAAACAACACCTGAAGGGCTGGTGAGAGTGAAGCTGAGAGAGGAGGCTCCTGTAACATAGGCAGTTACGTTCTTCAGGGAATCATCTAAAGTAAATGTGAAATTATCAGGCCTGCCAGGATTCTTCACCACCTGGAAAACTGTCACCTAAAATAAGGAGAAAGAGAGACAGTAAATGTAAAAACATACTCTTAAGTAAAAAATCAATTCAGTAAGATTCTTTCTCAGTGTCTCACCACAGCACTGGCCGATGAATCCTCTATGACACTTGTAGCCAGAGACAGATCTAGTTTTGAGACCTCGATGGTTTGACCACCTGAGGCCTGGGCGAGGTCACGGTACAGTTGGGTGTCTGATTGGCTAATAATGCGCGAGGACACTTGCTGACCAAGGTCTCTGCGGCGCCGGCGAGAGCTCAGGACATCAGTGAGCATGAAAGTTACCTACAAACATGAGGTTAAAAAATACAACAACAAAAACATCACTGAGGGCCTGCACTGCTTCACTTTTTAAGATGCTTAGTTTTTTTTTTTTTTTTACAAAAATATCAAAGCACGTTTTTATGTCTGTGAAATATGGAGTAAAAGAGTAATTTTTAGAATCTGGGCTTTGACTAGAAGTGATTTTACCACAGACTTGGTGCTCTCTATAAGAGCAGTGATTGTGCCTTTTAGGTGAGCATCTTTAGCCGGTGCATCAGTGAAGACAAAGATATCAGAGAAAGGTGGAGCAGCAGTCAAGGCAAGCTGTAGATGACATATCAGAAATGTTATTGATGAAAGATCTTTTTCCATAAACTTCAGTACATTTTTTTATGATGTTATGTTAAATCCTTTCATGACTTGATCATCTGCTTCTGTTACTTGTGATACTTTGATGTTTATGTGAATGATGAATTGTGGAAACTGATCACGTGAACACCTGCAGTCCAGACAAGGAAAGCTCAGGGGTGTCTCCTCCTCCAGATGCAGTCAGCCTATTGATTTGGTCTTTGAAGACATCTGCATCAGTTGTTTGAATTAAAGGACCAAAACCTAGAAAATAAAACAGAAAACATCAACATCCACTGTCCCCCAAAAGCAATGACAATATTTACTTATGAGCTACATATGTGTGTACCTGGGTCGTTGAAAGGTACTAGTATGTAGTCGGACGGTTCCAGTGGGGTTCCTCTCTTTCTGTCAATGATTTCAAAGGAAACTCTCTTGGCCTCGGCTATATCATCAGCCATACTGCCTGTAGTGTCAATGACAAAACACAGCACAGAGGACTGGGAGATGCCCATCAACCTGCAAGAATGAGAGAAAGGCAAATATTAGGAGTTAAATAACTGTCAGTGATCAGGTCTTTCAGGTCTTTGATTTTCTTTTATATGCTCCAAAAGTGCTGCAGGGGAAGGTGTCCCTTACCGCAGAAAACTCTTGTCTCCTACAGCCACTCTGATGTCCTCCAACAGCTCCATGGTGGCTTTCACAGCCAGATCAGCAGCTTTTTCGTGAAGGAAGCCATGATTGGACTTGACAGTGTCCTTGTTGATTCCCCCAACTGGCTTTAATAAACTGGTGGTGTCGGGAAATCCACCATGACTGCATTTACCTTTAAGCAAGAAAAACAGATTTTATGAAACCTACAAAAGTTTTTTGAGTATACATGCTAGTGAAACTCTACAGTGTGCAGATGACATATTGAAGATACCTGTAGGTTTGAATGGTAGTATGCTGAAGTAGCCTGAGGTGAGAAGCCCCTGACTCAGCACTTCAGGCAAAATGTTGTCTGTGCAGTCTCCATCAATACAGTCTCTACAGGTTGGGGTATTTGGGCCTGCAGTAAACAATAATGAGAATATGAAATAGTAAAGATGTGTGCAGGTGTGTGTGTGTGTGTGTGTGTGTGTGTGTGTGTGTGTGTGTGTGTGTGTGTGTGTGTGTGTGTGGTTTTGGGTTAGTCACGTGTCCAGTGTTTCTTCTCACTAGAGTCACTAAATGGCATAGACAACTGTATCCTACCTGCAAGATTCTTCAGAGGCTCGTCTGGTCTGATCAGGGTGCTGTACGGGGTCGTTCTCCCCAGCTCCACCCAGTTACTGTGACTGTAGAAGTCCTAAATGAACAGAGAATAAAACTTATTACCCTTACTAACCATGCCTTTAATTTTTTACCATTTAAATGAAGAAACTTAACTCATCAGTCTCACCTGTAAGGGATGAAAGATTCCTCCAAGAGTCCACCTCCCTGTCAGAAATTTTCCCAGTTTGACGCTGGCCTTCACAGAAGAGACACCTCATGGAAAAGAGAGTGATAAGGAAACTAAGACACAAGCTAGAACTGCTACTATGTCCTGTCACCTCTTACTTTATAATAATGTTAATGCTCCTGTCAGGACCTTTCAACCTGTGTTGATTAGGGTGACCCCCTGTGGACAAAGTTGTCACTTTTATCTTGAAGTTAATTTTGCCTTAAATAAACAAGGTTTTTGATTTAAAATAAATACATGAATACATTAAATAGATAAGAAATCACCTCCTGCTTTATTCCGAAAGGGAAAGGGAAATGAAAAAATGGTTGCTTTAGTAGCATGTGGTTACTCAGTCGGACTCATATCCAGCCCCTACAGGTGGTTTTTATACATTACAAATAATAAAGTGGTCTTTCCCATTTAAATGGACATGCATACTTTTATAGGTCAGTACAAGACATTACTATGATCTCGGTGAGTCTTGTGACAAGCTAAAACCCACTGAAGCAACACTTCTGTTTGACAGAGATTACTTTGGCTGACTTCAAAGGTCATGTTGCTGATGTTGGCACTGTTTTCTGCTCTTACTGAACAGGGTTAAGTCATTTGACTTTTGAGTATGTGGTATATCTCCAACAATTAACATTTCAATGTTTTTAAAAGAAAAACTGGAAATGTTTATTTTTCTACGAAAAATGAGACACTGCATTTCAACATTTCAATGTTGTAATGAAACATTGTTTGATGTTTACCTGATGTAATGACATCCCGTCCTTCTACAAAAGTCTCAGCATCAAAATGGTGCCTTGCACTTAGCGCATAAACCTGATCCGTTTTACCATTGCTTAAGTACATAGTGGTAATGGAGGTTTGGAACTTGATGGTAGAGACGATTGAGCTGAAGAAGCCTTCAGGGGAGCAGGCTCTCACCACTTTCCCAGCTGTCAGACTGTCATCAATCTGGAGATGAAATCATGACAGATATCAATTTGTTGATATGGCTGCATGTTAAAAAATCTATTCCAAATAAAAAAGAACTAGTCCTTCGAACTTTATTGCACCAGCACTTGGTGATTTGATAACTAAACATCAACATTAGAGAGACTTATAGCTCTATTAGGAGCTCCTCTGTAGGAAACACTGTGTGAGACAGTGGGCCCTGAAGGCTAAGAATTTCCTTCTATGAATTTCTGTAATAAAAATCTTAAATCATTGTGAGAAATTTTAAGCTTTTAAGCCAAGAAAAGCTATCTGTGAAAGTGTGTGCCCTAACTTTTGTTGTTTCACCAGAAGTAAAATATGAACTGATCCACTGGCCCCATGTCCAAAAAATGAACAAAACCTACAATATTTACATTTGATATTCTAATTAATCACATTCCTTCTATAGGATTTTGATTCCTCTCTGAAACTCACAGTCAGGCTGAAGTCTCGTCCCTCTGCAGCTGCGATGTCTCTGCAGACCTCAGCTGTCTTTCTGATCACCGCCCTTGCCGTGATGACTCGATGAGTTAAGGAGCTCCCAGCAAACAGTGGCTTGAAGCTGTGAGTGAAGCCTGACAGGGAGAGGATCACCACCGCTGTGATCATGACTGTGTGTGTGGGCACCATGACTGAAGATGAGGATGATGAAGATGGAGTGTCCAAGCTCTTGTGTCTTCCTCTGCTTCTCTTAACCAGATATCATGCCTTGTTTCGTTGCGGTAATGGCAACACCAAAACTCACCCAGACAAAAACAGTTTTTCTTAGGTTTATCTTGTCCTCTCTTCTCTGTGATTAAAAATATTTTGCCAGAATAAGGAAACAGCAGAGGGACTCTAGAGGTGCAGGTATGATGAGGCAACAGGTGACGAGTGAATCGCCTGAGGAAAAGAAGAATCAGCTCAGGGAGCAGAAGGGAGAGAAATAAAAGTGGCACAGGCTCAAACTTTCACAGGAGTAATCTTACAGAAGTAGATGGCTGCTTCACTTGTCATACTGCCTGAAACTTGGATGTTTTTAAGTAAACAAGCTTAGTTAAAACAGTTAAAAATGTCACTGTGCTTGTTTGGGACTTTTCATGGTTTGTATGTTGTATTTTCCTACATTTATGGCTATTTCTACAAATAGAAAAAAAGTGATTCTTGTCATCATTAAAGTACACAGCAGACATAGTTTTAAATAAGTAAAGAAAATAATACATTTAGACTAAGATCAACTCATTTTACAGACAATCAGTACAATTTGACACTGTCTTACCTGTGTGTACTCTGCAGTCCAGTCCTTTTCTGAAGTGGTGTTGGCTCCACTTCAGTGTCACTATGTCGGCATGGCTTGTTGAGTGTTGCCAGTCCTTTCAGGAAACTAAGACAAGTGGTTGGATTCTGTCTTTTTATAGTTGCATTTGCAATGAGTAATTGGCTTCAAAGAATTCCTTTATACGTCCCTTTACTGGAAGTGTTGTTGTGGGAGTGCCTCTCAGGTGCACGTACAATTTTTTTTCTTCCATCTTATCTGTCAGGTGAACTCACCTTGAGCAGGTGCAGGTTGTCTGATTTTCAATTTTAAGAGATTTAGAGTGACTGTGAGGGTGGACATCATATACCTGAGGTTATTCAGTGAGCAAAGTTAAAGACAAGTCAGCATCATCTTCTCTATTCTCTTTGGGAAATGTTACCACAAAAATTTACTCTAACAAAGGTATTTAAGTCCCTATGTGAACCAAAAGTGATGAAGTATTGAAAAACTTACAAAACTGACCTTTCTCCACAGAAAAAAAAGGAAGGAAGCTATGCAAGCAAACTCAAAATGAAAGAAGTTTAAGAGATCTTCCTGTTTCTGGGTGATACTGATACTTGAGCCCTCTTGAATTCCTGATCATCAGCTGGAGATAATCAGTGTCTGTCACTCTTAAAATGCTCCGTTTGGTTTGGGATAAAGAGGGGAGTAGTCTTCTGTGATGGTTGTCAGGGTATTGTTGGCTTTTACCGGCAGCCTTAATAGATAACTCAAGCAACTTTAAATTTTTTGCACATCTGCACTGGTCTTATTTTTAACACATGATTTTATCGTTTGAAAGGAAAGTTTCAATCAACACAACAGTAGAAAACACAATACTTGGTTTACAGGGAAGTTAAGAGCAGTAAAATTCTGATGAACTGTCATCATTCCACCCACTCACTGGCCGTTGATGTTTGAAATCACTACCTTTGATGTCAATGAAATGTCACTTATGTTACAAACCACACCTCCAGTCATGCTCAACACCATATTTTTAGGCTTATCTAACCTTGCAGTTGTTCACTGTTATGACTGTTTGTTGTGTCTTCTTTTCCCCTTTTCTCTTTCCTCATTCTGCTTAGGCGTAGTCACCAACTGCTAATCACCTGGTCCTGGAAGGTTAAGGTCCAAACACGGTCTTCAGTAGGGTGAGGCATTTTAAAGGAACTGCTGCCCTTTCCCGCTTCTCATTCAGGGGATTATTGTGCTTTGGTTCTTTGTGTTTTGCAACATTTGTGTAGAGATGACTAAAGTATGACCTCTTTGTGTAGCGGATGATGCAGTCCACACTTTTGTTTCCTGATTGTGACAAATTCAGTTTGGTTGTGACCTTGTGGGTCACTCCACAGATCATTGGATCTTAGAATGGTGGGTGCAGCCTCCTCATTTGCAAGTTTAACTTGTTTGGTTAGTTGCCTTCATATGTAACAGTATCTAGTATGACTTCTGAAGACTTGATGGTTTGTGTTGTGGTAGTGGCAGTCAATATCGTTGGATCTTTCTGGAGCTGTTAGATGTGTAATCAGTCTGCTTGTGTTGATCCATTTGGTTTGTGACTGTTGCACTCAACTTTTGTGTGGGTCACCTATGTTACTTTGAAATATTGAAAGATTAAGGGCCTGATCTACTAAGATCCTAAATAGGGAATGCTAAATTGCTTGTGCAAACTAAAAAAATTGCATGTGCTATTAGTGGGCGTGTTGTGGGTGATCTACTATCATTAAGTGTGCAATTGATAACAGGAGCAAAAGCGGTGCGGACCGCCCTCTTTAAACAAGGATTTCGCGTGCACTATTGGCCGTCACCATGGAGAGTTTGTGAGAGCAGTGTGGTCATAAATGAAAAAATAAATTTTGAAGCCACGGAAATGTACCTATCATTTTGGGGAACTGCATAAAAGGCAAGCAAGGCAAGTTTATTTGAGTTGCACCATTAATACTCAAGGCAACTCAAAGTGCTTTACAGATGCAAGAAGATATACTAGAAATCATAAAAGGGATTAAAATCATTAAGACAAAGAGATCAGTTTTTTCGTCAGTTCTGTGTCTGACCTTATTATTTATGAAAATCCCTATTTATTGGAAAAAACGAAATAAATCACAGGCATTTGGACAAGGATCATGACGTCTATCATGGCACCTCTGCCTCCTTCTCCCCACAATGACCGTGCCTTTAAAACTTGCTAAATAAAGACGCAAAACAGCAACCGCAATTGGTTTCCGTGTTTGATAAATCACATTGCAGGTACTAAATGATCCCATCTGTTCCTCCCGGTATTTTGCACATTCTGATGATCTACATACAATCTGAATGTTCATAAAGGCAAACACACTAAATTGGTTGTGTGTGCTGTTTTGCTCATTTGACAGATGCAATCCTAGGTGCACCCGGTTAGTAGATCAGGTTTGCTTACACTATCAAGTTTTTGCCGGGAAAGCCTTTAGTAGATCAGGCCCAAAGTGTTTCATTCTATTATTCTTTGTATTAACCTTGTGGTAGTAGCTGTCTTGCTCTGTGTGGGAGTGGCACCCTCTTTGTTGACAACTTTTTTTGATGGATGCGCTTAAACATGGTTGTAGTATCTTCTTTTGCCCTAATGCTGGTTAATAAGATTTTGTTTAACATGACCCATTTACACCTTCCTCAGCTGTAGTTTCATTTAGCTTTAGCTTTAGTGAATTGAGTGTTTTTGTGCTTTTGCAACTGACAGTATTTTATAACGTACGGCCTTGGTTAGAAACACTGGTTCAAGGAATTTTCTTGTAAGTAATGGAAGAATTTGCACAGTATCTTTAACTCAATGAATAGATAATTGTATTTCTTTCGAGTAAACTTGCGCGTGCAGTGATGATGTTAACACTTGTTTTTGCATAACAGATTATCTTTAATTGTTTTTAGGGTGGGGATGTTACAGCTGTATCTTTGCCCAGCTGAAGTCACCAACTGACTTTCAGCCTCACCTGATCCTTAATGTTGAAAATGTCCAAGAGTTGCCTACAGCAAGGAGAGGCATTTGGAGCAGAATTGCTGTCCTGCTGCCTCTCGTTCAGGCAATCCTTGTGCTTTTGTTTTTGCTCTGCTTTTTGCTTGTGTTTTAGTTGACTTCTATATTCATTCTTTACTATATCTTTGTGATTTGTTTAATTCTTTGTCTGTGGCTATAATCAATCCCACATTCAAGTTTTTAAGGTGTTTTCTGTTGCTTTTAATGGGTCATTGTGTGAATAGCTGTTCACACAATGACCCATTAAAAGCTTTTGGGTGGGGTCACTTACCACAAAGCTGAACAACATAATTAAAAACATAAAAAGAGACATTCTTGCATAACAGGTACTTCAGCAGGTAAAATACTTTCACTTTTACTTTACTGCATGAGAAGGATGACTTTATATTTTATATTATATAGTCCTTAAGAGTAAGGACAAAGTTAAATAATAATAATAAAAAACTGTACACAGATAGACAGATCATACTCTTAATGAAGCTTATGCAATGTCTTTATGTAAATTGACACCTTTCTCTCTATCCACCAACACCAACAGGACTATAAGTGCTGTTAAACATAGATGAAGCAGTGTGAACAGCCCTTTTTTATTGTTTTCTACCACCCTAAAAAATGACAAATGGTTACAGCAAAGACACACGAATCAACATGTTTGTATGATATTAAAACAAAAACTTAAAAATTTAAACTTTCAGTAGAATCATAAAAGTAGTTTTACAAAAGAGGGTTTTTGAGGGATGTTAGTAACATAGATTTTAGATTAGATATAGAGAACAAAGAATTTTCTTCAAGCCACAGTAATAAGTATCCAAACCCCCCTTAATGATACCAGAACTGTCTGGTATTTACAATTTTATGTTAGAAGAGTGACATTCATTCGTTTCTTTTACCTCCAGAGAAGAGAAAGCACAACACTGATCCAGAACCAAACCAAATTAAGTGGCGCAGCTGTGGAAAGTGCTCCAGACCGCCCCACACATGTCCCCACGTTTCCCACTTTGTCCACAGCAGTCAGCTCTACAATCTCTGAACAGCAGGAGGCGCTGTAGGTGGCTACTGTAATAATCTCTCCGTCTGTTCCAGTGGTCGTGCTGGTATTGAGGGTACCGTTTCCTTGGCGGATGGTGACCCTGTCAATGCCAGTTCCATTTATGCCATCCATGATGTTTGCAATGAATGTCCACTGAGATGCTGCACAGAGTGACATACAAGAAGAACAGTTGCTTATTGTGTTGACTTCCTGGCACACCGGGCGGGTAATGTCTGTAACCTGGGGAGACAGACACCGAAAAGGAAGAGATGGAAAGGAGATACTTTCTTATTACCTGGTTGTGTAAAGTACCTGGTTCTGATTGGTCAAAACCTTTCTAACAACATGATTGTCATAACCGTTGACACCAGGGACAACCAAAACACAAACTTTATTCCAAACATATTTCATCCTGTTGACAATGGGGCGAATGTTATTTCAATAGTCTCCATGAACAACATGGAGGATATTTTAGGTATGACTCTTGACAAATTTGAAGAGTGAAAAACTGAAGATTTGTTGTTTTGTTGTTCAGTCACCGGCACAGACAATAAGATGGGAGGGATAAGCTAGCAAAGGATGTTAATTAAAACTCATCAGCAGCTGAGTGAAAGACATCAACTGATTTTCAAAAAATGCACAAAGTTATTCATCTATTATGCATTCTCAACAAAGTATACAACCTGTGTTTTTGTCTTACCCTGGCAATCACAGACAGCCTGATGACCTCAAAGTTGATGTCAGTAGCGGCTGCATTTTCTACCTCGATGGTGAGGGTCACATCTGTTCCTGAAGCAGCATTGGCTGGTACCGTCAAAGTAACAGTGCCATTGGCTTTGCCTCCACTGCCCCCTGCTATGGTGACAGTGCTGGGTGAAGATGTAGCATAGCTGCGGTCATTGTTGACTCGTACTGTGAACGTCCCGTTTGCAGATTCATCAACAACTCCATTGGTGGTGTTGCTGACAGTGAAAGGGATGGAGACGGTGGAGTCTGGCTCTATGCTGGTGTTATTGACCTGAGCCTGAAAGGGTGAAAGGATAGAAATGTGTAAATTAATAGAAAGAAGCACTAATGAAAGAAGAATAGAACCAACATGATGATACCTTAAGCAATATCTGGGTCTATGATCAAACTAATGGGAAAGAAAACTGAAGGTTATTACACTCACAGTGACAGAGATGCTGGAGGTCTTGATCCGTGTCAAGGCCTGTCTCTGGAAGGTGCTTGCTGTCATTCTGGAGGTGGAGCTGCTGTCCACTCCTTTCAAACGAACCACAAACTCACCAGCAGGGACTTCACTGAATGTCACTAGAAAGTTTCCACTCCCCTCTGACTGTGAAGACAGACACAATGTAGAAAGTACAGATACGCAGAAGAGAAAAAGAGACTGTTATTATATATCACACAGCACAATGACCAATGACCAACAAGCTGCAACTCCCCTTCACAGGCATGAAAGAGGAGTTTGAAGTCTCCAGAGCTAGAGAGGTGTTACTATACAGCGACTCAAGGGACATCAGAGTCTCCTCTGCAGGCATTATGGTGAGAACAGGAAGGAAGCGGCAGGCTCAGGAGGCAGTCGCTCAGGCAGAAGCAAGGCTGAGGCATAGTGTCTTGGTAGGCACTGTTGCAGTGGGTTGAGCGGGTCTCTGAAGCCACACAAGACCACGGTTTGACAGAGCCCAGGGAAGGGAGAGACAGCAGCTGGTGCAGGAAGAGATTCATGCAGAGGTGGAAGAGGAACACTACAGTAGGGCAGTAGCTAAATGCCAGCAAGGTGCGTGGACAAGATGGGAGAATGCATCTAACCATAAGATCACATGGTCAGAACTGTGGAAGTCAGAACCAGCTAGACTCAAGTTCTTGATCCAGTCAGTGTATGATGTACTCCCAAGCCCGTCCAACCTGTACTGTTGGGGCCTAGCAGAAACACCAGCTTGCCCACTTTGCCAGGCAATACGCACCCTGGAGCACGTTCTGAGCTTCTGCCCCAAAGCCCTGGGAGAGAGGAGGTACACATGGCGTCATGACCAGGTTCTGAGGGCAGTGGTCGACACCCTCTGCACAGGAATCCAGCAAAGCAAACACTAGCTCCCAGTGAGGCACAACATCCTCTTCATCAGTGCAGGAGAGAAACCTCAGAAAGATCGCAAGGCCCCAACCGGGCTGCTAGCCTCAGCTCGTGACAGGGAACTGAAGGTGGACCTGGGGAGGAAGCTGAAGTTTCCGGAGCACATTGCCAAGACATCACTCAGGCCAGACTTAGTCTTAACATCTGACTCTACAAAGCAAGTGGTGCTGCTGGAACTCACAGTCCCCTGGGAAGACTGGATGTGTGAAGCTAACGAACGCAAAAAGGCCAAATACCTGGAGCTGGTGGACGCCTGCAGGGAGAATGGCTGGAGGGCCCTGTGCGAGCCATTTGAGGTGGGCTGCAGGGGTTTCTCAGGGCAATCACTGCACCGAGTATTCAAGCTGCTGGGGATCAGAGGGTTGCAGGAGAGAAAAGCCACCAGAACCATCAGTGAGGCGGCAGAAAAAGCCTCTAGGTGGCTGTGGATCAAGAGGGCTGATGTACTGCTCAGACACAAGTTGGGGACTGATCACCCCCGGCTGGGTCGCCCAGGTGAGGATGTATGATGATCCAAGACCCAAAACACCCTATGACCCTGGGTTCATCACTGAGGATGTATCTGAGCTACACCAGTAGGGTGTATGAATAACTACCAACAAGTTTGACCTTCAAAACAAATACTGTTGCAAATTTCTGTTTTGGAAGTTGTAGACAGTAAAAGTACATTTCATACTAGCTAACACATACCTGCAAAGTTCCATCAACCTCTGTTGGCCCCGAGTTGTCAAACAGGGTTAACTCTGTGACATTCACTGTGTCACTTCCTGTCACAGTGACCAAGAGGCTGATGTTACCACCTGAGAGTGTGGCAGGAGAGAGAAAGAAACTGCATAAGCAGTGTGACACAATTTTTAACTTTATTTAAGCAATTAGTATGGTTAAGGTGTCATAGTTTTACTCCGACCTTTTTCACTGGTTACTGAAAATACAGATTTTCAGAGTAACAATTATGAATTTTTATTATGTTGTGGACCACACAGAGAAAAGTGTCAGATCAGTGATAGGTGCTCAAGTAAGTAAAGCGTGTTCAAATGAAAAAAAGATCAGGGCAATGATGTTTGATCTGACCTGAAAGAGGACGTCCCTCCTTCAGACTGAAGTCTCCATGGATTCCTTCATATGCTTCCACAAGGTTAAATATGAAGTTCACTGAACTTTGACCTTTAATATAGACACAACAAACAGATAGTAAGGGCTGCCACAAAGCTGATACAACTGTAAACAGACGCAAAATATCCATATCACTGACCTGTGACTTTAACAGAGTACTGGCTATTAGAGTCAACACTGATTTTCCACAATCCTGTTTGATTGTCACTGTTGAATCTTAACCGACGGAGGTTTCCTACTGTGGTGATGGAGGCCAGAGGACCACTGGCCTGACTGGAGTTCTGAGATTCACCTGAGAAAGAAGAAAATATGTCATTTTCTTACTAACACTAACACATCTAAAGGTTCTTTTGGTTGATTTTTTGGAAAAAGGTGACTTAGATTTGGAACAAAACTAGTTTTAACTTGAGAATCAACAGTGGAAACAACACCTGAAGGGCTGGTGAGACTGAAGCTGAGAGAGGAGGCTCCTGTAACATAGGCAGTTATGTTCTTCAGGGAATCATCTAAAGTAAATGTGAAATTATCAGGCCTGCCAGGATTCTTTACCACCTGAAAAACTGTCACCTAAAATAAGGAGAAAGAGAGACAGTAAATGTAAAAACACACTCTTCAGTAAAAAATCAGTTCAGTAAGATTCTTGCTCAGTGTCTCACCACAGCACTGGCCGATGAATCCTCTATGACACTTGTAGCCAGAGACAGATCTAGTTTTGAGACCTCGATGGTTTGACCACCTGAGGCCTGGGCGAGGTCACGGTACAGTTGGGTGTCTGATTGGCTAATAATGCGCGAGGACACTTGCTGACCAAGGTCTCTGCGGCGCCGGCGAGAGCTCAGGACATCAGTGAGCATGAAAGTTACCTACAAACATGAGGTTTGAAAAAAAAAAAATACAACAAAAAACATCACTGAGATCTTGCACTTTCATAAAATTTTCAGCTGTCAATCAGCTTGCTCATAAGTTCCGCAATTTGTTCCACATGTAAACAGTGAAAAAAAAATACATATTTTGTCTTAGGTTTTACCAACAACAGTGCCTGCTCAGCTTGGCATAGTCATGTCTTTGTCATGGAAAAAATGGTTGTTGATGAACATAAATAATCACTGTTTTGGTTAACAAAATTAATACAAGAAGCTAAGATGAACTCAGTAAGACTTAATACATCATGTAAGTCCACAGGTCCTGTACTTCCTGTGATGATGTGAAGAAATTAATTAAACTCAACAGTGCAGTAGATTTAAGGGAAAGTCTTACACAGGATGTAGTATTCTGTCACATGTTGCAAGGTATATAATCATTTGATGCTAAGATTTAAGGCTGTTTGTTCATGTTTGCCCGAAATATGAACGAGTTCATGAACAAACGTTCATTGAACGTGTTCGGGCACAACACTAGTTACCTGTGTCATTTTCAAAGGCTTTTCTTCTACAGAGCTCTGGTAGCTCGTTAGCATTTGCCTCTGAGTCATTTGCGGAAAAAGCACTGCTCCTCTTAACTTCTTAGCTTGCAGCCTAACATTGCCAGTGTAGTTGAAGTGGCGGGTATTATAGGAGCTATTCAGCCCTCTGACACTAATGTCTTTGGGGGCATGATGAAAGCAAATATCATAATTAGCTTTCTTACTAGCATTGCAATCCGCTAAGGCACACATTTGCACAATCTTCCTCTCTACTTCTTCGTGTCTAGCCTGCATAGTAGGGCTCCAGGGGCGGAGCTTGCAGTTGTGACATAGGAAATCTCACTTTGTCTGAACCTGCTATTTGGGTCTGCCAGATTCACAGTGATTTGTGTGCAAAAATACTCAGAAATGCAATTTCACACGTATTTTTCCCCTGATACGTCCCCTGGCCTCAGAAAAATGCCATATGAACATGTAGACAGCTAGAAAAACATGATTTTCATCAGAGTGGGTCTTTAAGCTGCAGAGGGGGCTAATCTTTGTTATCATCAATTGCTGGTGCACACCTTCACTGTCACCAGAGAAATCCTGGTGACTGTTTTTTTCCCCAAAAGAAGAGTGTGAGAGGTGGTTTACACAGTTGGTTTTAACCTTTGACTTACCTGCCAGATGCCATTTGAAACAGCACACAGGCCCTAAAACAACATGAATAATAACATTTTTTTCAAAGACAGAACAGGGTTTTTACCACAGACTTGGTGCTCTCTATAAGAGCATTGATTGTGCCTTTTAGATGAGCATCTTTAGCCGGTGCATCAGTGAAGACAAAGATATCAGAGGAAGGTGGAGCAGCAGTCAAGGCAAGCTGTTGATGACATATCAAAAATGTTGTTGATGAAAGATCTTTCTCCATAAAAGTCAGTACTTTTTTTATGATGTTATGTTAAATCCTTTCATGACTTGATCATCTGTAGTTGTTACTTTCGAACCATTGCTGTTTATACGAATGATGAATCGTGGAAACTGATCATGTGAACACCTGCAGTCCAGACAAGGAAAGCTCAGGGTTGTCTCCTCCTCCATATGCAGTCAGCCTATTGATTTGGTCTTTGAAGACATCTGCATCAGTTGTTTGAATCAAAGGCCCAAAACCTAGAAAATAAAACAGAAAACATGAACACCCACTGTCCCCCAAAAGTAATGACAATATTTACTTATGAGCTACATATGTGTGTACCTGGGTCGTTGAAAGGTACTAGTATGTAGTCGGACGGTTCCAGTGGGGTTCCTCTCTTTCTGTCAATGATTTCAAAGGAAACTCTCTTGGCCTCGGCTATATCATCGGACATACTGCCCGTAGTGTCAATGACAAAACACAGCACAGAGGACTGGGAGATGCCCATCAACCTGCAAGAGTGAGAGAAAGGCAAATATCAGGAGTTAGATAACTGTCGGCGATCAGGTCTTTCAGGTCTTTGATTTTCTTTTATATGCTCCAAAAGTGCTGCAGGGGAAGGTGTCCCTTACCGCAGAAAACTCTTGTCTGCTACAGCCACTCTGATGTCCTCCAGCAGCTCCATGGTGGCTTTCACAGCCAGATCAGCGGCTTTATCATGAAGGAAGCCATGACTGGACTTGACAGTGTCCTTGTTGAT